TGCTATGGCGAGGAGGAGCTTTTGGAAAGGAAAATACCAGGCGTCGTCAAATCTCCTTCAGTATATAAGAACCAGGTGGGTAATAGGCGTCTATCTGGGTGGAAAGAAATGGGAAATTTTGTCAAAGTCGTCAAACCTTACTAAGTTGGATTGGTCTATGGGTTCATGGGTGGGTGTGGAGCTGGGTTCCACACCAAAAGGGGGCACCGAGAAGTGCGAGGTTCAGGCAGGTTGTTCTCTTTGTGCAGAAGGTGCTGGTTTCATGGAGACCGGTGGATTATTGGTTATGTGTAGATCAGGTTGCGTGCTGTGATATCGGCCAGACTGAGAAATTCTAGAATCTATTGCAAAACATCTTGAGCCGAGCCTCGGCCGCCGGGGAGAGAAGAGCATACTTGCGGGAACGAGGAACACGTCTCTCTGAATGCTTGATATCCCTATCTAGAGAGCGAACAGCTTTCGGCTATCTGAAGGCAGGACAGTGCCAAGGCGCCTACCCATCTATAAGCTGGGTGAGAGATAGGTAGGAGCGCTGTAATACTTGAATAAAGGAACACGCTTCTTGATGCTGTTGTTCAGAATCAGATCGCATTCTTTGGCGCCACCTAAATGTCTATTCCCCATGTTACATGGACTGTTGAACGTGGAAACTTGCGATCAAGCCTGGAGATGGCTTCCATATCACTCTCCCCGGAAGCGGTGCCCATAGAGCTTGAAGACAACCGGCAACGGTGCCATTGCGAGGAGAACAAATCCGAACAGACTGTTTCCCCAGCCCCATCCCAGCGCATCGTAGACGTCCAGACCGCACAATGGCAGGAGTGCTCCGGCAACACTGCGGAGGACGGCATTGGCCGCAGACGCACTGGCTGCGTGTCGCGGATGGGCGTCGACCAGATACGTTTGAGCAGCCATGAAGATGCAAATCATTCCGAATCCGGTCAGCGAGGTACCAATCATGGGGACGATCCAGTGGAGCTTCGCCTGGATCGCCCAGCCATACAAGAACATGCCCGCGGGCAAAGCCGAGCACGCTGGCAGTGTGATGACATACGGCAAGCGGTCCTCCGGCACCGGTTCTTGTCCCAGGGAGACCTTGCGTCGGATTTCTCGGTCGCTCAACCTGCCAGCATACGCAAGGCCCAACAGGTTTCCCACGCCACATCCCAAAAATGTCAGGCCGAGTGCAATCTCGGAGAAGCCATACACTTCTTTAAACACGAACGAAAACGTGGTGAAGAGGATATACAGAATTCCGTACACGACGGCGATGTATATGCTGATGAGGGACACCGCGGGCGAAAAGAGCAGCAATTTGGCCGGCCGAAGAAAGCTCTGCCGAAACAGCTCTTTGCCCGAGGTCTTCGTCGCCAACTTGGAACGGTACTTCTTGTTCTGGGTTTGCTTCCGTAGCCGTGCTGCCTTTTTCTCCAGTATTACCGGGGGATATGTCTCTTCGAAGATGAACACGGCCGCCACTACGACCAGTCCGGCCTATATGCTCAGGTTAACAGTTACCCCACGTCTCATGGCAGCGTGTGCTCACCATGATGGCAATGGTCCAGAAGGTCCACCTCCAATTTGCTCTCTCCACCAGAACGCCGCCAACCACGGGGCCTATCACAGGTCCGAGCAATGGGCCCATTGCCCAGAAGGACATGGCAGCGGCACGGTTCTCCCTCGCCACCATGTCGCCAATCGTACTGCTTCCACAGGTGACCGTCGCGACACCGGCGAAACCTGCCCAGAACCTGGAAGCAAGGAGCATTCCCGAATCTTTTGAAATGGCGCACATGATTGTGAAGCATAGGAACGCGACGTTGCAGACGTGGTAGACGGGCACGCGGCCATACAGCTCGCTGAGCGGTGCCAGGACCAGTGGTCCGGCCGCGAAGCCGAGGACAAAGATGGACACGACGAAGGTGGCAAAGGTGTTGGAGGTATTGTGGAAGTCTGCCATGATGACAGGAACACCGGGTGCGAACATGGAGGATGCCAACGGCCTGTGCAAAAGTCAGCTGTGGCTTCTGCGCTGCGAGGTTGAGACTCAACGTGAGGAAGGTGGTAAAGGAGAGCAAGGCAATAGTCCTCCATTTCTTGGATGGAGGCCAGTTCATCGGGTTGGATTTGTCCTGTCCTTCTGGTTCTTCCCACGATACAATGTACCTCTCTTCGTCTGCTTCATCTGCGCCGTTCATGATACCGGCAGCACCGCCATCGTCGGCCTTCTCAACATCCCGTCCTGGGCTTGGACATCTCTCACGGTCAGAGGTCGGGTCGATAGCTTCGACATCAGGGGCTGGCAACGTCTCCAAAGAGCAGGCCATCCTCTCGACCGTTCGCAGGAATGGCTGAGCTCAAGGACTGTAAAAAATGGAACAGACATATTTAGAGGCTGACTTATGAGCCGACTGGGGTCCCCATGCGCCAGCACGATTTACAAGAACCATGACTTGGGAGAAGACTACTGGCCGGCGACAAAAGGGGGCGCTGTGGGTCTCGTTCTTGGCATGCACCTCAACTCGTATAGCCAACACGAGTACGCGGAAATTGGTTGTAGAGCTCGTATACCGATGTATCTGCCCCACGCCTTGGATTGGTACCTCTGGAGACTACGAAAGAGTGCCCTCGAATGCCTCCCTGTTTTGAGACCACCGTTTCAGCCTTTCAACGCCCGCTCAGCCGCCAGTAGGACTGAATAATACGAACACGATGCTGTGCAATAACGCTATATCATCGCGGAGGAACCATCGGAAAGCGGATGTGGTAATGTTTATAGGAACAGATAGTGGGGCAGGCGACGAGACATGCCTTTGGCCACAGAGTACGGACTAAATTCTACATGCAGTGGCACTGGATCTACACGAACACGACTAACTCTAACAGATACATACTTTGATTTCGGTGCCGGAGTTGCACCTCCAGCGCAGTTGCAACGATTTCAGTCGTCACGTCTGCAAATTCTCAATTTAGAACCAGCTCCAAGAGCTGAACACCAGCATATTCGTGACGTCGGCGGTGCTGCAGTTGTTTGTTCTCAACCCAACGATCTCTGAATGGTGGTGCATAAAAGCCCTCAATGGAACCAGCAGCAGCCAGGCCTCTTTCTTGCACTACTTGGCCTCCAACAAAGCTTTCTTGGCTATATCAGTCCCTTGCCCTGAAGACCTTACACTGTGCACTGTTCTCTCTCCAGTCATCGACCCACGCCGCGGTATTTCATCTCGTTGAGCATAGCAGTCACAATGGCGGTTCAATACGTCCTCTGGTACTACACGCCCTCACTCGTCGGAGCTATCGCTATGGCCGCGTACTTCGGACTCGCCTCTCTTGCCCACTTGGTCCGCCTGGTCCAGACCAAGGCACGGTTCTGCATCCCTTTCGTCGTTGGTGGCATATGTACGCCCACCCCTTTCGTCGGTTCCTTCCAGGGAGCTAACACATATCTCCAGTTGAAGCCGTCGGGTACGGTGCTCGCGCTGTGGCTCACTACCACACCGACAAAACGCTGCCTTACGCGATCCAGTCGCTCCTGATCCTGCTGGGTCCGATCTTGTTTGCGGCATCGGTCTACATGATCCTGGGCCGGTTGATCCGCGCGACCCACGGCGATGCACACTCGCTAATTCCCTCGAAGTGGATGACCAAGGTGTTTGTCGGAGGCGACGTCCTATGCTTCGTTGTTCAAGGTGTGGGCGGCGGTGTCCTCTCCGGGGCCAAGACTCACGGCAGAGTCAAGCTTGGGGAGTACATCATCCTAGCCGGCCTTTGTCTTCAGATCCTGGTCTTCGGCTTCTTCGTGGTTGTCGCCGCAAACTTCCACTCACGCGCTCGCCATGCTCCAGACATACTGGCCACAAACATCCCGTGGCAACGATACCTCTGCATGCTGTACTTGGTCAGCGTTCTGATCTCGGCCCGGAACATTTTCCGAGTCGTCGAGTATGCTTGGGGCTCCGGCGGATATCCCCTGAGGCATGAATGGACGTTGTACCTCTTCGATGGAGCGTTGATGGCAGTCGTGCTTTTGATCTGTCTTGCATGGTATTCGATCGACTTTACTGGACCCCGGCGACGCTACGATGAGGAGGCGAAAAGGTGAATGATGAAGTATACTCTCACCAATGAAGTGAGGGCAGGAAACCGACAGAGGCAGCCCGCCGAAGCTTGTAACACATGTGAGGCCCTCGTGAGGGCTCCACACGGGTTTGACACATATTAAATAGTCGGTGTATCTCGGAAGTTGAGGAAATGATATATGGGAGCAGATAGGTCAGGCTACATTGGTGGCAGGTGCTTGGGCGTACTAGATGTTGAATCATTTGTTTGGGCCATTGAAGACATGATGGCGTTGCCATTGAGAGCTTGGTCAATGAAAAGTTCACGGGTTGGCAAGGTTATTTCTGTTATAGAAAAAATGGAGAAACCAATGTCCTCTTAGCAGGATGTGCAACTCGGGCCCAACAAGAAATTCCACTTTCCATGTGACCATACATCCTGCTCCACGCGAGTCCGACATTTTGGGTGGAGAATCAAATGTCCCCGGCAATCGTATTGCGTGGCTTGCAAGTAGCAGGACGACCTTGTCCCTGGCGGTAATCCAGTTGTGTGAACTTCTGAGACTGCACTAAGCCACTGACCCACTATTGACACCCATATATGCCCTATTACTACATAGCAAAGGTGAAAGGACCGTGCAGATTGAGATGTCTACCGGTTAAGCTAGAACATTGGCTTTCTCAGAGGAAGCTCGAGTCAAAGAGAAGGCCAGCAGCGAAGTGGTTGGAAGGACAATGGGCCGTTATGTTTGAAGGTTAGTCATTTAGGAGTGACGAACAAATTTGCAACAAGGCACTGCCACCAGGGGTAACATCTAATAGTATTAACCGATGCCATGTGCTATAATGTCAAAATCTAACGTTCCTTCGCAGCACGAATGAAAGTTAGGAAGCGAACCCTGATGGCGGGTTCAATATCCTCGATACTCAAGTCTTTTGATCTCACTTGCTCTTGTTGGGATTCTTGAAATGACGCTTCAACGGTCGCCAACTATGCTCGTTATAGCTTGTCTGTAGTTTCTGGCAAGTTTTGAGGCCCCATTCAGTAACTCCCAGCATGAGCGAACTGCAAATCAAAAGCATGTTAGAGACTTCAACCTTGTACAACTAGTTTTGGTAGTTGTCATGGCAACTTACCTCTCGAACATGAATGCCAGACTTGTAGTGCCAACTTTTTGCGGCTTCAACGGGATATTGCTGTTGGTCTCGAACGAATCGGAGTCTGGACCGTGCGCGGAAAAGACGTTGTGCAGACTCGCTCCACCGGGGAGGAAGTCGCCACCGGTTTTGGCATCGTAGTCTCCGTGGATCAAGCCCATGAATTCGGACATGACGTTGCGGTGGTACCATGGCGGACGGAAGGTGTTCTCGCCCACGAGCCACCGAGGAGGAAAGATGACGAAATCGGCGATCGCGGTGCCGGCGTGATCAGACGGCCCGGTCAGGACCGTGAAAATCGACGGGTCAGGGTGGTCAAAGGAGATGGTGCCCATGGTGTTGAATTTCCCGAGGTCGTACTTGTAGGGATAGTAGTTGCCGTGCCAGGCCACCACATCGAATGGCGTGTGGTCCTGTTTGGTCAAGAAGAGCATGTTGTTGAATTTGCTGTAGATCTTGTGCTCCGACGGTATGCCTTCGTCATCTTCGAAGAATGCAACCGGGACTTGGAAGTCCCTTGCATTAGCGAGACCGTTGGACCCGATAGGGCCCAATTCGGGGAGTTGGTAATGGCCTTGGTATAACTCGCACACGTATCCGCGCACAGGGCCCGCTGGAAGGGTTACACGGTATCTGATATCAATATCAGTTTTGGTGGTTGAACTTGGGGAATTCTCTTACCGTACACCCCGAGGGACCACGCATATTTCACCTGGCCGCACTACCAACTTACCTAATTCGGTGTGAATATCCAACACTCCTTGCTGCGGGACGATCAAGAAATCTCCGTCGGATGAGAAAAAGGCCTCCTTTCCCATATCCTTCCCGGCAGCGTAGACTAAGATGCCCAGTCCACTCTTCGTGGTCGGGTCACCGGCACTGGATAAAAGATGCAGTCCATGCACCCAGTCGGCTGTCTTATCAAGATTGAATGGATCCCATCGAAGCTGTGTGGGCGTATATATAAGTTGGCTCTCGTTTGTCCCCGGCTTCATGCGATCGTTTGAGGCGTCTTCAGGAACGAAGGCCTCATGGGCAGCGGCTGGCAGAATACGGTATAACCATGTCTGCTTGTTCTCATGTCGAGGCGCCGTGAATGCTGTCCCGGATAACTTCTCAGCGTATAGGCCGTAATTCACCTTCTGAGGCGAGTTTTGTCCCTCGGGAAGCGCCCCCTGGATGGTTTCGGTCCTGAGATTCGAGTCAGCACGATTGTTGTCCACTTAAGGACTATAGAAATATACTCCTGATACGAGTCGAAGCCGATCCGATAAGAATAAGGGTCTGGATGAGAAAACTTGGTGCCAGTCATTTTCGCTCAGTTGATAGCCAGATTTCTCAAATGTTTCTTGGTTTTGGACACAGGGACCAGAGCATCGATCTGTAGGCGGACTTGACAGTCGGTCACTCCGTGACTTTTTCAACGCATGTCCAACGTATACCGTCAAGGATACTTCCCCAGATTCTTGGTGTATACATGTTCACTGCATGGCAAGACTATCGTGAAATCACCAGCCCAAAATACCAGACTTGTCGGCGACTTCATGTGTGGAAGAGGGATGCACCATTAACAAGCCGATCCGCGAGCGAATTGCATTCGCCCGGCTCGATAGATTAGCCTTCCGACCCACCCACGGTTCGGACCCGTGCACAAGAGTCCAATGTCTGGTGCATCACCTGAGATGAGAGGGACAATTCCCTTATTGCGTGTTTCATTCATGTGTTCACGGGAAGAGGAATGTTATTAAATCGAACTGGCCTGACTGTACGCATCCGAAGGCAAACGAAGCTGCTCAGCTAATACTGCGAATCGGCAAAGACGAGATATTACAAAGGGCAATCACCATGGGTTCAATCCACGAGCCTGTCTGCAACGAAGTCAATGGAGCGAGTGAAGCAGCTCCTCCATTACTTTACCAGGCGCAAACCAGACTAAAAGTTATCGTAGTCGGCGCCGGACTTGGTGGCCTGTCGCTGGCTTATTTCTTGGGACGATCCGGACATACAGTGGAGGTTCTTGAAGCAACCCCGGTAATCAAAGAGGTGCGGATCAACCAATCGCACCCCGTCTTCCGTGTTATTGATTCCTTTTCCTTCAGGTTGGTGCAGGAATAAACTGCACCCCTAATTTGACTCGACTGTTTGCACGATGGGGAATCGAACCATATATCAAACAGGATACCATGCCTCTCTGCAGACTCGAACTTCGCCGATGGGAGAATGGCGAGTTTCTAGGCGCCGCAACCTGGATGCCTGAGGTTGAGAAAAGACATGGGTCACCCCAGTATGCGGCTCATCGCGCGGATATCCTGAAAGGCATAACGGAGGGCATTCACAGACTGCCGAACGTCACGGTAAAGGTGAACAGTAGAGTGATGAATATTGACACGGAAGGCCCTTCAGTAACCTTGAGTGATGGATCCACCCTAAAGGCGGATGTGGTCGTTGGAGCAGATGGTAAAGACCCAAATTCTGCAGTCGATGAGGAGGTCGTGGCTGACCTGTAACATAGGGGTGAAATCGACATGTCGAAAGGTTCTTTATCAGAAGCTCGGCCTGACAGACAGGGCCAGGCCAACCGGAGACGCCGCCTTTCGCGTCATGATTCCTCTGCAAAGGATACAGGATCAAAAATTAATCGAGTTTGTCAAGACCCCCGTTGCAACACGATGGATCGGCCCCGGACGTCATGTTCAAGGCTTCCCTATACGTGACCACAGCTTGTATAACATGGTACAGTGAGACATTCCAATCTATTTCAACCATTTTCTAAATCTGGCCGAGGTTCTCTGTCATCCTGATACGGTAGGTTCAATCGAGTCGTGGGATGCAACGGCGTCCAAACAAGAGATTATGGATCATTTTGGAGCATGGGACCCAGAGTCAGTCGCCCTTTTGCCTCAATCGGTAATGTACGCTGATTCCATCTGCTCCAGGCGGCTGCGTAAGTTGCTCGATTTGGTACCAGATGAAAATATCTTGAAGTGGCAGTTATGCGATCACGAAAACCTACCTACCTGGACAATGGGCAAGTTGGCTCTGCTGGGGGATGCTTGCCATCCGATGTAAGTCGACCTTCCAGCCCAGTTGACACGATATGAGCTGATTAACTGGGTACAGGTTGCCATACGTCGCTCAAGGGGCTGCTCAGGCCGTAGAAGATGCCGGGGTCTTATGTCTCGCTTTGAACAACGTCGGCTCCAAACACAGTATCCCCACCATGCTCAAGGCATACGAACTGTCCAGGAAAGGACGGGCGGAAGGGATTGCTGACAACGCTGCGACAACTCGTACCGTTCTGCATTACGAAGATGGACCAGAGCAACAGGATCGAGACAACAGGTTCCGGGCGATCGCTCGAGGTGGCGAAAATCCAGATCTGCTGTAAGTTGCGGAAGCCGCGTATATCAGCTTTCTACAGCAGGATAACAAGGACTGATAACGTGTCAGAGGAGACCAAAACCATCAGGCACTTCTCTGGGGTCATGACCCAGAGAAGGACTTTATGGATCATCTGGAAGGTAAAGTCCGCTGACCGCAATGGTTAACCATGGGAATATGTTAAATAGGACCACAGATCTTGTAAGTCGTGCGACAGAAGCATTGACGTCGGGTTAAGCATGGGTTTGAAAATCTACTTCCGATGAACGTTGGCAAAGAGTTTGCTAAGATGACGAGCAAAGCAGCTAGAAGAGGGAACTGGACTTGTCACTTTAGTAAACTGAATAGGGAAGCTCAACAGATACTTGAACAACGATATTGGTTCACCCAAGAATAGGCATACTCAGGCCTTAATTGATCATTGGTATACAAATAGCAGTGTTAATACAAGAGCTCTCCGGAATCCGCCCAAGTAGATCAGCATGTGGCACTAATTGGAATGTTATTTGGTCGGAGTTCCTAGCAGATTAAAAGAGATCTCTGAAGGATTGTCAACCCTTGATCTGCTTAATATGTGCGAGGCTACTTCTCTCGGCATTTGACTTCCACGTATCATCTAATCGGGGTCTCCTACTTCTCGAGACGGCGGTGAAGTCGAATGTGATTGCTTAGATGGCCCGGTCTTCAGAATGTTGATGCTGCTCTTTTTCCCGAAGACCGTCGAAAGGTGAGAGGACGACCCGATCGGCACCTGCGACTGACGGCAGGTCTAGATGAACGGCTAGAGGGCTGCTTCGGCTCGGTCGCGGGTGGTCAGCCCGCACAACGCAACCTCGAGCCGTGAAGTCGATGGAGCTCAGCCCCCTCTCCTGGAAGGAATGGATCGCCACACTTTAACCTCCCGACGAAGGGCGGGCCACGAGGAATCTCCATGGCGGAGGTTGGTTCAGCTAAACAGTATCTGTACTGAGAGCCGCTTTCAGACTCCTGCAGGATACAACTTCGACGGCACGGTGCCATACATGCCGTGCCAGGGAAGCCAGTTTTTCTCCAGCCGTATTTGACTCCGAAAGGGTCACCGGGGTGAACAGCTTTTCTTATCTTGACTAAAAAACGTGTAAGTGTCCGGTAGATTTTTATTTCGTCCGAGTTTTTGGCTATCTGATGAATAGGCGAAAGACATATCAAGTTTTCCCTGTGACTAGCCTAGGGATATTCCTGCCAAAGGTCTTTTATTTCCACGCCAGATTTACAACCTTTTGTTCATCAGCTTTGCCATTCCCTCTACGAGGGTTACAATACTCTTATCCACATTGCCATTATGTATCCCCTCGTGATTGTGGCGTTGGGTCTGCTACTCCCTTCCCTCGCATTATACAAGGCCTACGAAAACTGGCGCAAGTCTCGCGAATTGAATCACATCCCAACCCACGATTTCCCGGACGGCGACAATTCCAGGACCCGCTATATCAGCGATCTCAAGACGTTACTCGAGTCGGGCTATCGCAAATACAACAAGGACGGACAACCGTTTAAAGTCCCCATACCAATTGGGGGATACTCTGTGAAATATCGGGTCGTCCTACCCAAGGACTACCTCGAAGAAATCAAACATTTATCCAATAATGTGTTTAGCTGGATGCTGGCCGCCACCGTCATCTTCGCACAGGACTACACTGGTGCTCCGCCCCGAGGACCATGGCTCGGCAAAGCACTGAGGGTCGGAATTCACCAGAATCTGGCCGAAATTACACAGGCTCTCGACCGCCGTATGGACAATTACTTATCCAAGAGACTGCCCCAAGACATTAAGAGGTCGATATCGATCAACTTTATGGAATTCTTTGTCCCCGCTGTCGCCACCTTTACAAACTCGCTCCTCGTGGGAAGGTTGGCTGACGACCCTGAATGGATCCGACAAGCCTGCGACTTTTCAATCAGCCGATACCAGTCTGCTGACGATGTCCGGGCATATCCTCCATATCTAGCCTCCATCGTGGCCCCTTTTATCCCCAGTGTCCGAAGGTTACGACAAAGCAGGCAATACGTGAAAACACAATTGAAACCCATCTACGAGGAGCTCAAGGCGCAGGACCTCTTGCGTGCCGACGAGAAGCCCAGGCACGGCAGCATTCTAGGGTATGAATGGCTTTGGGGAGGTGCTCCCAAGGACGTCAGTCTGCCAGACTTTTCGGACACCATGATGCGCACGGTGATTGCTTCGATCCACACCACGGCGAAGACCATCACGATCGCCCTGGTCGACCTATTAAGTCAACCCCAATACCTGGACGAGTTAAGGGAAGAAGCCAAGGCAGCCCAACGCCCTGATGGGTCGGTCGACATCGACGCACTCTACAAACTCGATTGCTTCCTGAAGGAGAGCCAGCGGCTGACTCCTATCTTCCTGCGTAAGACCCACACCATTCCGTCTTCCTTTCTAGAAATACACAACGCATGGCTAACATTGGGTTGGCACAGTGACCATGAACCGCGTGGTAACCCAGGATTATAGATTCAAAGTATCGGGAACGGTTCTTCCCAAAGGAACCATGACTTCCGCAGCCACGGCGGCCATCGCCACCGACCCCGACACTTTCGGCGTGGACTCCGACTCCTTCGACGGCCACCGGTACCTGCGCTTGCGCGAGAGCAACAAGGCGGGCGAAAGCGCCTTGAAGATGGGCATGACGACGACAGACTCGCTCGGCTTCGGTCTCGGCAATCAGGCTTGCCCGGGCCGTTTTCTGGCCGTCAACCAACTGAAGCTGATGCTGGCGAAGTTGCTCATCGGGTACGACATGGAATTGGAAAAGCACGGGATGAGGTATCTCGGTGGGAGGCCCAAGTATCAATATTACGACTTCTCGGTGGTCGCCCCCACGGAGTACGGTATGAAACTGACTAGACGGTCATGAGTGGTGGTCGCAAAGGGCCAAAGGCGGAAGGGGAGTGACGAACAAATTTAGCATTGATGGAAACCATGTACAGGTTCCCAGGGTTCATCTCTTGTAGGCGCCTAGTCCTGCTTGGTATGTGATGGGCAAGTCCATCTATCAGGTACTTTGTTATAAATGCTGTAGTCCATCGCCTTACCGCGTCTCCTAGGGTATTGTGATGCTCCTTCTATACTCTGCCTTGAAGAAAATACAGAATTCACCTGCTTGCCAAGGGTGATTCTCTGTGAGACGTCCAAGGTCACTATCCAGAGGACCAAAACGTTCGGGTCTCAATTTCAAGCAGACAGAGCACCATGATGCCCTGGATTAACCAAGACTATATATCACCTACGTCGTCGTCTTGTACAGGGTACGTCAAATAATTGAAACACTCGAATTACTCGATGTCGTGCAAGCAGAAGCTCTCGAATCAGAGAGGTGCGATCCCGAAACAAAAGCAGATACCGACAACGAAAGCCCTTGAGAGAAATTTCAGTCACATTGCAACCTCGGGCAGCTTCAAAGGCTCTCAAAGATATCTACGAACAGGCTGAGTTGTTGCAATGTCTGTAGGTAGCATTCTCTTGATTCGGTTATGAGCCGAACCGTTCCGGCCACCGCAGAAACCGAGCCTTTACAATCTACCGAGAGACTTTCATTGACGTTTATGGTGGCCTCCATCGAAGGCTTGGATCACGCGACTGTCCCTCTCACCTCCCCCAAAGCGTCGCGACTCGTTGCTTGCACAAGCACACCCTCCCATTCATGGCCTCCATCTGAAGGCAGGGTGTTTCCAGTCGAGATCCTGGATCTGTTTGACTGACAACTCGCTCAACCGTTCCAATTGCTCCTCCAGATCGACGTTTGCTCGACGCTTATTGTCCCTCCATACCCAGATGAGGAGAAGGATGGAGCAGATAAAGATGCACGAGGAAGTTGCCAGGTTTAACCCGTTCCCGATATGATAGTTTGGCGCGTCGAACGGGAGGTACGACCAGGTAGATATCAGGCCGCCGACGTTCCCGATCATCACATTCGTGCCAATTGCCGCGGAGCGAGCGGTGTCCGAGACCACGTTTGCGGCGACCACCGCGTTGCAAAGCGCGCCATAGGAAAAGGCGCCGGTAGCAATGAGGAAAGTTGCGGCGTATCGGACATGGGCGGCAGTGCTGCCTAGGAACATGGCGTATCCAGTCATAATGAACGGAGCGCAGATGATGAGGAAAATAATTCGTCTGTCATAGCGCCAGGAAAGCCAGGGAATCAGGAGGCAGAAAAAGGAGCCAACGGCATACGGTGGTACGGTGTAGAGTTGTTGTGAGATCACCGATTTATCGGGATAAATGGACTTGACAATAGTTGGAGCGAAGACCGCGAGACCGGAAACCGTAATATTGTCGAAGAGGAAGATAAAAGATGTAGCGAGCGTAACCGGGCTAAGTATGCCTCGCATAACCTTAGGAACGTCGATTTTATCCAGGACTTCGGTAGTGGCAACGCGCTCAGACTTGACGCGGGCAACAGCTAAGTCTTTCTCCTCCTGCGTTAACCATATGGCTGTCTGGGGTCGGTCCGTTAAGGTGAAAAAGGCCAGGATAGATAGACAAGACGTGATGATCCCTTCAATCGCAAAGATCATGCGCCAGGTGTGAAGACTGCCAAAACTGTCGAGTTTCAAGATCGCGGATGCCAGGAGGCCCCCGAATGCACCTGCAAGGGGCGCGGTGACAATGTACAAAGCTAACCGGAAGGCTAGCTCACTCCTGCGGTACCATCGAGATAGGTAGTAGGCGATACCGGGCATCATGCCTGCCTCGAAGATGCCCAAGAGGAAGCGGACGGCGGCCGCTGAGGAGATATCTCGGACAAAGGCATTGCAGAGAGATAAGATGCCGAAACCGAGAGAGGTTGCGGGAATAAACCAGCCTGGGCCGATGTATTTGCACAGCATATTTGCGGGCAGTTCGAAGACGATGTAGGAGATGTAAAAGACAGAAAGGACTGTGTTGTAGTCAAAGCCTTTCAAACCCAGATCCTTTTCGAATCCGGCAAGTCTGGCATTGCCTGTTGATTCGCAGGGATTAGTGCCTAACTTTGACCAGCCAGAATGGAGAAAGCGTCACTCACCGATATTGGCTCGATCGATGAAACAAAACAAGTAAAGTAGAGCAACAGTGGGCACGACATACAAGTCGATCTTCAAGCGCAATTTGGCTTCCGCCTTGGGGTCGAAGGTCAAGAGAGGGTTGCCATATCTGGGGACAGCTTTAGCATCAAGCCGCACATCGCAGAAGGTGAGACAACGAACTTGTCGGTGGCGGCGTGGCCTGTTTCGGCGGTTTCATGGACACCCTCGATATGGAGGGTGCTGACCTTTTCGTCAACAGAGGAGCCAGTGCTGGCATCAACATGGCATTCCTCCACATCTTGGACTTTGGAGGACATTGTATTCTGTTGTGTGCAGGTCGATGAGTTGGTCATCACTCAAGAAAAAGAGAGAGGCGAAGTTCCAGGAGTGTGGATGACCGGGGTCTTTGTAGTCTGACGCTGTGACAAAGGGAGTTTGGAAATAAACAGGACATAGCCTTGCGAGTTAGCTTGCTTCTTGGTGATGTCGAGGCTGGATATAAGCCCGGGCGTTGTAGACCCAGCTGGCTTCGCTAGAAGATGAGATCTGGGCGGGCTGGCCGCTGGCAGCGACGTTCCGTGGTCCACAAGACGTTGGCTCGGGCGGGGGCCGTGGAGAGGAATTTTGTGGAATCCCGAGATGCGAACGGACGGCCAACTGCCTACCCAGGCGTGTCTAGACGTCTGACAGTAAGCCCGTGTAAACAGCCTCAGCAAAGCACATCGTCTTTACGCTCCCGAGAAGGGTATATGTATACAGGGTTAGTTACGTGGCCCTACCTTTGACGCACGGCAGAGTAGCAGGAGGGTGAAGTAGGACGGCGGAAGCTATGCTTGGCTTTCTGTTGTTGTCTAAATCGGGGAATAAGTTATCGGCAACGACCAACCATCCTAGAGAGACTTGCACCCTTCTACAAAGTGAGCCTGGGACGAAGTGGGGATTACCGATCGGTGCCTCGCTTGAGTGAAGAGACTTCTCGCATGGAGCTTTTCTTTTCTCCTGTAAGGCTCGGTTCGGTTGGCTTTCTCAGTCCCACGGCTCGTATTCTCGGTTCGACGGCTCACCAGCCGAGAATGGCAACGGCTCAAAGGGCTGGCAGCCGCCTCCGTCCTTCGTCTTCCACCTCCGCTTTCGATGGGCTGCCGATGTCGATGACATTGCCAGAATCCGCTTTCTATCCCGTGCGAATTCAGGTGACCGAAGCTTAGGATCGTGTTGTTGATATTCACAAGTCAGTTCAAAGATGTCCCTCCTGCCGCTCCATGCGGTCTTAGCTGGTGCACGTCACTCTGGGAGCGGATAGTGACGAACCAGTCTTTGACGGCCCAAGAAAGCAGAGGATGTCTGCACCGGATATAGCCTTGTCAGCCACAAACAAGCCATAGTAAGCCATCAGCTTCGGAGAAAAATACTTCGCGGCCTGATCTGGTTGTATTCAGACCTTAACTTTTCAGCCTTGTCGTGATACAAAGAGGGCGCTCGGGCCGTTAGCAGAGTATGATTCTATATACCCCAGTCGAGGTTCATGTAGATTCTCCTCACGCCCTTGCGCACTTCTTTATTCCATCTTCACCTTGGCTCTCTTTCTTTCTTTCTTTTGATAGATTCAATGAAGTGACCCGAGTTGGTTCTGCTCGTCGTGGATCATACAAGAGAGAGAATGGGTTCGACAACAGACACTCTAGATTGTCCCAGTTTCGCGCTTTAGTACTAGCCGAGAGTCGGGTATCGGAAATGTATCCAACCCGCTGGAACTTAGACAAGTGTGAGAGTTAGGGCGATAGGATCTCAAGCTTTAACCCCGCAATCACAAACGAACATGCGAACGATTGAATCGGGCTTCATTCCATAGACCCAGTTCATTCATCCTTCTCTCCTCCTGCCTCGATTCTTCCAACTGGCACACTTCCATAAGCTATTGTGGACTCCTGCTGAAGCCCGATCCATTATGGCAGGAGGTGGCGGCAAGACTCGACTCGCGGCCGGATCTGCCTGTGTCAGCTGTAAGAGACGAAAGATTCGCTGCGACGGAAATCGCCCTACCTGTGGCTGCTGCAGGACTCGTACAAGTCTGTGCCAGTATCCGCCTTCTGCTGCGGGCAATAATATTGTTCTCCGAGAGTCAGGGCCCTTCGTTACCACGGTCGAGCTGAATCTCGTTTTACTGACCCGTCGCATCTGCCAGAATTCGAAAGTACTTGGACGAGCGACTGAGGGCCACTGACCCCGGTCACGAAGATGTCCTCGACCAACGGAGCAACGAGGGACACCAAATGTCAGTAACCTCAGGCCAGAGTCCTGATGACCATCGTTCCCAATCAGCGACACCCAAGGTGGTCCATGATCTCAACTGTGCGATCGAGCATGATCTTCCATTTCCGTCGCCTCATTCCGCGCCGGATGTGTCCTATACCTGCTTCCGAGACGGCAGTGTCAGTGCCGTATTAGGGGGTCAAACCCAGTGGTCGACCAGGGAATTGACCCCAGAATCGGAAAAGGAGGGCTACCTGGGCGACTCGTCTACTTTCAAGTTCATGTCCAAAGTCAAACATGGCGCCAGCACCACCGGGGACGACGAAATTCAGGATATCTCCCAACCCCAGAAACGGCCTCGTCGAGAAATCAACCGTGCCACTGACCGGGTCCACGACCACAACATCAACCCCACAATGGACATGGAAGACTGGTTTCTCCTCCCCCCGAGATCCATTGCAAACGCGCTTGTGGATGGCTACTTCAAATACGTCCATCAACTCTATCCTTTCATCCATGAACCATCCTTCCGCAAAGACTACGAGTCAGTCTGGAATGCCGACAGTTCACATGGCGAGCAAGCACTCTCGTTTGGACTGATAAACCTCGTATTTGCCCTTGGCTCGGAGTTCGCTGACGGGACGACCATGGACAGAAGTCCCAACCGGGCTTCGGGCTTCATGTCGCGCGCAAAGGCCATTATCTACGCGAATTTGTTCAGGACGGGGAGTCTCGAAATCGTCCAAGCGCTGCTACTTTTGTGTCTCTATCTTCAAGGAACTTCCGAGCTGAACAAGTGCTGGAACCTTGTGGGCCTGATGATTCGCATGGCCTACGGCATCGGTCTTCACATGGACCCCGCGCGCTTCGGCGTCGGGCACATCGAAAAGGAAATGAGGAAACGCATCTGGTGGGGGTGTTTCAATCTCGACCGGACTCTCAGCTTTCGATTCGGTCGACCGCCGGCGATTCGAACAGACGACGGTCTGGAAGTGACTCTTCCTCTCCTCGTTGACGACGCATACATTCAAGACGAAGCCAAGGCTCCCACACAACCGGATGGCCAGCCTTCATACATTGAGTTCTTTGTACGGGCCACCAAACTGACAATGATCATGGAAGACACGCTGCGGCACCTGTACCTGAAGCCGAGAAAACTGCACCGTCAACGTTCAGAGGCCGCGATCGCCGAGGAGATATCGTCCTTGTTGGCAAACACGGTGAAGCTCGATGGTGAGCTCACTGTATGGGAAAAGAGCCATCCTCCGCATCTCGCCTTTCACCGAACAGCTTCAGAAGACATCACTCTTCAACGACTGCAAAACAATCTTCGAGTTAGGTGTGTTTGAACCGGCATCGTCCCATTGCTTTCCCGTTGGAGCTGACAACTAACGTCTAGAGCCCTCGTCCTTCGCTCAATCCTCCATCGACAGGCTTTTCTGCTCTTCTGCCGTGACGAGCCCATAGACGAATTCCAGCGTGCCATTGCGGTCAACTGTTCGCGCGCATGCATCGCCGCCGCTCGGCAGACGATTCGCCTGATCAACACATTTCACTCTCGGCGACTGATCAGTTCGCTCTTCCAAAATCTACACTGTGAGTCAAATTTTCTACCAATACTGGCTGCTCATCTAACTGGCCGCGTTCAAGATGTCTTTTCGTCCATGGGCGTCCTCCAATGCCTCCAAACTCTCGACAAGACCAAGCTGGACTCGCTCGGCGAATCCGGCGAGGACGAGGTGCTCGAGATGGGGATGAGATTCCTCGATGACGGGTGCCAACAAAGCTCCCTTGCCGCCACATACATGGCTTCCCTCCGCCAGGTGGGCACCAAGGGCCGAGCCCGCAGCGATCACCATGGCTGCTCGCCATCCCAGTTGGCGGGCGCGAGTGCCTCTATCTCGGCTGCCGAAAGGGACGTCCGACAAGGCTCCGACCTGATCATGGATGCCTCGTCTTTCATGATTGCCCCCACAGTGTCGACGTTGGAGTTGACCGGCTCATTCACCAATCCCGTTCGAGGACCTCTATATCCTGGCGGCTTCGGGACCGGATTCCCGCCCGACTTCATGCTGGACGAGGATTTCAACACGGATCAATTTTTCCTCGGTACGATGGCCTAATCCTCATGCTACATGCCTGGACGACGGACACGAATTTAGGTCGACCCTGATGAGGAACTGAGTACCCCTCCTGATGTAGCCATGCTGTTAGAAGGTCAACTACGAGGTTGAACCTGCCAACCTGAAGCACAAAGCCAGCTCTGCGACAGGATTGTTGCGTATCTCTTACTCAGCGTACCCTCTTTCTGTTGTCCGCTGTAATTCTTGAGTATCGAGAACAACAAAGATATGTCCCTCGGCACAGTATTCTGTATACGTGGCGCGTTCTTCCTCCGTCTTCCGGCTTTCATGACCTCGTCCACTAAAGTGATGTGGCAGGCTATCGACCGTCGTCCTTTCCCCCAAGAAAAAAAGATGTCCATTGAAGGCCTAAGAGGACTATTCGCGAGGATAAGCTTCACATCTGTCGTTTCCAGGGTCGACCCAGACCACGAGGAAATTGTCCAGACGCATTTCCAACTTCGAAGAAGTTCTGTGAACGGATTTCAAGGCAGATGATACTTATCAGGCAAAAAGCCAAGTCCTTGGGTCGAGTGTTTCGACGTCGTGGAGACCGGTGGTAGAGGGCGTTGTACAGCCTCCTGGCAGAAGTTCCCTCGTTATCGTTGTAGAAGGTCAAGGTTTGATCCGTCAATGTGTCGGCAATCTCTGTACCGGTCTCCATTTATTGCCACCACTTCTTGCCCCATCCGCCCTTCCTCGGGCCCCAATTCTCTTTCGTCGCGGCATCGATAACGTCGACGCTCAAGTAATCTACCCCTTCCCGGACTAGCACCCGCCAGACATAATTTCGCAGCCCAACAGGCCACGCCGGGATTCCCCAGTATCGGACCTTCAGGCCGCGAGAATGGGCCCCGCTGATCTGCTTGCGGATGCGGTCGAGCTGCACCTGGGATAATGAAGAGTGCCACGGATATCCAATGGACTTGATGAAGGATGTGGAAGCAAAATAGGAGTTGGCCGGAGAGTAGACGTCCGGGTTCTGTGGATAAGGAGAGAGATCCTCGTGATCTACCCCTGCGCTGGACGGGGTTTTTTCATAGGTTGAGGAATTGGACGATAGCAGCCGGGTTGGTAAAGAGGACATTAAATCCAACGGCGCATCATAGAAGATGTCTCGATAAGTCGAACTTTGAACCACGCAATTGAACGGTGCGCTTCCGGACGCAACAATCGTCACAGGGCCGGGCACAACCGCCGTTCCGTTGAAATAACTCAAATAGTTGCGTTCACGGAGTGGTGCAATGTCGGCCGATAGCCGGTGCCATATCATGTCGGGATTGTTTTTGAACTCGACCAGCAGCACGAGCGACTGCTTTGGATCGGCCGAAAAAATGCCATTGACTTCGCTCGCCGTGGACCCAACAAAGTCTGCGACTCGATTTTGGTGGCTGAGAATGTCCTGTAGCGGGTCCAGATATAAGGTCTTCAGGGTTCGATTCTGGCGTATCCCGGCAATTGTGCGTGCGACATAGAGTTCATCGTCGACTTGCCAAAGATCGGCTTCGACGCTCGTACAGCCAGCCCGAATAGCTCGGTAAAGAGGCTCGGCCCGAAAATAATCGTCATGGGAATGACACATGATGGGCTGAACACCGGCGGTGAGGCGTTCTAGGCTTCCATCGCTGAGTCGAAGGGTCTCTTTGAACGGGCCAGAGATCAGATCCAGACCGTCGGGGAACACCGCCCCAAGAAAGGAGTTCAAGGATGAGATGCCCTGAACTACTCCTCTGTTATGTTTCAGCTGATTTGAGCTTGGGGCAGCAGAGTTATAGACTTACAATAACATCAAGGCCGCTTTCATCAGAGATGATTCCCTCAATTTCCGGACGAGAAGTTTTCGAGATCTTGAGACAACATGGCGACCTGCCCAATAGCGCAGTTTCCCACGGCGGTTTGGTATAGACGAATTCTCAAGGCTCTTGAGCTTCGAAGAGCGTCTTGATGAGCGATTATATGTGCGCGTAGCATCGTGCTTCGTGGCTTGATCGGTATCGTAGCCCAATTCAATGTCTTGACGACCGCTGGCTTCATCATCGTCGATGCGGAATGTTTCAAGGAGTTCTATGTCTTCAGTGTCTTCAGCTGCAAGCAGATGCTGCTGTTGCTCCGGACTGCCAAATTGGGGTGTCGCTGCTCGGGGCAAGGACTGTTCCGCCTTTTTGATGTATGGTACATCACAATCTGGGTGTGTGAGTGGCCGATAGTCTCGTCGATAGGTCGTGTATGCGATCACCAGGCCCAGCAGACTGCCGGAGGAAACGTCCCATATATCGTGTCGGTAGTCTGCTAGCCGCGACATCGCCACCAATGCTGCACAAACTAGCGGTGCCAGGAAAAGGAGAATACTGGCGAGGTCGGTACGCGGTCGAAAAACGTGCATCTGACCAGCCAGGAACAAGCTTAGATATCCAAGGCCGGAAAATGCCCAGCTGCTGTGGCCACTCGGAAAACTGCGCCAGCCATCTAGAAGGGTACGAAGATCGGGTTGCGTACAGACAGCAATGGTAACCAAAGCATATCCCGGCGTTCCCGGCTTAGGCTGGCAGCGAGAAATCAAGTCGGGCCGCGGACGGCCTATGGCACTTTTAATGATGTCCGTAATCAGAGATGTCAGGTAGACGCTAAAGAACAGTCCAAGGATGGTGACGTGTGCCTTGTGCACGCCCGGTCTTGCTATAATTGCCCAAATGACCAGGACTAGCAGGGGAACTGCTCCAGCAATCAAGGTGTTCTCCCGAGAAGAGACACGTTGGACGCTGGCGTATGGATATTGGATCGCGTGGTCGTCTAGTCGAAACATTTGTTGCACAGGCTCCAGGAAGTAGCGCACCTCCATATCGTCAGCTATCTCTCCCTGATGCTTGTTGTAAGGGACCAACCAAAAATAACGTGATGACGAGTAGGACAAACCCAAGATAATCAAAGGCATATGACGGGTGCCAGAAGCGAGATAGGGACGCCATCCGGGAAGCCCATGAGCCCTTCACGGGTCCCATCGCTAGCTGAGAAGCAGGAGAAAAGGATAATGGCAAATTATGAGGCCGCTTTGTGAATGGTAGACGCAGGATAGATGGAAGAAACAGCTGCGAGGCCACGTTAGACTTCAGATTCCCGGTTCTTGGCAGCGGGACACCGAGATGGGCCTGGAACGCGATCCAAGCCTCGGCTGACTATGACTAACGAACAGGCTGATCAGGTAAAGCGATGACAGTCACGCTAGTAACGAAGCCCTACCACACAAAGCGTTGGTCAAGCTCATATTCGCTGTCCAGAGATCCATCTTTCTTTTGACGACTGTCTAAATAGACTACAGTTACAGAGTCCAGACATACTCAACCACGATGACTTCCCGTACTGGCACCTCTGCGACAGAGCTGGGAGAATATGTTGGCAACCGACAAATTACCGCTCCAATTGAGGCCCATGAGACCACGTCTCTGCCTCCAGTCGATGGTGGAAGGGCAGCATGGCTCTTCCTCTCCGGCAGTTTTTGTATTGAGACGCTTCTCTGGGGTGAGAACATGTCGCTCCTGGTTGAAAGCACCCTGGCTGACGCTGCTTTTCCAGGCTTTCCCTTCTCTTTCGGCGTGCTTCAAGATTATTATTCGACGCACCCGCCTTTATCTCAACACCCCGCAGGTATTTCCGCCATCGGGACAACATGTTCGGTATGTTGTACACCCCGTTCACTGAATGGAACTCTGCTAGTCTGATGCAAATTGCCAGGGAATCCTGTACTTGGGTGCGCCATTTGTGTTCCTCGCCTTCCAGAGATGGCCGATGTTCCTGCGTCGAAGTTTGTTCGTTGGCCTGCCCATTGTCGTCCTGGCCGTCTTCATCTCGAGTTTTGCTACCAAAAGCTGGCACCTCGTGCTTACCCAGGGAATTATGTACGCCGTCGGCGGCAATCTCGTCTATTATCCCATTTACAGTTTCATCGACGAGTGGTTCGTCCGCCGCAAAGGGTTCGCCTATGGGGTCATGTGGGCTGGCTCGGGCTGTGGAGGTTTGGCAGGTCCCTTGGTGCTTCAATGGGGTCTGAGCAGGTATGGTGTCGAGACCTTCTTGCGGGGATGGGCTATCGCTCTGGTACGTTCTCGACCCAGCTCGTTTTCCTCTCAGCTGCTAACTCGGCACCTCGTACTTTGTAGTTCATCTTGATCGCTCCGTTTCTGTTCTTCGTCAAATCGCGTATTCCCCCTTCCAGAACACACCGGGCGCCAGCACGTGCTATAGTTGCTGGATTTGGGTTTGTCAAGACAAGACAATTTTGGGTCATCGAGATCTGCAACATCATCCAAGGCTTGGGATATTTCATTCCTCAGCTTTACCTTCCAAGTAAGCACACCACTGACAAATAAACCAGTGACTGACCAATCGATGACAGCTTATGCACGCATCAACGGTCTTCATTCAGGCTCACTCCTCGTATCACTGCTCAACATTGCACAAGTCCCTGGCGTCATGTTTCTCTCGGCTCTGTCAGACAAAGTCCCTGTATACACGGTCATCCTGATTTCCTCGATGGGTTCCACATTGGCCATCTTCCTTCTTTGGGGCCTTGCATCATCTTCCACTGGCCTTTTAATTGCCTTTACGCTGTGCTATGGGTTCTTTGCGGGAGGCTTCACGGCTGTATTTGCTGGCGCTGCCCAAGAATTCCGTCGTGTTACCCCAGGCGGAGACACGGGGAGAGCAGACCTGGGGAGTATGATGGGACTTCTCGGCGGCGGCAGAGGGATCGGGAACGTGGCGTGTGGTCCTCTCAGTGAAGCACTGTTGCATGGCAGCGTCGCAGGATGGAAAGGAGCTGCAGGCGCCTACTCCGGGAGCTTTGGGCCACTGATTGTCTTCGCGGGGACGACTGCAGCGTTGACCATGTCGAGCTGGGTTGCCAAGGTCTTGAAGATCGTTTGAGGACCGGTACGAGGGCAGGGCTGAAGTCGTGTCTAATATTCTCCCCACAAAATGGGGACCCTTTGGCATGGGATTTCCAATTTCGGTGTCGAAATCAGAACAGGAAACCGTTCCCAGCATCGAGCGAAAGGACTCCACTCTGACTTCTGTTCCTATTGGTTTTATCCGACCTCAATCAACCCAACTCTCATTTTCATTGGTGGAGACGCTCTTGGCACAAGCCTCAGCCCCGTTTCAGCTCCGCGAGCCAGGCACGCTCAGCCCTAATTCCAGGTCCACGTTCCTCTACGGCGTCTCGAAAATACATCCGGCTTCGCCATCAGCTCCATGGGGCTGCCTGAAGAGAACCAAAGCTACACAAGCGCTATGACACATTGTTATTGTTCGTCTCCTGAAATTTGCGCATCTGGCCTGTTGCCCTCGTCACTCGATGCCAACACATCTACCTTGGACACGGAGGGCTGTAAAGCCCGGCCCGGCCTTTAGCTTCATCAACAGTTACCAGATCGGTGAAGATGTCGATTGTGTGGAGTCAGGGCCGCTGTGCGATGTCTCGCTGGACCCAGCGGTGTACACTTCGTGTCACGCAAACCCCTTGATCAAGGAACAAGCTAGATTTTATTATATGGTCAAAGCTTCCCTGTCTGTCCGTCTGTATTGGACATTTTGTGGAGGACATTGGCTTTCATGGACTGTCAAAGAAGAAGCAGTTGAGCCGATGGAAGCCAGGAGATGTCTGCTTTCGCTCCCAGAACAGGCTGCACGTTCTCAGAGAAACCAGTGACACCGGTGCTTGGTCCATACCAACAACCAGACTCGACACGATTTTCTATGTCGAAAGCCGATTCAAGTTGGGCGGCGTACGGGGCTTTACTGGCTGCGCTTCTCTCTGAAGGCGTCCTCTTCGGTGCGTTCCCAATTGATTCTACCACTACTACATGGTGCAATGTACTGATTGAATACCAGGAGTCTGCCTTTCATTCGGCGTGTTCCAGGATTACTACAGCAACAGAGCCTCCCTCCCTCACAGCGACCTCTCGTCATGGATTGGCGTTCTCGCAGCAGGCATTGCATACCTAGGAGCTCCGGCCGTCACATACTGCTGTCAAAACTTGACGATTCCCTGCCACTATTACATCTACGCGGGATGGATCCTGTGTCTCGTGGGCCTCGTGAGCAGTGCGTTTTGTCACGACGTCAAGACGCTGATCGCCACGCAAGGGCTGTTGTTCGGCTTGGGCCTGCTCGTTGTGGAAATGTCCACGCTCATAATCCTAAACACGTGGTTCGTCGCGAGACGTGGACTTGCATACGGTCTGCTCTACGGGTTCACCGACTTGTTTGGCGTGGCGTGGGGGTTTCTCGCCAGCTCCCTCCTGAACCAGCATGGCGTCAAGACCGCATTCCTCGTATTCGCCGCGATCTGCTTCTTTATCCCGGGTGTTGGGATCTTTTTCCTTCGCGAAAGGTCTTCTGCCGCTGCAGACTCATGCTCCGAGACTGCATCGGTCAAGGAGTTGACATCCACAGACATGCTACGTGAGATACCTACAGCCGATACCCTGCCTCCACGCCGTTACCATCGCCACGCCAGCTTCTACATCTTTCTCCTGTCGAACCTCTTTCAGTCATTTGCTTTCTACTTGCCCTTCATCTACCTGCCCTCCTACACCACGGCGCTCGGATACTCGGCGTCGACCGGCGCAATGGTCCTCGCGATCGCCAACGTCGCCCAAGTGTTCGGAGAGATCGGCTTCGGCAGCCTCTCGGACAGAGTCGGCGTCCACGCCCTGGTGTTCTTCTCGGCCGCAGCGGCTTCGCTCTCCGCATTTCTGATCTGGGGGTTCGCCGATTCCCTTGCATATCTGATCGTCTTTGCGCTGCTCTTTGGCGGTTCCGCGAGCGGCTTCCTCACGCTGTGGCCGCGCATGGGCACCATGTTTGCGGAACACGATGCCAGCATGATCTACAGTTTCCTGTCGCTGGGGAGGGGCCTGGGCGTCATTTCTTCCGGCCCAATTAGCTCGGCATTGCTTCGGGTGCATGGAGATATCAGGGACCATGGCGATGACCGAATACGGCATCATTATCAAGCCGTTGTGCTCTTCGTGGGGTCTTGCATGGCTGCTAGTGCGGCTCTGGGCGTTGTCGGGTGGACATCGTCATATTTGAAAAGCAAACACGTATCGCAGGGAGGAGGAGGTGCAGCTGCATAGTTATGCCAGGTGTCAAAATGAATGAAAATCTCCGTTTTGCTGACGTACTAGCAAAGTCTGTTCTTTACATACCCAACACACTGTCCCACGGATTGGTTTCACGCTGCTTCAGGACAGTCTATAACCCAGCACCGCCGCCTTTTCGGCCTCACTCAGCTTCTCCACCCCGAGCGGCGGCAGAATCGGCTGTAAGCCTTGCACGAAATCAAAATGCCCCATCCTCTTGGTCAGGGAGATGTCCTCGGGCCCTCGCACCGGACCCTTTGGATTGTTCCCTGCGATGAAGTTCATGGGGAAGCCCACGTCGAAGGGGTACGCGCTTTCGATCTCGTCGATCTCCTGGGGGGAGAGCCGGATGGTCAGCGCCTCGATATTCTGGCGGAGATGCGACAGCTTGCGCCCACCCACGATGGGCGTCACATAGGGTGTCTTGTGCATGACGTACGCGAGGGCGATCGAGGTCAGCGGGACCGCCGGCGTGCGTGCGTTGGCGACTTTCTCGAGCACCAGCGACACTTGGGCTTCTTTGCCTGTCTGGATCGATGCCATGTTGCGGCCTCCCTGTTCCGCGGGTTGTGAGGGCTTGAAGTAGCCGCCGCCCAGGGCTCCCCAGGGTGCGAGCCCCATCCCCTCGTCCCGGCACATGGGAATGATATCCCTCTCAAAGTCCCGTTGCGCGGCTGACCAGCGTCCCTGATAGACGCTGAAGGGCCGCAGACCGTGGTGTCGTGCATAGGCGTTCGCCTTCGCCACCACCCATGCCGGCGTGTCGCTGATGCCCAAGTACAGCACTTTGCCGCTCTGCACCAGTTGGTTGAGCGACTGCATCATCTCCTCAATCCCGGTCGTGAAGTCCCAGTAATGGACATACAGCAAGTCGATGTAGCTCGTCCTCAGTTTTTTGAGAGATGCTTCGACACTGAGCACCAACGACTTGGTGCTGTTAGCCCCGAAATTGGACTGTTGGAGTTGAGGCTCCGAAAAGACCTTGTACGCCGAGGAGTATTTCGTCGCGATGACCATCTCGTCCCGTCGATAGGGGCCGTGAAGAGCCAGCCACTCCCCGATCCACATCTCGGATTGTTCGGCTTGGTAGTTGTTCGCCCTGCTCACCAGAACCTATCAGCACATTCTCGTCGAACAGGGATAATTCAAAGGAGTATACAGAGCTCTTAAGGCGTGGCCGCCGACATCTCATTTCGAGCGGACTTACGTGTCGATAAAATTCCCACCCATCTCGTAGAAATAATCCAAGATCTCAAACGCCGTCTCCTTGGTACATTCGCCCATGATGCTGGACCAGGCATCGCCAAAGTTCATACCGCCTAGACACAGTGGACTGACATGGACGCTGGCGGAAGGGGCGAGAAGCCGATGGCGTCCGAGGACAGACCGAGGCAGCGGTGCGGAAGGGGTCGTCATACTGTTTTCCAAGAGCTGTAGGCAGTACAGAGTCTATGGCAAATAGGGTGTTGGTGGTCAGGATGCGAAGGCTTTGTGAGCTGGATGTCGTGATGTAGCCTGCGTCGAATAAATCTATAGGAAGCTGGGCCTGAGAATCGCGATGGAAACCTTTCCATTTTTATATCCTTGCCTTCCCGCATTGCAGTGGGCTGAGCTGTAACTAAGCCGTGGCCCTCCATCCCATTATACGCATACGCGCGGAACAGAGATCCAATCCCCGGATACATCCTTGGGGCCACGGCAACAGATATCCAGGCTCACCTTGCGCGTCCCCCTGCTGGCCGGTGATAAGTGTCCAATCACCGCAATTTCCAGATGGACAACGTCGAAGATGTCTTGGCCGTGGGGGACTTAAGCCTCTTCACAGGACAATAAAGTCCATCATCACGACCCCTCTGTCCTCAGTAATATCGCGAATCAGTTTAGCCCATCGGAAGCTTCCGAGTCGCAAGAAGCCATCCTATCAACCTGGGTCGGAGATAAGGGGGCTCAGCCTTGTCGTTCTTGGCAAGCTGTTTTGAGCTGCAAGGCTCGATGCAAGAAGGAATAATTGAAAGGAATGAGTCGGGCACTTCAACTGTCTCGAGTAGAGATCCTGGGTCGGATGCTGCATGCATGAAGTGCATATTGGCACGGAAGGTCTCCCGCCTTCGCTGGGGTAATCTAGATGGCTCGTCACAGCTCAACCTTGGTAAGCAATAAGCGCCTCCTCAGACAGGCTCAGTTTGACCACAATTTCCCCTTCTCAGTTACATCATTATATAGAGCACGGCCAGATATAGACTTCTCCAGGTCAACCTCAGTTCACAAAGGCCGTCGTCGGCGTCGATGGCTCTGTTCCTTGACGTCGGGAGGGAATAATGTTGTTCCTAATCATTCCCCTCGCCCCCTTTCCCCCGCATTCCTTCGAGCGAGGCTCGGCTATCCCAGACGAGAACTCAGCCGAAAGGCAATCGATATAATGCCAGTACCAACTATCGCACATTTGTCAGCTTGGGCAGAAGAACACATCGCTGTATAAACATACTTAAAGCACTGCTCAAGGTCTGTTTTCGAGAGGAGAAACTGCCTCCAGGTCAAAGGTATATCTCTCAATTTGCGTGTATAGATTTGAAGCGCAGTCCTCCACCATGCCTGGTGCTGTTCAACAAGTCCGCTCTCGTGGCATCTACCATGCCCTGCCAACCTACCCCCCAGATGTCAAAGACCTGACGGCTGTCGTGACCGGCGCCAACGGCATATCGGGATACTACATGCTACGGGTCCTCTCCCAGGCTCCCGAGCGCTGGAAGCGCATCATCTGCCTGAGCCGGCGTCCACCCCTGGTCCCAGGCGGCCTGCCCAAAAACGCCGAACACATTGCGTTGGATTTCCTGAAGAAGCCTGAGGAGATCGCGGCCGTGCTTAAGTCCCATAACGTCGACCGGGTGGACCACGTCTTCTTCTTCTCGTACATCCAGGTCGAGCCCAAGCCGGGCCAAGGACTATGGAGCGACGCCGAGGAGATGTGCCGCGTCAACACGCTGTTGCTGCAAAACTTCCTGGGCGCGCTCGTCCACGCCCAGATCACGCCCAAGCGCTTCATGCTCCAGACCGGCGCGAAGAATTACGGCGTGCACCTAGGCCCGACCAAGCTGCCGCAGGAAGAGTCGGACCCGAGGGTCGAGCTGGAGCCCAATTTCTACTACCCCCAGGAAGACGCGCTGTTCAAGTACTGTCGTGAACAGGGCGTCGGGTGGAACATCCTCATGCCTGGACCCATTCTGGGTGCCGTCCCGGACGCGGCGATGAACGCGGCCTTCCCCCTGGCGGTCTACGCCAGCGTCTGTCGACACATGCATACTCCGCTCGAGTTCCCCGCAGACGTTGTGTCGTGGCAGGCGTTTTGCAGCATGTCGAGTTCGATGATGAATGCGTATATGGAGGAATGGGCAGTCTTGACCCCGGGGGCGGAGAATCAAAAGTTCAACGCTTGCGACAATAGTGCCTTCACTTGGGAATCTGCCTGGCCCAGGATTGCGGGCTGGTATGGGATTGACTGGACAGGGCCCGATGACAACGCAGAGCACGTCGCACGTGAAACACGCTTCAATCCCCGGGGGTATGGCGCGAAAGGCGTCTCACGCAGAAGATTCACGTTTGCCGAGTGGGCAAAAAGGAAAGAGGTGACACAAGCGTGGAGGGAGATCGCAGAGCAAAATCAGCTGGCCCAGAAGGAACTGAAGGACGTTGATCGCGTATTCGGTTTTCTGGATGGCACCCTCTGTCGTGCAGCGCCCCTTGTATTCTCGTAAGTGATCCCCAGTAATCTCTTACTTGGGATAACAGCGTGGGAACGATAGGAAAACGCTGACACGAGATGGCAAACAGGACCGACAAAGCTCGAAAACTCGGCTGGCACGGTTTCGTCGACTCTGCAGAATCACTGTTGGAAGTATTTGAAGACTTTGCCAAGTTAAAGATGATACCGCCTGTGCCCAAGGTAGAAGTCAAGTTCAATTGAACTCTGGCCTGCAGCATCGCGCCATGGTCAAACGTCCAACGTCCCCGGCGCCGACTTTTGTTACAGATGCAGATAACAAAGCCTTTTCCGTCTATGCAATCTATGCACGACCCGAACCCTTCTCTGCCTCCATTCTCTCCTTCTTCCTCTTCTTGGCTGCAAGTTCACGCCGCCGAGCCTCTTTCCGGAACCACTCGCTGTCGGGTTGCTGACTCTTCTTGCTCCTTCGTTCTTGTTCACGATACATGGGGGCCATAGTACCGCCGCCACTCACGTCCGCCAACAGGCCAGCTTGCCTACGCACCTGCAGTTTCTGCGCCTTAGCCTTCGAAGAGCCGCCGCCACTCAGATGACTCCACATATTGTCGTCGACTTTCTCGATGTCGGCAGCCGTTTCGTTTTGAAGCAAGACCTTCGCAAGCAACTCGTTCCTCTCCTCCGGCCTTGAGTACATGAGCTTGTCCATCTTGTCCATACCGGCGAGATGCGTGATGGTCTTGAAGGCATAGCCTTGGTCAACCAGAAAAGCCTGTCTCTTTGCACTGTATGCCATCTCGGTTGTATCTTTGGAAACAAGAGAATAGAAGAATGCATTAAAACCTTCATCATTGCGACGCTTTGCCCGCAAGATACGCCCCAGCCGTTGTGCTTCTTGACGTCGAGATCCATAGTGTGAAGAGATTTGTATCAGGCATGTTGCTTCGGGCAGATCAAGGGACGTATCGCCGATCTTGGATAAAAAGATGGTGCTGAATTCTGGGCGATCGTCGTGCTGGAATCTGTTGAGAATTTCTAGCCGCTCGTAATTGCTGGTTTCACCGTAGATGAAAGCCCTCTTCATGTTCTCGGCATAGTGCCTCAGCGCAAACAAGTTGTCACTGAACACGATGATCTTGTCGCCACGAGTTTCATGGTAATTGATAAGGTACTGGCAGACCCGGAATTTTTCAGGGTTCATGATGTAGAATAAGGGCTGCTTCCGCGTGGTTGCGTTCTGATATTCTTGATAGAATTCCATGGACATCGGACACCACACTTCCGCACATTGCACTTTGGCGATGTGCCCCTGATCGGCAAGTTCCATCCAGTTGGCTTCGTACAATTTCGGCCCAATGATGAAGTTGAGGTCAGTGATCTTATCGTCTTCTCGGAGCAAAGTGGCGGTGAGACCAAGTTTGCAGTGGGAGCGAATGTTTTCGCCGACCTTTCTGAACATTTTCGCAGGGACCACATGCACTTCATCGAGGAGCATCAATCCCCATTCTTTGCCATACACCCAGTCCATCATCTGTTGGGTGTCGTGGGCTCGCTTCCCACCCGCCGTGATCATAGAGTAGGTAGTGACTAGCACACCCGCGTCTCCATTGAACCTCTTCTTTTCAGTGGCAGAGAATACGGCGATATCCTCTTCTCTGATATCAGACCATTTTCTAAATTCATTGGCCCACTGGTAGCTGGACATTGCGCTTGTGCACAGAACAACAATGCTCTTCTTGATATGGCAACCTGCGGTGATGCCGACCAGAGTCTTCCCAGCGCCGCAAGGAAGGACAATAATGCCACTCTTGCCGCGGCCGTTACCGAACATCTTGCTGAGTGCTTTTTCCTGGTACGGCCGGATTTGAGTAGAGGGTTTTAGATCGATCGGGAGAGTCGCGTTTTCGAAATCGTTGGCGAAGTCGTACTCCGAGATGGCAGGATAACCAATGTCCAAACATTGCTTCGCCACTGTGTCACGTTTGTTCGGCGCTATTTCAAAGCTGGTAGCTTCCTTGTAGGCATCTTCTTCATCCTCTTCGTCCCTCAAAGCCGCGATCATCGCTTCGTTCTCCTTGGCCGGGTCATCTCTGGGCATCTCCACATTTGCCTGACCCGCCTGTGTCATGCCTTTGGCGTTGCTGGTTCCTTGAATGACAGTCGCCTTTGTTTGGATTCGCCCAACTTGGACGTCCGTGCCGGCGGCTTTGCAGGGCCCGATAACTGGATCCTTCAGGAGCATGTCAATGATGGGGCGCTCATCGGACTCGACAAAAAACTTGTTGTTCCTTAAAACCAGCCGTACTTTTCCATACGTTTTTGTGTGGCGGTTGATGAATTCGATCACGGTCTCGGGAACGGGAGTTTTAGACAGCTTTTCTAGCGCACGTATTATATCTTCACCACGTAGACCTACCGAGAGGGCGGCATAAAGACTATGCTCTGTGAATCTATATTCGTGGAGATAGGACGGTCTGGACTGAGGTTCTGCGATGGTAGTAAGCAGATCCGTAGCCTGCGCGGATAACGGAGAGAAGCTCTCTAGGGTGATCTTGGGGCCTTTTTTTGACCCAACCGACACATTTGGGTCTATCCAAAGCGGCCTATTCTCGTGATCAGGCTTCAACGAGAGCCAGGAGAAATCTTTCTCTCCAAAGATCGAGGGCTTCTGTTTGTGCTTTGTACTCTGGAAGGAACTAAAGTCCAACCTTGCTCTGGCCTTTCGAATGTGCTCTTGCTCGCTATCACTGGGTTCTTGGGAGCGTGCATCGGATCCTTCGAAGTAGTCATCGTCGCTATCGAGGCTCACAGGCGTCGAAGGAGCAGGCGTGGAGCGCTTGGAGGACCGACCATTCGCAGCATCCGCAAGGGCTTTTCGTTTCAGCGACATGGCTTCAGACAGCAGCCGCTGTGGCGGACTGCGTCAGGAGGAGGGGTCACTCGATAGACTGCGTACCGTTCTTGGTCGAACGACAATGTAGTCGGAGACTCAGAGGACAAGACTGGGAAGAAAGACAAAAGATAAGAATGGTGAATCATGGGTGACGACTCGTTGAGGCCACCGCTTTATCTGCCTGATCGGAGGAACTTCAACGTCCTCCGAGCCCAACGGTGGCGCATAGCAGCCGCTGGCGGAAATGTACGTCACCTGCAGCGTGGGTAAATTGCACGTTTTTGGTCTCCGATTTTCCGCCCGAGCTTTTCTGCAAGCGAGCTTTCAGAAACTCGCGTCCTCCTGTCTTCCTACCTCTCAATTCTGGGCATGGAAAGGTAAACTTGGGTCGAGATGAATACTGTGGGTAAATCCTCTTTGCCGTCACTTTGACTCTAATGGCTGATCCTGTGCGCAGATAAGGTCGACGTGGTATGGGCCCTTGGGTTGTGTGCTGCAGCACTCAGCTTTCACTTGCCCGTGCTATGGCGTTGAGCTGCGCATAATTTCTGGTATCATACTAACGGATCACATTGCATAGGATCGGCTGGGGAGTGCTCTGTGTCGCCGGAGGAGGCGCCTACTATTTTGCAAAGAAATCCATCAATGCCGACCGAGCTGCCCGATTTGAAGCTGAACAGCAGAGAAAAGCTCGCCTACAACGTCTAGAGGATTCGCACATTGCTTTCAACAAACAACCTTCTACCTCGAAGTCGAAAGCCAAAACAAAAGAGCAGGCCGACCCGTGGAAGGGATCTCAAAATACCAAAGGGCTAGATCATGCAGGCAGTCCTAGCAGCGAGATAAGCGAAGACGCGGCACCCGTCGGACATGCTCCGGTCGACGGTGAACAGAGAGTCCGAGAGAAGAGCAAGTACGAAGCTGCAGAGCCGTACCGAAGCAAGAAAGGTGACAGATTGGGGTGAGCGAATGAAAGAAAAAGAAAGAAGCTATGTTCTCAATGCCTGATCTATTGTGTATGGGGGAGGCCCGAGGTGTTTGAGTTGGTGTGTACATTGATGACCAAATTTCCTCGAAGCCGAAGTCGCATCTCAACCTTTTGTTACTCCTGTTGTTACTCCGGCCATGACCATGAAATGGGTATTGTGCTGAACGCTCTGCCAATCATTCCAACGCCTCTGTGTACCCGAATGAATACAACGCCAACACCATGCTTGATTGATTCCTCATATCGCCAGTACATTCCCGTCATGCGTGGCAGCAAAGGGGTGCATAGTGCTTCCTCGAAGCATTTGGGTGTCCTGAGTCTCGTTCGCGCTTCGACTCGATTGCAGGAGGAACAAAAGGTAAAAGGACCGCGGAGGTTATTAGAGTCCCAGCGACGGCCGATTGTAATCTGGTAGCCGGTTTGGGTACTTGCGAGGAGAAATGGCGGACCGCCGTTTGTGTGAAGGTGCTGGTGACGGTGCCTGCGAGACTCATGGCTGCGGACGTAGAGATAGCGCGTTTATACAATGGAGAGAGTGAATCGCGGTGAGGTTGGTCAAAGGTGAGGGCCCGAGCAGAGGCCTCGACTGCGGAATCTTCCCGTTTCAGAAATAGAGGAATTCTCCGTTGTGATCTTTTGTACAGTACGGAAGAAGTTCAAGGAAACCAAGGAGAGGGGGAGTCGGAATGTTTTAAGGGGGGCTGAATGTGGGATCACAAGGCGTCAAGTAGTAGGCAGTGACTAGTGTTGGGACCTTTTGACTCAGAGCCTTCGCCGAACCCGTGGAAACAGGGCTGCGATTCACTAGTTGGAGGGAGGTGATTGCGTGCTGAGCAATAGAAATGATGTTGCTGGTGGATGGGGATGCCAGGCACGGAGAACAAAGCGGCTGTTGGGCATCAGGTTGGCCAGGATGGTGGTAGACAGAGGGCCAGTGGCCTGAGACGCCCTAACAGCGTATGCTACCGGCCAGTGAATTTGTCCATTGTTTGTAAGATGGGTGCGGGCCCTCAGCTGAGCATGAGGGCGTGCGCATTTCGTGGGGAGACAATAGGCAATGGGAGGCAATGTCTATGCCGATAAATCGGCCCCGATTATCCGAAATACCCACGGAATCGGTGCCGAGCTCTAACTCGTCTGGGATAGCCGCTTGAAAGGGATACCCTATGAGATGCGAGTCTTTGAAAACCACTTCATTTCATAGGACAGCGTGACGAAGGTGGCGTTGGGTGGCGTGCCAGAGGAAAAACAGGCATGGCTACAGCCTTGTCCGAAAAGACCCTATGAGTACGCGAATGAACCGGCTCCCGCAATATCGTGGCGCACTGGCACGTGACTGTGGCTAGAGTGTGGCTGGAGTTCCCTGCGCAGCCTCGCCAACCTTGGACTGCGACAAAAGATATTCAAGCCGGTCGGTGACCATGTCAATGCCTCGGAAACCGAAACCACACGCCCAAGGAACAATGATTAAATCGTCCATTCTGTTTGCTGTATAACCCAGATGGCTGCTCATCATATCTCTCTCGCCAAAGCCTCTTTTGGGGCTTCTCTCCTGCGGCCCGACGTGACAAAGGTCGCGCGGGACGACCTACCCATCTTTTACAGCGCCTTCGACGCCACCCTTACCCGATGCTCGAGTCGCAATATACAGGTCTGGAAAATTCAAGAATGGCATAAAACACCGAGGCTGGATTGACTGAAGAATTATAGACATGTAAACAATGGCTGTTGCAAAATGTTGCCGTCTCACCGACAAGGACCACCGCTCTAGGGAAATATTTGGTTGCCATAGCCCGATATCTTGCAGACCAGCCAGAAGAAGCAATCCATGCAGGAGTCTCGCGCCGGCGACTTCATATCCTCTACCTACTGAATGACCTTCTTCACCATGCTAAATATCACGACACCGATGCCGTTCTTCGCAACAATCTGGCACAGTCTCTCCAGCCATTCTTGCCTGACCTATTCCAAATTAGTGCATCAGACGCCAAAGCACGCGTGCGGAGACGGCTACACGATTTGATCGATCTGTGGAAAGAAGAGGAGTACTTTGGCAGACAAGTTATTGATCAACTGCACGATGCCCTCGACGGCGTCACCCCCGAGGTCAAACTATCATCTGAACGAGAAGTTCAGCGCAAGAATACAGATAAAGAACTCCCATATCTTATCCCCTCGACTCACGGTGACCCTTCATTGCCCTTCTACGATCTCCCAGCCGGTAATATTATGCGTCACATTATCCCGAACAGCTCACAGCCCATTCGCCCTGATGAGGTCCGAGCACTCCAATTCTCCGCTGGCCCCGCGGACGAGAGCTTGGTCAATGCCCTGAAGGACTTTTTAAACGACGTCAAGGGTATTGAGAGTACCGTTCCAAGACCTGAAGAGTCGGGCTTGTCTCCGGATATCGACGAGATGGGTCAGATCTCATACCATGATGAGGCGGGAGACGTGGTCGGTGATACCTACTACGGATGGTCCCGGGCATTTTGTGACAAGATGAAGAAGCGTGGCAGGAGGAGTTCGGGCGAATCTTCCCAACGATCAAGATCAAGAAGTTCGGATCGCAGTCGAAGTGCCACCCCTCGGAAGCGCAGACGTCGTAGTATTTCAACCGATGGACGCTCCAGGTCATCAAAGTCGTACAGCCGCTCACCACCCGCACGCAACTCCGACAAACCTATGAGACAATGGAGTCGAAGTCGCAGCCGGTCACGCTCCAGAAGCCGCCCGTATTCTCCTCACAATCATCGTCCGCGGTTCGAGCAGCCTCCGAGATTCGATCCATCAACTACACGCGTCAGTACAAACACCACGCCTGTTCCTCCACCTCCTCCACCCTCTTCAGCAGTGCCGTTTCCACCGATGCCCCTACCTCTTACAGGCGTACCGGTACCTCCTCCCAGACCACCGCAATGGGTGGGCCCATGGCCTCCGCCCCCACCTCCTCCCTTTCCTCCAGGCCACATCGGGTACCAGAATATTCCCTTTCCTCCTCACCCTCCGCCGCCGCCAGCCTTTGCTCCTCCGCGGGACGGCTGGTCGCAATACCCCGGTGCACCGTCTGGACAAAACAATCAATATGGAGACCGACGCTGAAGTATTGTCCACTGCTTGACTTGATGCTTTCTCCTTGTTGACAGAGCATCAGGCCACCATTCCGCTCCCCTTTTCGGTACAAATACCCCACAGACGTCCACGGCAGGCAGACGAAATGTTGATGACCCTAATCAGAAGCACCAACCAATAATGTCCATCCAGCTGACTCGGCAAAATGCTGTTCGAGGGAGTCCACCACACGGACCCCACATTGCCATGATCATCGACTATGAAGAGAAGCAATCACTTCTTGTGACGACCCCATCCCAGTCCAGAACGGTCGACCTACAACGATCAATCCAGGGTCATGCGCCTAACATCACTCAAACTTCAGGGGCATTCGCCACGGGTATCAATGACCCTTGATTGCAAGTATTGAAGCTGAACCTTTAAGTTTGGAGACTTCGATTGGATAAGGAAGAGGAAATATAAACCTTCGCATGATGGAGCTTTGGGTTCGCTGAGCACCTCAGAAATCACGCACTCAGGACGACTTGTTGGCGGGCCAGAACGAGTCATACCAGTCTTCACGGCGAGGAGTTTGAAGCTTATCTCACAACCAGAGAATGAGGCGCATACTTGTGAAATACTCCGTACCACTCACAGACACGGCGGCGGGTGATTGCCAGGGTTCATCGCCTGAAGCCGAATTAGGAACCGGGTGGCGGGCTTGGCAGACGCAAGGCTGGGCTTCCGTTGCGGTTCTTGTCCGACGTCATTGCCTGGCTTTCATTGGCTGCCACCAACAACGGCACGGCAACTGGTGGCCCATCTGCCTCCTCCCGAGTCGCCTGCCCCTATGCCATAGCACATTCACCATCAGCCATCCACTACGAGTGTCACGAACCTCTTCTACTCATTAGCGATCAATGGAAATGAACTTTGACCACTCACCTCTGCTTTTGTGTTTCTTCACTGATTCTCACCTCCAGTCTAGCGGGCGCCTCTTCGCTGTTCGCCTCGCCCTCGTCGGCTTACACAAGTATGCTGGGATCTCAGCGCCAGCATTTTCCCCCCAACGACGATCACTCTTGAATAACAAAGTCGGGGCATGCTTATCTTGAATGCCTAACCACGAGAATCCCTCGGCACAAAAGCGTTGGGTCTAGAGCCTCCCCTCTCCATCCACAATTTTTCCGCGTCCCTATCGAATGCGAGATGTGATCATACTGCATTGCCTCTCCCATCAGACCCTGGGCGACGTGCCCTCGACTGATCGGCAGGGTCGTTCTCCACCCGCGAACGACGTTCTTCATGGTCATTTGCTCGATTCCCAGCTCTGGTCCTTGGAATCTTCATTTTTGCTGGGGATCGAAGGTCACCTTTGCCGTTTGATCATCGCACCGTCAAATTCTAGTTCGCGAGATGACCACTCAGCTCCGTTCAACTGACGGCAGCTTGCATAACTTCTCCAGAAGGTCTCACAACATTCATTGGCCATGCAATACGCCATTTCTCCGTCTCTAGACCTGGACTTTGCCCCCCATTCCGTCGGTGGCTTCTCCTTCATCCTCGCCAATGGTGGTTCAGCCTGGTGTGCTGAGTGGTCTCCATGAAATATATAACCACATTGCCTGAATTTCCCCTTTGCCATCACTCTATCTCCAGCTTTAGCCACATCTACAGGACACTTTCAAATACTTTACAGTCAACTAAACTTCGAGCAGTCACTTTCTCGTGGTGACCTTTGCAGTTTTCCAGCAAACATCATCAGAAGCCCTCTGTTACTCCCAAACCATCACCAGCCATGCCTTCCGCCGTTGAATACCTCACCAGCCCCCAACAAAATTTCAACTACGAGTCTGACCCCATTGCGGCCATGACCTCGTATGCACGAATGATGCACATGCACACGAAGCAACAGATGGATGCAGCCACACGATCAGCTCGACGACGAAGTCCACCCGTTGGAGTCGATGCCCACACCAACGGAGGGCTGTCGAAACAGAGCACACACAGCAGCAATTCTTCACGATCATCCTTTTGAATTCCCACCCCCACAAAGCTCTCCTTCCTACCTGAGCGTTCGAGCTCCCAAACTTGTACCTCCAAAAAGGACTCGGCACAAATCACACAAAGTGATGAGTGCTGTCATCGAGCAGACTGGGAAACTGTCCTGGCTGACGAATGATACATTATTTTGTGCTCGCAACCTCGAGACACGTGGTGGAGAGCCTCTGCATGTCCAGGCCCTCATGATAATCACCCTTTCATGGCATTTCATTATGCGGAGGGGTTGTTAGGTGATGAGCTTGCTTCATCTAATTCTATCATGACAAGTTCGGATCTTATGTTCTGCTTTTTTCGTCAAAAGGCACCAGCAGCATTGGGCGGCGCAATACTTTCCAGGGATCATACATAGGGCTTTGCGAGTTCGAAGCCGAATGAAATGTTTCACAACTATTTCTATTTTCCTGTACTCGTCAAAATCTGTAGCAAAAACTCGATTGTGCTATTCAGCTTCCCTCTAATTGTGTGCTATTTATCTCTTCTTCGCGACGCCATTAGTGATACCTGTGTTTCTGCCCCATCTAATAATGTCTATACAATCATTATGGAGCAAGCAAGTTTGATGCCCAAGCGGGAGCACTACGGGGTATCTGGACGCAAGTCAGCGAAGCGTGGGGGAACAGTGTACAGTGCACAGCGATCGGTATGTGCTACGGGCAGAGGATGAATACTTAGTACTATGCAGGGCACCACCCATACCATACCACACCACACCAGGCCAGACTAGAGGGGACGAAGGAAGAGAAAGCCGCTGACCAAAATCTCCTTCTCTTGCCCTCCCGTGTGGCCGCCCCTTGAATGGCTCGATGGTGTGGTGTTGCCTCCACAGCTCCTGCGTTGGGCAACAGCCTCGTCGATCGCTTGCATCATAACCGGCCTGGGTTCCCTGCGAGAAGCACGTCATACAACCCTGCTCAGCTGCTCCCAGATTCCTTCTTGCCTTTGCTCCCTAGTAATGTTAAAACAAAACAAAGCAGTGTGTTTGTTCTCCAAGCCCTTTCCGTGGTGCTTTTGCTCCACAGTCTTGCTGCCCATCCAACCCCTTTGCTCGCCGCCCATGGGTCTGTGGTCGATCGACAGCAAGGTGGCCACATCATACGTAAACCCCCATTTTTCGCTTCAGCAGGCCGGACTCCACGAGGGGTCTTGTTTTTTTGCCCATGGAAAATCATGGGAATTTGCGAAATCAGAGATGGTGAATTGGCATTGTCCGATAAGATTTTGGCATCATTGCAGCGTTGCTTGCATGAAAATCACCTCCCTTGAGATTGCCTTCCCATCGTCAATACATCACGAGAATCGAATCCGATACCCTCTCATTCCCTTGTCAAGAAGTCAGAGCTAGAGATCTTTGAATAAGAGAGATCCGGAGAAAGAGAGCAAGAGAATGGACGGGGCCCGGGCTGACCAGCACGGTGTGACGTTGTAGCCCCATAGGACATGGCGACGGGACACTTGACCATCTGACGGCGATGATGCAGACAGCAGCCATCCCTTACTGACTCGTCGACCAGTAGAGGGGGGGTCGCCCAGCTTCGCCTCCACCCCAAGTCGATGCTCACTGCTCAGGCCGCACGCTCCCCTGTCTCCGATATCCAGAATCCTCGCGCGAATTCTTCCTGCCACCAGCGGCGATACTCCTTCGTGATAGGTCAATACCATATCCCTTGTGTCGTTCTGCACTGGGTTCCTCAAGAACGTCCCTGCCGTTTATCATGAGCCTCCTCTTCTCCAGATTCGCAGACGTCAGATATTCGAGGCTCACTGCATCACTCTGAAACAGATAGTCCCTCCATTCGATGTATGCAGCTGGCTGTCTTCATCCGGCCCTTTTGCCTCCACGATCGAGATCGAGATCAATCTCGTTCATTGCCATAGGTGGATAGCTCTTGGCTTCATTTCCCACTTGTGTATTCACTGGGTGTGAACAAAGCAGAGAGGGGTGGCAATCCTCATGGCGGTAGCCTGAGAGTCGACATCATCGCGAATGTGTTTCGCCGTCCGCACTGTGGGAGGGAGGGATGCTGTAGCCATCCCACCCATGTCAGCTAGACACTCTCCCAGTGTCATCGACCCGTGGCAAACACCTCTGACGATCACTCCCGATGAGCAGTCGAAGGGCCCGATCTGAACGAGGAAGGAGGAGGCTTCTGCTTTCCACAACGGTTGATCATCATCCGTCTTCGAGACCCAAGGATGGGGGCATACTCGTCGTCCGACCTCATCGTCCTTTCTTCCCAGTCACACATCAGCACTTACCGTACACCTAGGCACTCCAACCACCCAGGTTCTCATCGTGCCATGTTACTCCCACCTACCCCTCGTGTAGGCACACGTATTGTCCTTCGCAGGATCCTGGCTGTGTCCCTGCAGGCTGCAGGTGGGATAGATATCGAGGGCTGCAACCAAATCCGTCCCGGGTTGCCATCTAGCATTCACTGGGATTACTGGGGCTTGGCTGGCAAGTGCCCACCCTCGAAAACACCGTCCCATATCTCCTCAGTCCCTAGTAGGAGAGTAAAACCCGCTGTAAAATGACTTGACACAATCCCCAGTTTACTATTACCCTGATACACTTACCTGTCTGCCAGCCCGGGGGCTCTTATTCCTGACTTACCTGACATGACCTGCCTTGTAGGCAAAGGGAGCTATAGAGGCTCTTCAACCTGACCATTAACCAGCCAGTCTCGCCGGACCTCGTCGTTCTTGCTAGCCCCCTAGCTTTGACCAATGATTTTCCCGACCAACGATTTTGCCCGGATGCTGGCTAGTCCTCGCGCGCCGCTCTGAGCTATTTTGCTCAAAGCGTGGTGAGACCCGCTGCACCCTTGAATCCTGCAGGCTGGAGTCCATGACGGCATTGATTTCTCTCTCTGCGAAAGCGCAAAGGACAAAAGAGACCCTGATGGACTTACATCCATGATCCACAGACATCCACACACAGACACAGGGAAGCACAAATAGCTCCCCCACAAATCACTCCCGTGAGACTTTCTACAATCCTCTCTTCCAAGGAGACAGGTGATGTTCGAATGCTGTGACGACGACTCTTTTTGGAAGCCCAGACCCTCCCTATCAACGGACGAGGAGTTTGCCCACTTTTCTCCCCATGGACATCGGGATCGTGGCAGACCCAGGCGACCAAGGCTGTGGATCTCTGGCTGTCCGAGCGGCACTGTTTGTCCATCTCTCATCACTCGAGTTCATGGCTCTCTGGGGACACAGCTCTCTGGAGATAGCAACCGTCGATTGATATCGCTGGGAATGTGACGGTGTGTGCTGTGTCATAGTATCGCATCATGACTCGTTTGAAATCGGGCGCACCCATCTCATCCGAGACCTTCTCGAGATCGATCCATCTCCTTGCGCCACACTAGGAAATTTGCACTTCACAGGGGAAGTTGATGACGGACCAATCTCGTCCCTGCTCCTCGCCATCAACTGCACCTTCCAATGCCAACGCACAGCATGCGTTGCACAGCATTGCGGCGTTGAAAGGAGCATGTAATGTATCTTCCGGAGCAACAGGGCAATATCGAGGGCGTTGAAAGAGGAAACCGCCGTTGGCCCGGTTTTACGTGGCTGAACATCCACTCGCTCCTTTTAGACACAGCATAGCTTTGCCAGCTAGCCAGCTAGCTAGCATTTCACCCCCCAGAGCGCCAACAACGTCCTCTTCCTTCCCCAAACCAAAAAGCATGCTCCCACGAGAATACAAAAATGAGGCTAATGAAACGGTACCAACAGCGCAACCGCCGTGCCTCCGGTAGCATTCATTCGAGCTGGAAAATAGGACGGGGGCCCAATCCATGCACGTGCGTATGCACGTATGCAAGTAATAACTCGTTATTCAAGCAAGCTTTGCGCTTTGCGGGGGAAGCCCGGATCTTGAGTCCGGAAAACATTGGTTACTCTGAGGGATCGCACGAGTCTGTGAAAGGGAAGGGAGAAGAAATCGCCCTTTGGGAAACATCGTCCGGACGGACTTGTGGTGCTAGATGGAAATAGAAGGAGACTCAGGGGCGCCTGGGAATCTGGGTTAGAGAGAATCATGAGAGCCGAAGAGTGCCCTCGTATAACAAAGATAGATATAGCCTCGCCCTAATCGTCCACGTGATGTGGAGATATATAGACCTAGATATATAGCGAGGGCAATGTATATGGACCCGCCATAGCCGTGCACGAGTAGCGAGGACCAAGTCTTGCACCAGCATCGCGGTCCGTCAAACATGTAACCATCTGTGGTTCTGGCTCTGGCTCTGGCTCTGGAAGAGTCCTCGTCACCAGTGTTGACTCGATTTCCGCCTCACCTCAGTCGAGTTCCTGGTGAGAATATTTGGTGAGACACCTTAGTATAGGTTGCCTGCGTATGGGATTACACATCTGTACTCAGTCCACGTACTGACATCGCCGTTGCAGACAAGGATAGGGAGAGGAAATGACAACAGGTATCGGTGACCAAATAAACACACAAGACAACTATGCTGGCTGTCTAATTGGGCCGTTCATCATAAAAAATAACTGTTCATAGTCGTTCCACGTTTTTCAGACGGCGCTCATCGCATGAAGAATGGTTGCAAAGCAGTGTGGCGTCAAGGGACACCCTCAAACAGCAGTTGTACGATCTCTATTATCGCCATCAGGCCCATGTTCCTTTGATGCCGTCTCACATCTTGAAAAGCATCTCTAGGTCCTCCCCGTCGTATCGTCCCACTCTCCCCCTTTCCTGACTGTCTCCAATGTCTCTGTACGTAGATGAGAATTGACCACTCCGAGTCCGAGGACCCTCCAGTCCCTGCTCCTCGTCTGATCTGATCAGATCCTCATGCTCAGTTGCAGACTCGGCTGCCGTTGCTTCCCCAGATGGTCGCTTCCGCTTCCCCAGATGGTTGATCTCTCTGTAGGATTCAACGTTCCTCTCAGCAATGATTTCTGGTTCAGGACTTGGGCAATTATTCTTCCGGCCGCTGTCCAGGTTCTTCGTCTGACTCTTCTCGACAGCAGCAAAGGACTCTATCCCATGGAGAAAGGGTCCGATTGAACTAGGCCCCAAAAGGTAGTCTGTCAATTCACTGGTTCGACTTGGTGATCGGGACCTCCGCCCTAAATCCAGAACACCCGTAGGATTTAGCCTCCTTTTTTTGTCTGAATGGTGTTCAAAATCTTGACGGGGTTGATATGTCGCCCGCTCTGTGGGCGACGCGTCCAAAGTCGGGCTGATGTCTCGTGCATGGTGGACGTCTCGTGCTTGAAGAGCTGCAAGATATTGCGCATCCCGATGGGAGGGCTCGGCATTTGAATACCGATTGGACCTGGTATCCAACGTCTGATGTAGTGGCGCTGCTGACATTTGTCCATACGCGAGGTCGTCGTGCCTGTTCTCCTCCTCCGAATCCTCCGGGGTCTCGGAAATCTCAGTGACTGCATTCTTTGTTTTCGTGTCTTTTCCTTCGAGAATCGGGGAGCCTCCATAGTATTCCTCTCTTGATTCGGAATGTTGGCTGCGTGTAATTCCATCGAATCTCTTCTGCGCTTCGTGGACATCATGTCTTGTGAGTGATCTCTGTGTTGCGGGTGGCGAGCGAGATGCCTCTCTTGTACCAATCAAGATGCTTCCAATAGCAGGCTCGTCCATTTCAGGGGGCTCTTTTTCTTGCCGCCGGTGCATTTCCAAGATCAGTTGGCGAAGTCTAGATCTTAGATCTTGACTATGAATTCGGCGCGGCCATTGTTGTGCATTCTCTTCCCGCTGAAGGATTCGGCGGACGAAATTGTACGGATCAGCCACAAATTGCTCCAGATACATACACAGATACAGTCCGCAATCGCTGAAATTGTCCTGAGTTGGGATTTCCTTGGCCGTCATACCCTTTAGTTCAGTCACGTCAATGTCCATATTGCGCTTGTCTCGGGCCTCTGAAACTACATATTGTTTGAGCTGTGAACATGTCGCCGGTCGCGGCATGCCGAGCGAATCCAATGTGATAATGACAGGTTTGGTTACGTCGTACTTCGGAAGCGACCTGCGAACAGCTTTCCGTCGTCCGGGTCTCTTTCCCGTTTGGAACTGACTGCTTTTCTCGTCGTCACTGAGTGAGAGGTCGGCCAATGTTCTTTGAGTCTCATCCGTTGGCAGACCATTGTCCCGCTCTCCTTCACTTTGTTGGTCGCTCGACTGGAATTCCTCAGACCAGCCGCTCGTCGTTGCCCGTCCTCCGAGAAAGAATGGAAGGTTGCAGATGATGGCAAGATACCAATGAAGGTTCTCGTTGACTGGCACAACTATAAAATCGCGGCTGAAAAGATTGATGTTTTTGGTCCAGCGGCTGACAGCATCATAGTTGATTCCTTTTCTACCCTTCGTCTTGGAAAGGGCGTCATAGAAATAGGTGTTGAAGAAATACATCCGCCTGTGCAGTTCGGGATTGCTCTTCTCCATGTGCGTTTCCAGATACCTCATGAAGAAGGTTATGAGGTTGTCATTAAGGAATTCGTCATCGTCCAGTCGTTTCAAGTCTGTGAACGGCACAACTGCAGCCCTTCGCCCAAAGGGCGGGTATTTAAGATCGTTGGTCCAAGGACTGTCTAGAATCCCAGTCTGTGATGCCTTGATCTTCGGAGGAGTTTCGCCCCGTCCCTGTCCAGTCCTCGATTCTTCTTTACTGGCGTGTGAGCGGGTCAGGGGCTGCGACATAGCGGGTAAGTGGATTGTGGCCTGGGGCGATGGAGAATCCTCAAGAGCACGCCTTTTGGCGGGTAACAGCGTTTTGTCCATGTTGCTGACAGCCATCTTTCGATCTGCGGCTGATGTCGCGGATGACTTTTTTGAACTCTCAGCAGGTGCATCCAATATGTCGACCAGCCTGATTTGTTTCCGGGTGGCGTGTGTTTTTGCTGTCGACTTATTTTCCGTCGATGTAGGTTCTCGTTTCCTGGGAGAGGTTTGTGTCGCTTGAGTCTTCGTCGTGGATCTCCCCTTTTGTCTGGAAGTTCCACTTTTGGACTTTGAGAAAGCCTGCTCCATCCACTCCCTAGAAAATGTCAGACAGACCTCAGATGATCAGTGTCAGGAAACTTACTCCCCCCGAACACTGACTTTCAGCGTCTTCTCTATATCCTTCAGAACACCAACGAAGTCGACAGCCATTTTGTGTGATTCGAATCTGAGCCACATGGTTTCTTCTTCCTTCAAAGTTCGGACAAAATGGAGGCTCACTAAGGGAGACTCGTTGGATCCATGTCTAAGCTTGATAATCTGGTTGAACTGACGTGGCAGGGAAACAGGATCGTCGCCTAGCAGCGGATCCTTCACATTGATAGAGACCTCTTTCCCTGACCGGTCGAGCTCAATTATGTAGCCTGAAGAGTCGAGCAAATCTCTGTACACGAGTTCTCTAAGGAAAAAGGTCATCTTCGTCTTGGCCGGTTTCTTCACAAGTTCCTTTGATCGCTTGCTCACCGCAGTACTGGAGTTGGTACCTATGATTAGATTTCCGAGATCCTTAGTTTTCATCTCTGGATAGGGTGCACCATTCATGACGCTTGACTCTGAGGCAAACCGAGGTTCGCTACTCTGCAGTGCATCTGGACTTTCCGGCGTCTGGACCCTCTTTGGATTTTGCTTCTGTCGATTGCTAAAGTATCGCGAGGCTCGAGGCTGTTTCGAGAATTCCGGAGGACTTTCAAGTATCTTATCCTTCTCAGCCTTTCGTTGCTGTGCGGAACCTTTTGTGAAAGCGCCTTCATCCTCGGGGGATGAGCGATCGACTCGATCGACCTGTATATTGCGGACTTTGTCACGAGTTCTTAGTGTTGGCAGGCTATTTTCTTCTCTGTCATTCGAGCGGCGCAGTCCGTGGCGCTTTCCAGACACTTTGCCATCTTTTGACTTCGTGTCCAGAGCAAGTTCGTCTTCAGAGTTATTCAGGTTCTGTCCGTCATCGAGAGGGACAACTGAGGCAGCACGCACTCCAGGACTTCCCCAATCTCCAACCTTGCGCTTCTTGTTAGGCGTACCATGGTCGTTGGCATGGATGTCGTTCTTAGTAGGCAAACTCGTGCTTGAGGCAGGCACTGGGACTCTAGTCTGAGATGTCCTCTGTTGAAGAAAAGCCGACCGTCCGTTCAAGGTGTTGTATGGTTTGTAGGCCCCCGAAGGAGTCTAGATCTTTTGTCAGGAGAAATTCATCTGGGCTGGAGGATAGCTTACTTTGAAAGGCTTCTTCATTGGGTCTTCGATGCATCCAGAATCGGTGCTCCGTCTTCTGTGACAATCTTTTAGCAGTCTGTACTCTTCATCTGCGCTCGGGGTCATACACCAATCCTCCCACAAGCCTGTCCTCGTCTCTTGATCCTGTCCGCGGAGAACTTTGTCGTCGACTTATGCCACTAGACCCGGACGTGAAATTCGCAGTCGCTGCCTCGAATTCGCCTTTGAATGTTAAGGCGTTCTGGGTTGAAGGAAAACTAGGTGTCGTCGTTTCGCTTTTTGCGACCGGTGTCTCGATATCATCATCACTCTCGATCTATGCGTCCAAAGGATTGTCAGTCTGGGTCCCAGGTCCCAACATGGAGCTGCGCGACGTACATGGATCGGCGCGCATGCGGCATTGTCGTGCGCACCAAGGAAGGCACTTATGGTTTTGGTGAGGTGTCTAGGAGGGGTTTGGGGCATCTGTCCCCTTTGTGACTGCGATGGAGAGGCATTTGAACGTGGAGGGACCAGAGGTGCGGTAGTTGGATTGTCGTCTGAGCCCCTCCGGCCGACATCTGATTTGCGTGAAGAACTGAGACCGTTCTGGCTAAGGTCGTGTAGTGTGCTCTGCACGACCTCGTGCCAGGGAAGTTTCATTGGTGAAGTGACCACCCACGCATCGTTCGCAAGACCACATAGCCCAGGACGACGTAGGAAGATATTCAGCTGTCTGAAATGAATATGCGGAGGGTGAAGTGCGGCTGCAGTGGCTGCAGTGGCTGCTGTGCGCGCGGTTGGTTCTGTTGGCAAGAACCAAAATCCGAGCATTTCCCCGCAGCCATGCACAACCCATTTGACGCTTCACTCAAGAAGAACATGGTCATGACCAAAAAAGGCTTGCTTGATGCACCAACCCGGAGTTGGAATTCCATAGGAGAATCTAGCCATGCTATCCAGGGATTCAAAGCCAGTAATCAATGCTATAATGCTACAAGAGGGATAGAGTCATCCCATTCCATCTCCGTGCAAGATCATGATATCCCTTTGCCCTTGCTCTTTTCCGAGTCTTCATGTAGGGTTGGACGTCGTCTCTCTGCTCCAGGGTGCCCCGGAGCGCCACCGGCCTTCTGCTGCCTGGCTTCATCCAGTGCTGACCGCTGTGCAATGCTGTCGTCATGGCTCTTCCACACTATGTTGGTGTCCGGGGGAAAGGCAAGTATTCGCTTGATGGTCTCCCTGTCGTGTAGTCAGTATTATAATTTCTGAACTCGTCGTCTCCGCATGTCCTGCCGTACCTAATCTTGATGTTCCGGCCACCATCAATCTTGGTCCAAACACTCAGGACATCCTCGCCACTCCTGACGCTGAGCACTGCGCCACAGACCTCCTCTCCTGCCTCGAGAAATTGATCACCGATGATTGCCAATAGCAGATCCTCCCAATAGCGGTCCGCGACGCCTTTCTTTAATCTCACAATCCATTTGCCGCCTTTTTTGTTCGCTTCGTCTTCCCAAACCGGACGTATGCCGTCCTTGAAGATATGGTAGTCGGAGACCGTAGGTAGCAGGGACGGCCGCTTCAGATGAGAGTATATTGTCCAGAAATTCTCCACGGAGCTGATGGACGCTAATTTGAGGGTAGACTTCTCGTAGTCGGAGAACTTGTTAGCAGGGGGGCGATAGAAGAGGTTCCAGGTGCTTCGCAGTGGATGCTCCGAGGATGTCTTGGGCGACTCCGGAGAATCTTGCAGCGGCTCTGCTTCTGAGGACTCTCCTGGTGTATCTGGATCCCTATCTTTCTTCTCGCCTTTCTCACGTGATGAGAAATCGAAGGCCGACCCAGCACCAGGGGTCTTGGGCGTTTTTGCTGAACCAAAGGCAGCGAAGGCCCCGCTACCCAGTCCGAAAGCCGAAGATGCGCTTGCCGAAGGGGTTTTGGTAGCGGAAGGTGAAAGAGCGTTGAAGGGATTTGATTTTCCGTGGGACGATGTGTCGCCGAAACGTCTGCTGGTGTAGGAGCGAGGGGAATCTATCTTGCTGACATCCTTACCCTCCTGATCTCTCATAGACAACGATAGTTTGCCAGTGCTATCAAGGTGATTAGTGTCTCGGTGCATGCACAATTCGTTACAGAACGGCGGCAGAACTCACTTAGAACGTCTGGTCCACAAATTTGCGTTTTCCATGAGCAGATCAGGTCAGGTGGCAAGAAGGTCGGTCAGTGTCGCACCCCGTCAACGACAACAGAAGGAATGTTTCACGGAGACGAAAGCAAGGGCGGAGAGGCGAGGGATTGTTCGAGACGGCCGGCGGAGAGGGAGGAGGGAAGGAGGATGGTGGCGGGCGCGAGCGAGAGAGATCAGCAGGCCTTGGAAATGCACTTTGTGAACTGAGATCCGTCAGTAGAGAGAAAGAGAAGATATCTGTCGAGAATGATCGAATAGAACAGTTTTTGGAGAGGTAATGTTGAAGATGTTGCAGTTACAAGGAGCATGAAATACAAAATCACAAGGTTTGAAGCGCAGTTTGGATTGGAGTTCCCAGCGTGAGCAGGGCTGTCCAAGGGCCACCAGGGCCACCAGGGCCACCTAGGGCCAGTTGGCTTGCATTTCAGTTGGTCTGGGCGAACTGGAAGCCCCTGCAGCCCGCCAATCCACGAGCCGCTTGCGCCATCTTCCCCCAGTTCCAGCTAACCCCTTTGGCGATAGGCGCGCGTTCCAGGAACGACTCTTCCTTTTTCAACTGCCCGCGTGAAAAATCGGCCCTCGATTTTTTTTCCCTTTTCCTTTTCTCAGACACCCAATTCAAATCAACGTCAGCTACAACCCTCGACACCATGAAGCTGGTGGTTTCCGATGAGTGTGTCGAGATCAATCTCTCAAGAGAACCCGCATCTTAAAACCATCATTACGAGGGCCTCTGTGGCTTCCCATGATGTGGTGATGACCTGGAATAGCGGACAGTGATACATGGGAAATCAAAGAATGTGGGTGGCATTGTCCCCTTATTGGAGACCCATTCTCTGCAGTGTTCGTGAAGAAGCAATCAGCTCTGGTAAGCCGAAAGCTCAGCCGCAAGGAGAGAGTCGTCTCTACGCGATTGCTGGCAGAGCATGAGGTGAATTGGCAAACTCTGACCCAAATGCCCTTGCCCGATGCTGTCGTATGAACCGTTGCTACTGTTGTGACTGCTTGGGCTGACTCTATGGATCTCTAGGCTTGTCTTGATAATGGCTCGTCTGATTCTAGCATCTCGTGAAAGACACTTGTCGACCTCCTTCCTCTGAGATATTCGAGAACTACCTTCTGAATTCTGCCATTGAACTCCTACGTACTTGATCCTTCAGCCGTTCAATACCGCTTGAGACTGTCATCTCTTCCATACCGATCGCGCTCTTCACACCGCGTCAATTGTGGCTCGGGATGTAAGCTGTTCGTTCTGGTTGCCCAATTTCGAGATTTGCAGGAATGCGTCCACTCCATAACCCTCGAGACTATGCAATTCGAGCTTCCCCGCCCAATATTCGGCGTACACACGGCTCATCGGCAAGCCCATGCCCAATCTAAGGTCAGGGGGCCTTGTGGCCAAAGTGCTGAGAGAGGTGTCTCTGATCTTTCCACTGGGCTTATCGCCCGGAGACAATCGGACTTCCTGCATGGTGGCGGCAAGGGTTGGGACGTCTCTGAAATTTTGTAGCCGTGAAGCGCTTCTAGGTCCTTTGTTAAAGGACCACAGAAAGGGCATGATATCTCGGGGTATGCCTCCGCCCTGGTCAGAGATGCGGATAACCACGTTCTGGGGAGCCTCGCAGATCAGGACGTCAATAGGTGGTGGCGGTTCTCGAGGATCCCGGTACTTTTCCATGACTGCCTGGATCGAGTTCCGCAACAATTCTCCCACAATGTATTCAAGATGACTCAGCACGTAAGGGAACGTAGCGCCGGTGTGGCCTTGGATTCGAATTTCTGGCACCAATGGATCAGCGCCTACAGTCGACCTGCAAATCTCTTGGGTGAATCGGCCACATCGTTCAATGACCTCCTTGGCGTTGCATCGTAGTAGAACCTCGCCGACAAACTCGTTCTCAGAGCTGGGTTGCGGCACGTGCCACGGCGAATTGAATGTTTCCGTGAGCGCAAGGTGTTGCTCGGCAATGACTCGTCTCGAAATTCGAGCTCGCAACATGGCCTGTACAAAATTGTCCATTGTATCAACCGAAACCAAGTCTTGGCACTCGAGCACTCCCATGACCAGGTTGGGAATCACCGCCAGATGTTCCTTCAAGTTGTCACCGATGACTCTGCAAAAATCATCATTTTCTTCCACAGTTCGGATCACAGGGACACGACGAAAGCTCTCAAAGGACTTGTAGTAGAGCTCGTAGACGAACGATAGGTGCGGATTGGTCACCACCACATAAGGCAAACGCTGCATATCTCGCAGGCGATGAGCAAGTCTGGAACCAGGTGAGCTGTTGCACACATTGCTGGAGGTTCAAACAAACCTTGTAGGCAATTCCATGCGGACATAGTTGGCGGAGCTCAGCAAACGACTTTCGGTCAAAGTGCGACCAAAGAAAAAGAGCTGGCGCAGGCTGATGGGACGAATAGGGCGGTCAACCCAACTGCGACGTTGCCATTAGCAAACAGGCCAGAACAAACCACGGCAAGGACAGTCCCATACTCATCCAACGTCGAAGCTGGCCGCCACGGAGGTGGACTTCTCCCTGCTTGGGAAGACGTCCATCTGCACGACTGCGCAGAAAGGCAGAACAAGTTTAGGCGCAAGGCTCGGGCCTTCGAAAGCTGAGCGACCTGGAGCATTTCATACCAAACAACAGGCCGGACGAGTCATATAGACTATTGATGGTCATCTCGTCACTGTTGTCTGAGTAACCGCATGGGCAGCGAAGGGTTGCGCAAAAGATCGAGGTGAGGTTGTGGTTGTGGGAGAGGGGCAGAGTCATAATACCAAGCGCTAAACAAGAGGGATTGTCGTTCAAAATGCCAGGTGCGGGCTGCCACTTTCGCTTTAGGCATAGTCCCCCAGAGAGTGACGCCTAGGTCGCACAAGCCTGGGAATTATAGCGGCACCCTGGGCATTCTCTGGTGGGAAAATAGGTGACAGGATGCTTATTCGGTGGGCGTCCCTCACTCTACGGAGAGTGGGCGTTTGACCCTTGCTATTCGCTCATTCAAAAGCTTGCGCCGGGCTGGCGGCGACACCTTGACAATAATTTGACGTCTATTCTGGAAGCCTGCAGACCATAGACCAAGAATGATTTGACCCTTTTGATGCTGCATCACATCTTTTTCCCTCCCCTAGGTACCTGCGCCATTCATTCTCGCAACCAGCCATCCATCGGCCCTACCGTCTATCTAGATTCTAGATTCACGTGTAAGTGGCGAGATTGGCCTTGCTTACTGACGAGCCTTCCTGAATCACCGGCACATTGTGACATACCTCCTCCATTCCCAGCGTCAAACTGCGGAAATCTGAGGAAAGAGCTGCCCCGGCTGCCACCCTTGCCTGCTCTTCCGCGCGGTTCGATATCACGCTCGTGTCTGGACTCTCCTCAGCATGGACCACGTATGTTGAGCATTGCCCTCTTTTCCGCGCCTGTATACCTATCACCAGCCATGGATACTGACCTCGCCTCCCGGTTCGATGACTTGCAGTTAGCAGGACCCGACATGCTGATTGATGGCTACGACCAGTATCCCCCGGACAATGAGGTCGTCAACATCTCTCCGGACGATGCCTCCGAAGAACCTTCAGAAGCCCTCCCCCGGGCCGATGACTGTATGTTCACCCAACAGCTTGCCTTTCCTCCTTCACCCCGCTGGCCCGCGAACTAACCAATGTCCCAGTCGAGACGATGAAACGCCATGTCCTTGTCGACCTGCCTGATGTCGAGGTGGAAGCTGAAGCATATCATACATGGCACATAGAAAAATGGCGGACACTGTCTAGGAGAGAGCACGGCCCAATATTCGAATGTGGCGGACATCCATGGAGAGTGTTGTTTTTCCCATACGGGAATCAGGTCGACTGCGCTTCGTTCTATCTAGAACACGGTTTCGAGAGCGACCCTCCACCGGACTGGTACGCCTGCGTTCAGTTTGCCCTCGTACTGTGGAACCCGAACGACCCAACCCTGTACCGAACGCATACCGCCACTCATCGTTTCAATGCAAAAGAAGGCGACTGGGGCTTCACTAGGTTTGTGGAACTTAGGAAGGCCTTCCACCAACCTTGGGAAGATGGGTCGAGGCATTTGGTGGAAAATGACGAAGCCAAGTTGACAGCTTATGTCCGCATCATCAAAGACCCCACCGGCGTCCTCTGGCACAACTTCGAAGGATATGATTCCAAGAAGGAGACTGGCATGGTTGGTTTGAAGAATCAGGGCGCAACCTGTTATTTGAACTCTCTTCTCCAATCTCTTTACTTCACGAACTTGTTTCGGAAGGCCGTCTACCAAATCCCCACTGAGCAGGAAGCCAACCGGAGTAACAGTGCCTGGACACTGCAGCGGTTATTCTACAGGCTCCAGAAAGATAGATTCGCAGTTTCAACTAATGAGCTTACCGCGTCCTTTGGATGGGATACTCGGCAGATCTTCGAGCAGCAAGACGTGCAAGAATTGTCACGAATATTGATGGAAGTCTTGGAGAAGAAGATGAAAGATACGCCTGCAGAACGAACCTTGCCCGAACTTTTCGTCGGAAAGACCAAGACCTACATTTCATGCATAAATGTCGACTTTGAGTCCTCGAGGATAGAGGAATTCTGGGATATCCAGCTGAATGTCCGGGGCAACAAAAACCTGCACGAGAGCTTCATGGACTACATCCAGGTTGAAACCCTGGAGGGCGAGAACAAGTACGACGCAGGTGAACCTTACAAGTTGCAGGATGCCCGGAAGGGCGTTATCTTCGAATCCTTCCCACCTGTCCTCCACCTGCAACTGAAGAGATTCGAATATGATATCAACCGCGACGCCATGATGAAGGTCAACGACAGACATGAGTTCCCCGAAGAATTCGACGCATCTCTTTATCTCTCGGACGAAGCCAAGGCGGCCTCGACAGAACCGTGGATTTACCAATTACACGGCGTACTAGTCCACAGCGGCGATTTCAATGCAGGCCACTATTACGCTTTCCTGAAACCAACCAAAGACGGACACTTCTACAAATTTGATGACGACCGAGTCACACGGTCAACCATGAAGGAAGTGCTGGAAGAGAACTTTGGAGGGGAGTATGCCAACGTTGCCAATGGTGGCCTCGGACAGCGCCAACCCTACATGCGAGGCTATTCTACTAAGAGATCCATGAATGCCTACATGTTGGTGTACATCCGCAAGAGCAGACTGGATGAAGTCCTCCTCGACGTGAGCGAGTCCGATATTCCTGCACACATCGAGACCAAGATTGCCGAGGAACAAGCAGAACTTGCTAGGAAGAAGAAAGAGCGCGAGGAGGCCCATCTCTACATGAACGTTGGCGTAATAACAGAAAAGAGTTTCCAGGCCCATCATGGTTTCGACCTGACCAGTTATGAGCTCGAACAGTCGGATCCAGCCAGTGCCCAAGTCTACCGAGTCCTCCGCACGACCAAAATCAGCGAGTTCGCCGCCACCATTGCCGAGGAGCTCGGATTGGAGTCTGATCAAATCCGATTCTGGGTCATGGTGGGCCGACAAAACAAGACAAATCGTCCCGATCAACCCATTCGGGATGTCGAGATAACCATGGAAGAAGCAATGACCAAGTACGGATCGAGAGGCAGGCCGTTTTATCTTTGGGCAGAAAATGGGACTAAAGGCGACGACGGCAAAATCCAGTGGCCGGATCCCGCACAAGCCGTGGGCGGCAACATCCCGATCCTGGTTTTCCTTAAATATTTCGACGTCAAGGCTCAGGCTTTGACTGGTGTTGGCCATGTCTATGTCAAAAAACTGGACAAGGTGCAAGAAATCGCACCTCAGATCAATCGGATCATGAACTGGGATCCAACTACGCCCATTCTCTTGTTCGAAGAGATCAAATTCTCAATGATCGAGGCTATGAAGCCGAAGCAAACCTTTCAACAATCCGAGATTCAAGATGGCGATATCATCTGCTTCCAACAGAACCTCCCTGACCTTGACCTGTCGACTGCCACGTATACCGACGCGCGACAATATTACGATTACCTCCTGAACCGCATACCCGTCAGCTTTTATCCGAAACCTGGCACTGAAGGAGAAGCCTTCGTGCTTAGCCTCAGCAAGAAGATGACTTATGACCAGTTTTCTGCCAAGGTCGGGGAGCACCTCAAGATTGACCCAACTCACATCCGCTTTGCCACTATCAGCGCAACTAACAATAAAATCAAAATGTGGATCAAACGTGGGATGAACCACAACCTTCAGCAAATCCTCCAGTCACAGTTTTCTTCCTACGGTGGATATGCCACTCATCGCGGCGATGCATTGTATTATGAGGTTCTCGAAACAAGTCTTGCTGATTATGAGACGAAAAAGATCATGAAAGTGATCTGGCTCAGTGACGGCATCAGTAAAGAGGTAATGTCCCACCCGCCAATGAGTGATTCATCGTCCTAACGAGACCTAGGAACCACTGGAAATACTCGTCGCTAAGAACGGCATCATCGGAGATTTGGTCGCCGGCATTGCCAAAAAGCTCAACCTGGACGAACAGACGGCTCGCAATATACGGGTGCTCGAAGTACACGGGGGCAAGATTCACAAAGAACTGATCGAGGATTTCAACGTGGTTGGAGTTAATGAGTTCACCACGCTATATGCCGAGAAGATCCCCGATGAAGAACAGAACGCTTCCGAGGATGACCGGTTCATTTATTGTTACCATTTCGACAAAGAGGCCAACAAACCCCACGGTGTCCCGTTCAAGTTTATGCTCAAGCCGGGCGAGCCGCTCAAAGAGACGAAGGAACGTATCAGTAAGAGAACCGGTATCAAGGGCAAGTTGTTGCAACAAATCAAGTTTGCGCTCGTCTCCAGGACACTCTATGCAAAGCCGAGATATATTGAAGACGAAGACATCATCGTCGACCTCATCCAGGACGGAGACGAGATGCTCGGCTTGGATCATGTCAACAAGGCGCGCAACTTCTGGGGAAGAGCCGAGGGGATGTTCATTCGGTAGATCCGTGGAGAGGGGGGCACGCCAACGTCTTCTTGCTTGAGGTGTGATGATGCCTAGCCGCTATGCATCTTTTACTTGACATCCTATCTGGTGCTTCCCCTCAACATCACTCGTCGGCCGGATCCGGCGGAAGCGCAAAATATGGGATTCACAATGTTGCCGGAACTCTCTTGCAGCATGCACAAGGACGGCACATGTCGCGCCAGCGCCACTTGCTCTACATCTACAACCTTTTGTCGTCCATTGTGTTGTCGACTACAGGTCGTTGGAGCTTGTGACAGCTAGCGGTGGAGGGAAAGGCGGAGGGGACGGGTTGTTACAGGACCACAGGAAGGAATGCTCAGTGGCTCAAGGACTACCGATGTCAGAGGAGCGTTACGGGCGACTGAGCAGCAACACAGGAGCGTGGACCAAGCCGAACTGCCGGTGTGTACACAATAAACGTAGAGACGAGATTATGCTTCATGGCATCATGAAATATTTACAAAAAAAGGAAGGCGAGAACAGACGATTAGATGAGCTTATGATTATTGGATTGTCCATTGATTCTATTTCTCTCTTCGACAAAATGCTAGTTCCTCAGGCTTGGTGATTGGTATGAAAGAAGTAGGATATCTTTATCCAGTCTTACGCTCAGTTCTTGCTCTGTTTAGATTCCAAGGAATTCTCCACAGAAGCCATTTAGATGTCTTGCACGATCCATTCCCACAGCTTCGAGACGTATTCCTCATCTACCAGCCCTTCTGAGTCTCTGAGCGAGGACATGCGGTCGAATGTTTTTGCCATTTCGAAGTGTACAGCAGGTACTCCCTTGTGCTCGTCCCTGCTCTGCCGCTCGCCTTCGAGGTTCCAAGTGGACTTCGGTCTGCTGTGACAACTCCTGGTTCTTTGTAGCGTCTCTTCTTCCGTCTTCGCTGCCGGGGCCACTGTTGCCTTGGATATCTTCCCCGGAGCACCGTACGCCTTTTCCCAGAACCCCAGCAGTCGCAGGGCTGGATGGTTGCGCCTTTCCGGGTGGTTGCTGTCCTGTAAAATTGACAAGCGGGAAAGCCATTCGTGGACGGGGACGGTTTCGAAGGCTTGCCGCGGCGCGAGCCAGGCCAGGAGGTCGGACCAAGTGGCACTGCTGGATGGATTGAGGACGTGATGGACCGCAAGCCCATCCCCTTCTCCCGCTCCCGAGCAATTTCCCTCCGCCTCTGCTGGCGCGGCGATGTCTTTGACGTGACTCTGCGCTTGACAAGCCGATGGATGGTCGTTGCCGTGGCGTATATCCTCCACGAATGCCCTCGCGGCGACGTCAACCGGGAGCCAGGCGAGGACCTCTCCTTCCCGCTGGCCCTGGTCCCTCCTCGCGCCGTCCAAGTCCGGTAGACACCCGGTAGTCTTGAGGCTGCTCAGCATCAGAGGATACGCTTCGCTGGCGCTCCACACGCCCGTGTCTCTTGCCCCGGCCAACTGTCCCACCCGGGCAATGGAGATGCGGTTTCTCAGCCGATGGATCTGCTGCACCGAACGTTGGCAGATATGTTCGGCGACCCATTTCGACTGAGCGTATCCTGTTGGGCCGGCCACGGCGGGGTCCGAGAGGACCTTTTCGGGTATTGTGGCTGGACGAGAAGTCATGGAAGGGTAGGCTGATACGGCTGCCACGCTGGAGCAGAATATAAATCTCGGCGGTGGCTCGTTACCTTTTGCCGAGGAGAGAGCCAGATTGATCAAGTTCCTGGTTCCCGCGAGGTGAGTCTGCGCAAACGCACGGAGCGGGAGGAGGAAGTTCACGCTCCATGCCAAATGGACGATCACGTCCACGTCCTCCGCCAACCGCTGATACCCCTCGTCGGACAGTCCGAGTCTGGCGTCCGAGAGTCTGCAGCGGTGGATTTGTGTTTTGGCATCGAAGGACGCCGGGACGGAAAGACGGCGCGAGGACAACGCTTTCAAGACACGTTCACGCGAGGCTGTAGCTGTGGCGCCGCGGACGAGCAGGTGGATTGTCGAGATGGAAGGGTCGGACAGCAGTTGGTGCAGGATATGTGCGCCTAGAGAGCCAGTCGGACCGGTGAGAAGGACATGGATGCCCTTTTCATTTCCTGTGCATTGAGCTGGCTTGCGATGTGTTCGGTTCCGTGTGGGAGGTGGAGTTTGAGAGGAGGATGGCTGGGACGCAGGCTCCTCGAAGACACTATACTCGTTGACCAAGTCCTGCATCAGCTGATGCCGGCTCTGGTTCTGTTCGTCTTGCCCCTGCGCTTTGATTTCGTCGCCTGCTTTTGCCGACCGCATGCGAAGGACAAGATCACTCAGGCCTGCGATGGTTCCGGTGTCTTGGACCACGGTCAACGGCAAGCTTGAGCCTTGAGGCAGTAGTTGAGACAGAGCACGGCGGATTTGGATGCACGCGACAGAGTCGGCTCCATATGCAAAGAGATCTGTCTGCTCCGTCAAGGGGGCTTGGGTGTTTTCGTAACAGTGATGGCTCCCTTCGCCAACGGCCCCTTCGACAATGTCACGAATCCTCGCGGGTATTTCATCATCCGGCACCTCTGGACCAGTACCCTTGGGAAGTTCCTCTTCCGCGTACGCAGCTGCAATTGTCTCTGCGAACCTTTCTTCAGCCTTAGTCCTCAAAATCGTGCCTTTGCTGCTCTTCTCCAGTCCTTGATCGAGATGGTCCATCGGGACGAGCATGTTTTTCGGTATCCGTGCGTGGCTCTGGCTCTGGTGGTTCAAGGCTTCGACCACGGGCACTAGTTGGCGGATGAGGTCGCTGTTGCTCATACGGGCGGTGTCACGAGGAAACAGCAAGGCTCCTGGGTACGGTCTGCCGTTGCCGAATATGAAGACGTCTTCTATAACCGAGGAAGCTGACGCTCGAATGGCATCCTCGAGAGGTGCCGGGTCGAATTTCTTGCCGGTGATGAGCGTCAGCTGCGAATCCGCACGAGAGTGATACCGCCATGCGTCGAGGATGGTCGGGTGGGGTGCGAACAGGTCGGCGGTGGCGAAGGCGCCGTCGTCTCGGTTGCGTTTGGCCTGTTAGCCATCAGCTTCTCAGGCGCACACGAAGTGTTAAGGGGAAGTGGAATGTGTACCATGTGAGGCCAGCCAGGTCGGATGATGAGCTCGGAAAGGCCCTCGTCCCTGGGCACGAACTGGAGAAACTCGCCATCCGGTGCGGCTCTGAGATACTGCCATTCCTTGTCCTTTGCATGGTCCCGATGAGAGGACATGAGAAACCCGCACTCGGCGCTGCCGAATCGCGATATCAGGTTGATGTTATGCTTGACAAGGCTGTCCCCAACTCCGGCAGGGAGAGCTGCCCCTCCCACGCCCACGATATCCATTCTTTTGAGATGCTCTAGGCCGTTCTTGTCATCCGCGACCATTTGCAAAACGTACGGCACCGAAGAGAAATACCTTGTCCCTGGTGCCATTCCGCCTTGCGCCGACGCGGACGCAACGTCGAGGCATGTGCAAACGTTTGCAGCGGTGATGGGAAGGTCCTTTCCCGGAAAGAGCCAGATCAGAGCATTGCTGGTCCAAGCACGGAACAAATCGGCGACACCGCCGTGGTAGAGTGGTGTGGTGGTGAAGGTCGCGTGCGTTGCGCCATCGAGCATCGGGAGCACCCCGACCGCTGCCTTGTGTGTTTGTGGAATGGGCTTGGGAACACCGCTGGATGTGCCGGAAGTGTGATGGAGATACGCCACATCAGTCTCTCGAACATTGACTGCAGGGACCGGAGAACCACTAGGAGGATGCTTGATGAGTCGGAAGGGATTTTCTGCTGCGAAAGGAACAGCGTGGGTGGTAAGAGATCTATCCCCAATCTGTGATGCCTCATGCGAGGCTTTCGCCGCCAGGTCCCCGTAAGGCTCCTCGTACAAGATCAATTCTACCTCGCAGGACTTGCACAACTGCGCGATCGCAGACGGAGAGCATTGAGGCGCAACCAGAAGGATCGGGTGTCCCAACCAAGCGAGGCCAAGCCATGTAAACAAAAGACCAGGAGAGCTGGGGCACAGAAGCGCCACCGTTTGTCCGTGTGGTACATGAACCGTTTTCGATAACGCCCCAGCGGCCAGATTGATCGCCGTGTGGACGTCCTTGAACGTCAAGATATGCGGTGTCCATTCGTGTGAGGGCCTTTGCATGACCTCGTACAAGCCCAGGACTGGTATCTCGGGAGAAGTTCGCGCCTTGAAGTCGATAAACTCGGCGATAGTCCTGTATGACTTTCCGTGCTGGTGGTTGACGGCCTGGCCTAATGTGCAGGTAAAATAGTTAACCTGCATTCTCCAGACAGGAATGAACAAGTCAGGGGGGCACCATTCAGGAATCTAATCAACGGGAATACATAATAAACAAAACAGAATACTAGTATAGAAAGCGAGAGTAGAGGTGAACTATATTAAGTCCAGTCATGATGCCATATTCAGGGTATGGCCTGGCTCGTTACTGACATCATGACAGATGATGGCTTTCGATAGCCATCATACACCACTTCAATCTTACTTGATTCGAGATTGTGTCAAAATGCGAAAGGAATTTGACCATCGCGTCTAGAAGGGTGGGAGTCTAGGGTGACAAACTTCAAACTGCAGAAATCAACGCAGATATCGCAGCTCACAAAAATAGGGCAAGACTTCAAGATAGAGGTGTCCAGCATGTATAGCCCTATTACTCTATCGTGGCTAGCAGTCTGCGTTAATTTCGACATTCGCTGGGCATTGAATATCTCTGTCCTCCTATTTGAGCCCGTGAGTCGTGTATCAAATCCAGAGCTTCTTTCAAAGAATTAACCCCGTTAGATGTACCACCCTTTCTCAACCCGATTGGCAATCAAGTCCATCTGTTTTTATTATGCTCGAACTTCAACCCTTTTGCTGCACCCGTTCAACTCAGTCGGAACACCATCTCCTACTCCATTGACAATGCCATCGCCCAAGCCATTACCTCTGATCCCCTCAATGAGACAGTCAGCTTTTTCAGGATCCGACGCATGCTTCGTAGCGGTTGACACCCCATTTGCAATCTTCCCATTGTGGCCGTTGGCTTGGACCCCATTCTTGTGAACGTCGTCGTTAAGAACATTCAACGACTTCAGTCCGGCGGACAACACGCCATTCGTCTCCACTGGCTTGTTGTTCACCGTGTACCCAGTATCGCTCGCGTCAACAAAGGCTTCAATGCCTTCTCCGCTGCGAGGAAAGTTTTTCATCAAGGCTTTGTGTCGTTTGAGTGCAGCGTACATTTCATCCATGGACACATCGTTCAGGAAAATGCACGCCCCGAGCGGAGCCGGCACTGCAGCTCGAAGTTTTCCGTCTCGAGTTCTCAGGATTGCTTTGGTCCCTTTGTCGAGAATTTCTTCGTTGAACTGGTGATGATCCATGGACAATCCCGCTCGTGAGAAAAGGCGCAAAATTCGCTGGTGATCCGTGTCGTTAAGGATGCCACGCATGTTGGCCAAAGTCGCCGAATAAGCCATGTCTATGGAAATCGCATGTCCATGGCGGAGCGGGACCTCTGGGACCAACTCGTGCAGAGGTGACCATCTACAGACTGTCAGCGGGAGCAGCTAGATCCGTCTGTGGGAACATACGTATGGCCATAGGCGATGACCCGATCAAGTCCGATCTCATGAAGGTTGGGCGTCTCAAGCTTGAGCATCTCATGGATGCCAGCCCGGTTGATGGAGTCGGCCGCCTGTCGCACCTCGTCGGGTGCACCGTCACACCGGCCAAAACCAGAGTCGATCAGCTGCTCGCAGAACTTGTCGAGTAACTCGAAAGTTGGTAGATGAGCACATGTGGAAATTTTGATCAGCTCAGCAAATCCATTGCGGATCTGGGCTTTGGGCAACATCTGGAGAAACGTGAAGTCGAGAAATGTACGCATGGGAGCATGGTAGGCACCAAGGCGGTTCTTGTAATTGCCGTAGTTGACGGCGACCTTGATGGACACGGACGCATCAATCAGCCCGATGACAGTCGTCGGAATGCGAATGTAGTTGGTGTTTCTGCGGTAGGCAGCACAGGCAAAACTGGTGGGTAGATGTTAGCGACAAGCCCGCAGGTGCAATTTCTAAGGAGATATATGGGCCAGAGTGCCTTGAAGTCATTTCGGCAGGTGGTAACTTTTACCCAGCAACATCGGTGACCAGTCCACCCCCAATGACTAGTACAGGTTCCTGGTGTATGCGTCAGCTGTGTCTCCTGTAGGCGGTCAATGTCAGCCTCACCTTTCTGTAGATTCCAAACTTGTTCATCGAGTCAACAATGCTCAAGAAAGTATCAATGGACTTGGCTTTCTCTCCGATCATGGTCTTGTGAATGTCGAGATCAATCTTGTAGTGATCGAAGTAGTTCTGCATTTGCTCGCCGTAGATGTTGAAGATGTTGTAATCCATCACGGCGAGGCACCGGCCCCACCGCATGTAGCAGTCGGCCAGGTCACTTCGCTTCGTGTCAAAGACTCCGTCAATGAAGGTGAAGTCGTATTCGATCTTTTCATAACCCTCGACATGAAACCCGGAGGCCGTTGCGGCAACCGAGGCTTTGAGATCAGACATTGTAAAACGTGGCCAAGGATATCCCAGTTGATGAGAGTTTTTGGGCAAGGTGCCTTGAGGAAAGGGTGTGAAGGATTAAGAAGTTGAAGTCAATTGGGGAAAAGTCGACTCTAATATATCAATTAACAGGTCGATGGACAGGCCAGCCCAACAAGCTCATCGAAGAGTACATTCTTCACGAACACGAAGGTATCTGGTCGCTAGCTGTCTCCGACCATACAGATTGTCTCCCTCTGACCGCCGCGACTGCAAAGAAGACTGTGGAGTCAAGAGACTGGGTACTTTCTTTAGCAGGACTCAACAAGTCCGCGAAAGATTTCCACTAGCGGGTCCTCAATGGCAGGCAGAAACCAGATTTCTCGATGGGATTGATCCCGGTCTCTGTATGTTGAAAACTCCAAAGTCAACTTGGCGCCGGTTTAGCATTCGGACCAGTCACAGTCATGATGTAGTCGTGAAAAGTCAATGAGGTAACGTCGAGGCGTGGCTTTTCCTTCCGGCAGTGTCATCCACAAAGACTGTACATGCCCCTGGGCCGTCTCTACCGGCTCTGAGGTAAAATGCCAGGTCCTGGCACGCATAGGTTGAAAGAGTGCAGATTCTAGCGCCTCGGTCTCATGGACCCAGTACCCCTGAATCTCGAGGATTAGAGATCCGGCTCAGCGTGCGGTGACCATTGCGGGGCAGAACATAATGTAAATGTCAGCCGGGGTATCCAAGCCGTCCTTCACAGCTCTCTCTACCAATGCCTGTCCATATCCAGCGATTGATGACGATCGAAGATGTTCCACAAGCACACATGGGTATTGCTATAGGTGAGGAAGACGTTGGTCGTGGAGGCCGAGGGCATGAGGCTATGGACACGCTAGGCCTAATAAGGCTAGCCCACTGCTGTCTCATTGGCTGCATCGAAATGACCGAATCATCACCACATGTTGCGTTTTATCGACTTTGATCATGACTTTTCCATTCTCTCCAGTCAACCATGTCCGTTGCTTTCGTGCCGACACATGGTGATTCATGGTAAACCTGGCTCGGAACCGATCTCGCATCTCGCATGCTACCCCACATAGATCTATTGACACCGCTTCTTCTATTCCGACCCCACTGGTTAAATCAACTTCTGTGAGTGGATGGACGAACAGCTTGATGACACTGTGCCCAAATTGTTGGGCGGGAGGTTACCTGGGGAAGGTATCCATCTTTTTCAGCCACTTTTGAGAGGAAAAGCCTCGGTCTGTTTCCGGTAGACACGTCGCTTCTACCTTGTCCTAACGAGCGAGACTCAATTTCGACAAGCAATGGCTGAGTTTGACCCGCAGAAGAAGTACCAGGAGCAACAAGAGATATTTGTACAGTCCAGCCACAAGACCTTTGGTAAATAAACGCACTAACCGAGCCCAGTTCGATGATGGGCGTGAGAGAGAACTCTTACAATTCATCCACAACAAGCCGGATGTCGAGGATATGCGAAATTCACCGCATAAAGTACTGGCGGCTATCGACCAATTTGCACGCACGCAGAAATACCTCATGAATGTGGGAGAAGACAAAGGCCGGATTGTGACTGACCTGATAGCCGAAGTCAAGCCCCAGGTCATGGTCGAGCTCGGCGGTTACGTTGGGTACTCGTGCATCTTGTTTGGGGACGCCCTCCGCAAGGCTGGTGGCAAAAGGTACTTCAGCCTTGAAAGAAATCCCGAGTTTGTCAATGTGATCTCTTCTCTGGTCGACCTGGCTGGCTTGAGCGACATCGTCAAAGTCATCGAAGGCTCGAGTGATGCCTCCATCAAGGAGTTGCATGCCACAGGAGCCCTGCAGCACATCGACCTCATGTTCCTGGATCACTATAAGCCTGCATACACCACCGACCTGAAGCTCTGCGAGGAGCTGAACCTGATTACTCCGGGCTCCGTCCTGGCCGCCGACAATGTGATCAAACCCGGGAATCCACCGTACCTAGAATACGTGCGGAGCAGTGTTGAGGAGAAGAAGCAGGCAACGCAGAACGCACAGACCGTCAATGGTGTCGACACGCGCTTTGCCGATCGGACAGTCAAACAGTACCTGAGAAGGGAGGGTGAAGCCAAACTGGACGAGACAAGGGTGGGCAACCCGCTGCTCATCTATGAAAGCAAACTCGTCCACAGCTTCGAACCGTCGGGAGTGCCAGTAAGTGCCTATCGTGCAGTCCAAAGCTCCCAAATTCTAACCAGACCAACCAGGACGCTGTTGAAATCACGAAATGCGTTGGAGTGGCCGAAGAAGGCTGATATATGCGTATGTAAAATCAAGAATATAGGACAGATCTACACACCCTTTGAGTACGTGGCGCGCATATGCCTTTTTCCCTGCCCGTGGGGACCGAGACCATCGAATGTTTCTCCTCATATGGGTGACCGAGCACAGGAGTGGCGTCGAGTGCGAAGCGACCTAAACCAGCTCGTGAGAGAAACAGCATAAACAAGCAAGGCCAGCACTGTGACCGTAGAATGACACCATCTGATGGGTCATCCGTGTCTTTGATTCAAATCCTACAACTTCTTGCATTTCCTGGTTCTCCACCATTTCTGCTTCCTGACCATGCCAGTCCGACCAAGGCGAAAACCCTTGTCTAACGCACCACATTTAGTGCACGTAAGCATGTAGCAGACTTGATATTGAGACCCCTGTTATTTACCATTAAACTTTCCCTGGCGCATCGGAGTGCAATGCCCTGCCTATCACCTCCACCTGTTCCCCTAGGTGACGTCTATATTTATATACGATGAATACTTTTGCTTAGACAACTGGTGCCTTGCCGCAGCAACTCTCCAGCGTCAGGCATGTGGAATCTTTAACCTTTTCCCATCCCTCTCAATCAGTCTTTGCTCTGCGTCGGATTTCTTCCCATTCTAACTCCGGCACACATCCATCCGTATTGGAGGCAATATGCTTCAGGGCAGTTCCTCGCTACTTGCTCATCGGCTGCAGAATGTCTGCCTTGTGATTTTGAGCCTCGCGTTTCTTCCTTTGGATACCTTGATTCTGTTTGTCTCTCTTCTCGCGAGCAAAGTCCTCCCAAGCAAAGCAAATGCCAATCGGAAAGCGGCACGCCGCAAGGCCGGGTTCCAAAAAAGGACCGTCTTGGTCACCGGAGTGGGCATGACCAAGGGACTGGCGCTGGCACGACTCTTCTACGAGGCAGGCCACGAGGTCATCGGAGCCGACTTTGAGCCGGACGGCTCGTTGGTGTGTGGGAGGGTGTCGTCGTCTCTGAGGAGGTTCTACCGCCTCCAAAAGCCCGATCCCAAATCCGGCGCCGCGCCGTACATTCAAAACCTCCTGGACGTCGTGATCAAGGAGAAGGTCGAGCTCTGGATCAGTTGCTCGGGGGTCGCCTCGGCGGTCGAAGACGGAATGGCCAAGGAGGTTGTTGAAGCAAGGACTCACTGCAGGGCCATCCAATTCGACGTCAAGGCGACGCAGACCCTGCACGAGAAGCATTCCTTCATGCGACAAACCAAGAGCATTGGCCTTACGATTCCTGAAACGCACGAGATCACGAGCCGCACGGCTGTTCAGGGGCTATTACGCCGCTCTCCGCCCGGCCGGAAGTACATCATGAAGACGATCGGGGTCGACGACGCAGTCCGCGGAGACCTGACGCTGCTTCCCAAGAATTCCGACCTCGAGACGGCGGAGCACATTGCCCGACTCAAGATCTCGGCGGACTCGCCGTGGATACTGCAGGAGTTCGTCCGGGGCAACGAATACTGCACACACTCGCTGGTCGTGGGGGGACATGTCAAGGCCTTCGTGGCGTGTCCCTCGGCGGAATTGCTCATGCATTACCAGGCACTCCCTGCCGAGTCTGCCCTGAGTCGGGCAATGCTGGAGTTCACCAAGATGTATGCTGCAAGCGGCGGTAGCGACTTCACGGGCCATCTATCCTTCGATTTCATGGTGCGGGACGAGGACGCGGCTGACCCGAGAAACATCGTGCTTTATCCCATCGAGTGCAATCCTCGTGCGCACACGGCTGTGGCACTGTTCAACGGGACGCCAGCAATGGTCAACGCCTATCTATCCGTCTTCGAACCCCAGGACAGCCGGGCTGATACTCGGGTCGTGCGCCCGGCCACGGATGACAAGTACTACTGGACCGGCCACGATCTCGTCACCCTGGTCGTCCTCCCGACTTCGTCCCTCCTCACGCTTTCTGGCGTTTCGATCGGGGATCTCTGGCACAGCTACACAGTCTTCCTCGACCACCTGGTGGCCTGGAAAGACGGCACGTACACGCTCTGGGACCCGCTGCCCTGGTGGTGGCTGTACCACGTGTACTGGCCGATGCGGTTCTGGGGCTGCATCCGCTGGGGGAAGAAATGGAGTCGCATCAACGTCAGCACGGCCAAGATGTTTGAGTGCTGACAACAGCGGCCCCCTGGGGGAAAGGGGAAGGGTAGAGAGAAGAAAATTGGGAAAAGTGCTTTTGAAGAGGAGAAGGTTTCGTTGGGGTGGCTTGCCCATTCGCCCTGCTTGGGTTCATATGATTGATGTATTGCTTTTTTCGTAGATGGAAGGCTCGCACAAAGGCTATCGATTGCCGCAAGTTCTCATCGACCAGCCGGTCTTTTGCAACAGGGCTTGGGCCGCTTCAGTGACCTTTTAAAGGAAGAGGGAGACGGTGTTGTTACACATGGCCTCCGACATTTCGATCCGTTTTCAAACCCAATAGCCAGCCCACGCCGTCCACGGCATCTCGCATCCTCCTCCTTGACATGTCCAGGTCTGGAAACATCGCCCACCAACAATGCGCCCACCCGCGATACAGGTCCAGCCGGGTTGGCACGTCGCATTCCTCCCTGAGCACCTTTTCGTAGATCAGCCCGTCATCCCGGGCCGGATCGAGCCCGCAAACCTGGAAATACGCCGGCGCCACGCCCAGATGGCCGTGCTTGACAGACCCGCGACCGGCGCCTCCGCCCCCATCGCGCGGGTCGTGCTGGTCGAATGGATAGCACAGCTTCGAAGCGGGATCCGGCTTGAACGCCTCGGTCAACAGCTTCAGGAGGGCTCGGTCCAGGATCGGGGCGTCGGCGTTCTGCTCGCGACTCAGATACCTCCCTTTGTACCGTTCGTGCACGCGCCCCGGTGAGATGTACGTCCCGGCGACCAACACCTGGCCCGTCAGCGGAGGATTCAGGTTGTGGTCTCTCGCCAGGTGAGCCAGCGAGGCCGCGAGGTTTGCGCCCGCGCTCTCGCCGCCGACCAGGAACCCCACGCGGGCGTCGGTGCAGCGCGGGAGGATGGCCGAGTTGGACTTCCGGTTCTCGCTGGCGCAGAACTGCAGCACCTCCCACGAGTCGCAGATCGAAAAGGGGAACGGGAACTCCGGCGCCAGCCGGTACGACGCGCAGACCACCACCGCCGAGTGGGCTAGGACGAGCTCTCGCGCCAGCCCCAGCTGCATCTCGGGGTAGCCGATAGTGTGGCCGCCGCCGTGCAGCAGGAGGATGAGTGGTCGCGGCGGCGCAGTGGCCTCGAGGTCTGAGGTCAAATAGCACACAATGATGCGGCATGCCCAGTCGTCGCGGAGTTTGATCCAGTGCTCAGCCTCCGTGATCTCGGGCGGCCGTGAGTCCGCGAGTCGTTTCTGAAACGGCGCAAGGCCCGCGGCGGCGCCTTGTTTGATGTCCGCGAGCGTGTAGCTTGAGCCGGGCTGGAGACGGCTGGATTGCAGGGCGGTGGACAAGGCTGGGTCGATGGTCGCGGTGGCGAGGATGTCCTCGATCGCGTCAAGGGGTGGTGAGGGCATCGTTCTGCAGTGATTTCGCGAGCTGTGATGTCAAGGGTATTGAGGCGGAAGCGATGTTTCGACGAAGGGATGATGCTGGAGGTGATGATAGGTTGTTTCCACCCGTCGGCTTCGCAGATAGGGACAGCAGCTGGTCTCTCTTGATCCAACAAAAGAGTTCTCCAAAGGTCAGAAAGCCAGCGAATATCCAGATGTCTGCTCTTCCTCGATCGCTGGTAGTCGAGGTCCTTGTCGCTCTGATCGTGTTTGCTGGACTTCAAACCAGTCACTCCGTCACAATTCCATCCAGCTGGGCCCGTCCTCCGCAGGCTAGTCCACGCGGTGACATATAATCCCACAGCCGTGTGGTGTGCACTCTCCCAGGACGATCCAACTCAGTCAACACCCCATCAGCAGGCCTTTTAAAGACCCGGACTTCTTTACGCTCGTCGTGTCTCCGTGACAAAGAACGACGAAAAGCCGATTTCTTCGGGCCCGAACTCTTCGAAACTCGGATTGCGACCACCGCTAATGATGCCGACAATTACATGACGATGCCGGCCCCCGAAAATAGGATCCTCCCGCGCACAAAGGAGTCCGGCGCCGTTCGACGTAGCGAGATGGCTGGGGCCTGAAGCTTTGCTTGGCAAGAGTGAGCAAGAAAGACCGTGCATTGACCTGTTTCCCGTCTGAGTGGTCGGCCAAACTTGTGAGGCTCTCTGGCATGTGCTATGGGAGGGATGTGCCGGTGGTGGGCGAACGTGGAAGGTGTCAAAAAGACCCTGATCGTATATCAAGATTTTATATATAGATTGAGATATGCAGCTTGCAGCCAGGATCTGCAGCGGGCGGTTGCCGCGGCCCGGCGAAAGACGAATAGATCCACAGAGCAGATAGCCAGCCAGATGATACACGAACAAGGGCCGATTGGGGGCGGCTTGGTTGTGTGATGGTGACCGCAGCCTGATCCGATTTATTCCATATCCTCCTTCGTCCCTACTCTCTCGATAATTCACATGTGCTCGATTGTCGTCGCCGCCAGTCGCGTCAGCACAAAACCATCCCCTCATTTCAGCCCGTAACTGGTGATAGATGCAAGACCTGCGATGGTAAGTTCTGAAGAGACAACCCCAGAGTTGGTGTGGGATTGGATCTCACGATCGACATTGTAATACACCACCGGCGCCTAGACCAACTCGATGCTCCGAAGCCATACCTGATTTGAAAAGGAGAAAGAACAGTAGAAAACGGAGCAGAAAGATGTAAGAGCATCTTGGCAGGTAATGGAAGATGGACAGGGCGTGACAGCTGTGGACGGATCCGCTGCCACCATAAAGGCTGACAGCAGGAGTAATTTGTGGTTCTGGTGAAAGCGGTGTTTGAGGCCACTTCTACATCGTCCATTATTCTTGGACGGAATGTCTCGCACCACTCTTGCAGCAAGGAACGCCAATCGTCGAGCGATCAAAATGACTTCCCAAACTCCCGGATCTTTCATGTCTATGACCTTTTCATCCTCGTCAAGATCGTCCGTCCCGTGCCGTGACAAGATATCATGTCGTGGGCTATGCAACCGGTAGCAGCGACACAGTAATTTATACATAGCCTGCAGAAGTCCACCACATTAGCTCTTCCGCAATATTTCAAACCACCAGGAGATAACTCACCTTTCCTCGCTCCTTGAAAGAAAAACCTGACTACCAGTACCTGTAGTCCAGCCATGCCGACCATCATGCAGACCTCAATTAGACTGAAATTGAAGATGCGCTGTTCCGTACTCCTGACTGTGCTGAAGTTGCGGTTCTCTCGAGTGCGGAAGTATTTTTGCATTCTGCTGACAGTGCTGAGTTGCCCACTAATCTTGAACACCAGGTCTTCTAGTGCGGAGGTTTGTTCGGGTGTTGAGCCGGCCTTTTGAGGGAGGAGGGCGGACTTGGATTCGTCCTCAACCTGCATGAAGCCCATCCGTTAGATGCTTGATTCCAACCGGGACGAACAGATCGGGGGGGGGGGGGGGGCTAGTACAGCGACCTCAAAGTCAACCATCTTGTCTGCGAACGTAGACATCTCATTGTTGAAGCAGACGCGGTACTCGCCCGCAGTCTGCGCGGTAAAGACAAAGTCTCCCTGTCTCTCCTTTTCTCCGCCCATAATCTTCTTGTCGTTGGGCCCTACCACCTCGTAGTCGATGTCGAAGGAGCCACCGGATTGAACCTTGGGAAGTTGTGTTAGTCTCTCCCCCATGCAGACGGACCTAAAGAGATCATACAGCAAAATAGAATGCGACTTTGGCACCGGCTCGCTCGACATTGCTGAAGAAACAGGCCTTCTCGTTGGCGCCAAGTTTATATGTCAGAGCGGTGCTGTACACTCTGGCGACAGCCAGGGCCAGCAGGCTGAGGAGAATGGAATGCAGTCGCATGGCTGGTAAAATATTAGTGCTAGCGAAGAAGAATAGAGAATACAAACTCAATGGCACGCGAGTCTGAACCAAAATTCCCGAAAAGGGGCCACATTTCGCGTCCGCAGTTGGAAATCTTGGCTGGTGACTCGTTTCAGGGGAAGAAATTACGCCGCTTTTCCAGCAACGTGGTCAACGGCTCGGACTAACCGTATATGGGCTACACGCTTGGTATAACTTCGGCTAGACCTAAACTCATCGTCTTATAGCGACATGAGCGACACAGAACCAATTCGCTGGAGGTTGTGAACGAAATGAACGGCATCGAGGTATTGACGGCCTCGACAGCGACATTACTATTGAGACAACAATATGCAAACAATGCAGACCCAACATTTGACTGCGGCAAGGCCTTTCGGGCAGACTTTGGTCGGGATCTGCAACAATCAGACCACCTTTCAGACTGTCATCCCATCCTCGGAAGACGACAACACATCCAAATGGGCAATAGAACTAGCGTCGTATGATTGCAATGCCTCTTCAGCTTACGAGCCAACACGATCTGAACAGTTGTCCGCCTTATGCAACCCTTTTTTAAACCAGACTTGAAGACGGATACCGGGACTGTCGTGGATGGCAAAATTGAGCATATATACCTGTCTGTTGCATCATCGCTCACCCAGTGCTTGAATTAACCTTTTTTTACTTCCGTATGCCATTAGCGACAATATGAGCTGGCGGAGACACGAGCTCACAAACGGAGTCTGACCATTGCGCATTGAGGCGGAACCGCTCATCTACACGGCCCATTTTAGAGATCATGAAGGTCCTCCTTTCTGACGGATCGGGCTTGACCTCCAGACAAGTGGCGACGATTCTTGGCCGCAAAGGCGACGAAGTGCACGTCCTCTGCGCACCGGGACTCTCCCTTACCAAAGTCACGGGATGGGTCAAAAAGACACATCTTGTGCCGCAGTTCGGACCAGATCCCTACAAATGGCTCCAGTCCGCGCTCCAAGTCATGATCCGGGAAAAGATCAAGACCATCATTTGCACGCAAGAGCAAGTAGCTGTTCTCTCAGCGGAGGTCGACCAGATAAGGAATCTGGGAGTGGGTATCGCTGTACCGTCTTTTGAAGCCGTCAGTCGTGTTATAGACAAGATCTCGGCCTCCCGCACACTCCAACAAGCATCACTGCTCCAACCAGAGACCGTCTCCGTGGGCACGGCTGACGAGTTGAGAGGCCAGATCGGCCTATTGCCTGCCTTTGTCAAGACCCCCATCGGCACAGCTAGCAAAGGCGTCAGATTTGCGAAGACGGCTGAAGACCTAGCCCGTGTTGGTCAAGAATTTGATGATAGCGGTGCATTTCGCAACAATGGTCGACTGCTCGTTCAAAAGGCGGTGGCTGGGCCGCTCGTGATGGTAGAAGGAGTGTTTTCGGGTGGGAGACTGTTGAGCTGGCATGCATGCCTACGTGCTCGCGAAGGTCCTTCGGGAGGAGCTGCCAAAAAGACGTCTCTTCCACTTCCTGTGTTCGAGGACGATATGAAGAAGCTTGGTGCGTTCTTGAAGTACGATGCTGCCTTGTCCATCGACGCAATCCTTGTGGAGGGAATACCATATTACATCGACGTGAACCCCCGGATTACTGAGCCGATGAATGCTTTCGAGGCGGGTGTGGATCTCGTCGAATCACTACTGAGCATATCCACCTCCGCTCGAAGGGCCGAGACTATCAGGCCCATTCCGCCGAGTCCTGTATGTGGAATAGAGAACATCAACACACATCAATTCGTCCTAGCCGCTATGAAAGCCGTGGAGAGCGGAAGATTCGCCTTGCTTCTCGAGATCTTCACCGCTCTACTTGGTCTCGGCGAGTATGCCAACTCGACGGAGGAGCTGACACCAGTCAGAGACGATCCGCTGAGCGCTGTCTTTTTGTGTGTCTTTACGAGCTTAGTATTGCTCGGGGGCGGACGGGTAGCGAAGTATCTCGACAAGAGCAGCGTGAGCAATTATGCGTTAAGTCCTTCTGGCTGGGAGGCGATCCTCAAAGCTCAGCAAGCAAAAGAGATAGGAGAAGTCGGAGCCGAGCCACGCCCATTGGCAGTTGAATCCACCCACCTCAGCTCGGAGCTTCCCCTGTGGTAAGAGGTGAAAGGTCTTCGAATGAGAGAACGGTTGCATCTTTCCTGAGACAAGCACCATCTTCCCTAGACACGAGTCTCATGGCTCGAAGTCCGTCGGGGACGGCTTACATTAGAAATCGCAAGCTGCGGCCACCTTTTCCATGCTGTCGGCTATCTCGACATATTGCTGTCCTCTTTTCCTCATTCCGCCAGACGACTCCTTGCCCAATGGCATTCTCGAGATCATCGGGTCAGACGATGGCTCTAATACCTCCTTCACAATCGCCTCAGCGGTCTTCTTTGGGTCCTGTGGCGCTCCGTCATGCAGCCCTGCAATAGCCTGCAGCACGTACTCGGTGACAGTTCCCTTATAAGCATCTGCAATGGGTGGCATCCCCATCTTCTTCAGATCGTAAAAGCTAGTCTTCATCGCGCCTGGCTCGGCAATCAAAACCCTGACCGCGAAGGGCGACAATTCAGTGGCCAATGCCTCGGACACGCCCTCGATCGCAAACTTGGACGCGGCATACACAGCTGCTCCAGGAGGAGCATTCCAATTGACCGCACTAGAGATATTGACGATAACCCCAGAGTGTCGGCTCCTCATGGATGGAGCGAGTGCTTGAATGATACGGATAGGGCCCCAGAAGTTCGTCTCAAACAGTTGACGGGCTTTGTCGAGGCTGTCAGCAGGGAATGGCAGTCAGCGATCTTCCTTCGTAGGTGCTGGGTTGCGGTGGGGGTAGAATCAAGAACGACTTACTCCATCGTCTCTAAAGGTCCGCCATCTGCGTACCCGGCATTGTTCACCACAACGTCTATGGGTCCGTGTTCTTTGACAATCTCCTTGATTTCACTCTCAAGGCTTGGAGCAGAAACGTCCAGTTTCGCCCAAATACCGCCAAGTTTCTCAATGTCCTCGACCGCACCAGGAGAGCTGGCTGGGTTGCGGGATGTGGCGATACACTTCTGCCCAGCTTCCAGAGCCGCCCGCGCAATCTCGAGGCCTAAGCCTGTGCTGCAACCTGTCACAAGCCACTGCATAGCTTCTCGTGTCTCTTAAGGAGGATATAAGTCTGTGCTTCGGAGTGTCTGATTGGGTTATTGAAGACTTGTGATTTGTTCGTGTCGGCTGACTTGAGGGAAATAGTCTCAAGAGGACTCCAGCCATATTTATACCCCCGTGTACGTGCTTGGAGGTGCAGTGCAGGTGCTAGTCGTACCGCTTTTACTGGTCTGCCTTGCTATTTCACACCACGCATTCGATCCACTGCAGTAGACAGATAAAGCCACGAAACTCGTAATCCTGCGGCCGTAAATCATGGTCCATCTTTCCCATGACTTTCTGGGGCTGTGGACACGAGGTTATCCCGTATATGTTAATATGGCTGGCGGAGCTGGAACTATTCGCTGCTCGCCCCAAATGACCGAAAGAGGCAGGCAGGAAAGCCACAACGGATGAATAGACCAGCCGAAGCAACCAGGATTGGTTTGTCCGGGCCAAAATGGCTCGGTCTGTTCGAGACGGGGAGCCAGTGATCGTACCACTTTGCCTATATCATGCTCTCCGATGCCGTGCGGGTTCTGCCTTGCCACCGGGGACGGGCAATACCAGGTAACCCCAGTTGTTGATATCGACGACTCGGGTTAGACTGGCGCAGTTCGCTGACGCAAATCCGAGTACGGGAACGAATCGGGAATGGTGCGAGAAGATATAGATCAGACCCTTGAGGAGCCTTGGGCCCAGTATTTGTGGATGGTGGGGATGCTGGTTGTTTGCAATGTCCGTGGTCGGTGATGCCTTTGAGGTCTGTTTCCAGCAGCAGGATACGATGTGCAGATTAGATGTAACAAATCTACCATATTATTGTGAAGAGACTAGGGATTCGCATACACCGGCAACGGACGCGCTGGATTGGTAACCGGGCACTACTCGGCATCAGCCTTACGTCACGATCGACGACGAGGCTGTCATTTTCCTTTTTCCTTTGGACTCTCCTCACCGTGTTCATAGAGCTTCTCCAGAGCAATCCGCGACACTTGCACCATTGCATACTCTTATTCTCGCTGGTCTCGTCTTCATATCATCGCGATAATTGAATGGAATACTATTCCTCCTGCAGCTCAAAAGAAACCTCTCTCGATGTCTAGCCTTCGCGCGGGTGACCATCACCGAAACGACGACTGTGAAATGCGGTCTATGACATCTTACTTCTCGCGCATGAGGAGCCTGGCCCTTAACAGCAGCGTGTCTTCAAAGTCTTCGCATTCTGCCAATGGCACATCATCGAAACCTGTCCTGGTAATGGGCAATCCCTCGGCGGACCTGGACAGCTTCGTCTCCGCCGTGGTTACCTCCTTTTGCTACAACCTGGCTGAAAACGATGCGGCTTACGCCAGGAGACCCATTTACATTCCGCTGTTGAATCTCCCGTCCGTCAGAGCAAGCGACCTATGGAGACTTCGGCCCGAGTTTGGAGTCGCACTGCGATTGGCGCTGGGGGAGTCGCCTGACACCGTTGGCAAAGAGGGGCGGGAGCAGGGCAAGACTGATGCACTGAAGGAACTTGTCACCATCGCGGACATTAAGGCTGATGAGGGATCAGAGCTACATAAGCTCTTCACCGACTCCAAGAACTCCGAATCACAGCCCTCAGATGCGACGGAGAAACAATCCCTCTTCCTGGTCGACCACAACTCTCCGTCAATACCTGGCCTGTCAGACGAAGCGATATCGGCCAGATTTACCGTCTCGGGCTGCATCGACCACCACGTCGACGAAAACTACGTCGCCCAGGATGCAGATCCACGGATCGTCACGACAGGGATCGGGAGCTGCACCAGCCTTGTGGTCACGCACTTCCGCGAGCGGGGGATGTGGCCTTCCTGCTCGAGCGAGCAGCCGGACGAACAGGGCCCAAACACACCGCACATCGACCCGGAGGTGCTCCAACAGATATCCAGACTCGCCCTCGCCCCGATCCTCATCGACACCTGGAAACTGCGGGCCAAGGGCGACAAATGCTCTGACACGGACCGGGAAGTCGTGCGGTTCTTGGAATCCGTGATCGCAACGACAGGCACGGGCCATAGAGACGCCGCCTCATCGCCGCGATCGTCACAGCCCGCACGGCAATCCGCCCCGGCGGGGATGGCGGAGTGGGACCGCGACGCCTTCTTCTCCTGCATCGCGACCGCAAAGGCCAACTCCCTGGACCTTCTGACGATGCAGGAGGTGTTTGATCGCGACTACAAGGCCTGGACTGAGCGCACCTCCGGCTCCAGCTCTGGCGGCGGTGGTGGTGGTGGTGGTGGTGGTGGTGGTGGTAGTGGCAAGGAAATCAACATCGGCATCTCCAGCCTGGTGAAGCCGCTTTCCTGGCTCGTCGCGCACGCCGGCACCGGCGCCGTCGACGCCTTCCTCGCCGAGATCGAGGCCTTCGCGACCGACCCCGCCCGCCGGCTGGGCGTGTTCTGCATGCTCACGCGCACGGGCGACGGGCGCAAGGAAGTCGCCGTGCTGGCCCTGGACGAAGCCGTCGAGGGCGCGATCGACGCGTTCGAGGCACGCGGCCGCGACGAGCTACGCTTGTCCGACTGGTCTGCTTCAGCTGCCGCCGCTGCGGCTGGAGATGGCGGCCCCGGCGGAAGCAGCGACGGGGAGGGCGAGGTCAAGGGACTCACCGAGGGGCTTACGAGAAAGTTCGGCGACAAGGGTCGCTGGAAGATCTGGTGGATGGGAGACACGAGCAAGAGTCGCAAGCAAGTCGGGCCGCTGTTGAGAGATGCGGTGAGAAACCTGTAGGACGACGGGGATTGAATCTGGTATACTACTTGAGTCGCTCCAATGATTCTGCATGTATTGGGATCATATTCATGCTCGGATTCTCTCTGTGTGTGTGAGAGAAGAGGGATAACTCTATTCATTCCACCTTCTTCGCTAACCCATGTGTTTCAATATCATTTGCATCCCCGTCCGGCGTGGCGACGCCGCTCTCCGACTCTGCGAGTTTCTCCACCTGATCATCCAACTTCCCGTACGCCTTGGGATTCTTTTTCGGCTCGCCCCTACCAACGCTCTTCATCTGATACCCTCTCACTCTCGGTCCCTGGCCAGTCCGTTCCGGCAACTCGGATTCATATGCACGACTGAATGTCCTCGTGTCGTCCTCGAATGTCTGCTTCTGCATGCTTTGGCGGACGGCAGAGAAGAAGGCATCGATGACGGAGAAATTGTGGATCTGCAGGAGCGTCCACGCGAGCATTTCGTTCGCTTGGAGGAGATGGTGCACATACGCCCGGTGATGGCGTGTGCAGGTGTAACAGGTGCAACGGGGACTCAAGGGGGAGAGGTCAGTGGCGTGTGTTGTGGACCAAAGATCAATTCCGAGAGGTTGATTGGGAGTGTCCAAAGAGCCCGGAAAGGTGAATGACAAGGCGATCCCATGTTCTGATGACCGTGTCACGAAGGGTACTGTCAAGAAATCGACTCCGGCGATGATTGCTGCGAGTACTGCTTGTGGCGATGAAGGGTCATTAAGACATATTATCGGTATCTCTCTGAGCGCTTCTGGCAACCCAACCACCGTCGAGGGCGAATAGACGCACAGTCCGGATATGTGAGGATTGTATTCGTCCTTCAGATCTGAAAGATACAAGGACAGAAGCTGTGTTTCATGCGGTGGTATTGCCGCGAAGAAGGGAAGACCTTCCTCTTCCTCTGTGCTCTCCACGAAATCTCGCAACCATGCATGTGTCCTGTCCACGCTTTTTTCTATTCTCTTGGCGCTCGCGGTCTCCGTGCTGATCAGATCAGGGATGCTGGTGGAAATGTCGGCTTTCAACCTTCTGATCGCCTCGTGATACTGCTCGACGTCGAGGAACCTGAATCCAACTGACGTCGAAATCGCCACCGACGAATTCGTGTTGTGCGCAGGACAAGGTATGTTTGGGACTCTGCGCAGGCCAAATATGGACAGATATCTGTCGGGCAGGCCAATATACTGCCGTAATGGAGACTCCCCATTTTGAACAGGGGTGCTGTAAAGAGGCGCATTCGCGTTCGACTTTTCAATGACTATCCACCAACTGTAAGCCACGTAAGTCAGCAATCCAGCTTGACGCTGAAAGTTGGGAACGTACAGTCTTCCAAGGGCACGTAGACAGCCGAGATATTGGTGTGCTTCTGCAGATTATCTTGTGATAGGTGAGGAATCACGCCCCGAGAAGTTGGGGCGACATAGTGTGGTGTCGAGATCGGGTGTCGCCCACGAAGCGTCAAATGGCCCAGCCTGCCCGCGCATTCTGGCGTGGACGCCTGCTGAAGGACAAACTTGAACATCTCGTCCGGGAGCTGAGCAAGCGAAGCACCATTTACACAATCCATGGTTGCATGGTTTGGTGGCTTGTCGACAAGTGTGTGGTAGATTTTGTGTCCAGGTGAATTGACGGAAGGCATTTGCATTTCCATCGCTATACATCGACCGTAGATTTGAGTAGTGCGGAGCACAAGTACCATTGAGAAGTGCGCCATGGCCTCGCTGACCCAGCCACGGTTTGAACTTCTCACTATCCTCAACCTCAGCTTGTTACGTGTACTTCTGTTCCGCAGACTGATCCAGCTGCATGATTCGGAGCCTGTCAGATAGAATCTGCCACTACCATGTCGACACGCGGCAGACTCATTGTAGTTGAAGGCCTTGATCGCTCTGGAAAGTCCAGTCAGTGCCAACGCCTCTTCGAGCAATTCCAGTCGCAAGGTCTGAAGGTCCGCTATGTCAAGTTTCCGGGTCTGTCCAACCCAAAGATCATTCATCTAGAAAAGCTCATCGGCTGATTTTTCTCGGGGTAGATCGAGCCACGCCCACGGGCCAGATGATCAATAGCTATTTAACTGGCGAAGCTCAACAGGATGACCATTCTATCCACTTGATCTTCAGTGCCAACAGGTGGGAAGCGATCAAATCTATTTCGTTTGACCTTCTGTCCGGTGTCAACGTGATAGTCGACCGATATTCTTTTTCTGGAGCCGTCTATTCGGCGGCGAAACAGAACCCGGACCTCTCAATTGAATGGGCGTGGTCGCCCGAAATCGGCCTCTTGAAGCCTGATTTGCTGTTCTTTTTGGATATCTCTTCTGCTGACGCTGCCAAACGGGGAGGCTATGGCGCCGAGCGGTACGAGAAAGAAGAAATGCAATCTCGTGTCCGAACCTTGTTCAAGGAATTGTTCGCCAGACTCGATGGAGTCGCCATTTATCAGGTTGACGCTGGAAGAACGATGGACGCCGTCGCCGCCGAAATCCTGTCAATTGTTCAAGGATCGACCGTGGAAGATGGTCTTGTGTCTGGCGGCCTGCAGAAGCTGGGTCCACTGCTCGACAAGAGGTCCTGAGAAACGGGGATTGTACTGAACGTAGGGTTGAGATGGTTATCCTTCATCTTCGCTATCTTCAATGACTATTTGGAGTCTCCTAGTGCCATCTGCGCCAGCGGAAGGCCTAACCGTCAGCCCACTCGACGCATTGGACGCCACGCTTGTGAAGGAATCTGCGGATGCAAGGGACATCCTGTCTTCCTCATCACCATCGCCAAGGCTCAGCTCAGCCTCCTCATCCACTACTCTTTTTGCGGTGAGCTCTTCTTCTTCACTTTCCGACAGATCGACTTCTTCTTCGCTCTCGGTCTCCATTATCTCTGCTGCCGTCGCCGAGCTCTTACCCTTCTTGCCCATGAGCCTTTGAACCTCCTTTATACCTCTATTTCGAAGGGTGACCTGCTGCATTAATTCCAGCCAAGCATGCTCCTGTCGACAGCTTGGACACGTTGCAGTTTCTGGGACGACTGGCGAGGCTGACTGTGTTTTCTTCAGAGATTCGTCGGCTAGACATCTAACATGGGACATGCTCTGACAGTTGTGCGTGTGACAAATGACGAAGATGCTCTTACGGAGATCGATCGTCTCTGCACATACAGAACAATTCCGAGTATCATCTTCATCGAGAAGAAATCGACTCTTTTCAAAGACGCCTTTCAGCCGGGCGTATGTTGAATCGACGCCTTCAACACCGCCCTTCCCGATCAAATCAGCCTTTCTCTTCCTCTGATTCGGCCGAGGCTGAGCAGAGGTGAACTCCACCTCTTCCGGCTGTTGGGGCTTCGGTTCTGCCGGGTCAAAGTGCACACTGATTCCCGGTCTGATTTGAGTATCGACGCGTCCGCACCAGGTTGACCACGAACGGTACACATCCTCACTGAAGAAGCGGACTTCAAGTGGCCATTTGGAGAAATAGGGCGCTCGCAGCAGCAGGTGGAGATTTGATAACTTGTCAATCAAAGAAGTTCTGGGCCGCCCTGGTCGTTTGGTGACTTTCCCCGTCCTAGAGGTCTTGGTTCGGGTGGTGGCAAAGGAGAGGCGCTGCTCTGGGGAAATATGGCGTGTTAAATGTGCATTGTGCCATGCCCACTCAAACTGCAAAGCTGCAATGTTGGAGGGGAACCCGGCGACGATACAGGCCATTTCCCAGGGACGAAGACTTGCCCGAGAAGTGCGCACGGCCCCGCCTTGGACTCGACCATTGTGCTGAGCCAGCCGACGTGCTGGGTCTGGTGAGGAACCGATGTAGAGGCTAGAGTGCCGCACGGTGGAGCGGAGGAGATAGCAGCAGTAAAACGCGGGAATGGGCTTGATATCCATCTTCGACTTGAATCACTTGGAGACCAGGTCGACCTGCCGTAAATCCAGGCGGGACGCTTGGGGCATTTAGCAAAGGTAGCAAAGATACCGCGCCTAGTGACTCGTGATTGGTGGCAGCCAGTCGTCGGCCAGTCCCATCAACAAACAAGAGGGTTTGGATTCATGGGTCTGATGTGCATGGCGTTTAGACTTGCAGGGAAGCCGAGGACTGTCTCGTTCTAACACCGAGGAATGTGTGTTGATCAATGGCCAGTATCTCGTTCTCCTGCGTTGTTGACAGAAGCGGGAAGAAGCCATCACGTGGCCGGAGACGAGGGGGGGCACAATGCCAAGAGCCTTGGCAAGTTTGGCAGCATTGAACAAGCCTCCGAGCCACCCAGCGAGGCCCAGCAGCAAAGACACCGCAGCAGCCAATCGAGTCTGGCTCCGGCTCTTTGCCCTTGGAGAGCATCTGGAGCCTCTTCTTGATTCTCTCTCGCGCTTGCCCGACGATCCCCATCTATCCACTTGGTACTTGTCTCTCGACCCTCTCGACCTATATCCTTCCTCTCACACCACAACCCGTGCTCTTGTGACTAGGCACTTTTCTCACTCCGCATGTGAGCCACTGCGTCTCAAAGTGCTCTTCTGGCACTTAGCATGCCGCTCCTCAAGCTCAGAGTTCAAGGCTAACCCTGCGATCCATTCCTTGTCCCTCTACAAGGCTGCCCGAAGGCAAACTCACCTGTCAACCCGCCCTGCCGCTCGTTTTTCGCGATTTTCCTGTTCGATATCAATATCAACCAATTCCAAAAGCTCTCATCTACCGTCGCTCTCGGTATCAAGTCCATTAGACTCGACGGTCCTCCGAATCCTCCCTGTACAATTACGATTATCCGAATAAGCATATCCCGCAGCTTGAGCGGGCTTTCCCACCTGTCGCAGTCATGGTCGCTCCACCTTCGACTGGTGGTGTCGCACCACCGGCTGCGACTGTGAAGCCATCATCAAGCGCTCCGAGAATGAACGGTGCTCCTCCTGCCACCATGACCACGCCCTCGTTTCCATACAGTGCCCGCCGTGCTCCACCTCTTGATTTGCGAACCGTCGAGCGCAAGGGCCATGCCTACAGTCGCGATCCCCCAGCGAGAAGGAGACTTCATGACCTACCCGAAGCCCCAACTTTCCGACCTACAGAGGCAGAATTTCGTGATCCGATGGAGTATATTCGCAGTATATCGGAGAAGGCCAGAAAATACGGTATTTGCAAGATCATCCCTCCAGACAACTGGAATCCAGATTTCGCCATTGATACAGAGGTGAGCCATTCAAGGAATGTCGGGCCGGAACTGCTTTGCTAACGGATCATAGCGCTTCCATTTCCGCACTCGGCGCCAGGAGATCAACCTGGTCGAAGGAGGTGGGCTTTCTTAGAGTCTGGGCGATGTATCTCTTCTGACATATTTCGCAGGGAACCGCACAAATCTCAACTACCTAGACCAGCTGGCCAAATTTCACAAACAATATGGCGCACACCTCAATCGGTTTCCCTCGGTAGATAAGCGTCCGCTTGACCTTTATAAACTCAAGAAAGCCGTCGAAGTCAGAGGTGGCTTCGAACGGGTCTGCAAGGACAAGAAGTGGGCTGAGATTGGGAGAGATTTGGGATATAGTGGGAAGATCATGTCATCACTATCCACGTCCCTCAAGAATTCCTATCAGCGATGGCTACATCCCTATGAGGAATGGCTGAAGTATGCCAAACCCGGCGTTCAGCAGCAGCTCGACAACGAACATGGTGGAGCGTACTCGCCCTCGGTCATGCCCCATCAGCCCATGGTCACCCACCCACCTCCTTCATCACAGTCTGCTCCGCCTGTCATGGCAGCAGATTCTCCAAAGACCCAGCCCGCAAGACCTCTAACTCCCCAAATACAGAATTCTCCGGGCCCATCGCAGCAGCAGCCACCCGTAACCTTGGTACCCCCTGCCGCTCAATCACGACCAGTATCATCCTCGGGCTTCACTGCAGTCAACAGTGGTTTCACTGCGGTAAACAACCCTTCAGGTTTTACGGCCGTCAATACCCTCCCACCTCCTCCGGTCAAGAAAGAAGTCAACGGCCTGCCGCCATCAACTCAAAGTCCGGCTTCATCCTTCCCCGCCATCAATGGGCCGACAATCACGACGATACACTCAACTGGTAGTTCAATACCGAATGGGACACCGAACCCTCTGAAGAGGACTTTGAGCCATGATAGTCTCAATGGTGAGTCCGGCTCGGAGGGACTCGATGGCGAAGGCGATGCAGCAAATGGCAGACGGAGCAAGAGGCCGAAGAAAGATGGTATGCCCACAATTCCGGGCAACCATATTCCTGCCATGCGCCCGACAACCCCCCAAGTGCGCACCAAAACGGCACCCCGGAGACATGGCGAGAAATGTGAGAAGTGCGGCAAGTCAGAAAACAAGGAGAGCATCCTTGTTTGCGATAGCTGCGATACGGGCTACCACAAGCATTGTGTGGAACCACCTTTGAGCCATATGCCCGAGTATGACTGGCACTGTTCGAAATGCCTGGTTGGGACAAATGACTATGGTTTCGAGGAAGGCAGCGTCTACTCTTTGAAGCAATTTCAAGAGAAGGCCAACAACTTCAAAGAGCATTACTTTTCTGCCCGAATGCCCTTCGACCCTGTTTCTAATACGCCAAGAAAGCCAACCGAGGACGATGTCGAACGTGAATTCTGGAGACTAGTCGAAGACATCACCGAGTCAGTCGAAGTTGAGTACGGTGCAGACATTCACTCGACAACTCATGGCAGCGGTTTCCCTACAGTGGAGAAGAACCCTCTCAATCCATATTCGAAGAGCCCATGGAACTTGAACGTCATGCCCTTCCTCGAAGAGTCGTTGTTCAGACACATCAAGGGTGACATATCCGGGATGACGGTCCCGTGGCTGTATGTGGGCATGTGTTTCTCGACGTTTTGCTGGCACAATGAGGATCACTATGCATATTCGGCAAATTACCAACACTTTGGTGCGACCAAAACTTGGTACGGCATTCCTGGCAAGGACGCGTATCGTTTCGAAGATGCAATGCGAAAAGCAGTGCCAGAATTGTTTGAGACCCAACCTGATTTACTTTTTCAGTTGGTCACCATTCTTCCACCACATCAACTGAGAAAGGCGGGGGTTGAGGTTTACGCCCTCGACCAACGGGCAGGTCAATTCGTAATCACATTCCCTCAAGCTTACCATGCGGGATTCAATCATGGTTTCAACTTCAACGAAGCTGTTAATTTTGCGCCTGCCGACTGGGAAGAGTTTGGCGAGTTGGGCGTGCAGCGACTGCAGGAATTCCGCCGTCAACCATGCTTCTCGCATGATGAGCTCCTCTTCACCGCCGCGGCGTCAGATACAACAATTAAGACCGCGAAGTGGCTGGGACCTGCGCTTGAGCGAACTCGAACTCGAGAATTGGCCGAGCGTCAAAGTTTTGTGGCAATGCACAAGCGGCATTTTCCCCACGACGACTGTACGTTCGATACATTGGCTCCTGAGCCATCCGAGTCCTGCGGCCTCATCATCAAGATCGAGAACGCCGAGCTTGAAGAGGAAGAATATCAGTGCTGCTATTGCAAGGCATTTTCCTACCTTTCACAATTTCGGTGCCACCGCAGTGGCAAAGTCACATGCCTTTTGCATCCTGAAGTGTCTGATTGCTGCTCTGACTCTCCTAGTGAAAGGCTGAGGGGACCCAACCACAGTCTTCTGGTCCGCTACACCAACCAAGAGTTGAGCAATATTGTCCAGAAAGTGGTGGACAAAGCAAACGTACCTGAAGCATGGGAGGCAAAAGTAGAGGCCCTACTGGCCAACGAAGCTCGGCCTGCGCTCAAGTCTATGCATACGCTACTGACAGAAGGTGAGAAGATACCACATACGCTGAAGGGTCTAGATGATCTAGCCGATTTTGTCAAGAAGTGCGACCAATGGGTGGAAGAGGCGAACCAGTATCTCACCAGGAAGCAGCAAAACAGACGAAAGAATGAGAAGGCCTGGCGTCGATCTTCCCTTCGGACCGGCCGGCCAGAGGACAAGGACAGCGAGCCACAACTCACCGTGGAACGCATGAAGGAGCTGATCGAAGATGGAGAACTGCTCGGGTTCAGTGCCCCTCAGCTGGAAAGTTTGAGAGAAAAGGTCACCGTTGTCGATGAATGGCGGGCGAGTGTGAACCGCATCCTCACAGGCCAGCACCAAGCTACTTCCGACGAGTTAGAGGGTCTGCTCGAAGAAGGTCGCGGCTTCATGGCTGCTATGCCTGAACTCACAAACTTGGAGCAAGTTCACGCGCGCACCCACTGGCTTGAAGAAGTCCGACAAGTTCAGAAAGATGTTCAATCAAAGACACTTGATGATTGCAAAGAGCTTCTTAAGCGCACTTCGGAACTGGAAATCTCTCTACAGATGCCAGAAGTCTTGTTTCTGACTGAAGTGGTGAGACAAGGCGAGTTCTGGGAGATCAAAGCAAAAGAAGTCATGGCAGCCGAGGATGTCCACTATCCCCAGCTGGAATCACTACATTCTCAAGTGCAGAATCAGGTTTTCCCTGTCAACAAGGAGACTTTGGAGCAGATGGATGTCATTCTGGCCAAGAATCGCGAGGCAAAACGCCAGATCATAACTTTGGTCGAACGAAGCCACGATCCAGACTTCCGAAAGCGTCCAATGTATGCGCACGTCAGGGATGTCGTCAAGAGCTTTGAGGATCTAAATGGGAAACCTCACGGCGCCTCCGACTTGGAGAAAGAATTGAGACGACATGAAGATTGGATGAGACGGGGCAAGAAACTCTTCGGCAAGGCCAATGCTCCGCTTCACATACTGGAACAACACATGAAGTTTGTGGAGGAGAAAAACAACTACTGCTTCGACCTGAATGATACGTTCAGGCCGCCGGTTGAGCCCGCGTCACGAGAAGCCACGCCCATCGAGGGTCAGGAGAAGGGCGCACTCGGCGACGAGGAGAAACCTGTTTTCTGTATTTGTCGTCAACCCGAGGCGGGGCTTATGATCGAATGCGAAATCTGTCATGACTGGTGAGTGGCATCGCCTATTTATTGTGGTCCGACTAATACTCCTTCAGGTACCATGCCAAATGTCTCAAGCTTGCCAGAGGAAAGGTCAAGGAGTGTGAGATGTTTACCTGTCCTATTTGCGATTGGCGAGTCAAGATTCCTCGCGATGCAGCCCGACCGAAACTTGAAGACCTACAAATCTGGCAGGATGAAATCCAGGATCTCCCATTTCAACCGGAGGAAGAAGAACTGCTCAAGCGAATAATCGATAAAGCGCAGGCATTTCGGGAGTTCCTCATGCGATACACGACTGGCAGTCAACTTTGTAGGACAATTGAGGAGATGCCAGAAATGCTCTTTTATCTCCGCAAGATTGAGGGCGCAGAGGTCCTCCTGGCATTTGAGACCAATGTATTACGGCAGGAGCTGCACAAATGGCAGCCCATTGCTCCCGAACCCCCGCCTATTTTGGACCAAAGTTTGTCGACACGAAAGCCCCGACCGACAAAGCAGCAGAAGTTGATGAAGGAGCTGGGAGTCGAGAAACCCGAGGACCTACCAGCACATTTACGGACAAAGACCTATGTGCGGAGAAAGACGCAAGAATCGTTTGTCACTGGACCTTTGCTTCCGAAGCCGTCGACGCAATCACCGTCAGCTCCGGGCTCCACTGCGAGCCCAAGTCATAACGGTGGAAACGCCGAAGGCTCGTCTGCCATGCAGAGGCAAGGATCCAACGATCATACTGGCCCAAGCAGGGCGTTTGAGCCTGGCTACATGTCAGGCTCATCCTTTGCAGAACGTCGACCTTCTCCCTTCTCACCCAACTCGCCCTCATTGTTCAGCCCCACTCGCGAAGCACCACATGAAGAGTTGAGGGATCCGATGATGCCCACATTTGGTGGAGATGGCTCGGAAGGACGAAACCACGACCCGTCATTCCCCATGTTCCGATCGGGTACTGGGTTGGGTCTGGATGCCGACGACGATATACGGAGTGGACTAGCCAATGCATCTGCGAGTGCCGCCAACTCTGCCAGGGAGGGCTCTCCTTCGGGAGGGGGTGAATACGACCATATGTTCATGGACATGACGAATCCAGATGCGGACACGAGTAACGATCCTGTGCCGAGTCTGGAACAAGAGGCCAGTCACGCGAGTGAGGCACTCGATATGATTCGAACTGCGAGCAATGATTCGGTGAACGACCATGCGGACTTGGAGGACGGAGAAAACGTCTCGAAACATTTTGACGACTTTATCAACGGAGACGAACAGAGTTGAAGATGGGTATGGATTCCTGGCGTTTGCGCGAAGGGGAAAATATCAATAACCATCATCGACACTGGGACTTAGCACGTATGGCGAGTCATCAAAAAGGAGTTGTATGCAGCTACCTCGGGGACTGTCGGGACTTTGACATTTGAGGGGATTCATCTGTACGGATTATCCTGTTATCACGACTCATAGAACAGCGAGGTGGTACGGAGGCTTAGGGATGGCCGGATGGTTATGGTGATGGCAGTTTCACGGGCTAGAATATGGCGGTATAGCTGCATGCTTTTGGACTTCTGTACAAGACCTGAGATAGGGACAATGGCTACCAGTCTCGCTGTTTGTGTCCATGTCATATTCCAACCGTCTGGGTGTGTCTCTACGGAGGTAACATGCTGTATACTTTGTGGTGGGCGAGAGCACTTTCAAACTGCGCTGAGGGGCCGCAGCTCGGCAGTTGAGCGGTTGGCGTCATGGACCAGAATCCAAAATTCAACTGGCGCCGCTGGCAAAATGTTGTCGCGGGGCAACTTTTGCTCGTCTTCTACCACAACTTCACCCGCGACCAGCTTGGAAATTGTGAGTAAGGCCACTGCAACTCCCAGAGAGAGACATCATCTGCCTTCTTGCTGGATGGGAACATGATTGCGGGACCAATGACATACAAGCTGGCCAAAGTTCACTTCAACAACTCCTCAGACATCTTCCGTGACTCAAGAATTGCTCTGCGCACACGACCATCCTGCTTAACGCGCTCGCAGCACCCTGCAGACTACTGAGCCTCCTTGGGAGACCAGACGACATAAGGAGAAATACCAAACACCACCGACCATGGCCTCCGAACACGATGATCGTCTGCCCACGCTGCTGTCCTCTCTGCCTGCCTCCTCCTATTACTTCTCCCTCGAATTTTTCCCTCCCAAAACGTCCTCTGGCTTCTCCAACTTACAAGCTCGTCTTGCCCGCATGGCCACGGCGCTGCGCCCTTTGTTTGTTACTGTAACCTGGGGGGCGGGGGGTTCTACAGCTACAAAATCCCTCGAACTGGCCGAAGTATGTCAACGACAAGTTGGACTCACGACTGTACTGCATTTGACCTGCACGAATATGAAGAGGTCTATGATTGACGAGGCATTGGAGGGCGCCAAGGAGATTGGGATTAGAAACATTTTGGCCTTGAGAGGAGATCCACCTCGGGAAGAGTACAAGGATGCTACGTCCGCAGACGATAGTGAGAGTGGCAGTGGTGGTTCGGGGACGGAGAGTAACCAAGAGTTTACATGGGCTGCGGACTTGGTACGATATATCCGGCGAAAACACGGCGGCTATTTTGCAGTCGGTGTCGCAGGTTATCCAGAGGGCCATGCAGATGAATCACACCCGGAGCAGGGGAAACAGAGTGTCGAACATGATTTACCGTACCTTGCCGAGAAAGTCGCGGCCGGCGCCGATTTCATCATGACCCAGCTCACCTACGATATCGAGGCTTACGCCGCGTATGAGAAGAGGCTGCGGGGGTACACTGATCCAGACGGGAAGAAGTTGTTCGAAAAGATCCCCATCATTCCTGGCCTGATGCCCATCCAATCCTACCAGATCATCAAACGAATTACCAAGCTTAGCCACGCCAAACTACCCGAGAAAATCTCCCAGCGGATCGAACGTGTGAAATCGGACGATGAGGCAGTAAAAAGGGTCGGAGTCGACATCCTTTCAGAGCTGGTTGAAGAAATGAAGACATTGCCGCAGCCGGAAGCTCTTCCTAGAGGGTTTCATTTCTATACTCTGAATCTGGAGAAGAGTGTATCATTCATTCTAGAGAGGACAGGGCTGATTCCCTCGATCTCGAGTGAGGGGAGTGTTGAAGACAAAGATGGAGACTCGGCATCTGATTCGGATGTGGTTGTTGTCGACAGCAAGCAAGATCCTCCGACTATCGTCACAACTGGGCCTGTGGATAGCAAAAATGAAAAGGGCCAGCAACCTTCTGGCTTCATACGGCGGAGAAGAAGTTCTGTCAATGCACAGCCTCACAACCGTGTAATAACAGATGGGAGGGCCGAACCTCGAACAAAATCCCGACGACCTGACTCGGACACCGACCCCCCTGGCCGGGGACCCAGTCCCAACCTGAAGCTGACATCTCAACATCTAGCAAGAGACCGCGGCACCGGCATTCCTGCTGCCTCTCCTACCCGGCGGCATAGCCTGCTCATATCTGAAGGACAAGGCTCTTTGGGTCGCGAAGCAACCTGGGACGATTTTCCTAATGGCCGTTGGGGACCCTCTCACTCACCTGCTTTTGGGGAGATTGATGGCTATGGACCGAGTCTGAAAGTGAGTCCGCTTATGGCGAGGAAGTTATGGGGCTACCCGAGGAGCAGAGAAGACGTCACGGAGTTGTTTAGACGCCATGTGTTGGGGGAGTTGATGGCTGTACCATGGAGTGATGACATCGACCCAGATCTGATCTCTGCTGGTGGGGCGGCCTCGGACGATGGCCCCAAGAACTCAAGTGCGCTACGCGCTGAGACGGACGTGATTCGTGCTGAGCTCCAATCCCTCATCAGCAAGCAGAATTACTGGACCCTTGCCTCGCAACCCGCTGTCGATGGCGCCCCTTCATCTGATCCTATCTTTGGCTGGGGACCTCCAGGTGAAGGATTTGTCTTCCAAAAGGCATTTGTGGAGTTCTTCTGTGGTCGCGACGAGTGGGAGGAGAAGCTGCGGCCACGGCTGATGAAGTATGGGAGTGATGTGCTCGGTTGGATGAAGACGGACGCCGAGGGAGTCTTTGAAAGCAGTGAACTCGTAGCTCGGGATCAAGCTCGAAAAAGCAAGCCGTCGTCGACGGATACCGAGAAGGAGAACACCAAACCAGCCTCTCCTCTGCAACCTGCAGACCAGAAATTCTCTACTTCGACATCGACCGCCTCACCCTCGAACACGGTGAACGCAGTGACATGGGGCGTATTCCCTTCCCGCGAAATCTTGACTCCAACCATCATTGAGGCCGAATCCTTTCGAGCCTGGGCACAAGAGGCCTACGCGATCTGGAACGAATGGAAGCGTTGCTTCCCCAGAGGAAGCCAAGAGGCTCTGTTTTTGGAGAAGATGGGAAGAGAGAATGTGTTGGTCAATGTCGTGGGGCAGGCGTTTAGAGGGGGTCATAACGGCGGCAAGGGAGAAGGGGCACGACTATGGAGGATATTGTTGGCTGAAGAGGGGGATGAGAAGCCATAGTCTGACAAAAATGGCTAAGTCAATACCTAGTGAAGAAAAGGAGCCAGCGAGGATCCCATGCGCAATGGTGGTACTGTTTTGTCCCAGTCAAGACGGATTCTGGATTCCACTGCACGGTCTGTATATGCTTGGACACACTTAAAGCGGTTGGGTTGAGCCCCTGCTGGCTCCTACATAGATGGGACTCTGCATATTCAGGAGAAGACCTTAGTCTGTCCAGACCGTCTCCATCCGTTCCCTGATGATGTACGTCCATGTTTCTGCCAGTTATGTCCGCACAATCCGTGCTATGCGGCCGCCCCGAAATCCATCAATGTGTTGCTGTCTTCAAAGGGATGCTATGACCCTCTCGGTGGACATTTTCCTATTGGTCGAATCTGCCCTTGGCTAGAGGATATGCGTTGTGTTGCATAGCCGACAAGAGCTCTCCGATAGGGTCAGCCGTGGCAGCGGAATATGCTACGCGATATGTTTAGACTCATCAGGACAGCTCCAGGAGGCCACCCAAGCTATTGCGGTCCCCCACCTCGTGATACGGCGGTCAGACATGACTGATATATGCCCGTCCTCTCCTGTGGGGGGCTATAGCATCTGCCCTGATCGGGACTGGATACGGTGGTTTCGAGACACCAAGTATCCCATTCCTTTCCAGAGCCCAGAAGGAGTGCGCTGATTGCTTCTTATATTCGTTTGAAAAGGCCAGGACAGGATTTAATTGCCACCCACCATGTCGCAGCCGACGACAGACTTCAAGTACGCTTGGCTCTCTCAGATCGACCCCGTCTGGGCGCCCATCCAGCAAGAATGCGACGCCCGTTTCCGCATCTTTTGGGATCTTCCTGCCGAACAGTATCAAGAAGCATGGAAGTCGAATCCCCTCGTCATGCCCGAGGGTACCCCGATGGACCTGGAGGTGACTTTCGAGACGATTCCGTTCAGAGACGGTCACAAGGCGGAGCTCAAGATCTACAAGAACACGCAGAAATTGAAGGCTATGGGCAAGAAAGGGGACCGCGCGCCGCTTATGCTCGTCGCGCATGGCGGAGGGTGGATGATGGGCGACCATGCGGTGGAAGAGGGCGTTTGCCGCTACACTGCGAAAGAGACTGGCGCTGTGGTGGCCAGCGTTGACTACAGACTGTGAGTACGCCAACGGATTTAGGGTGCATTCGATCATGAAGCCTAAGTTGTCCTCTAGAGCTCCCAAGCACCGCTTTCCGCAGCAGGTGAACGACTACTATGACGCATTTATATGGGTGAGTTTCCGTCAACGTTCTCGCTTCGCGTGTACATGCTTCATCCCAGATAGCAGCCCCGCAACAGTTGAGTATTGAGGTATTATATTTGCGAAAAGAGAAGGCCGTTTCGCTCTTGAGAGTGTTGAAGGTTCTCAATATACTTTCCTTCACTGATGGCCCGACGACCGCTGCCGACGCAGCCTTGCAGGGTCACATAGCCTCATCAACAAACCTATTGACACGGTTATTTCGCCTTCTCATCGTTCCCACTATGGATGATTTTGACAGTTTGCAATCCCTCGATTCAGTATTTTGACTTTTTCACGCGTCGCGCTCAAACACTCGAACCTTCTTCGTTCTATTCTGGCCGGAAAGGCGTTATTTCGGTTTACTGACGAGCACGCATCTGTTGAGCAGTGCAAAGCCAACGCCTCAGCCTTGGGCATTGATCCGTCCATGATCATCACCTGCGGCAGCTCCGCCGGTGGGAACATGGCCGCCGTCCTCCCGATCATGGCCCGGGACCAGAACGAAGGCGGTATCATCGGACAGTTGCTCAACAGCCCGGTCCTGTGCCACCCGAAATACTTCCCCAGGGACAAAGGGTATGAGTATAACAGTTTCCGGCAGAACAAGAACTCGTCGATCCTGGGAGAGGAGAATATGCTCAACTGTTGGGCCGAGTATTACCCCGACACGGGACCGGATGTGTATGCAAACCCCCTGCTGGTAGAGTCGGTTGAGGGACTGCCCCCTGCATGTGAGTGACCTTGAACGTTTTGCTCATGTTATCCAGCCTGCAGCGCAAGAAAGTCCGTGAAGTGCAAAATACATCGAGCTGACCACGAGGGTGATACTCTTCTAGTGATTCAAATAAGCGGTTTGGATCCGCTACGGGACGAGGAGTTTGCATATGCCGACCGGCTGAAAGAATCAGGGTATGCTTGAAGCTGTGCCTCGGGACGATAAAGAATGGTGCCCTTTGTAATGATACATTGGCTGATTGATTGGCGCACCTCTATCTCTAGTATTCCCGTCGACGTCGAGCTCTTTCCCGGGCTGCCTCATGGATTCTACACATTCCCGCAGTTGGAGGCCACAACTGAATACTTCAAACAGTCTGCGGCTTGGGTCAAGAAGCTTTTGTCGTCGAAAGGATGGGAAGCTTGAATGCTGGGAGGTATACTCGAGCGAAAGGACGTGATTGAGAAGCAAGTTTTAGCCAACAATCGCAATTGGAATCTCAAGTCAAAAGCTGCCTATCTATGTACAGCGATGGCATGAAATGCCAACGATATATACCGCCATCTAGCCTTGCTTCAGCTGGAATCCTTCATATCCATTCTTTCTGACCTCCCCGCATGTCTTTCTGTACTGCGGCATCCCGAGCATGTAGTTGTAGCACTCTCTGGGCTTCCCGGGGATGTTGGCCCCGAACCACCAGCTCTTTGCGTACTTGAAGAGACCCATGTCGCCCGCTGCAAGGATACCCTCCCTCCACTTCTGCTCGGCTTCGAGCGTGGCTTCGATCGTGGTGACCTGGTCCCGACGGAGGTCGCGCAACATGTCCGTGAGCCAGTCACCCTGGTATTCGATGCAATTTGGTCCGATCGAGAACGGTCCGGGCGACTGGGGCCCATAGACCCAGAAGAAGTTGGGGAATCCGTTGCTGCACATCCCCAGGTACGTCTGGCAGCCCTTCTTCCACTTGTCGCCGAGGGTGAAAGACGGGTCCGTGCCGCGGATGTCGACGTGGGTGAGGCCGCCGGTGATGGTGTCGAACCCCGTGGCGAAGATGATGACGTCGAGCTCGATTTCCTGGCCGTCCTGCAGCCGGATTCCCTTCTCGGTGATCTCGTCGATGGGGTTCTCGTTGACGTCCACAAGGTCCACCGTGGGGAGGTTGAAGACGTCGAAATAGGTCCGGTAGAGGGAAATCCGCTTCGTGCCGAAGGGGTTCGGGGCTTGTTCAGGGCAGAGCTTCTCCCTCTTGTACGGATCTTTGATCAGCGGGGCCGTCTTCTTGCGCCAGAACGCGTAGGCGGCGTCGGCTGCCTCCTGCGTGAACGACGTGTCCTTGTAGTTGCCCACCCAGAAGCCGAAGCCGCCTCGCTTCCACAACTCCTCGTAGAACTTTTCGCGCTCTTCGGGGCTGTCTTCCATGGCGCTCTTGTCGTGCCAGGAGTACAGAAAGCCCGCCCAGGTGGCCTTGGCCAGCTCGATCGTCTCCGGCATATCCTTCTTGAGCTTGTTGTTGTCTTCTCTACTCAGCGGCGCTTGGTCCATCGGCAGCGCTGTATTCGGCGTCCGCTGGAACACCGTGAGCCGCGAGGCCACGGGGCCGACTTCTTGGATCACTTGAACCCCCGTTGCTCCAGTGCCGATCACGGCGCACCGCTTCCCCTTGAGGTCGACTCCGTCGCGCGGCCATCGAGATGTGTGGTATATGCTTCCCTTGAAGTCGTCGACTCCCTTGAAGGGCGGCTTATACGGCACAGCTGCGAGCCCGGCGCAGAAGAGCAGAATGCGCGTCTTGACTATGGTCGTCGTGTTCTCTTGGTCGTTCGAGATCTCGCACACCCACACTTTCTGCACCATGTCCCAGTGGGCACTCACCACGCGGGAGTTGAAGGTCGCGTCCGAGTGCAGATTCCACAGCTTCCCCACGTGTTGGAAGTACGCCTCGAGCTCTTCGCGCTTGGGATACGCCTCGCTCCATTCCCACTGGTCCCAAGTCTCGTCGGACGAGAACTGGTACGTCGGCACGATCGAATCGACTCGGGCGCCCGGATAGCAGTTCCAGTACCAGGTGCCTCCGAATGTGCTCGCCGCTTCGTAGAGGTGTACGTCGAACCCGAACTTGCGAAGCTTGTTCAGGAGATACATCCCTCCAAAGCCACCGCCTACGATCATCACCTCCCATTGTTTCTCGGAGCTCATGGATCCCATGTCGATATCGGCTTCGACAATAACGCAGCTGGTACAGAAGGCCCAGGATCTGTATCTAGGAATGTTGCTCAAGGCAAGGAAGATAGACGCCGTATCAGATCGTGCTTCTAGAGCGTCTTCATTTTGAGGATGTGTCTTTCGAGCATATCCCTCCCACTCTGCCCGGGCGGAGTTGATTAGGCTACGGTGTATCCGCCCCATTGGGAAACTTCCTGTTTGGATCAGTCCACCACTTTGCTTCATAAGCTCCGCCAATCACACTAGTGTTACGCGGGCGAGACACGCGTGTACACTCCAGCGTATGGCGGAACCTTTTCTCCAGGCCAAGTGGCGAGGGGATCTCGAATGGGCGGAATTCATCTCTGCTCTCAAAAAAGCCAAGTACGGCGGCAAAGTGCGACGACTGGCATTTGGGAATTCGCAGGGGAGCTCAGTTTTCCGAGCTCGGGGCTTATGGCTATCTCTATGGTTCAGGCTTTGTCTTTACGCAACGTCACAGTGATGAGGTCAATTTGTGTAGAATCTGCGAGACAATAGCTTTGTCCTGGGAAGGGGGATCTCTTAAACGATAATCTGGACTCAAATCGCGACAACTCTTTCAGTGGGTTATGAAAGTAGTCATATCCATGGCAACCCTCCACTGGTGTTAAATTCACACATCTGGAAACAATGATAACCATCTGCCACCATCAAGCTAATGCGTATCACCCTTACGCCGATGGTCGTCTTCGGCCCAGGTCTCCCTCCCTGTGCTGTATACTATGTCGTCGGGCCCCTGGGTGAACTGAATGCGGTACGTCCGGTGCTCAATGTACCATTTCCCCTCCACGCGCCTCCATTTGTCCTTGTACGTGAGCCACGTGAGCTGGACCTGCCCGGCGAAGGGGCCTTTCCCCGCGTGCGCGGCGAAGACGTTGACCTTGGACTCGGCCCGGTCGCCGGCCAACGCGCTTATCGTGTGGTTGGAGAGGTCGTGTCGAGTCGCGGCGCAGTACGAGTTCGGGGTGTCGAAGTGCGCTTCGATCCGCGATCTCACCGCCGCGAGACTGTGGTCGACCGTCCCGCCGCCAAAGTCCCAGACGAGGTCAGGCAGGAACAGCTCGGGGAGGCGGTCGAGGCACATGGTGTCAACGATCTCGGGCCACAGCATCATGCGCTGCATGATCTCCAGGTGATCGGATATCGACTGGGCATCCATCATGGTGCATCCAGCAAGGGTGGAGGCGATGTGAAAGGAGGATGGGGGACCGTCCTTTTCGGGTCGGGAAGAACAGCGCCGAGTAGGGTGATGGAGGAAGCCTCTGTTGTAGCTAAGGCGGGCCTTCTGAGCAGCGCACAGACAAGGTGAATGAAGACAGTTATCGGCAAGCTGTGCAAGGAGTAAGTCAGACCACGGACCGGTAGGTATAGTTGGCCCTAAGCGGATCAATCCATAAAGCAAGAGGATATCTTCATCCGCCGTTATCGTGCAACACCAGGCAAAGTGCGTGCGGAAGAACGAGTCACGGCGTGCTCCATGCTGTACGGATCAGTTCAACAGATCACGGTTGCAAAGCAGCCAGCATTCTTAGCCAACGATATCCCCACAAGCGGCTCGAGAATTCCTTTATTATGGTAGAGTCCCCTTTATAATTAGGGTCGGAATCGCGCTTTACGATCAGATACGCTGTTGCGCAAGGAATTTCACCAATCTGCATCTCTGTACTATACGATTCGCAAGCCAACGCCCTGTGCCGCCGTTCTCGTTTGACATATCAGGCGTACGGAGACAGATGGATTGCGGTTGACTATGCGGACTCTTTAGCATCGTTGATATCCTCCAAATTCACCACGATGGCTTGTCCCTCCTTGTCCTTGTGGACTGTACCAACGATGTGATGATCAGAATCGACGTGGATATCCTGCTGCCGGACGACCACAAGGTCGTCGTCGCCGAACAGAAGAGCCATCTCTTCCAGACTCTTGCCCTGGGTGTCTGGGAAGTACCAGTAGATGATGAAAGCAGTCACGACCGTGATGCAGATAAACACCAAGAAGAATCTCCAGCCAATGTTGGCGATCGCCGTTGGTCCCGACTGACCCCAGAGAATGCTGAATGCTCCGTAGCTCACCACCTGTATCGTTTGGCCCCGAGCACGCAGGTGCGTGGGGTAGAACTCGGCCGCCCAATACGACATTGGCCCCTCGGTGAAGGCAGCCGAGAACATGGAGAAAAGATAGAGCAAGGCGACGCAGGCAATCTGGGCGGATTTGTGTTGAGCGTCGGCCAGATTGAAACTTGCCGCGACGCCCGTGTAGCAAGCGAGTACGATGGTTTCTCCAAGTAAACCGATCATGACCAGGGTCGGGCGCCGAAGTCTCTCGGTGAAGAATATGGCAGCAAAGATGCCGGGCATAACAGCCGCCATCATTCCAGCTTGGATATTCAGTTGGGCAAGCGGATCCCAGCCGGAATGGCTCATGATCACGGTAGCGTAGGTCGCGACGCAGAGGTTGCCGCTCGACAGGACTGCAAAGACAATAAAGACGGTCATGCACATGCGCTTCCGCATCGAGGGTGTCTTGAACATGAAGAGCCAAGAGGTAGGCAGAGTGCGATCCAGCTCGATCTGGTTCTTCATCTGGAACATCTCGATCTGTGCGTAGCGGTGGTCCGAGTCTCCTGGCGCCGAGTGGAACCGGCGCACGATTTCCCATGCCTTGCTGGTGCGTTCCTTCAGCAGCAGGAACCGGGGAGACTCTGGCACCCACCACAGGCCGCAGAGGAAGAGCACTGGCGGAAGAGCGCCTAATGCGAGCGGGCCTCGCCACGAATTGAGCCCTTTGATGGAGCCGTTCGTGTAGAATCCCACGCCCACGTAGCTGGAGAGGAAGTAGCCGAGGGACGTGCACACTCCATGACACTGCGCGAATGCCCCGCGAACCTCTGCTGGTACAACCTCCGTGATCCACAGAGGGACGGTCATCAGCAGCATGAAGCCACCGACTCCGTATAGAAACCGGAACACAATGAACATAGCGATGTGAACGGAGCCGGCGCAGAGAGCGGCCGCAGCAAGCGAAGTAAGCGCGCCGGTGTATATCGATGCCTTTCTTCCCCAGCGGTCTGCGACGAAGTTCGCACCGAAGGCACCGAAGATACCACCAGCGTAGTACAAAGCTGTCGTGGCGCCGATGATTGCAGACGTCTGAGGGCCGTTGTTGAGCTTCATATAGGAGTAGAACGAGGGCTGTCCAATGGTAGTCGCAATTACTCCAGCGCCGTATGAGTAAGTGAGGGTACCCATACACATGATGACAACGCTGAAGATCATCCTTGGTCCGAAATGCCGTTTTCGCTTCTCCACGGAGACTGTGGTCTCATTGGAGTGCGCCTCCATTGCCGGCGGCGCTTCTTGGGGTCTATTCGTCATCCTGTGTGGGCAAGGCAATGATGTTTCCCACTGAGTGTAGTCGTTACGGACCCGAGTTGATCAATTGACCAGTAGCAGTAGCCACCTGATGGGAAAAGGCAGCACACTCGTTCAAGGCTGTGACTTTTCCAAAATTTCGATTCTCTCGCTACCTTATCGACAGGGCTTGAGAAGAGGAAAGCGAGTAAAGGAAGATTTATGCGAAGATGAGGAGTATCGTAAGATCTTTTGGCTTCACTTACATTGCTCAACGGGAAGGTTGCGGTCTAACCCCTCATTCCGCACAATACTCCAAGCCATCTTCAGCCGCGTCCGCCATTTCCGCCTACCGTGGTTTTCCCATAGAAAAGATTGCTATAGGACATTGTACGCTTTTGGGTTGGTAGTCTATCATGATTCAGGGTATTGAGATCGAATAATTACTGGGCATGTCAAATAGGTCCCTATCATGCGAGAAAACGAAGACGTATATCTTGCTGTGCGTTCGGGAGATCCGAACTCTGCATTGAATGTCGTGTACTTTGTGGTATATTTCATCGAATCTCCTTCACAGGTCAATTAAGTCCCTCCCAAACGACTGCCAAGAGCCCGTGACGAGGGCAACATGTGCTTCGATGTCTGATTTCTCCACGATCACCCCGTGGGGAGTGACAAGGTCGCATTTCATCCAGCCCCACATCATTGTGAACAATACTAACTGCTTTGGGCTCATCGGAAAAGACGGAACTATTGGTGCGGGGCTGGCGGAAAATATGATGATTGGGAGGCTGTGTTGCTGGCCTTCGAGTTGGAGAGGCTTGTCGAAGTGTGTCTGCTCCTCGTAGCTGGTATCACCCATGTCATCCACGACCTGCCCGACTAGGTCGCAACATGGGATAGTCTTACTGATTCAAGTGGCCAGACCCTGCTGCCTCAATAGCGCAAGGGTGACCCTCAGTCGTCTACAGTCCCGAAGGCTTCTCAGTTAAACCACCTGGCAAGCAACCTGGAGACCACATTCGGGCACAGCGAGCATTCCAAAGATTCTTCCTAATGAATAGCTTGATGTCTATCTACCCGTGGATGCTGGAGGGGAGAAAACAATTCGAGCTACGTCTTAACTAGACAGGCAGTCAACTACCACGCTGTAAGAGGCCCAATCTTAGATTCTCCGCCCTGTCTCTCGCCCGCTTTCTCACACCTGCACCCACGAATTCAAGCAGTCGTGCCACCGTCTACTGGGTAGTTGCTACCAGTGACATAGGATGCCTCATCGCTTACGAGGAAAGCAATGACTCGGGCGATCTCTATGGGATGGGCCTGCCTGTCAAAGCACTGCATTGTAGTAGGCACTTTTTGACCACCTTTCTCGAATGGGTCCAGCAACGGGGTCTTGACGACGCCTGTTGAGTATTTTACGCCTTTGTTAGCCTGATGGAAGGGCAATGGAGAGAATATGACAAAAACCCCATCCATGAACGGACTTGATCTTTCGCGCGCGAAGCAAAGGGTAGAGGGATATCTCGCCTACCTGGAGCAATGCAATTGACTCTGATGTTGCGTGGGCCCACTTCTCTTGCCACCGATTTTGTCATACTAATGACCACGGCTTTGGAGGCCGCGTAAATGGACGTGTTCGCGCAGCCTATCATTCCCTGGATGCTTGCAGCATTGACCTGCGACATTCTTAGATCCCGAAAGCTTTTGGCCAGCGAAATAAAGATTTGAAGCAAGTCGCTCTTTCGGTAGAGGAAATGGAAATGGGCACATTGAGGCACTCACGATACTTCCTCCGCTTTTCATATGCTTCAACTGCTCCCTCATGCAGTGAAAGACGCCTTTGCCATTGACGCCCATCATGAATTCCCAGTCGTCATCGGTTTCTTCTGTGATGGGGGCTTGCATTCGCGCAACACCAGCGAGGTTTACCCCACTGTCCAACTTGCCGAATTGCTGCACTGTTTTCACGATCCAATTCTGAACCTGGGCGCCGTCTCGGACATCCACAACGGTCGTGATGTGTTTGTCTCCTTTGATAGCTTTGAGAGCATCGTCGAGACCCTGTTGATTGACGTCTGCGATGGAGAGAACGGCCCCTCGTTCAGCAAGGAGCTTAGCGGTCTCCAGGCCTATGCCACTGGCGCCGCCAGTCAATGCAACCTGGGCAACATTTAGTAAGCTCATCCACCGCTTCCTTTCTTGGTTACCCCTGGAGACTGCACTGACCACTTTACCATCCAGAGACGCCATTCGGATAATGTACTGTTCAAGCTAGTCTGTCCAAGCCACAGCTCTCTGTCTGAACAGAATGCCCACGGACTGTCAATTTCCTGGAATTATGTAAGTTCGGATGCCAACAGGCTCTGGCCTGGTTGTGTCCTGTTGTAAGGCTACGACCAGTAAAGTCCGCTTCGGCTATTCGAGATGGGAATATTAAAACGGATATCGAAGAACTCCGAAAAAACAGCGGGTGAGTGGGATCCTCCGCAAGGAGAGGCTATAGTTCTCCACGCATTCTACTGAGCCTAGACTACGAAGAAAGAATAGCAGTAGTCATGATTTCCGCATGTTTCCGCTCCCAAGAGGCTTGAGTGACCAATATCGTGGCAAGTTGAAGTGCTATTACTCCGCTTAAATCATTGGATCACTCGTAGCGCTGGTTTACGTTGAACAGCTCTTGGAGGGGCGAGAGGCACCAATGAGGAGAATTTCCATTTTAAGGTCAAACAACACCATCCCCGGCCTGGATAGCAGACCCCCAGCACTGCCAAAGGGAAGCCTGCAATGTTGTAATGTTCGCGGAGAAGTATTATGACGGCAAGACTTGGGGAACTGCACCCGCCGAAAGCCTCCGATGTAGCTAATTATCATTATCTTCCTAGACTTTAACATGCATCGGTGGCCCAATCGAATATTCTTGAGGAACTCATATCGTCTCGATAGCTAGATAGATTACATCCTGAGCGTCGTGCGGCACCGGCATATGTGCTAAGGCTCCCAACATGGCAATATCTCAGGGCAGCACACTGGAGTTCGTCTCAGAAACTCCGGCCGCAGCAACAGAAGTGAACGGCAACCATGTCGGCCTGGACGAATTCCAATACCCAAAGCATGTACTCGGTCAACCTCGTCCTTTACGTATCATCATCATCGGAGCGGGCATCGCAGGCATTGCTGCTGTCAAGCTTTTCAAAGAGCGCTTTGAAGGGCTTCCAGTCAATCTAACCATATACGAGAAAAATGCCGATGTTGGTGGAACTTGGTTAGAAAACAGATACCCAGGGTATGTCATCAGAAAGGAGGGCGATGCGACCGACAATGTCAATACTGACGCTTCAATGCTAGATGCGCCTGCGACGTGCCAGCACACGGATACACATTTTCGTGGGAAGGGAATCCGAATTGGTCCAGAGCCTACGTGGGGGCTCCCGAGATATGTGAATACTACCAAGGGCGAGCTAAAGCATATGGGGTATACGACTATTTACGCGTGAATCACCGCGTGGTGGGCGCTGTCTGGGACAAGAAGCAGAGCATTTGGCAGCTCGGGGTGGAGGACTTGGCCCAGTCACGTACATTCACCGACCAAGCTGAAGTTGTCATCAATGCAACTGGTTTTCTCAAGTAAGTGACAGCCCCCCTCAGACAACAACCTTTGAAGACGAACTAACGAAAGTGGCACAGTAAGTGGAAATGGCCCGACATTCACGGACTCGACACTTATAAGGGCCACAAGGTTCACTCGGCTAGATGGGACGACTCGTTCGATTTCACGGGGAAAAAAGTTGCGGTGATTGGAAATGGCTCATCGGCTATTCAGATTGTGCCAATCCTACGAGCTGGTATGCATTTGAGAGGAAAACCATGACTAGACTGTCAGGCTAATTCTATCTACCCTAGTTGCGAGCCATCTGGTGTCATTCAACCGATCGCCAACCTGGATCACTCCTGAATTTGGTCAAGAGTTTGCTCCCGAGGGCCGCGAGCAAGTATTTACGGAGGAACAGAAATCCGCATGGGCAGGCAATCCAAAGGGGTTTCTGGAGTATCGAAAGCGTGTCGAAACGACCATGAACCAGGTCTTCGACCTATTTTTCAAAGAGTCCCAGATGCAGAAGGACGCGATGCAGCATTTCCGCAACAACATGAAGCAGAGGCTGGGGAATAAAGCATACCTCGCGGACAAGCTCGTCCCCAACTTTGCGGTGGGGTGCCGGAGGTAAGAATTTCCCTGGCATATCCCTTCCCTTTGAATATCCCAGTGCTCAACCTACCGCTAGGGTCACTCCAGGACATAATTATCTTGAATCTCTCGCCGAGGATAATGTGACGATAGAGACGGGACAGATTCTGAGGATCACCCCGGACGGCATGGAGATGGAGGACGGAACACGGTACACAGACATCGACGCGATTGTGTGTGCTACTGGATTCGATACGTCCTTTCGACCTGCCTTTCCTGTCGTTGGGGAACAGCAAGATCTAAGAGAGGTCTGGAAGGATGAGCCCAAGTCCTACCTCTCCATCGGCGCAACTGGCTTCCCCAACTTTTTCTGTGAGTTTTCATACCTCGCGCACGTGGCCTTTTCCCCAGCACCTTCTGATGATGACCGTGTATCAGTTGCCACCGGGCCAAACTGTCCCCTGGCCAATGGCACCTTCGTGCCGTGTCTCGAGCGGACCATGTCCTACATTTTCGATCTGGTCGCTAAGATGCAGCGGCAAGGAATTAAATCCGTGTCGCCAAAACAGGAGGCGGTTGACGACTTCCAAGAGTACAAGGACTCGTTGATGAAAGATTTGACCTGGACCAGTGGCTGTCGATCGTGGTACAAGAATGGTCAGGTCGATGGTAAGGTCTGGGGGCCCTGGCCTGGCAGCGCGCTCCATTTCCTGGAGGCAATGGCGGAGCCGCGATGGGAGGACTGGGATATCAAGTACACCACAGGCAATCGCTTTTCGTATTTCGGCAACGGGAAGACAAGTCGAGAGCAAGAGGGGAGCGACTTGGGCTACTACGTGACGCAGCCAGGTGCCTAGATGATTTTCCTAGACGCTGGCCTATATCAACCGCCAGGAAGGTGAGGGCTATTCAGCAAGATCTAGATAACTTATGCCAATGGCATTCATACGATCAGAATGCTTTTGGAAAGCGCCCTTAACTCCACTGATTAAACCATAGAACTCAGCGGCGAATCTTGACCTCTCCAAAGTCCATTTCCGTTTCCAGACCCGAGCATCTCGCCGTTGGACCGGATGGGAACTGAGCACACAGGAATTGATACCCGCCAACACTGCAGCGATCTAACCCCAAGAACTATTCGGGTATGAATGCGACAAGGGGGTGATTGGACCAAGAACACGAGACTGCTTTGTATTTCTGGAATGCGGTAGACTCAAATACATTTGGTTGTCGAATGCCGGAAACAACCATTTTTTGCAGTCATCGTCTGCCATCCCACCCGACGGCTATTTGCTAGTTGAGCAACGCCGGGCCTCTCGTACTTTTTGCCTTCATGTCCAAACGGACCACGGACCCTGGTACGTAAAGGAAGGCTGCTTCCGGAGGTCCGTGTAACCGTTCGACGATTGCTCGTAGACGTTCGCCTTCTGTGGCCCCTCGGCGTCCAATATATACCCTAATTGGCAAGACTCAAATTGTACCCTGACCTGGTCGGCGTAAAAGGCGTCAAAATCGACAGCCAGGGCATCCTTCAACGTTTTGATGTCACCGTGCGGGTGCAAGACTTCCCACGGGTCGGTACATTCCTTCCCTTTACATGACTTCAGCACCATCATGAGCGCGTCGAGACGGTGCCAGATTTGCTCAAACCCACGTCCTTGTAGCTCGTATGCGGCCGTCAGGTCAGCCGCATCGTCACCGAAATAATTGTCCAGTTGAAAAGGATCGAGCTGTTTTACCAAAACGCTAAGTAACAAGACTTAGAGAACTTTTAGAGGGCCCCTCTTTCACGCCTGCTTACCTTGAGATCGTAGTATTCTTTTTCCCCGGTGCACCAAACCGAGTAATAGAGGCTGTAGTCCTCACCGATCAAGCGGAGACCTTTGTACGTGTTGTTCACTCCAAACGTGTTGTCGCTGATGTTGTCGTCATATCCGCCATCACCGTATTTGCCCCATATACTCTCTGGGACGGCGAAGCCCCAGTATTCGATATTTATATGTTCCGTTCTCTCTGCATCACATGTAGCCTCATCGGCGATGTCGATTGGCAATCCGTCAAAGTTGTCCCTTGACTTTCCGACAAGCGACATGATTGTCGGCGCAACGTCCGAGTGCGAACTCACTGCTTTGGAAACATGGCCGCGTTGGACACCGGGTCCGCGGATGATGAGTGGGATGTGAATATCGGTCTCGTATCCGCACTCTTTTCCAGGGTGCAATCCTTGGGTCAAGTCAGCCTCCGGCACATGTATTTCCAGGGAAGGTCTGTTACGGTGTTGAGAGATGTGATATCCGTTGTCTGTCGTGTAGATGATATACGTGTCTTCAAGAACGTTCTTTTGGCGGAGTTTCTGGACGAGCTTGTCAACCATCTCATCGACCGACTGTAGAGCCCGCAGACGAGACCGCTGAAACTCGTCGTTATAGGCAATTACAGTGCTGTTCAGACGGTGGAGGCCTTTCATCCAGGATACACCACCTTGCTAAAAGCGGGAGGACGAGGTTAGCACGGATTTTACACGTGTTCCAATTCATCCTCGATGTCTCTCTGAGCCTACCTTCTCGGGATTGAAATTCGGGGTTCTGGGGATACGGTAGTCTTTGAAGAGATGGGCATGGCGCTCTGCGTATTTAGGCGCGCCAATCTCGAATTTGCCGGCTGGGTCTTGCGTCGCGTGGGAGTGAGGTGCAATCGGTGCCACTCCGAGGAACCAAGGTTCTTTATGCCGCGTTGCTTCTTCTAAAAGTTCGTATGCCTTTTCGGCCGTGACATCAGGAGAATAGCGTCCAGGGTAGCCGACGGGTGGTTCGCCATTGCGCGACGTGTGAAGATCCCAGTAATCGTAGGTGAACGGGTCGAGTGTAAAGTCAGACAGATTGAAGCCACGTACGAGAGGGGCATCGTAGTTATCGACCGTGTGCGCGTTCCATAATTTCCCCGAATAGTAGGTGTTGTACCCAGCTTCTTGTAGCCATATTGGCAGGTAGTCGTCGTTGATACCTTCCTGGACGACCTTCGGGTAGCCGCCTTTGATGATGGACGGTCAGCGATGTGCAAAACCAGGCATTTGAGCTTCGTGTCGGCTTACCGTAAGGCGGGAAGACATCGGTGACATTCAGATTGTGAGCCGCCCTTCCGGTCCAGAGGTTTGCCCGGGACGGACAGCAGATTGCAACTGTGCAGTAGTGGTTTGAGAACGAAGTCCCTTCATACACAAGATGCTGTTGCAGGAATGGCATATGTTGCTAGTCAGAGTCAGCGGGCCAGTCCATGCCGCTCGCTGGATTTTGCATTCGGTCGGCGTACCAGGGATTCCATGTGCAAGTCTTGATCGTCGGTCAATATGAACAAGATGTTCGGCTTCTTGGGCACAGCAGCATCGAGGCCGAGAGACTGCGCAGCCAGCAGTAGGACAGTAGCACAAAGGTAAGCGGGCGGTGAAATCATGACTGTAGGCCTCATCATTGCAGAGCTTCTCACCTCAGCTCACACAGCGTGAAGCGATGCCCTAACCCTGAGCCTTCCAACTCCTTTAAGTCAAATACAATAGGGAGAGGAACCAATCGCGCAGGTGACAGTTGTACCCTATGGCAGGCACTAAAATACCCCATATATTACATGGGTGTATGTAATATGTAGCTAGCCTCAGTTTCTTGACAACGCTGGGTCCACATGTGACTTTGCATAAGCGGGTACCCTTAGGTCCTCCTAAAGTATCCATTTTATAAACAGAGGGGTGTGACATTGCAGATTCCCCAGTTGAGTACCTACTTAGCTTGAGGGGATTGAGAACCTCTACCTCTGGCGTATGGAGTTTGGAGCAATTCGAATACAATTTAGGCCTGTTCAAATACGCCGGCGATCTTTATAGGAACATAACGCGTTTCTCAACCTCCATATCCTCTCGTTGAAACTCCTGTCTATAGCTTTGTTCCTTGTGCATTCTCCCCGACGTTTTCTTCGTTCGCCTCTTCGCACAGGAAGCCTGGGGCACAAGGAAACATCCGCAACCATGCAGACTTCTTCTCTTCCCACACTCGACGAGACAACTCCGCTGATTATAAACAACAGCCAGAGTCTGGAATCAGATGCTGCCTCGGTACGTGCCATCCCGCAATAACTGCAAAAGTCTCCCAACGACAGTACAGACCTGGAGCTAATACTTGAACTTGTCATCGGCAGACCGAGTCTGATTCGAGCGGCGACGAGGCTCCCAAAAAACCATTGACGTTCGAAATCATGTCGATGCTGTCTGTACTATTCACCGGTGTCTTGGTTGCCAACGTGGACATGACCTTCATGGTCGCCACGTACCCGCAGATTTCCTCGGAGCTCCACGCATTTCGAGATGGTTCTTGGCTGCTTATATCCTACATGCTTGCCATGTGCGCCTCCCAGCCGCTGTACGGTAAACTGAGTAATATCTTCGGCCGCAAAAGGCTTCTGATCGCCGCATATCTGCTCTATGCCTTGGGAAGCTGCATTTGTGCTGTTTCGCGCGACATTCGGCAAATCATCGTCGGTCGCGTGATCGGAGGCGCCGGAGGCGCCGGTCTTGTGTGTCTCGTATCTATCATCATCACCGACGTCGTGCCGTTAAGGGAAGTGGCAGTCTACCGAAGCTACGTCAACGTTGTCCAAACAATCGGACGGAGCCTAGGTGCCCCCGTGGGCGGCCTTGTCGTCGAGAAGCTGGGATGGCGAGTTGCTTTTGCATGCATCGGCTCGTTTACCGCCGCCGGCGCCTTACTCGTGGCATGGAGGCTGAAACTCGGGGGTAATGGTAGTTCCAAGAGAGACCAGGAGAGAGTACACGAGTCGAGCTGGGAACTGCTGAAGATGGTCGACTTTCTGGGCTCCATCTTCCTGTCTCTCTCCATTGTGGCACTCCTCCTCATTTTCAGCCTCGGGGGAGAAAAGCTCGCTTGGGACGATCCTCGAATCTTTGTTCTGGCAGCTGGGACAATCGCATTTGGCGGTTTATTCTATGCCACGGAGACGTATTGGGCCGCTGAGCCGATATTTCCTCCGTCGCTTCTCACCAGGCGCCCGGTCCTCACATCCTACAGTCTTCTTGCCCTTCAAAATGCAGCCCAAGGCGCAGCGAGTCTTTCGATTCCGTTGTTCTTCCAAGTCTTGCTGTCAGTCGGCCCATCAGCCGCGGGAAGCTATCTTTTACCGAGCGTGGTCGGAAATACCGTCGGCGGACTCATAACTGGCATGTACATCAAACGTTATGGGCGGTACAAGTTTCCTTTTTTTGTGGCGGGACTTGTGTCTGTCTGTGCATATACGATGATGTGTCTACGTTGGGGCACAGAGCCTGGCTTCATGCCAGTCCTCGAGGATATGTACATTATCGGCGGCGGCCTGGGAACGGGTATGGTACATGCAGCAGCGTTCGTGGTGTTGACTGCGGGCCCCCCTGCTACCCCGGTGGAGGAGCAAGGAGAACGCCATCACGACGAGCAAGTTCAGGAGAACATAGCGATCACTGGGTCGGGGATATACCTCAGCGGTAACATTGGCGGAACCATCGGCTTCAGCCTTTCCAGTGCCACCTTGAGGTGGATGGTTGAGCACAGTCTGGCCCAACACCTCACGGGCAAAGAACTCGAATACGTCAGGAAGAAAGCCCTGGAGAGCGTGGGATGGGTCCAGGGACTTCGGGATGGAAGCAGGTTGAAGGGGATTGTTGTTGACGCCTACGTCAGTGGTGCACACGGCACTTTCGTAGTGGCGACTGTGTGTTCCGCGCTGACTATTGTGGTGAGTCTGTTCATAATCGAACACAAGTTGAGATAGCTTGTATTGGAATTTCTCGTCCTGGGCGGTGGGAACAGATCTGGCTAATGGGGGCCACTGCATGTATTGTGTTGGTATCCCTTAAGCGCAAGGAAAATATCTTTATTCGTCCAACTCATAGTGCTCTGGCAAAACATTCACAACCTCTCTCAGAAAAGGGAACTCTTTCAATGCTTGAGGCTTCATTGCCCAATTGTCAATGTTGCAAAGGTGACGCCGAAATTCGAGGCTGAGGGTGTAACAACCCTTGCCCTCGACGACACAACCTGATATGGGTTGGGGCCACTTCATCACAAAAGTGTCGTTCAAGACGTCCCGGAATTGTGCATACTGGCTTCCATCCAGGCGCAGGATGAGGAAGTCTCGGAGCGCCGGCCACGGGATAAGGTCGATCCATTGCTGGTGCGGAACGCATAGTTGGACTGAGGTCGGGCGCAGAAAGCCAGGGATGGCGCCAAACGTGTCAGGAGATTGGCAGATTCGCCAGCGGACGTAGTAGAAGAGCGTCGACAGTGCGGTCAGTCGGACCAGATTGGATTGGGCCTTCATGCCGAGAGAGATGTGGTCAACCAGGATTGACGAGACGGTGGCGAGGCCCGAGCACGGGGGAGCGATGACATAGTGGTTCGGTTGGCGTTCGTGCAGTGATATGGCCGGGACGGCAGGCTAAATAAACTCGGGAATCCGTAGATTCTTGGCCTCTGCCCGGCGGCCGATGATTTCGAGCTCCGCCAGCACGGTGTCGAGAGGGCACGACGTAGGCGTGCTGGGCGGGAGTCTTGTCCAAGCTGGTAGCAGGATCCCCCTTGGAGGCTGCATCGGTAGGGTGAGGGCCAGACTCTCCTCTAGACGGCTACTTTGCTGCGAAAGGGGGGTATTGGTACGCTCCTCTCCCTGTCGCACTAGGATTTCGACGCCACTACCGCAGCTCTTACTGAACGTAGTGTACGGTTGTTGGGTGTTGATAGAAGAAACTCCCTCGTCTGGGGCCTGCGCCGCCCATGTGCCCCCGTCTCTCAGAATGGATCCCCCTCCGTTCTCGTCCACAATGGCCTGGAGAGTGTTCCGCTCCTCTTCAACCTGTGTAAGGCGGGCACGCAGAGTCTGGATCTCGTCTTCCAGGTCGTCGATTCGGCGTTTCTTCCTGGCCCTTGTCCCATATATCAGTCAGCTATGACAAGCGTCTCCAGGTTGTTGAGACGGGTCAAGACATCCGCAAAGTGGTCTCTGCCTACCGACATTGGCGCTGCCGAACTCTATCCGCATATTGCCTCTGGTGCCGTCCTCCATCAAAGGACATCTCAACGTCTTCAGTCTGATATGTATCGTAATAGAACGGAGGATAATATCCCATGGTGTGAATGGGTGACATGACAGGGGAAGCCAAAACAGGTCCAAGTTAGCCTAGGCTGTGACAGTGCATCGATGGGAACCACTGAAGGATCGTCAACCTTCAAATCAAAGGAAAGGGAACGCAAGACGACATGGCTGCCTGCAAGGACCTATATACCTCGGGTATGCACGGTCACAACAGGGGTGGCTATTAGTTCCCAAGCTCCCCCATGGGGATGAATACGAAGTACTACCATCTAGCAAGCTGAGAGGACATACCGAATCATTCGAGGGATCTGGCTGCCCGCCTTGAAGGTTCCCCCGCACCTGGGGAGCAATCCGGTGTCGAGACTTTCAGCCAATGTACTATACCTTTCCGCATGGAATTCCGCAAGGAAGCGAATACCTCGTCCTGTTTTAAGTTGGGTTACTGGCACTAGTGGCGACGGACTGTGACACTGCAGGAGGAGCCTTTCTGCATGGGACCTTAGTCTCCCTCCCCTTGTATCGAGTAGATCCCCAGGATTTCGTGCAGCCAAGATCTCGACGGGTCTTCTGACAGGGGTTGTAGCACCTTGATTGCTAAAAGAGCGGCTTATCAACAGTGCAGAGCCATCTTTCTTCCCACCCACACAACAAAACCTCCCTCCTGGGCACCAAGCGCCTGTGCCACCGGCGTGACTTTGCCCGTGCGTGGTCCATCTCTAGGCCGCCGATACAATGACCCACCAAGAGACAACAGGACCCAGGTTTTATACATTCTTTACATCCTCATTACGGCGATCGAAATGGCCCTAACCCCATCTCCGCATTAACCGCTTCGTCCGCGAGTCTCCACCGGTGAGAGGCTTGACGTTGAAAGGATGTGGGTCTTCACAAACTCCCATTCTCCGCGTCCCGTGTGTCCAGGTTGACCGTCTCGAACAAAGTGGAGGGGGTGTATATGAGTCCTTGTAGCTGCAAGGAAAACACCTTTGTTGGCGGATTTTCTCCCTCATTTTTCTATCTCGACTGCTTGTCCAAACAATCCCATCTGGGACATCACCGTGGAAGCATTGTCAGCATGGATAAAGAGCAGACTACCACTGCCGATGCCCCACAATTCAACCACATAGAGAATGATGGCGTGCCTACGGAAACAGCGCCTTGGACCGACGACGATCCGGGGAAAAACGAGAAAAGCCATGTCGGCACTGTCATCGTCGACCCAGGAGAGGATGACAAGTACCAGTTGACGATTGGGAAATTCATGGGTATATTGGTGCTCTTGGAACCCCTCCCCCCCTAAAAATTCTGCTGCATAAGTGATCAGGCTAGCTGACTACCCCTTTCCCCTAGGCCTTCTGTGTGGGATACTTGTCGGATCAATTCGTGGTCAGTTGCGTCGGTGCGGGTCTCGCTGATATCAACAAGGCCATTGGTAAGTTGTCTCTTGTTCTTTATTCTGCCCTTTCTGGTCTCCTAGGGTTCCCCACGGCGCCACCGACGCTGAAACATATTCGTGTATAGGCCCCAGCCCAAGCTACGTCTGGATGTCCACCGGGGTCCCTATTGGCACTGCCGCACTGGCACCCGTCATCGGTCGCTTCAGCGACATCTATGGGAGACGAAATTTCATTCTGATAGGCAATGCCATTGGCATGATCGGCACAGCGGTCGCGGCAACGGCTCACAACGTGAACACCGTCATCGTTGGCACCGTGCTCGTCGGCATCAGCGGGGCCATGCGCCAACTGGCCTGGTCGGCGGTCGGGGAGATCGTTCCCAAGAAATATCGCGGTCTGTCTTTTGGCATCATCTCGACCCTCTTCAGTTTGGCGCCTGCCTTTGGTCCCACCATCAGTACGTTCCCCAAGTCTTGTCTCCTCTCCTGAAAGGCCTTGTCAGTTGACTGTGATGGCCATCAAGCATTTGCATTCACCAGGGACGGCACCTGGAGACCGATATTCTGGCTTCCCTTTGCCCTCGATGCCGCGTCTCTCATCTTGACCTTCTTCTGGTACCACCCCATTGACCAGTACATCCACGAGGCCGGGAAATCGACCTGGAGCCAACTCATGGAAACTGACTTCGTGGGTTGTTTCTTCTTCATCGCCGGACTTGTTTTGTTCCTTCTAGGATTGTCTTTCGGCGGCAACAAATATCCATGGTATGTTTTTTCTTCCTTCCCCTTCTTTTCCCCGGGCGATTTATGTGTTGAACCTTTTGACAGGACGTCGGCCGGTACCCTCGGCCCCCTCATCGTAGGGATTGTCCGCCTCATCTTCGTCGGGCTCTACGAGACTTATGTCCAGCTCAAGTGGCCCATCTTCCCGCCGTCCATTTTCCGAAACGTGCGTGGCTTCACGCTGATCCTGACTGCCGTCTTCCTCTACGGTATGGCCTTGTACGCCACCGCAATCCTGTGGCCACGGCAGGTCCAGATCCTGTACTCCCACGATCCAGCCGTCGTTGGATGGTACTCCGGCGCCAACGGCTTTGGCGGCTTCTTCTTCAGCATCCCCTTGGCCTACTGTTTTCTGAAACTGGGCCACGCCCGTTGGCAACTGGCCTTCTACGTGGCCGGCGTCACCCTGATTGGCGGTTGCCAGGCGATCGTCTCGCCGAGCAGCAACGTGGCCTCGACCGTCCTCGCCGTGCTGCTCTTCGGCTGTGTCACGGGTGTCAACATCGTGAGCCTGACCTACATCCAGGTCTCCGTGCCCCACGAATTCATTGGAATCGCCACGGGCCTGTCCGTCTGCTTCCGGACAGTTGGGGGCGCTGTCGGCACGGTGGTCTTCACCACTATCCTCAGCAATGTACTCAGCAAAAGAATGGTTCCCGACATCGTCGCCCCTCTGGCCAAGGCCGGAGTCGCCTTGAAATCCATCCCTGAAGTCATCGCGGCCCTGGTCGCCGGCAACATCAAAGACAGCGGTATCCAACTGACGCAGTCTCAATTGGCGACCGCCGTGAAAGGGCTGCAGGACGCGTATACGTCGTCGTTCCGCACCGTGTACCTTTCCTCGATTGCATTTGGTGGGGTGGCTCTAGTTGCCGTCTGCTTTGCGGCGGATATCGACCATTTGATGACCAAAAAGGTGGAAATCAGGCTGGAAGAAGGGGCTAGGGTCCATGCTCACAGTGACACTGGCCGGGGGCATATCATCCAGCAACATGAGAGGAGCGCATAAGTTTAAAAGTTTTATCCCCTCCAGACAGGAGTTTTAGGAACTACCGACAACGATGCGGGGAGATAAATGTCTTGCCCTTCACTAGAACTATGGTGAGACGGATACTGTTGATAACATGACTGGTGCTCCGACAGAGTCCCGAAATTGATATTGAATGGTGTCCCATTATCAGGTGGTGCGTGAAGCATCTTGCCCACTTCACTAGCGCTGGTAGCCCTTCGTAAATATACTCGAGGGTGTTTCCCAGGGCCTAGGTAGAATTCACCACGTTCCTCCATTGTACCACAGCCGAAGTTGAGCTAGGTCACCTAATACCTGAGTGAAGCGGCAAGGCCTGTTCCTAATTGGATACCAAGGCCATGCACAGATTCGCCGCTGAATACCAAGGGGTAGTTTAAAAGCATTGGCAAGAAAATGCAGAAAAGCTCCACGGTTTCTTGTCTCTTGTCACTCGTTATTGTACCTGGGAATTAACACCTCCATCATGATCGCGGCCCTTGAGATACACAATGGCGCTAACAAAAGTGTTGATGGGTGTAGAAGGCAGGAACCCTCGTGATCAGGTCAATATGGCGCCATGAAGGCTTCTAATTGTCGCAGGTCTGGAGCCCTCAAAGCGAGTGGTGGTAATGGCATCCTTGTCTCCAGCCGAATTCCCGCCCTGGTAATGTGGCCAATGTTCTGGGTGCATGGATCTTTCCAGCGTTCTCCGTTGCACGGGCTGTAAAGACGGCTGTGGCACATCCTGGAGACTTTGACGGGGATTGCCCAGCTCAGCTGCATTAGAGGCGTCTAAGCTAGTAGTCTGGGGTAGAATATGATCCAGAACCGTACACATGCTCTGCGCTGTCTGATAACTTTCGGACATCTTCTGGAGGACCTTGGTGAGCGTGTGAACGTGCTGCAGGATCGTCGTCGTTTTGGCGGAATTTTCAAACTCGGCCAGGTGCGTCAGGAGGGTGGTTAGCGCCACGCTGGCGGGTTGGGGAGAAAAGACAATCAGCGACTGCATGCCAAATCTTGTGCAATACGCATCCATGTTCCGAACAATGCTTATTGCATTCTCCAGGCAGATGCTCTTCGACAGCGTTTGAAAAGACGATATTGCGCCAACGTCCGAGATCTTGTTGCCGCCACTTTGACGGAGCTGAGGTGGCTCGTCCTCCACTAGCGAAGAATGTAGTTGAATGAGCGTGCTATGGAACAGTTGGCTGTGCGCTGAGTGTCAGTGAGACCTGAAGAGAAACACTTGGGGATCTGAATGGAAGAAGCGAGACCGGGGTCTTACTGTATGAAAAAGAACATGACAGACGAGCTCTGCACGTTTTCTGAATTCCATCGGAGCTGAGCCGGGAGTCTTCGCTGCCACGATTCAAGCTCGCCGTGGAGCCCGGTTGCAGCCATGAACTTGCCGGCAGCATCATCGAGCTCCAATGTCGAGGTTGTATTGGCGATGTGATCGCCCACTTTGATGGCCAATTCCATCAACTCCAGCAGCGCGTCCCAGGCGTATGTTTCCTCTTGGCTTTCAGCGAGTCGTGTCGAGGCCTTAGAGGCAGAAGCCAACACCTTGGAATACGTGTGGCTGAATACGGTGAAGGTCAAGTCAGATTTTCTGATTACAGTGGGGTGCCCGGAGAGTATGGCCCAGATTCTGTCGTAGAAAACGCAGGCCCGCAAGAGACGCTGTCGTGATTGTATCTCCCGCTGGGGCAAAGTTGATTTGGAGTGGTCTATGGACAAACCCATCTCGAAGGCAAATCGGCACGCCACACCTGGGTCTAGAGTTAGTTGGATGCAGCGTAGAAACAAGGCAGCCACGCAGTAACGAGGTGGTAGCCGTCAGTACGAATATGACACTTACCGGCGTACATCCAACCCGCTCGATCTCTACCGACAGCGCACTCTAGGTCGCTCAGAATGAGAAGCCCTTGCATTGTGGTCAAGCCCTGAGGGTTTTCCAGTTCACTTTCCACCGTGTATCGAGCGCTCTCGTGGAACGTACTGTGTCTGTTTCCCCGATCAAGTGCTTCGATGTCGGGCCTAGACTTATCAGCGTGTCTGAAGCCCATTGCCAGACAACATATATGTAGAAAGACTGAATAGTGAAGCTTATCCCCATCTCTGTCCTGTTGAAACGAGTCCTGGTCAATAAGCTTCAGGGAAGCGTTGTAATATGTCCAGAAGCAGGTCATTAGGTGATTGTAGGTTTCCGAACTGAGATCCTTGATCATATGATGCAGTCGCCTCTGCAAATGCCATGATCCCGAAGAGCTCCTGTGAGAGTCATCAAGCTGCTCGGCGTAGAGTTGGTATCTCGCAAGGGGGGTAAAGTATCGTAACTGCCCGGTAGTGCCGTCGTATTTCAGCCGTGTTGATTCGAACAATAACGAATTGGTGGTATCTTCACGGTGTTCATTGAGTTCGCTCCGATCAGCGAGGTCTGCATGCAGAACGGCTCCATCATCCCCAGAAGTGGTATTTGAAGCCGGAGTTCGATCTTGGGGTTCGCCATCACTTAGACTAGTCAGCCCTTGGTCGTCCTGGAAGCCAGCCTCCTCGGATTCAAGTTGTGATAGATCAAATCGGTCTCTGGAGGTGTGATCAGGCCATGGCCCCGGAGGCTGTTGAGCAACGTCTTCCGCCCTTTGCGTTTGCTGCGTGGGCACTTGGATGTCATGTTGCTGTGGTTGCTGTGGTAATTCGCCGTCGACCTCCTTCAAGCGACTTTCCAGAAGTTCAATATGCTCAAGCAGAGAGTGCACAAAGACTCTAGATCTAGGTCTGCACAGCGTCAACTCGCTGCCATCTAGTCGTTTCATTGAACAGTAGCAAGGGCCAACGTTCTACACATTGGGTATGATAGCGTACCTCCTTCGCTCATCGTCATTCCGGAATACACAGTCCAGTCCACTATCTTTACAGTGATTGCACGACTTTTCGCCAACTTCGGTCACGCACTGCTCGCATTAGGCGGCACCAAAATGAAGCCGCGTTCTCTCACGCACCTTTTTCCTCTTGTGTCGGCATCCTGTGCACGCAACCGACGCGCGAGTCCGCCCAGGCGCCAGACGCGAAGGCTGGCTTTTCGTGGCACACATGAAATTTAGAAGTGTGTAGAAAGGTTTCCAACAGAGCAGAAACAGCACTCTGATTCTACGAGTACTCTTCGTCCTTTGAAGCTGATGATCTTAGTGATAATTCTGCAGAGGGGGGTTGTTGGCCCAGTGGCTGAGATGGGCTAAGCGAGAAACTCTTTTGGGTAACACGTCGGAAAATGACAACCGCAGCTCCTGCGATATCGGTGGCTGTCGCGTGATCATGGACATGGGGTCTGAGATCCGTTTTGACGCATGCAATTGGCATTCCCCCAGAGCCTTAATCTGGTTGCTGTATCACTACGAGTGTTACTGGAAGCAAACCGCCAAGGTAATTGCCATGCCTTTGGAACTTCGAGTTTATTGGCAATTAAGAGTGTTGGTCTTGTCAGTTCCATCCATTCTTAGCCAGGAGATCTCTGGTCCACGATGCAGCCTTTTTGAAGTAGGTGGTCGACGCCTCAAGTTGTGGGAAGGTGTAGAAGCCGTGCGGTAAGCCAGCGTAGGTTGCAACCTCAACTGGAACACTATACAACAGTCAGAGACTTTTCCAAGCTGAGGTTGTCTTTCCAGGGAGTGGTAGAATATTTCAACATCCGAGCTTGGGGAATTATGCCACTTACCCGGCTTCCTTTAATCTGTCTGCGTAGGCAAATGCCTCGTCTCGAAGCGGATCCATACCGGTTATCTGAATTACTATGCTCTTCGCATTAGCGGAGAGAAGTGTTGAAAGAGGACACTGACAGCAATCGCTTACAAGCAGGTGGTAGACCTTCCATGGTTTCTACCAGGAAGGGGTTCGCGTACACATCCGGGCCCGTGCTAGGGTAGTAGGTTTCCCAGCATCGTAGCATATGGTCTTTGCCCAGGATAGAGGCGTTTTTGTTCTGTTCCCAGCTCGTGTATTCATACTTATCCTTGGGAAAGTACTTTGGATGGCACACAACCGGGCCATTCAATACTTGGCCTATGATGCCCTTTTCGCTGTGGTCTCTCGCCATTATGGGAAGCACAGCAGCCAAGTTGGCCCCGGCGGAGCTACCATTGGAGATGATCAGAGAAGGGTCAATCCCTAGAGTGCTTGCATTGTCTTTGCACTGTGGTCATCGCACCGTCTCCAGAATTAGAGCCCAGATCCATTGATGACGAAGTGGGCCAAAAGACCTGTGTACTTACCCATTTGAACACATCATAGAAGTCGTTTATCGCATGAGGAAATGGGTAAGCAGGAGCCCTGAATGCATATCAATTTACACCTTCGCTAGTAGTAGGTGAAAGCGTCTCGAATAAGGGAACTTACAGCCTGTAATCGACATCTACAACAACTGCGCCAGTCTCCTTTGCAATCCACCGACAAACGCCTTCCTCGACGTCATGATTTCCAAGAACCCAGCCACCCCCATGTGCTACTAGAACAAGAGGCGCCTTTTGCTTGCCCATCACCTTCAATTTCTCGGAATTCCGGTAGATCTTGATGCCCACGGTCGCGCCATCTCTTACTGGGACCTGATCAAATGATACCTCCAAGTCCATAGGCGTACCTTCCGGGACAGGGTGGGGATAGTTCACCCAGGTCTCGTGCTGCTTCTCTATTGGTAAAGCATAGAACGCGTTAAATTGTTCGTCACAAGCTTGCTTCAAAGGAAGCCAAACAGGGTCTGGTTCAGCGAGCCAGGCATACTTGAGGGCTGCCATGGTATGGATGCTCTTTTGCGACTGTCAATGGGTCTTGGTAGAGAAGATCTGCCCGATGCCTGGTCTGTTCGAGCAAGACTTATCACTTTTATGGGTTTCAGTATCACGGCGGATTTGGCGGCTGTTGGAAGAAAAGGATCGTTCGTTCGCCTGGGCACGGCGTCAACGGATTGGTTGGGCGGAAAGCTTTAAGCTGGAGGATGTCGCGGCCTATCATGCTCAGCCCTCCTGGTGCCACGTGGTATAAAAAACTGCGAGTACATTCAACAGGGGCATTCTTTCGGGAGTTGAGATTCCGCCAAAGGAAAGGCGTCCAGACATCAATTCAACAGGTATCTCAGTTACAATAAATTCTCCTGTCAGGGTCATCTACTCAGTTTCACATTGCTAACATTGCCTTAGATTCTATCGCGGACACAGCAATAGCCGCGGCGGAAAATGGCTGGTGCGGTTTGGGGAATGAATAGCCTGTCAATCGCCGACTACCAAGGAGAGTCTGACTTCGCCGGGGAGCATTCAGCGCATCATGGCCTTGCGCTTCAGGGGGAAGAAGGTGTGGTTCTTGAGCGGTGACTAGGACAAGCGCCGAATGTTCCAGCTTCAACAGTGAGCTTACATTGTTTTATAACGTGGTTTATGTCGAAGTACGAGAGCTCATGAGTACCTGTTACTTCATTCAGTCTTCTAGTAAAAGGATCAGATAGACGTCTCAACAGCACAATCCAGGACTCAACATGGGGAGCATAGCTACGATGCGTGCTGCGCAGTTTCATCGGGTAAGAGCTGTCGCTTCGGGCTTGTAACAATCTCAGAGTTGACACGATCGTCGTTGCAGGATACTGGCAAGATCCAGGTAAATGAAGTTCCCATTCCCGAGCCCGACGACACGGAGATATTGGTGAAGATAAAATCCGCCTCTTTATGCCATTCAGATATCATGGCGATTGAAGGTTGGACGCCAACGCCGAGTAGCGTTAAGCCCATCACGCTGGGCCATGAAGGCGCTGGGGTTGTCGATAAACTTGGCTCTAAAGTCACTGGATTTAAAGCTGGAGATCGGGTGGGATTCCTGTACATCACGGGATGCTGCTGTAAGTATGCATTGTTCTTCCTATGCTACCAACAATACGGATTTCTCAACATAACTGCCACTCGTGAGATTCTCTTCATGCTAAATGGGTTTTAGTTGAGTGTGAAGCATGCAAAGTCTACAATCTCTATTGCACCAGAAGCAGCCCGCGTATCCAAGGGATGACCGAGGGCGTTGATGGGTTCTTCGCCGAATATGCCGTAGTCGACTACAGGAACGCAATAGTTCTCCCCGAGGCAATCAAGATTGAGACGGCTTCTCCTCTATTCTGCGGCGGCATTGCAGGCAGGTAAACCACTGACCGCGACGGCGACCTCTGGCTAACCACTAGCAGGGTTCAACACGGTTGAATCATGCGAACTGAAGCCCGGGGAATGGCTCGCAGTCGTCGGCTGTGGGGGTTTGGGCCAGGCCGCCGTACAATATGCGAAGGCCATGTCGGCCAAGGTAATCGCACTGGACATCAACGACGAAACCCTAGCCGAAGCCACGAGGGTTGGCGCTGATCTCACGTTCAACTCGGCAACGAATCCGAATTACCTGGATGAGATCAGAAAGGCCACCGGAGGTGGGGTGCGCGCCGCCGCTGTCTACAGCGCTTCAATTGCAGCGTACGAGAACGCCAAAAACACGTTGCGGATAGGGGGACTTCTGATGGCCGTGGGTCTGCCTGCGAAGTCGTTCCCGGTGAATTTGACCGAGATCATTACTGGCCTGTATCGGCTCAAGGGCGACTGTACTGGCATTCCACAACGCATGGCTCACGCCATCGACTTCACCGCGAAGCATGGCATTGAACCGAACGTTGTCAGCTTCCACAAGTTGGAGGAGGTCCCGGACATGATTGCAAAAATGAGGGCGCAAAAATCCACGGGAAGGATGGCTGTACTCTTTTAGTAGCTAGCATTGGGGCCCATATTGGGTATGAAGGGTATCCAGCAGATACTTACCAGCTATGTCGGTAGCTGAAGGTGGCTTGTTCTCTAGATGCTATAGTATACATCAACAACAAGTATCATCCTGTTTCGAACAATTGCCAGAAGGTCGGGAAAACCGCCGACAACCCGTCCTCACCGATCGAAGTCTAGGTGCTAAACCAACAACTCTACAACCGATGACTGATTCAACTGTGTGTTTTTCTATGACCGCCCTTTGACCTTTCCATGAATAGAAGGCCATTGGACAACTGACCTGAGTGAAACTTGTAGACCCAGGCGCATATCTGGGCACTGGACGGGACAGCCACGGCCGAGGTATCGAAGCTCACATTTTCGGAGCCAACAATCAAAGGGACCAGCTATCAGGAACTCGTCATAGGCTATCCTTATCTACTATCGCGATGCTCTGTCTTTTTGCTGGACAGACAAGGGATCGAGGCTTTATTCCTGACACCAACGAAGTTGCTGCCTCTCGTCTAGCTGTTCTTCGGAGCCTCAGTGCGTTTTGTATGCTAAATCTGACCCATACATGCCCACCTCAGCATGGAATCGCTCGCGGCTCAACCGCGTGATGCTAGAGCATATTTACAAGCTTGAACCCTTCGACTGGGGAAGACGACACCCAGACTATCTCCACCTGCGTGTAGTCGGTTTCCCACCGATTTCTCTCGGCACTCTTCTTAAACTTCCACGTGTACCTGGAGCCGGTCTGCACGGCGACATGGGTGCCGTTCTGTTCGGTGACCCCGCCCCAGAAGATGTTTGCCCTGCCGGTTGCGGTCGCATTGGACGGATCGATGTTGAAATCCATGTTCACAATGTTATGCTGCGTGCGTTTGAACCTCTCCGTGATAAACGCCAGGGCTTTGGCCGTGTCGGAGCGGCCCTTTATCGTGCCAGAGTTGAGATTCATGGGTGCTTCAATGGAAATGGAAGGTCAGTCAGTCCGTCATTCGGTGTCTGTGGATTGAACTGCGCCGGGGGTTCATGGGGCCGTCACCAACCTTGGCCTTCGAGATCTGGTGCGACTTTGAAGTCAAAGGTGCAGTCCTCCGTAAAGCAAGTGGCGATATCGTCCCACGCGAAGATGTCGGCGAACCAGCCGTAATTGTTGATGTGGTGCGTCAGTGCGAGTTGCTCCTCCAGATGCGTCGTGGAACTCGCCATGATGCCGTCGTCCTTGGATGTTGATGTTGGGCCAGCGCAAATAGTTGCCGTACACTATGGTGGACCAGATCATATAGCTTTGCACAATGGAGCATTGCATAGCGTATTAATGGCCATTATGTCCTGCATGGAAGTAGTCCATGCTGACAAGGCTTCTGCTAACTATGCTCGTGGTCGGAGGCCTCGAAATGGGGTAATCTGCCGCGTCGAGGTAGGGCTTCGTTAACCGTCAGCCGGACCGATATTGACAAGCGCCCTGGACGGAAAGAAGCTATATCCGACGACATGAGGCATCATTAAAGTGGATTAGCACTACCTCTCTCCTAAGTCGGGACTGCCTAAGGTCGAGACATCAAACGTGGCACGACTGGGAATTCTCGGTGCTTTTTAACCGATAGCAAGGGAACGCGTTTGTATCTGACACTAAGGCTCTCATCATCCATCCGAAGCAGCCTGTGGAACACTTCCATGTACTAACAGCCGCACCGACAGAAATAGTCTCCAACCTAGTGGAATTGTGCATGAAAGCCATCGACACGGGATCCCTGGCAATCAATGCAGCGGAAGAGGGACCATGTCTGACTGTCAGATCAGATGGCATCTCCAAAGTCTTCACCTTGATATCCGAGGAAAACATCGCCAAAATCGTTCCCGAGGCCACCGCGCGGTGCGCCGTTGCCGGGACTTTCACAGAACAGAAATGGAGGGGCGAACTTTGCAAAGTTTTGCGTCTCTTCACCGGCGTGGCTTGTTGGCGGCTCAACAGAGGCTTCTGGCCATAAAAAGGTCTCCATCGTGCTACCTGGGTTTTGGAGCGACGTCGACTCTAACGGATTCCAGTGAATTTCATCAGTAATAGAGACATGAGTGCCGGAAATGTCATGACCAAGAACTTCGAAATCCTCAGTTTCAACTTCAGTTTGTCCGCCGGAAGTGAAGACATCGAATATACCTTTTTGACGAGATGTGTCGATAGGAGCAACAGTGGATGAACAACCCGACGTCTGTCTCTTCTTGTTGAATTGCCTGACAGTTTCTGGGTCATGCTCACTGGGCCGCCTAGCGGATAAGCTGCTGGTTTCCGAAAATGGAGACATACTCGAACCCGCGACTGGTAGGCACTCGAAATCCACGCCGGTGTTCTGCATGTAGTGCTCTATCACGGCAGTCATCATTCGGGCCGGTTGATAAACCAGAGACATCTCTTTCAACTCGTCGAGCAGTGTCTTGATTCGCTGCAACGTGGAAAGTCGCTCGGTAACATTCTCATTGAGGGATGCATTCGCAATCAGAACGAGACTTGCTGTAGCAGCATGCGTAAGCGAGAACAGCCCAATTTGGCTCTGGCCGAATCTCATTCGATGATATGCGAAAATCCGCGCCACCTTCAAGGCATGCTTGAACGCAATTGATCGAGCCAAGGGGACGAAGGAGTATGCGTCATTCCCCTGATCAAGGGGCTTTGACTCAGAGGCACAATATTGCCCTTGAAGCGCCTCTCCATATTGCCCGTAAGGTCCATGCAATAAGGCCTGGGTCGTATGGAATTGTTGACTGATTGAGCCTAGAGTTAGCTCGCTCGTTTAACGGGAAATACTGTGCAGCACAAAGTGATGCCCACAGCCAATCAGGGCGGATTCTGGCTTGAAGGATGGAACAAATACTTACTGCATGATGAAATATAGAGATGGTGCTTTCTCAGCATTTTCCGGAGTCCACCGGATTTGTGGAGGAAGCCTCGCAGACCAGGAGTTCAAACTATTCCCAAGGGCGGCTATCTCAACCAATAAATTCCCGTGGGTATCCGATCCAGGAGCGATATCTGAATGGGTTTTCTCTTGAACCTTGCTGGCAATGTCTAAAAGTTCGAGCGTGGCTTCGTAGAGCATGTTCTCAGTTTCATCCATGGCTGGCTGCGCGAGTGTTGGGAGTCTGTCCAATCCACACAAGCCGCCCAGACGCGAGAACATGTCTGCAAGTTGAGACATGTCGAGGTCTGAGTTCTTTATACTCGTGGGCCTGCCTAAATACAGTGACCAACCTCTGTCGTAGAGAATACAGGAACGAAGCAGTCTTCTGCGGGACTGAATCTCTGCCTGCGACAATCCCAGCTGCGAGTGCTCCAGATTCAGGCCATAGTCAAACGCAAGACGACAGGCTATTCCTGCTCGTTGTTCAGGTCCAGCTTTCAAATACCGAGCGCGCGGAAAGGAGGTCTACAAAGGACATACCTGCATATAATCCTCCAAGATCATCCATCCCAAGTGCACACTGAAGGTCGCTGAGGACCAGCATTGTCTGAATGGTTGTGAGGCCTTGAGGATCTTCTAGTTCTCCGTCAAGTATGTATTTAATCTCCTGGTGGAATACACTGACATTGTCGGAGACCGTGACATGCCGCATTACTGGGTTCTTTTTGTCGGCGAACAAGTACCCCATGGCCAGGCATGAGATGTGTAGAAACCCAGAGTAAGATGTCGATGCACCAGTGCCGAGATCTCCGTAGAAAGACTCGCGGTCTACTATGTGAAATGTCTCATTGTAGCGACTCCAGAAAAGCCCCATCAGATGGTCTTGGATTTGTGCAGGGACGTCTGCCAGGATGCGGTAGGCGTGCTTTTCTAGCCGGTAGCTTTCGGCGGCTCCTTGGTGTGGTCGAACATGTTCGCTGAAATAACGCTTGAAACAATTGCTGGGGCAGAAATATTGGACTCGGCCTCTAGGCCTGTCAAACACTATCTGATACGGACTGAATAGGGAATGTCGCAAGGCTAGTGCTCGTCTGCACGCCTCCGAAGAGAGTAAAGGTGACTGTGTCCTAACGCTGTCTGCTGTGGGGAGTTCCACAGATGTGTGTATACAAGAGGGAACGTTGTTACTGTGGAACTGTGCCTGATCGTATGTAACATTTGTATTCGCATGACTGGAAAGAGCGTTCAGTCTGTGGCCGACGGGAGGCAGCCTGGAATTGTTTTTCGACATTACACCATGTCGCGCGTTCAGGTTCGTACCTTTCCCGTTTACTGATCCGTTCGGTCTGGATTCTTCTGCATCACGGCAATTTCGCACAGTCTTTAGTGGTCGCCCTTTCAGAAGAGGATTCTGTGGCTCAGGTGGTTCCTGGCCAGACTCTCTCAACCGGTTCTCCAGAATTTCGATGTCTTGGAGCAAGGAATTTACGAAGGCTCTGGAGCCTGGTGCCTCTCGTTTGTTTGGACGGCGGAAGCCTCTTCCCTCGCTATAGTTCATCTTGCAGTCTCGGAAGTGATGCCAGTTTGATTAGATGAGGCACGAGCCCGAACCCTCCAAAATCGCTGTGGGCCGTGATACCCAAGTCGAGAAGCGGACACAAAACTGCATCGACGTCCAAAATGGAAGGACACGCTGTCGGCACAGTACTATCCTCTACTGGCTGGTGCATGGGATCGTCATTGGCCGCTCCTGGAGATGAGAATGCATGAGAATGCGTGGGGTGAAAGAGGGACTGCGTAAGAAGGAGGGACGTGCGATTGTGGAGGCGGATAATAAGTGCCGATGACCTCCATGGCCATACCCTTTCTCTCGTGGCTCTACCCAGGGTGATATTCATGCCGCTGGTTGGTTGCAAGGGCTGCGTCGTCGTGATCACCATTAGCATATTAGGGCAAGTTCCCTTTCCACAGGCGAGCCCGCTCGTTCCAGTCCCCCTGAAGTCTTGAACTCAGAGCCTCGGTTAGATGATGACTATTTACCGACAGGCCGAATCCTTCCACGCCTATGAGTAATTCTAACGATCTGCTTTCGATGCTCACTTCAAAAGGTACTCCTGGCAGGTTGCTGCAGTCTCTTCGTCAAAAACAAGGCGTACTTGCCAAGTAATCTAATGGCGGGCGCGGAGCCAATTTCTTCGAGCCATGCAGATGCTCAGAAGTCGGAAAAGAATGGCGATGAGACAGGCAAACCACCCGATATTCGCAGTCAATCCAAAGGGGACATCTCAAGAAGCGACCAGATCGTCGTGCGTATGAGCAAGTAGGTTTGTTTTTTTCTGGTCGCTGTATTAGTATTTGATAGAATTACGTGCTGACTAACGACAGGCTGATCCAAACTACTGCTGGTCTGGGTGCAGTTCTTGCAACCATCAATTTCTCAGCCAATCTCGCAGCATACCTTGCTGTACGATCTCCAACCCGCTCCGACCAGATCTATCGAGTTCTATGGCGCACACGGTGGAAGGGGCTGCCGGATGTACTTGCCACAGCACCTTCGATCTCGTCCGTCCTCACGCCTCTCAGTTCGCTCATCTCAGATTGGCGGAAAACCCAACGTCTCACGGGTCTTATTCCTCTGTACGTCAGACTTAAATTCCTGATATCAAGGAAGGCCTTCAGGGAGATGGACCCCGTTCTTCACCGCCTGGTACTTCTCCAATGCAATGCCTACATCATTTTCCAGGCCATTGAGAATATCTGCCATCTACATGGCAAAGGCATATTACCTTCGTCCGTCGTCGAAAAGCGAGGTGGAATCGCCAAATGGATAGCATGGAGCTGTCGCGCTTGGTGTGTGGGCGTGGTGAGCGATTTCCTCCGGCTCTGGCGCGAGGCCGAGATCGAAAAGAAGAATGGTGCAAAGAAGACCGCTCAGGAGCAGGCGGACTTCAATCGAAAGTGGTGGAATGAATTTATGGTCACTGCGTGCTGGTTTCCAGTTGCTGTCCACAGCAGCTTTTATCCCACGGGTATTCCGGGTATGAATGCGGGCATAACTTCCCTCCTGAGTCTTATAGCTAGTTTGAACAGTTTTAGGAATCACTGGCGAGCTGCAACCTAGCAAATCAGGGAGCCACGTCGAAGGATAGGTCCGTGCATGAATCAACATTGAAGGGGAACTTTTGCTCTGCTTGAACATAGTGGTCGGAGTATCGGAGAGGCCCTCACGGTTCAGCTCATCTCGACCACTCTTCCTGTTCTGGGGATCTGTCGAAAAGCATCCAGCCGCCAACTTGGTATCCCCCTGCGCATTCCCTGTGGCCATCAGAGCGGAGATACAGAGCCAACGTCTACGGTTGAACGGAGGTACACTAACGCAGACCTTTAAGGATGCCTTATACAGGCTGCGGCTTTACCCTTTGGGCTACTCTCATGTGAAGGAGGCACTTGTCTCAAGATTTAAAGTGGCGGAAGTAGCAATGTAAAGCGGAACGTAAATCTAATCGTAACGCCTGCTGCCTAGACGGGAGTCCAGTACCATGACCCAACAGCCGGGATCGGGTTCTCGAAGACAGAAAAGTAAACCTTGTCCTGCTTCCAGGCTATTCATATGGGATGTCCCGTGGCAGTCTATGTATTGTGTTCTTCTCTATTTGATAGCATTATCTCGAAAGGTTATCCCAAACAACCATCATGACCCAGCGAGTTCACCTGGACGGAAGGACACCTCATGACCTGAGTATCTACGGAAGCTTCACTAAGGGGATATATCGCGATGTCTATCCGACAATAGATCCACGTCGGCCGGAACTATCAAAGAATGGCAAGGTTGTCATGATAACCGGGGCATCGAAAGGTATAGGAAAAGATGTAAGTCCTCCTCTTTGCGAAAACATTGAGCCTCGACAACGTTCTACAAGAGACATCAACCTGACTGATGCGTGATTGAGCTGCTAGGCTCTCGCGCCAGTCTTTGCCGTGGCGGGAGCTCGTGCAATCATCATCACCGCCCGGAAATCAACTAGCCTCATGGACACGGCGGCCAAACTGAGAAGCATCAATCCCTCTATTGAAGTTCTCCCCCTGGACCTGGACATAAGCAGAGAATCTTCGATATCTCTGGCCTTCAAGACAATATCAGAGCGCTTTCCGGAGGGCGTGGACATTCTCGTCAGCAACGCAGTTTCAAAGACAGCGGCCGATCAATGGATTGCTACTTGCGACATAGAGAAATGGTGGGACAATGACCTGACCACCAACATCCGCGGATCTCTGCTCCTGACAAAGTATTTCTTGAACCAACCTACCACGCCCAAAGATAAATCTGTGAAAAGAAAGATCGTTTATGTCAGCTCAGGCATCAGTTACATTGTCAACCCCGGCCAATCTGCCTATTCTTTTTCCAAGCTTATAATCAATCAGCTGGCCGCGTACGCGCATGCGGAGAGCAACGAAGAGACGCAGGTGCAAGCTGTTGCGGTTCACCCAGGAATCTTCGTGACGGATATACTCGAAGACATATACCGCTACTATGCGGTGGATACGAACGAATTGGCGGGGGGAGTCATCAATTGGGCTGCTAGTGACGAGGCTCAGTTCATGAGTGGGAGATACACTACAGCGAATGTAAGATTCTGGATCTTATTTGAGGGCTCTGCATTTGCTAGTGACGAGACTAATTTAGGGACATAGTGGGATATTACCGAGATCTTGGAACGAAAACAGGAGATTCTCGACAGAAATCTTTTGACGACGAAGCTAGGCGGCGTTGAGGATGGAGGGTACGTAGCGAAGGTATTGGGATGAATTGTCGTGATTGCCACGGAGAAGCAGCGGCAATGATCAAGGAGTGAGCCAGTGAGCCAGGGCCACGCAGGAGCGGGAGGGGCTTGGTTCTGAACAAGTCGATTCAACTGTTCAACTTCAAACATAGCTGTGTTATGAGACGTACAGGCAGATAGATACACAGAGAGTCTCAGAGGAGACTCCTCCAGGCAAGGCTAACATACCATCAACTTACTCCGTGTCCGAGTCTAGTTCTCCGTCTGGGTCTGAGGGTGTTGGTGTCAAATGTCAGTCTGCTGCTAGTTTGCTGTTGTCTTCTAACCTCAGTTTTCACCGATGCTTGTTCCCAAAGGGCGGCTGTGCCGCTGTCGCTTTGACTTGATTAGTTTCCGCGAGATTCGTGTTGGTTAGAGCGGAATAGAACATGCCTCGTCGTCACTTCAATTCCGTTCCGCTGAACCGTTATCAATTCCAGCAGGCCGGCGGAGACAGTCGAATTGAACAAAGTGTCAGAGATTAGTCTAGATCGGTCTTCGTGAAGATCTAGACATTCTTCTCCTCGAGATTTAGCTTTTTTGTAGAAGAAGATGTATTTGAATAGTCCCAACCATTGTGCAGATTCCTGGCATCAACCGCTTCCCTGAATATCACTCCGCAGATACAAGTGCCTGTCACACCCAACATCTACCGCAATCTTACACCCCAAAAACTAGAGGCCGCATTTGGCGAAGATATGGCAGAGATGGAGGTCGAAAACAGTGGAGCTGGCCAACATATCGAAGGTCCTATCGCCTCTGCAACAAAAGGCAAGAGGCACTTCCGCCTCCGAACCATTTTCAGCGTGGTGGTCATGTGTCTCGGCTCCATCTCGTACGCCTACTCTGCGGGAATCATTGGAAACACGATTGCGCAACCCAGCTTCTATCGATACATGAAACTCAGCGACACCAATGCTGCGGCCCTTACGGGGGCGACAACTTCACTTTACTATGCCGGCGGTGTCTTCGGAGCGCTATCCAGCCACTCCATCGGAGATCGATTTGGCCGAAAGACATCGATCTATATGGGAGGGGCTATCATTGTAAGATACTTCCTCTGCACGGACTTCGAGTTTCCGTGCGACCCAGTATCATCATGGCTACAGGCTGACAGCAATTCACAGGTGGTCTCAGCGGCGCTGTGTGCTGGCTCAGTCCACATTGCCATGTTCATTGTATTTCGATTCGTCAGTGGCTTTGGCGCTCTGATCTTGTCAATGACCATCCCCGTGTGGATCACAGAATGCGTGCCGCCGGAGGTGAGAGGTGCCTTCGCCCAGTTCCATGCCGTGGGCGTGAGCACTGGCTACCTTCTGGCCAGCTACGTCGGGGTTGGCTTCTACGTCAACGTGAGTCCCGCCTCCCTCGCGACGTGGCGAGGACCGCAGGCGATCGGGGCCGTCCCGGCAATCTGTCTCCTCTGTGGCCTCTGGTGGGTGCCCGAGTCCCCGCGATATCTCCTGATGAAAGGCCGAGAGGAAGAAGCGCGAGACATCATTCGGAAACTCCATTCCTCCTCAGGGGACACGCTCTTTGCAGAGATGGAGGCGTTTCAGATGAAAAAACAAATCGAACTCGACCGCACCTTGCCCTCGTCCTGGTCCGAGATCTTCCGCAGGCCGTCGTTGCGCAAACGGATGCTCATGACCATATTCGTCGTCTTTTCGGTGCTCTCCAGCGGGAACTTGACCATTGTTCTCTACGCTACCCAGATGTATGAGAGTTTGGGCTTTGATGCATTGAAACAACAGCTCCTTCAGGCTGGTCAGCTGGCCGCCGTCATGCCTGGTCTAGTCGCTGCAATCTTCGTGAGTCCCATACCCCCTGCGAGTCTTAGTGCTGCTGCTCGAGAAATAGGGCCCGAATCTTACTTTATGACCAGCTGCTGATAGACTTTACAGTTCACAGAGAGACTTCGTCGACCTACCATGGTCGCGATTGGCCTTTCAAGCATGGTGATCGTTTTGTCGTGCTACACGGCTGTTTCGGCGCAGTTCGCGGGCCAGTCCAACAACCGGTCGGCTCAGATAGCCGGAGTCGCCCTGGTCTACATCTATCTCGTCCTCAGCGCCGCGCTCACCGAAGGGCCTTGCGCCTATTGGAGCGCCGAGTTCTTCCCCACGCATCTCCGAGCAAAAGGTGCCACTATCAACGTCGTCACCTTTTGTGTCGTCAGCATTCTCTGGACGCAGTCGGCCTCCTCGGCAATCTCCAATATCCAGTGGCGGTTCTTCTTGGTCTTCATCTGCATCACAGCCGTCACTTCCCCGATCATCTACTTCTTCTTTCCCGACACGCAGGGGAAGAGCTTGGAGGAAGTCGCGCTGCTTTTCGGGGACACGGATCTCGTGGTCGTTTGCCAGGAAGACATTGTGCTTGATGCGGAGAGTCACACGATTACAGGGAAAATCCACATAGGGGGCGAAGAGAAAGCAGTTGCTGAGCATCTGGACACCGTGGTGTAGCTTGCCCGCCGAACAAACCAGGATTCTGGGCGGTTGAGGCCGTGGAAAGTCCAAGGCCAGAGTGGGCAAGCGTCGAGAGTTGATGTCGTCCCGGCTGAACCGTTGTTTCACGGCCTTGTCAACTTTGGCGATCGCTTTAGAGGATCTGGCGGAATGCCTTCGCCTATTATTCAAGAAACAATACAAAGTATTTTTACGTGGTTTTCCTGCTTGCTCTCATAGAAAGAGTGCTTCGGGCATGTTGCATATTGCGTACATGAATTACGCCTTTTCCTATGTTACACATTTGTCACCCGCCGTTGAAGAAGAGAGTGACCATAGGCAAGAAAACCCCAACGCGCCTTTAAATCAAAGCCGTTTCTCAGCCACTCAGCATCAGGCTTGGACCACTTCATTTGCAAGACCATTCTGTATCGTCTCCAGCACATGGAGAATCACCGTCTCCTGTCTGAGTCGCATGTAGCCTCTTCCCACGCTTCGTCCCTGCGGCGTCCCCAGCCACGCAAACGGTTGGCCCAAGGGCACTTCCTCCGTGGAGTTCCTGACTAGCATAATAATGGCGTTGATGATCTTGACGATAAACTGGGCTCCTTCGAATCGTCGTGTCAGAGTATGCAGGGTCCGCATCAGGTATCCGAGCTGCTGGGTGATCTCGGTCTTGACCTCGAGGTCTTGGGCCTCGCTCAGCTGGATCAGGTGCAGAGCAATCGGGAGAATTATCCAGGGTGGCCTACCCGCAACACATCTCGTCAGACTCTCGAGTCGCTCATGAAAGCATAGACCCTGAAGCCAGAGGCCGTTGGGATGGATCATTACCTACACGATGATTGAGAGATCCTTTGGGTTGGCGAATCGAAGCATTGATGCCGTGATGGCGGCTGTGTTTCTTGACGCCTCTTTGATCTTGAGGAGGGCCAGATCCTTTACAAACCACGCCTGCGAGTCACAGCTGTCTGAGAGCCTGAGAAACGGCTCGTACAGCATCGAAATGGCAAACCTGTATGGGACCAGTGTTAAAATTCTTGAGGGGCCCGTTGCAGAGGCAGATGAGGCCGGTGAACTTACTGGTGCATTAGTTCAAGGAGATGGAAAATGACCAGGTCAGTGCTGGGGACCTTCAAATCCTGAACTGCCGCGTAAAGGTGAGCGAAGTTGGCGCCCCAGACCTTCAATTTCTGGTCTATCTGGCCGACCTCTTGCAGCAAATCGAATGCTTGTTGAGCCCCTGGGAAAAGCCAGGTAGAGTTATAATCTCGGGAATTCAACCGCACCGAATCTACCATGAGTCTGGTCAGCTTACACAGTAGGATGAATGCTCGTGTGAAGTAAAGCTTTGTTTCGACGGATATCAAGTAGCATCCCGAGCTCTCATCTGTGAAGTCAGTCAGCTCAGGCAGACGACCCTCTGGCCGCCTCTCCAACTTATTGAACCGGCGCAAACCCAGGGATATCATACGATTGCGTATGATACAGCACCACCAAATGATCCTCTTGCGGTGTGTCGAAGATGGATCAGACATCCCTCCCGCTACAGCGTGGCGGATGGCTTCGTCCACCCAGTAGCTGTTGACCTCCTTCGTGGAATCGTATGGGCTCCAGTAGCTCAAGAGGAGCGCGCTTTGAGCGAGTTCTTCCGTGCCCATGAAATCGAGTTCAACTTGGTGATAGAGACTCTGAGCAGAATAAAACAGGGTTTTCTGCGCGCGCTTAACCGAGGTGCACAGCTCTCCTCGGAGCGAGTCTTCCTCAATGTGAGACAAAGCTGCAAATAGTATCGACAGGAGTAAAAGTCGCATGGGCTGTGGGGGAGCCAGGACATCTCGTTGAGGCGCTTCATACCACTTGAGAAACCTTGATTGATCGACCGCAGGACAGATTGGGTGGAACTGCCCAAAGTATGCCTCGACCAGTTCATCTTGAAGGCATCTCGAGAACCCCGGTACTTCCCACTGGTCGAACTTATTCCATGCGTCAACTTCAGCAGACGATCTAGATTGAGGGACGTAACCCACCATTTGGAAGTCATCGTCAAAGCTCAGCGCGAAGTATTTCTTTTGCACCTTTTGCCAGCATTCGTAGACACGTTCCAAGCCAACTTTTTCTTTGCCATCAATTGATCGGGTCTTTCCAAGGAAAGGGGCTTAAATGACATACCTGAATTGAAAAGCACGTCGTGGATTTCGGAGTAGTCATGGTCTGCGCCTGTATCAACACTGGCATGTCCAGAAACTTGCGGCAGGCAGCTTTCTGAGTCGGAAAGCTCGTCGGAGACATCGTATGGGATTGAGATGTGCGTTATTGCACTCGAATCCGAATCTCCCTCTTTCTTCGTGGCTTGATACATTGAACTTCCGTCTCGCACCAAGCATAGGTCCATTGGACAGATAGTTTCCTGCCGGGACAGATTGAGACTTATGAGTTTCACATCGCTCATCTCAAAGCTGTAATGATATTGAGGTACCTCCAAGGGTTCTGGGCCGCCACGATGGAACACCAGTTCTGCGACAACTGTGGCACTGGTACGGAGATCCAGTGATCTCTCACGTGCGGCAACTTGGTCATCCCAGATGAGAAAGATGCCTTCAGCAACCCGGACTTCGCCTTAGACTCTGAGCACGAAGAGGCTGTGCAGCTAGACTGCTAGCTTGCCAGCCGCCCGCAGGCCTTTGGTTCGCGTGAGAGCATCCAGACGAGACAAGGGTGATGCGGAAGTGGAATTGCGGCGGAACGAAATGCGGAATTTGCGGTTTGCTGGTGGAACGGCCAGTTGTACTCCAATGTCCGAGCGCAAAGGCTGACGACGCATGGTTGGATTTTAGACAGGATTTGGTTTGACAGATGAGTAGCTGCGTACTGGGAAAGAACGAGAGGAAAGCTAGGCTCCGCGGTGGATTGGCTGTGTGTACTCGGTAACGTAGAATTCACGGCCAGCAGAACTTCGGATTTTGGTGTGGTGCACCAAGGCCAATGTAGATGTGCGCCGTTTCACTATTTCCATAGTAATTGATTCAGGCGACGGCTTTGCCTGCCCTGTTACCGTAACTCGGGGCATATCTCAGTAACCGTGTTTTCGCAGTGGATGATCATGCGACAGCAGAAATTCGTTCTGGACTCGTAGTTTGGCTGTCTCTCGTCTTTCTGAGGGACTCTGATCCGCAAGGAATATCTTAGAGCATTGGAACTAGACAACACATTTTCAAAGGTGCGACTCGTGAGTGGTATGGTAGGTCAAAGGCTCAATTGAATCTACCACCGAGGAGACTGTTTGAAGGGATGTTCCAAGCTGTGTATAGACCGAGCCCAAGATATTTCTGACAGCAACCGCCCCTTACAAACGAATAGCTTCCGAGCCTTGTTTCTCGACTGGCTCTGTAGTAGGAATGTCCCTTCCATTCGGTTCCCAGCCCCAACCCGGTAATCCAGTTCACCAGGGATATGGTAATGCAATGCCATCCTGCCGTTTTCCAACGCAACTCCCCGCAACCCGCATCTTTGATCCATTCCACCCAGCCGAAGCTGCGTGACCTCACAGGAGACAATTCCCCGGTACAACATATCCGCACTCGAGCAGGACTCACATTAAAGAAACAAATAATCCATATTTGTTGAGAAGTTCGCGTGTATTCTTGGGGAACGTGAACTCTTCATTGCCTCTCTGTTATAGGTACCTGACAAACTATTAATTAGAGAGATACCATCATGGCGTACAAAGTTCGATACATGTGGCATCCCACACACAAGGTGACCGACCTGGCCGCCTGTGAAAGGTTCTTCCAGGACGTGTTCAACCTGGAGAGCACCCCCGTGGAAGCCAACCTGCCTCCGAAGGAAGAGTGTCCCACGTATCCGCGCGACTATTCCATCCTCACCATGATTCGCGAGGTCATGTTCGACTGCGTGGACCCGACAAAGTACGTCGTGGAGGGCCGGCAGTCTCTAGAAGACGTGGATGGCCCAGGCCACTTGTTCTGTTTCGGCCTGGCCGTCGACGGCGCGGACGAGATCTACCAGGTGTGCATTGAGAACGGGATCCGCAGCACAGACCAGGCAAATCGGCTGGGCAGTCTCAAACGGCCGCCCATTACGGGTTTCAAGAATGCCACGCTCTTCTTCACCCTGCCCGAAAGTGCCGGGCTGCGGTATCAAATCTATCCTCACGCCGCCACGGGCCCTCCTGATCCACGCGCCGAACCGGGCTGGAAGCTCCCTCCGGTGGCAGAGAGCGACCCCCTGTCACTGGAATTCTGCTCCCACCACACCATCCTCTCGGCCAATCCCACCAAGGCCTTCAATTTCCTGATCGGCATCTTGAAGGGCAGGATCATCCATCAAGGGCGCAATGAGCTCCTGGAGACAGACAGTACATACATTTCTCTCGGAGATGGCGTCTACGAAGTTGCCGTGCCAACCCGCGCAGGTTCTTTCGCCGCGGAGGATCTGAAGTTCAACGCGCCCTTTGATACGTATCATGCGCTCACGTGGAAAGTGAGAGACCTTGCCAAGGTGAGGCGGCACCTGGAGCACAAGAAGATTCCGCTCTTGATGCAGAACGAGCATATGGTGGTCACAGATCCGAAGTATACGATCGGTGTCCCCTGGGGGTTCACGGACAAGAAGGTACCGGGTGACCTGAGACTATCACCATGAAGGGTCCGTGCGACCGTTATTGAGGCAGTATCCGGTGGACTGAGGCATCCACAGGGCGGATCAGTTCCACCGAAGAAAGATTACAGTGACAAGCGACTCCGACGGAGAGGCTGGGAGAATTTCCACTGGTGGTTGAGTTTCAGCCTTGTACAGATGGCGTTGACAACATTCACAAACGTACTAGTAGAAGCAACTATGCAATAGCTACCCTGACCAGTTGAAATTATTCCAAAGATCCACACTGCTGTCGTCCCAGAGGAAAGGCATGTCCGAGGTTTTCTGCAGGGGGTCCTGAAACGGCTCTTGATAAATAGTGGGCAGGGAGAGGTCCCAATCACCATTGGCATTGACATTGCCGCTATTCCACGTGCTATTTGGCGCTGGACCCAGTGCGGTGGCGATCGTATTCGATGCTGTGCCCGCTCGGACGCTTTGAGGCCACTGAGACTCGATAATGTCTCGAGCCACTTTGATGGGCCGACGTAGTTGCTGCAAGATGCGCCGCGCGAGGAAGGAACCTTGGGAGAAAGACTCCATAATTTTCAGGGATTTGTTCAGGAGATTTATGGCCGGTCGGGTCAAATCCTCTGAGTTGTTCTGCTTTACTATGATGCAGATCATGGGGACCAGAGCGCCTGTCAAATGATGTAGATAAGCGTGTCTCTCACAGCGTTTGGATCTTTGGGACGAATAGGATGCGTCAACGGCCGCGACGACCTCTGTGGCCATGTCGATACACAGTCGCGCGACCTTTCTCCCATAGGCCAGGCTAATCATTTCCTCTCGACGCAGCAGCATTCGTAGGTATAGAATCCGTAGATGCAGAATAAACCCTTGCTGTTGAATAAAGGAAGGTGCTCCGTCGTACATATGCTGAGATCCTGCAGCTGGAGGCCAACTAAGGGAGGGCGGAATTTCTCGAGACAATTCAATGATCTTGTTGTCCATGGCGGCGATGAAGTCCTGGCTGACCGGTTTCTTTGCGCGGGCACCAAACATGGCTTCCCAGACCTCCGAAGAGAGTCTTGTCAACTTGATTGTTTCCAGCAGGTAGGGAACAGGAGAGGTTGTCGGCATCTCCGGCAATGAGGGGCAGTCTGGATACAACATTCGATCGTCAACGCATTTGGGCAAGCCGACGTTGATATCTGACTCCCGGAGCAGCTCAGGCACTCCACGCGTCTGAGCAACATTGTGGTTCAGACAAAAGACCGACCAGAAAACTCGTTGCCGGTATGTCCTGTCGTAAAATTTACATTCCTCACCCCATGAGGGTTCGTTGTGTAGCCCCAACTGAAAACACAATCGCACTGCTGTACCCATCGTATCGTAGGCCGAGTTCAGTAGGCCTGCATACATGAAATATAATGTCTTCACAAGCAGTGTTTGGATGGTCACAATATTGGCTCTCTCCAGCCATGTGGCGTGGCTCAGGAGCTTGTCACCGCGACAGAATTCCTTCCAGCCTGGGAGGTACTGACCCTGGGTAGAATTGTCGCACAAAATGCTCACCACTGCCATGATGAACTGGAGAAGGGCGGCTAGTTGTACGGAGCCGTTCTTGGTGAGGCAATTCGGGTCGTTTGCCACAAAGGCAGAGAACTGCGCACGCAGATAGCCTTCGTTCATGCAGGGATAATGTGGTTGTACATTCGCAAAGAACATGTCCAACGACCGATGAACCTTGGTCGGGTCTTCAACCCGTGCCTGCTCGACAGTTTGGTCTATGTCACGATAGATGTCGGCCACCGAAGTGTTTGGTTCGAAGCTGGAGCTCCCCAGGAAACCACCTACTTTGATAAGGTCCGTCCCTTGTGCTCGAGTCACGGAACGGTCAAGGAGATCGATCTGCTGGAAAAAAGCGGTTCCGGTCATAAAATTGGTGTTGCGTTCGAAAACGCTTTCGCGAGGAGATGATGTCTCGGTGTCGATGGTGCTCTGAGGAGTCTGTCCTTGGTTGTCCCTGAACATTGGTGCATTGGGCGAGAGTGCCTGGCTGATCAATTGCTGGTCACCTTGAGGTTGTGTTGATTCTCTTTCTGACTCTCTTTGTCCATTTCTGCCGTTTTGCTGCGGCCCTTTTGTAGCCGCTGCCGCTGCCTCTGGAGGATCGTCTCTTAGAGCGGCCGTGCTAAGGTTAGGACCTGGGTTTATTCGACTGTCGACATTTACCCAGTCGGTGGAAGCAATGTTCGGCGCCAGCAAAGTCGCTGCCCTCGAATGCCTGGTACCCCGCGGCTCTGAAAAGACACATTCAGTGCCACAATGGCGACAATTTCGGCATACCTTTTCGCCACTGCATTTTCGTTTACGGCGTTGACACTCATTACAAGCTCGTGAAGTGTATTTGTCGCGGACTCTGACAGCGTTCGAGCCTGATGAAGTCATGGCTGTGGAACTCGCTTCAAGCTCATTCGGCGGCTGCTGTTTAGGATAGAATTGTGACCTTCGAACCGCCTTCCGTTTTCCACAAAGCTCATCTTGATCAAGTCGGCAACCTGCATGATTAATGGAAATGGCCCCCTCAAGCTTGGCTCCCCGCATGGAGTGGTTGTGGAGTGGCGGGGGACGCAGGGCGGTTGCAAGGGCGAGGGAGAGGTCTCGGATGGCTATAGAGGAGCATCACAAGACACGAGGCGCAGGGATAGTCAACCATCATGTCAACGCCGCTTCCAAAGCCCTGGATCTGCCTAATGTGCGCTAGGTGGTTGGAAAGTGCAAGAAGGGCGCCCATATTAGGGTGCTTTCGCCGTTAGGATGGCCCATTTGGCGGCACCCTTGTGAGAGCTCTACGGAGCCACCGAGCGCGCCGAGTTTCGGCTTGCTTCAGCCTGTCAATAAGCGGAATTCTTCGTGCTTGCGGCTTTGCATCCACAAGACCGGAATCGTCATGTTGACCCTAGCGTCTCGGTCTGGTTTTCTGAAACAACGCTACTGGTGGCTGCGGTATTGACAGATCTTGGAGACGATTTCACGTTAGTAATGACGAATACCTTCACCGCAGCAACCCTAGAGATGGAGAAAGGACTACCGACAAGAAGAGCTCGAGCAACTGCGGCTTCAGTCCTCTTCAACGGCGAATTCACCTTTTGTGTGCTTTACTAGTCGTCCTCAGCTCTAAGTTGTAAAGTTACACCTCCACTTGATGTATACTTCTGAAGGGCAAGTCCTCCAGTCTCACTTTGAATATTTGTCCCACAGATTCGCTGACCTCGTAAACAGACAGACACCGAGGCCGGCAGCATCTGCTGCAAGGCTTCAATCATTCGCTGGTCTTCTCAATGAGAAAGGGAATCTCGTTGGTGCCGCTGTTACCATTGGAAACACCCTTTGCGCCCAGATCACGGCACGAGTTGGGTTTGATTGGGTGCTTATCGACATGGAACACGCCCCCGTCTCGGCGCGCGAAGCCTCCAGCCTGGTCCAGGCAGTGGTCGCAGCATCAGGTGGCCAGTGCGTTCCAGTAATACGCACCCCTTCGCATGGTGTCGAGTGGATCAAATGGGCTTTGGACTCTGGGGCTGCGGGCATCATCATTCCCATGGTGACGACCGCTCAAGAATGCGAAAACATCATCCAACGTGCCATTTATCCACCAAGAGGCCAGCGCAGTTTCGGACCTTTTCTGGCGCCATATGCCGATGTCGACCCCGCGGCCGATGTCACGAAGTACATGAAAGAACGCGCGAAGGAGGTGGCGATCATTCCGATGATCGAGTCTATGGAGGGCGTAGAGAACGCAGAGGCGATCTTGAGAGTCCCCGGAGTAACAGCCTGTTTTGTCGGGCCTTACGACCTTCGCCAATCTATGGGCCTGCCAGGTGGTGACGGTGAAGAGCCCAGCTACATCAATGCATTGCAAAGGATTCTCGAGGCGGGGAAGAGGAATGGTGTAGTCATTGGCACAGTCGGCGCGACCGAAGCATCTGCAAGACGGAAGGTAGAGATGGGGTTCAGATTTCTGCTCACGGGCCAGGAGCCCAATTTCCTGGCTGCTGGTGCCAGGTCGACTTTGCAGCAGTGTCAACGGGGAATGATAGCCGCGAGAACTAGCAATTTGTAAGTAACTGGAGCATTCGGTAGTTCCTGGCAGTGAGATCACTTCTCAAGCTCAAGTCCCATTTTACCTCGAGACGCGTGGCCCTTATGCTCATGGCACTAACGAGATGTCGTTATAAGGGCTGTTGGGCCTGTCAACATGGTTTAACATTGAATTGGACATGGAATGGAACGATTAAGTGTCCCGTGTACAGCGAAGGAGTGACGACTATATTCAACAAATGGATATCTATTGTCTTGCGCTACACTTCTTTGACTTGGCTTTGTCTCTCCTGGGGAGTCTCGACGAATCTCCCGAAACTCAGGTGTAACTGAGATGCAAAGCCAATTAGAAGATGGCGACAACGTTTGAGTGGCTACCCACTCCTCCTGCTTGTTGTCAGATTCTTGTCTATACCGGAGGGAGATAGACTGACCTTTCACATTTGCCGGGCTACTGGACAGGAAGAACGTGTATCTGTTGTGCTTCTTGCACAAAGCAGCCAGTTCTTCAAGGTCCCAGAGTTCACCGATAGGACTGCCCCAAAGAGGAAGCAGCCAGTGATGCAAGTGTTCTGGCTCGTCCATGGGCCATGTTTCGAAAGAAGGCGCATCACTGGCCACCGCGCTGAAATAGTTGTCGTGGAGCAGCTCAACCATCTCATGAGCGCGGGAGAGTCCTGCAAATTGCAACTCGAGGTAGGCCTTTGCACCCATTTCCTCGCGTTGCTTCACGTCGAGCTTCCTGTATGCCTCCGAAAAGCCGGTCCTCACAATGAAAATGTCGCCGTACTTGAATTCCACGCCTTGGGCCTTAGCACAGGACTTGATCTCTTCGGCGGTGATTTTTCGGGGGGTGAATGGGTCATAAGACTTCCCGCAGTGCTCGTAAAAGTCAATAAGTACGCCTCGTCCGACTTGGTCCCGTGGATGTTAGCTCATTAATGTTTGCGAATGAAGCAAGGACACGTCGTACCGATGCCTCTACGTGCCCATGCACTGGTGCCAATCCTGCCGGATTTGTCTTCGATTTGTTCGACCGTCGTCTAAGGCATGTCAAAGATCTCTCTTTTGTCTGTGTTGACAGGGTTCAGTACATTATTGTACCATATAAACCCATCATTATGCTTAATACCTGCCTGTCCGACTCAGTTAGAGATGGATATTATAGCAAGAAACCTACAGAAAGATCGGAGGGAGCTTGTTTGGAAACTTACATGACGGAAGCCGTCCCATTGGGAACCGCTCTGGGTGTTCAGCTCATATAAATCGTCAAATGCGTAAGGTCGAACTTTCAAGACGGTGTGTTTGAAAGGAGGACGTCCGAAGAACGGGGGCTCTGGCCACTCGGCAGGCAGACTTTCATTTAAAGTCGGGGTCAGCCTCTCATTCAAACCACTCAATGATGTTGAAAGCTGTGGTTGTAGTCCTGAGATTTCGCTTACTTCAAGCACGTCCTGTCTCCCGTCTGAATCAATTTTGAGGCTTCAATCACTCTTCTCGGCGTAAGGAGATTCAACCGCCCCAACTATAGTTCATGGTTAGTCCGCACTCCCAGAGAGGAAAGAAGAACAGGATGAAGATCTAGAAAGAGGCTAAAGGTCCTACCTCGTCATCTGGTCCCCAAAACCAAGCTGCATACTCCGGCGCACCGGGTATCTTAGGCAAGTTTTTGAGCTTTGGCAAGTTGTCTGAATCTGGGTCCCACTTCGCCATTGTGAAATCTGTTGTTCTTCGAAGATTGAGGTGTCCTCTAGGTTTATTGACCAGCTGGATATGGGAAACTACGTCTCCATCGCCGTATTTGAAGAACCATGATGTACGCAGAAACTCTCGCTGAGCAGACCAGTCACGCGCCGAATAGTATTGTTACCCGCAATTGGCATGGACCTCGCTGCGGAAGACGGAAAACGCAGTTAGACCGGGTTCAGCGGTTCTCTAGATTCCTCGCATATACCGAGCATTCTACTTAGTGGCCTTAAGACACTGATCCACATGACGAATCTAGTCTCATGTTGCGGAATAATAGTTGATTGGGAACCACAGTGGGATCTGGAGGTTACCAAGGCTTCCTTTTCTGCTCGGATCTCGATTTGGCGTCGGAAAATCATTATTTTGTTTTGATATTCCTCATATTTATCCATAACTGTTCGGGTCACGATGCCATCGCTCAAGCTATCTTGAATAACGAGGATACTTCTTCCTTCCCTCTTGCCACTATTCGGGCCTCTTGGTTTTCATCCACTTCACACCCGCTACCTGTTCCTCCTCCAAGACATAGCTGAAGAATCCCACCATGCTTGTTGAAAGACGACGAGCCAGCATCTTTTCTCCCTCATTCCAGATTATAAACTATTTGGAAAGCTCAATCTCCTGATACGTGTCGTAAATGGATGCCTTTCCATCTCCTTCGACGAGCTGTTTGTCTCCTGAAACCGCATCCTCGAAGGTGACAACTACAGTGTCCCCGAAGATGGCGCTGAGGTCCTCGATCGACTTACCGCTAGTCTCAGGGTAGAGGAAGAATATTGTGATTATGAACAGGACCGTCCAGGATATGTTGACGAGGTAGAATTTCCAGTGGATGGCATCCAAGGCAATGGGAGCGGCCACCAGAAGGATGACGTTCGACAGCGTCAGTCCCAACGTGCCGACTGCCTGTCCCTGTGCGCGGATGTAACTTGGGAAGATCTCGGAGATGTAGACAAACTGGGTGGCATCGATGCATGTACACCAGAAGCAAATCATCAAGAAGGTCAGGAAAATGGAGGCCTTCAGTCCCGGCCTGAAGTTCGGCTCCAGGTATAAGCCTTGCAGAATGCAATTCAGCACCACACACATAAGGATACCGCACGTGCCGATCAGGAGCAAAGGACGACGCCCGACTCTGTCGACAAGCGCCGCATTAATGAAGTTTCCTGGCATGGTTATGCTGACCCAGATTGCCTGTAGAATCAGTGGCATGGGCCCAGTCATGCCCAACTGCTGATATACCAAAACTCCGTAGATTCCGACCGTTGTCAGGCCGAGAAATTGGGTTCCCCAGAGCAAATTAAAGGCCAGGAAGACACGTTTGCGGTTGGAGGCAGTCCGGATGATGGGCAAAGGTCCGATCCGCTTCGAGACACTGGAGTCGAAAGCGATCTGTCTGGACATTTGGTTGAACTCGCGCTTTGCGTATTCCCCGGCTTGATCTCCTAAATGCCCATGCAGCCGTCGTATGACAGTCTCTGCTTCTTCGTGGCGCTCTTTCATAATGAGCCATCGTGGCGATGCAGGAAGAATTGGTGATCCGAGCAGTAGGATCAAGGTAGGGAGCAGTTGGACGGCTAAGGGGAAGCGCCAGGCGAATTCGGATTTGGGATCATTGACACCCTTGAAATAGGTACCGACGTTGATCCAGCAAGATAGCGAATTCCCGATCGCAAACATAAAGCCAGTCATTGCCACCATGAATCCCCGCGATTCGGGAGGGGAGACTTCAGCTTGGTACATGGGCGCCACGGCAAGCAAAGACCCCATGCCAACGCCGGATAAGAAGCGTGCCGCAAGAAACATGGACGGGTTGACAGCGCCACTTTGAAGTGACCCACCAAGCATGTATACCAGCGTAGTCAATTGCAAGGTGAGCTTTCGGCCCAATTCGTCTGCCGCCCAAGCAGCGATGACAGCTCCAACCGAGGCGCCTCCGATAAAGGTTCCGGATGCCGCGCTGAGGAAATGAGACGTGCGCGGGTAGCCAGGGTCGCTGGGGTCGTCCGTGTAGCCCATGGACACATAGAAGCCATGCTGGCCGATGGCACCACTGAGACAGGACATCGCATAGCCACATGCCATAGGACCCGTAGCAAGGAGCATCACGAGGGCCCAATTGTAGGCAGTGATGCCGGGAAGAAGCCGACCCATCCTGATCTTTTAGTAGTGTCCTGGATATCAATGGAGACGCCAAATAGTATAGAGATGATGCTGGAGCCCGATGTTTGTAGCTGATGAAAGCATTTTTGCGACTACGGACGTAGTGTATATTTAAGAGCACGGTATACGGGTCTCCCTCTACGAAACACCGCGGTATCCTATGTCCTTGGTTTCGAGAACTCCACAGGTTATTTTTCCGCTTTCCGTTTTCCACCTTCCGCATATTGTCACCCACGGAGTTCGCACCCATAATCAATAGCTAGTGTCCAAGTTCTAATGATACAATGCTCTTTATGCAGGCCGGCAAGGCAGCGCATTTAACTCCGGTTGCTGTGAGTAGACCAGGTGCGCGAGTTTTGCCTTCGCTGTCACGGTTAATCCTGTTTCCCGCATGCAACATCACGATGGGTCACTCTTCTATACAGCTTGCTTCATTCCGGCTATAGAGTCTGAGAAGGCTTGTTCGTGAGCCTGACGCCTGCGTAGGAGTACGAAATATCATATTGGGGGGCCTGGGTGCAAAATTGGTGTGTGATTGCGTCTAGAATTTGCAGCATTAGCCTCAAATATATTCGAACGGCCTCAAGACCTCCCATGCAGGAGTCTGCAGGCTATGTCAAGAGCTGGTATTGGGCTGCAAGACTACAAGAATTGCCATTTTGGACAAATCTGAGACATTCCAAGCACCGACGACTGCACCGCTCCCTCCAGAGTTGACCATCCTTCAAATATCTACCCAACTAGGCGATTGAGCTGACTTTCATGGGCGAGAGGATCCTTTGGGAGTTGCACCTTCCAGTCCTTCCCGACCTCGTTCTCCCCCCAAGCGTGCGGCCCATTGTCGTATGTGTTGGTGCGCCGCATATCCCTTCGGTACTTGAATATATACTCCGACGCGTCTAGCGCCCGATGCCAGACTGCGGTGTTATCCCACATGACTGCGTCTCCAGGCTGCTCCCAAGCAACTTTGTACACATATTTCGGCTGCGATCCGTGTGCAATCAGCTCCTCTCTCATCTTGTGGCTTTCCTCGACCGAGTAACCCTGGAACCTGTAGACGTAACTAGTAACATACAGGTTGTTGCGTCCGCTACCCTCGTGCGGATATACCGCCTTGAAGTGAGAGATAGACCAGTCGTATGGGTCCACATCTTTATACAGATCGGGGGCCGCTAAACGGCGATTGTGGATCAGAGAACAGTCGCATATCAAGTTCTTGAGTTTGTTCTTCCACTCTTGGCTGAGATCCTCATAGGCTGTCCGGGAGTCGGCAAACTCAGTGTCGCCACCTAACCCCTTGGGCGGGATTTCTACCGCTCGGAGGAGCGAGTATTTGTCCCTTCGCGGATGGTACTGCATATCAGCATGCCAAAGTTCATTGCCCTTTTTCAGCATGGAGGTGACGCGGTCGGTGTTTTTGACGATTTCTCCAGAGTCGTCCAAGTTGGATACGTCGAATATGTGCGGTTGATCAGGGAATCGACCTCGACGACGAATGAAAGGCATTGAATCCAGCTCGCCGAACCGCCGCGTGAATGAAACGTGGGTATCGTTGTCCATGTTTGCATTCCGAAAGATGAGAACGCCATATTTGTCGATACCCTCCTGGACTTCTGCGATCACAGAGTCTGGTATGGGCTTTGAAAAATCAATACCCTCCACTTCAGCCGCAAATGTAGCGTGAAGAGGCTTAAACTTGAGTGACTTCTGGGCCGACATCATGGATAAATTCTCAAAAGAGCTAGCGTAATCTTCTGGTGGTCACAATTCTGACGAGAACTATTTCGAGGTCGTCTGGAAGGAGTTAAATGTGAAGATGGCGCCGGTGCTTCTCACTTCGATGATGGAGTATTAGTGATTAAGAAGAGCGGAAAAGCGCAAAGCACATCTTTCCAGCACACTGTCGAGGGGGTTTCCGACTCCCCACAGTGGCGAAGGATCATTGAGAGCAGGGGCGGAATAATCAGAGACTCCACAGGTTCCTAAAATGACTTCTAAATGGCCATGGTCAGGTGAGCCTTCGACTGATAACATTTTCCGCGGGATCGGATGCCAATCTCCATTCTGCCAAGCGCTTTCCAACGTGGTCTGTCCGCTGTAGAACAAGGCCTTTGCTCCCTGGCATGTGGCAAAACGTCCATTACGCAAAGAACGCCTGTCTCATCGGCATAAATCAACCTACGAGAAAGCTTCGGGTATATTCATTTGTTGCGTCTCGAGCTATAGATTCTCAAAAGACTCGGGCCACAGTTTGAGATGTTGCGAGACTTGTGTGACAATAGCACCGACTCTCATGGAGGGTATGTCAAAGCCATGGCCTCTCTTCCAGAACTTCCAAAAGACGATCCCAGAGCCGATTCAGAAGAGGCTGCCAAAGCATGCGGGTGGCAGAATGTGAATAGCAGAGGCTACTCCATATTAGAGAAGCCGCATGGACTGCCTCAGCGCAAGCGAGTTGTTGTTATCGGCGCTGGAGCAACCGGTATATGCTTTTCCAAGTTCTCCGAGGCTCTCGCGAACCTCGATTTGCAAATCTACGAGAAAAACGACGAGGTCTCAGGCACGTGGTGGGAGAATAGGTATCCTGGCTGCGCGTGCGACATTCCGTCTCACATTTATCAATTCAATTGGGCCATGAATCCAAACTGGTCGCACTATTACTCCGATGCTCGCGAAATCTTCGAATACTTCAAAGGCGTGGTGGACACTCACGGGCTCCGCAAGTATATCAAGCTGCAGCATCAAGTTATTCGGGCAAGCTGGAATTCGGAGACCACGAAATGGGAAGTCCAGGTCCAGAGACCGGACGGGACAGTCTTCGAAGATCAGTGTGACTTCTTGGTCAACGCTTGCGGCCTGTTGAATAACTGGAAGTGGCCGAGCATCAATGGTCTTCATAGCTTCAAGGGTAAGCTACTCCATTCGGCCGCTTATGACGAATCGACTGTCCTTGACGGGAAAAGGGTGGCCGTCTTAGGGGCAGGCTCATCGGGTGTCCAGATCGTGGCCAAAATTCAACCGATCGTTAAGCAGCTATACACTTGGATTCGGTCTCCTATCTGGATCAGTGCTGGATTCGCTTCCCGATTTGCCGGTCCGAACGGTCGAAATTTCAAGTATGGCGAGGACATCAAAAGGAAATTTGCAGAGGATCCTGTCAAGCAACTTCGCTATGTCAAAATGCTAGATGCTGAGCTTGGCCAACGCTTCTACTTCAACTTCATCAACACTAAGGACGCGCAAATGGCAAAGGACTTCTCCCGCAAACAGATGGAGGAGAAGTTGAAGGATCGGCCAGATCTAATTGAGAGGATAATTCCCACCGCGTATGGACCCGGATGCCGTCGACCGACCCCCGGAAACGGGTACCTCGAAGCCCTCATGGAGCCCAATGTGACGGTTTATACCTCGGACGTTCAGCAGATCACCCCATCGGGATTTATCGACAGTGATGGCAATGAACACGAAGTCGACATTATTATCTGCGCAACGGGCTTCGATACATCCTATGTCCCACGGTTCCCGGTCCTCGCGAACGGCAAAGACCTGAGACAGGAATGGGCTGAAGATCCCGTGTCCTATTTTTCCGTCATGATCCCGGATTTCCCAAACTACTTTCTCTCGATTGGGCCGTACAGTGCGACGAACGGTTCACTCCTCCCCCCTATTGAGCACGGGTGCAAATACATGCTCAAAATTATAGAAAAATGTCAGATGGAACATATCCGTTCGATCGCCCCCAAGGCCGACGTCACGGCCGAGTTTCGGGAGCACTCGGACTTGTTCCTGAAGAGAACGGTGTGGAATCAGAAATGTCGAAGCTGGTACAAGGGTGGAACTATCGATGGGCTCCCGCGCCTCTACCCTGCGTCAAGAGCACATTTTGTGGAAACCATGCAGCCGCGGTACGAAGACTTTGAGATCAAGTATGAAAGCTCCAACAGATTCCATTTCTGGGGCAACGGATTCACGGTTCGGGAGCTCGACGGACGCGATCCGACATGGTATCTTGGTGTTGTAGATGGCGAGGACAAACAACCAGATTATACAGAGGATGAAAAGGCCGTCCTCTTCTCCGCGACAGGTGACAATTAAAACGATCGTTTATACATATTTCTCCGCCCGGTTGGTGCATACAGAGAAGGTGTCCTCACTGTTGGTGTATAATGCTCTGATACTTTACTGATGATGCCGGAGAGCCCATTGAATGCGGTGAACATGGATCTAAGAATAATAGAGTTTTCCATACATACCTCTTCGTGCAGAATCAACGTCTGAAAGTAGGCTTCGAGCGGATTCCCTCACAATGTGTATTCAAGAAAGTCCAATTTCAAGAGTTGAAGTCAAATCACGGTCCGGAAAAGATTTCTTCTCCTCAGAAGTAGACTTGAACAGGTGGATGATCCCACGGACCAGGAGGCGGAAAGAGCGCGGAGAGCGAATTATCCTCGCCGATAGGTTTTAGATAGCCGATTACTTGGCTCTAGCAATTGGCATCTACGTAGCCCTTAAGATGTTGCTTTGGTGACGAGTACTATCAGAGAGAAGATATATTACAACCAGGCATGCTTCAGCACCCAGCCAGTTCTTGTACTGCAAATCTCACGACGGAAATTTCAACTGAACGTTCCAATCTACTGACCAACCCAACTCGGCTCTCCTTTCTCTTCTGCTGATCACGGTTTAAAAAGCCAGTTCAAACTCAACACAGTCGTTGATTATCGAGTTTCATCATGGCATCTCTAGCAGGAAAGGTCATCGCCATTACCGGTGCCGCAGGGGGTATAGGCTCGGTGACTGCCGATTTACTCGCTTCCAGGGGGGCCAGCCTTGCCTTGGCAGACATGGACGAACACGCAGTCAATTCCACCGCCAAGGAAATCCGGAGCAGGCATAAGGTCGACGTCCTCGCCACAAAATTGGACGTCACGGTCTCCCAACAGGTCGACGACTGGATCACAGCTACCGTCAAGCACTTCGGAAAGCTCTCTGGAGGCGTCAACCTCGCGGGGACGGTGGGACGGGAAATCGGGTTGAAAGCAGCGCATGAAGTCTCGGACGCGGATTTCGACCTGGTGATGGCAATCAATGTCAGGGGTGTCATGGCCTGCCAGCGAGCTCAGCTACGGAGTATCGAAGATGGAGGATCCATCGTCAACGCCGCCAGCGTCGCCGGGAAAATCGGAATCCCCAACCTGCTGGCTTACGGTGCTAGCAAGCATGCGGTCATCGGATTGACCAGGACCGCCGCGGTCGAGAATGGCCATCGGAATGTGAGAATAAATGCCGTGGCACCGTGAGTTTGCACCCCCCAAAAGTTTTTGGACTCTCAGACATTTTCCCGCTAAGTTCTCGATACAGCGGAAGCATTGATACCAAGATGCTCGGTATAGCCCGCGATTCCAACATGCCAGGCAGTGACAAGGCACTGGCCCCGATTAATCGGCTTGGGAAGCCGGAGGAAGTTGCGGCTTTAATTGCATTCCTGCTGAGCGACGAGGCTACATACACAACGGGGGCAGTTTATACAATTGATGGTGGCATGACTCCATAGAAGATGCATATGCATGTCTTCACCATCCGGGAGCCGTGTAGAAGTAAGGCGGGAATCATACATCGCCCTGTAACTGCAGTAAAGACGATCCGGAGGAACGGTGAATCATTCACGAGGCTCTCAAAAACGCGTAATATCAGAATCTTTCAAAATATCTACCTAGGTACATTCTCCTTACCCTTGCAACTCTCTGTGTGAATCCTGTTACTTCAGCAAGCAACATTCCTGAATCTTGGCAGTACCCAGAGAGAGCGTAACCCGCAAAAAAAGTTCAAAGAGCTTCTGCCAACGATAAGACTATTTTAATATCGGTCAAGAGGGTCAGCCTTCAGCCAGACGGCCTGTTAGATGAGAAGGCTTTCGAACACAGCACATTGCCTGGCACGATTTTCGCCATCGTGGCAATGTTCTCTTCTACTTACTCGCTCCTCATACCGTCCGCTTTCTAACCACCACCGGCAGAGCAGCTTTCATCAACGTCAAGCTCGAGGTGACCTCCCAGGGATAGCGTTCAAGGTCATAGTTAGGTGCTGGCTGCAGCTCGAGTTTTTTCATAAACCTTGTGAGAAAAAGACGCATTTCGAGCAGCGCAAGAGGCTTTCCTACGCAGCTGTATACCCCGGCACCGAAAGGAATGTAGGCTTTGGTATTGTGATTGCGGATGCCGTACTTCTCTCGCTCTTGATCTATCCATCTTTCTGGCAGAAACTCCAAGGCTTTGGTGAAGTTTCGCTCGTCCCGTTGCATCGTCCACTTGTGGATACTGAGCTGTGTGAACTCGGGAATGAACTTTCCGTTGATCACGGCGCCACCCTTTGGCGTCGAACGCTGGTTTCCGTTTGGATCTGGCTCTGCGAGGCGCAACGACTCGTTGATGATTGCATTCAGATAGGGCGCGCGTGCCGGAACCAATTGCTGTCCATCAAGCTCACTCACCCCGTCCCAGAGTGAGTCCACCTCTTCTTGCGCCTTTCTGTACTTGTCGGGATTCATCAACAGGTAGTAGAACGCAAATGTCATGCATATGCTGCTTGTGTCACTCCCGCCCACCACCACGACAATGGCTTCCTCAGCAACCTGGGACTTGTTCAACTGGACTCCTGACTTAGGATCTGGCTGTAACAAGTATTCGAAGATGTCACCTCCAGCTTCTTGTCCTCTTTGGTAACGTGCTTCAAACCGCTGTGCCGTGAATCGGACGAAGTCCAGACCATTTCTTTTGCGTTCTCGGTCAATAGGCAGCCATTTGTAAAGCTCCTTGAACCATGGCACGGGGCGGATGATGGAGAGCATACGCATATAGCTGTGTAGCAGACCTGCCCACTTCAGGGACTGTTTGTTGGACCCCTCAATCATCCCAAAGTCCTCCCCGAAACCAAGATCGCCCATTATATCGAATGAGAAGTGGTCGACGTCTCCACTGATGTCGATGATACTCCCGTTTTTCAGCTCACAGTGTTGGATCAATCGGTCGGTCAACAGGATGATCCTTGATTCGTAAGACTTTAAGGCGTTCGCGGTGAATGCTTTGTCCCAAATCCTCCGTCGAACTTTGTGATTCTCCACATTGCGTGTGCTCGCCATAACCAAGGTGTTATGGCCTGCTCTTCCAGGATTGCCATCGTACCACGGTCCTCGACGAAGGTTGAATGACTGAGCGCCATGGATAAAGGTCACGTCGTCGGGATTGATGAACGAGAGCTCATTTGGACCGTACCGAACAATATCTCCGTATTTCTGATGCAAAGACTCGAGATATCTGTGGCTAGTGCCCGTTCCACAGATATACGAGAAGTGAAATTTGCTGAGCTTTCCGAGAATAGGTCCGGGATATTTCCGTAGAGGGTGGAAGAATAGCCTGTAGATGGCGATGCTTAAACACAGCGCCACCAAATAGCAAAGATTGAAAGTAAAAACAAAACAGATAAGCCCCGAAGCCTGTAAGTATGAGACACATCGCCAGAAAATGCATAGTGTTGCTTGGAGGACTGCGATGAAGCCAAAGAACTCAGGTACCGTTGGCTCTTTGCGCTGAAAAGTAAGGTGGCTTCCCAGTGCTAGCAGCACGCTTGGGGAGCTGACAGTCAACAGATTCAATCCCATAGCTGACAGTTCAAACATGCCTTCCAAGAAGAAGAATCCCTTGAACGGCACTATTGTTGCCGTATGAAATACGAAAGCCCAAAGTTTGCGGGAGCCTAGACTTGCCCTCAAGGAGTTTCACCACGGTGCCGACAGAAGACTTCGGTGACAGCATCACCGGCCGGCTAAGTCACTTTCGGAGAGCAAGTGTAGGGGGATCAGCAATAGGCATGGCACGAGTAACATGGCTTCCCGCGCCTCCGTTTATCATTAACCGGAATCCAATGCAGACATCATGCACGGCACCACTGGTCTTACTATCAGGCGGCGCATTATGGAACAATTGGACGGCTCACTCTGTGGAGGATTTTCTGTGGTCACACAGCTCCATATCATTACAGAATCATGTAAAATGCGTATGGCGTGTCTCAATAAAGCCCACTTCCGGACGCAAGGGGGAAGGGGCGGGGGCCTGAAGTGACTGAGGGCAGCAGCTTGGCGCTCTTGGAACCCACTTCTCCCAAGCTAAATTACTCTCTGGGCTCGATCAGGATCACATAATTAGTACACAGGTACAGCTGGGAGGGAGGTGCATGGGAGAGTGGAGGCTGGATTGATGCTATTCCGCCGTGATACAACCGGACCTACATCTATGCTCTTGATCGGCCCGTAAACATCATGACATATGGGCTTGGAAATGCTACAAAGGAAGACCGAGTATCATTTGAGGAGTTACGCAGCAATTTCTAATTTTGGTCGCCTTGAAAGATAATCCGATACTACTTGTATAGCCTGGCCCTATCCAGCGGCAAGATTGATTCTTCTACTGTCGACAGTCTCAGGCTATAGTTCATACTCAGTCCCCGAAGGATGGCTTGGAATCTCGATGGAAAAGTCGTCGTTGTAACAGGTTGCGCATCTGGCATCGGCTTGACCACCACAAAGCTTTACCTCGAGGCGGGCGCTACAGTCTTTGGTATCGATATCTCACCATTCCCTCAACCATCTCCGTTCTCCACGGCGCTGTCGGAGAAGTTTCATTTTCACAAGGCTGATCTGACAGCGCCCGGAGCCTGCGATGACTCGGTAGCCGCCTGTCTGTCGAAGGCTGGGAAAAGTGTCGATATCCTGGCCAATGTCGCCGGCATTATGGACGCTTTTGAGGCTGTTCACAAGACCACTGACACGACATGGGACAGATTGATAAGCGTCAATACCACAGTACCCATGAAATTGATGCGAGCAGTTTTGAATCAAGGGGGTATGCTCGAGCAGAAATCAGGCCGGATTATCAACGTCGCTAGTAGGGCTGGACTGAGTGGAGCGGCAGCAGGATTTGCTTACACAGCGAGCAAACATGCCCTGGTAGGTGATATCGATGTTTATTTGTGTTCTATTGTCAAGATCAGCCTTGGGAGGCACGACATGTCCCCACGGCGACTGTTGTCGAAAGACAGGGGCAATAATCAGTTAACCAACTGCTCACTCAGATTGGAATGACCAAACACGCAGCCTGGCGTTACCATCACGACGGGATCCGAACAAACGCAGTCTGCCCAGGAGGTATTTGCATTGCCATTCGACTTTGCTGGGGTATTTTCTGACCTTTGTATGAAGGGGTTCCAACCAACATCAAAGATTCCATCCGGAAAGAGAACTTCGACCAAGAGTCGTTGGATATGATGACGTACGTGTATTTGCCCTCTGTGGCGTTGTGCTGATCCATGCCGGGAGTCCTACTTGACCGATGAACTAACATTTGCGAAACAGGCCTTTTCATCAGTTGAACCACGCTCGTGATGGAAGCCAAAGTATCTCCACCGACGACATTGCAAACGCGATCCTGTTTCTTTCGGTGGAAGCATCCCGCAATGTCAACGGGGTGATAGTCCCGGTGGACAATGCGTGGAGCGCATGTTGACCATCCGCTTTACCTGATCCTGACCACGTGCGAAACAAGAGTAATTCCTCTAGGACTTTCGCATGTTAGGGGTTGCGCCGAGGCGGGTAACATTCTTTGCCACGCAATCAACTAGGCGGAAAATGATAGCCGGCGTCAATCTTGATGGCGGAATGATGGCGGAAATCATGGCGGAATGGAAGCCAATCAACTTCTAGCGGCGGTTCTAGGAGGATATAGCAAATGAATCCAAAAACGCAAATCAGCCTGGCGGGTGAGCGGACCATGGGCTCGGAGATTTCCTAAACCCTGTCTGTGCATGAGCCATCCTGATTCATACGCCTTTTCCTTTTTGTGCAGGTGCAAGCCCGCTTGATCGATCACATTAGGCACAGCTCACGTGCATGTTGGCTCATATGGATATTTGGGGCCTTTCCAAGACTGTCATGGTTGAGAAGTAACGAAGTAACGTGCTTCGAGACACTGCAATTGGGTTCAAGGGACGACAGATTCCTTGGACTGTCTCAAGGAGAGGTCGAACGAAGATGCTAAGCATCGACGAAGTGCGAAAACATGACAATCAAGCGTCTTGTTGGGTCATTATCCACGGATCTGTGTATGATCTTTCTGATTTTCTGGACAAGCATCCTGGCGGTGCAGCATCGATTCTGCGATATGCAGGAAAGGTAAGTCGAAGTCAGAGGTCGGCAGTCATGACATGGCTAAGAAGTGAGCTAAAGGAGTGAATAGGATGCGACGGAAGAGTATGATGCGATACATCCTCCCGGCACCATCGAAAAGACGCTCCCAAAAGGTACCTGGACCAAATCCATGACGGAGAGGATGATTACTGATATGAGATAGATAGAAATCTTGGTCAAGTCGAACACTACATCGCAGCGGCGGAGGAAACAAAGGGGAAGACCGGTGTTACGCGCAGTGCAGATCGAGGTCTCGCGTCTATTGACATGTGTCTAAACTTGAATGATCTGGAGCTCGCAGCCAAAGGCTTTCTCCCTGAGCGCGCATGGATTTATTACTCCTCTGCGGCGCAGGACAGGCGGACTTACGCTCACAACATGGACGATTGGAAGCGAATCCGGTTCCAGCCACGGATTATGAGGAACGTGCAAAAGGTCGACACTCGACGGACAATTCTGGGCTTCCACAGCAGTCTCCCATTCTTCATTGCGCCTTGCGCATTGGCCAGACTGGGCCATCCCGATGGAGAGCTTTGTCTTGTTCGAGGAGCTGCTCGAGCCAATGTTCCGTACTGTCCAAGCAACTCTTCATCGGTCTCTCATGATGTCCTTGCGGGTTGCCTTGCTTCAGAGGCAAGTGGCGGTTGCCTCTTCTTTCAGTTGTACGTGAAAAGATCCCGGCGCGAGACTCTCGACAACATCCGGCGTGCCCGAGACTTGGGATACAAAGCGCTTGTTATTACCGTGGACACAAACGTGGTGGGAATCAGAGAGGATGACGACAGGTTCAAAATAAAAGAGGCGCTGAATAACGGCCAACTATATCTCAGCCCTTGGAGGACAGCGCTGGCCAATCCAGATCCCGAAGCAGTCCTGCGCGCGCCTCACTCAGCAACACTAAACTGGGAAGACTTATCTTGGATCAAGGATGCCTGGCAAAACGCTGGCCCTATATGCTTGAAAGGGATCTTAACGGCCGAGGATGCCAAAATTGCTTGCGACTTGGGAGTCGATGCCATCTACCTGAGCAACCATGGTGGACGCCAGCTCGATTCGGCGACTTCTGCTCTCGGGGCTCTGATGGAGATACGGCGATCGTACCCCGAAGTGCTCGGCAGATGTCAGGTCCTCTTGGATGGCGGCGTCCGCCGAGGAGGAGATATTCTCAAAGCTCTCTGTCTTGGGGCTACCGGAGTTGGGTTAGGGCGCCCTTTCATGTACGCTCTCAGTGCGTATGGTACGGAAGGCGTGCACAGGGCGATCGAAAGTAAGTTCTGTCCTCGCTGCTGCACCTCGAATCTTGGGATCCCGGTGTCCTCAGACATTTTCAAAGTCTCCTACATGGAATTCTAACTCTGTTCTGGAACAGTGCTCAACGACGAAATCGTGACGGCAATGCGGCTATTAGGCGCCACAAGTCTGAGTGATCTAAGTCCCAGGATGGTCAATACTCGCGAATTGGAGACTCTATTGACCCAAGATTTTCCAGAACCTGGGAGCATAAGTTCCAAGCTCTAAGCTCTAGCTGGGATCTGTATATTTGCCATGCAGACCGTTGCCTGCAGAGATTCTGTTCTATCGACGGGGCCGAGCAACAACATAACTTGCGCCCTACCTCTTGCATAAATATCTGTTGAAGGAAACAAGTCAAGCTCCGGAGACGCCAACCTCTCCAGTTGTGGAGCATAACTCGAGGCAAATGTCACGCTAGAATAGGTATACTTCTGAATTGTGCAATGCATGCCTCCGTATTGCTCGGTGGCTGGCTCTGAAGCCATGTTATCTCCGAGGTATAGAGCTTGTTATGAATGTCCTTCGTCGGTTATTGTTTTCCTTAGGCGGGACTTTCCCGCCCGGGCGACGTAAGCAACACCATTCTAAGCACCCCCTGATATCGAGACACGGAGTCAGACCCAAACGCCCCAGGTCTTTTCCACTTTAGAGGGACCGTCTTCCACATGCTGATTTTGGAGCTGAACTCCATCGACAGATGGTGCAGCAGTCAGCAATACAATCTCACGACCTTCGCAATGAGACCGAGCCTGGCGCTGTGGTATCTGAGTCCTCTAGGGGCTCTCCACCATGACCAGAGAAATAAACAGGAATCAGAACAGCTCGGCCACTTCAAGTTCGTACTCAACAACCTCTGAGAACAACCTAGCCACCTCTTTACAAGACTTGGATGTGCTTGTGCAGTGCGAATTGCGCTGAAGATGCACAAGGCTTTGATCTTGGTGTTCCATATTTACCGGCGGTCTCAAGCTGATATCTCCAGAAGTCGCACGGACAGCAGAACCCCACCGGCCGTGAGAAGATCTTAAACTGCTTTAGGTTGTGCTCTACATATAGCGAGAAGTGAAGCAGGGTGAAGAAGCGTGCTGGCATTGTCCGGCTTAGAATGCAGCTATGTGCTTGTATTATACCTCTTTTTTGGGACCAGGTAGATCCTTAATCGGTCGAGGTGGTATTCTCTAACCAGCGAGTAGAACGCAAGACAATTCGCCAGATTCCCCCGTGTAGTTGCCCCTTGCAGGTTCAAGTTCCGACTCCACAGTCTCTGCAACTGTCACCGTCGCGAATATTTCCTTTTTCCGCAGGTCAGAGTTCCGAAAGTCCATGGGTCAGCCGCGTCAATGCATCAGGGTCTAGCTAGGCTCGCAACTTTTAGTTCTGTCTCTTTTCCGTCGCTAGAGAAGCATCTGATGGAGCCATCAGCTCACCAAAGAGGCCCGCTTCTACCCCGCAACCCCCGTTGTTGTCCACATGCCCACATTGTGCATTGTCTGGATCGTGGAATCCCCAGCAGACTAAGCCCCTCGCCTGGAGCTGCGCCTTGGATGCTTTTTCTTCCGCCTACCTGAGGATGCTCTATTCTCATTTCTTCAACTCCTGTACCACGGCTTCTCCCCATGAAATGCAGGTAGTGTGCCTGCTGTTCCCAACTTGGGCTTTTTGATTGTCCTCTGTGCAATATCACCTCAGACTATGACTCCTCGCACTACAGATCCGCAATCTCGAGCATCGGCGGCGTGTACCGCCTGTCGCATTCGGCGCACCAAGGTTCGTCGTATTAAATTCTCTTGATAAGACTCTTTGGAGTGTTGACCAACTGTATAATGCAGTGCATCGTGGACCCCGGACACGCGTCGTGCGACTATTGCCAAAGCAAAGGTATGGAGTGCACGTTCCAGGCTTTGGATGACCGTAAGAGGTAGGTTGCGGCGGCATATTATCAGCAGTCAGAACGGAAGAGCCTGGACTGACTACAGAAGGCCAAAGTCCAAGGTCTACTTAAATTCGCTGCTCGAAAACATCCAATCCCTCGAGCAACGGCTGCGGGAGGCTGGACACGAACCTCCTCAATTCCAACACAGCGTTACCCAAGCCCAACCGACGCAGCAGCATCGACGAAATATCTCCCTGCGTGGTGGACAGCCAGCACTGAGTACAGATTCGACTGCCAATAAATCTCGGGTTCAAGCCACTAGCAGCTTAGAAGATGCTGCACAGACAAGCCTCGAGGAAGAACGCATCCAAGGCTCACCTGCCTCAGCTGACGCTTGCATGGAGACTGTTCGGGAGCCGTCCGCTCGAGAGCAAATCAAACTTCACAGCGCAGTGCGTCCACGAAGCTCTTCCGAGCCATACCAGCTCGGCAACAGACAGGATACCGTGTGGAATCTAATCTATGGCCCTGACCGTTTTATTTATGACAAAAGAAAGGGCCGTATCCACTACTTCAGTCCTTCTACCTGCTACAAGAGATATCTAAGCTCGAACGGCCAGGGGGCGCTCGAGCCGTCTCAACTGGACAAGCATTCCTACAAGATCCTCGCCGATATCCCCACGGATCTGGAGAGCTATCTCATGGACCTCTTCTGGAGCCGATACAACAGCACGCTATGTGTCATTGATCAGCAGGCATTCCGTAACGACCAAGCCAGTGGAGGCTCGACCTACTATTCCGGTTTCCTCCATCTTGCTTGTCTGGCCATGGGTTTTCGATTTGCGGACAAGACCCGGCGGGGGATGCAACAAGTCACCCTCAGCGACACATACAGTGTTTTCCAGCGAGAGGCGAAATTTCTCTTGGACAGGGAACTCGAAGATCCACAGGGCCTCACCATCATCCAAGCGATGCTAGTCTTGAGCGACCTGGAATGTGCCTACGGCAGGGACGATCTGGCGGCCATGCACATAGCCACGTCTTGCCGGCTGGCTTTCGATTTCGGCCTGAATCTGGACTGTTCGAGGTTTCAACTGTCCGAGGCGGAGACGAAGTTCCGCAAAGACTTGCTCCATTCGTGCTTGCTCTATGATCAGGCGTGGGCGCTGTATGTGGAACGACCGACGAACATGAAAATCGCCGATATTTCAAGCTCGTGCCTGGCCAACCGCATCTCCCACGTCAAGGATGGCTCAGTGTTGCACGGGAAGTCCATAAACGAGTCGCTGCCCACACATGAGGATATTCAGGGGCAGATATTGGATGCTCTCCTTGAGCTTTCCGAGCTCAGTTCGAGAATTCAAGCCCTAGCACAGCCGAGGCTCAGTCTCGGGAGAATTGCCGATGAAGATCGTTTGATAGACGTCGCCGCGTTGGATGCAAAGTTGAAGTCTTGGTATACCATGCTTCCCCCACGTCTTGCGTGGACAGAAGAAAACATCAGAGATGGGCCGCGTCTCTTCTTCATAATGCAGTAAGTCATTCCCTTCGATATTGATTTCTACAAAACTCAAGCAGCACGCCATTCTTACGCCGCTGTTGAAATGGGATCTCATTCCCCGAGGTCAACAACCTGTATCTGCTTCTGGGGCATTTGGCTCACCGTTTGTCAAGTCAACAGTTCCATGTCGCCCAACTCAATCTTCATGGGCCATACGGACGATACGAGGATGCCTTGGGGGTAGAGATGGAACAGTCTCACGTATTTAACAGAGAGACCAGCGATAGCGGCAATGTCAGCGCGTTGCAACACCTGGCTCGATCAATCACTATGAACGCAGCCATGAAGATCGCTCAGGGCTTTTCAACCTACCAGAAACGATTCGGCACCTGCGAAACCGGCGTCTTCGCTCTTCAACAAGGCGGCACCGCTCTCCTGGCCTTGATGTCCACCATCAAAGTCAGCAACGAGGCAGGAAAGCGCAACTCGGGGTTGCACCACCTCTACACACTGACGGAGCAGCTACGGGAGATGTCCCAGGTCTACAGCCCGGCCGAGGTGATGTGCCACGTCGTCAAGCGCGAGATGGAGCGGCTCGATATCGACTTCAATGACTTGCCGACGCCACCCAACACGCCGGTCTACCCCATCTCACCGTCAACAGCGAGCAGCGCACGACGCCCTCACTCTCGACATTCTTCCGACTCTGACCCCGCGTCGAAGCGGCGACGTTTATCGACCGACCAGGAGCTTCTGACAGTCTCCCACGCACCACGTCAACACAGTAACCTCGATCGAACCGCACGCTTATCCGGCGTAGGATCCTCAGACCAACATGGCGCCACGAAGCTTCCAAATTCCGCGCCACCACCGTTAGAATTACCCGACGGCCAATCTTCCGGGACACTCCCCACGGCCAGCTTCGAGTCGATAGATCCCATCCCCGACACCATCCTGGACCTGAACGACATACAATGCTCTTCTTGGGCAATGGGACTGTCCGACATCTCCACACTCTTTGATTTCCAAGGCAACGACCAGATCGGCAATGAGATGCTCCTCCCCTTCGCCCCAGACAACCAATACCTACCGGGAATCGACCCGAACCTGAGGATCTTGCCGGACGTTATGCAATACGGATAGTTTCAAGTTGGATTTGCCGGTGAGAGCCAGGTTTGAACGCTTAGGTTCGGGAATGCGTTCCGGAAGAACAGCTCTCCTAGAAAGGGTGGCGCTCGCGCAGGTGGGAAAGAATTGAACATCGGAAAGAATGTACTGTAAACTACAGGGCGTCGCTGCTTGACGAGCTCCCTGAAATTGAAATTGAAATTGGGATCTCCATCTGTCTGCCCGTAAAAACGAACGAAATAACGGAAGCTCACTCGGCAACGCATAATGGCAATATCTAGGACAATACCCCTATACACCGGAGTATTCGAACGGTTGGATTCGGCGTCATGCCGCTTCAACCAGCCCACGCCAGACACCAAGAACCATCTTGTACCGAGCATAGTCCAGTTGAGGGGGAATCAGAAGTTGATGGCAACAATCAACCCCGCTTGACCAGAAATCATTTTCGGCTATCAAATTGTAGTGGGGAGACAGGCTCTTGAGCCGGAGGATTCGGGGTTCCTGACTCCAAAAAAGTCCTGCTTCAGACGTATACGCCCGTCTTGGATACATTCTTAAACATAGCGGTTTTGCAAGGGGTGCATCTAAAAAGTTACGTTGCACACGGTGAATAGTTATAGGAGTCCAACGGAATACCTGAGAGAATGAGCTCGACAAGCACGACCACCCGCCCGTTCCCCGTCCCCCATGGCGCCGCCGCGAAGTTCTGGATCGTCGACACCACCGGCACGATCCAGGGCATGGCGGCCGACCACTTGGTGAAACCGAGTCTGCCGACCTTTCACATGTTCCCAAAGGTCCCCAGCTGGTCGTTTCTGATCGAGACCACCGTGTCGGGGACGACGAGGCGGGTGCTCTTCGACCTCGGCGTGCCCCAGGACGTCTACGGCCTCCCGCCGGTGGTCTCGAACCGAATAAAGACGTTCAACTGGGTGGTCGAAGCGCCACAGAACACGGCTGAGATTCTGGTGGAGCACGGCAACTCCATCGGCGAGGGAGGCCGGCCGTTGCAGCTTGCGGATATCGAGGCTGTGGTTTGGAGGTACGTGAACCATTTGTCTACCGCGCAGAATCTTTCGCCGGTTTAGGTTAACTGATGAGAACATTTACATAGTCATTGGCACTGGGACCATCAAGGCGACATCCAGCATTTCCCCTCCACCACGGACCTGGTCGTCGGGCCCGGGTTCAGCAAGGCGTTTCTCCCAGCATATCCCACGAACCCTAAATCACCGATTCCGCAGAAAGACGTCGAGTAAGTACATTTCTCCGAGCCCTCAAAAGGCCGTACATCGCACCATGACCCCTGGACCACTGAATCAGGCACTGGAATGGTGATGCTCACTTCTACGACAGTGGCCGACGCGTGCGAGAGATCGACTTCGGCGGGCCAGGAACCGTGCAGTTGGGAGAGATCCGAGGGTTCGACTACTTCGGCGACGGCTCGTTCTACCTGCTCGACACGCCCGGCCACGCCATCGGCCACCTAGGGGGGCTTGTACGCACCACGTCGAACCCCGACACCTTTGCGTTCCTGGGAGGTGACTTGACTCACCATGGCGGTGAACTTCGACCCTCCAAGTACCTCAACTTCGCTTCGGCCGTGGCCTCTATGGGTGCAAAGAGCACGGGCAACCCGAGCGTGACACTCGAGACCCTCGAGACCCTGCAGACGTCGCGTGGACGCAGGGTGGATCAACCCTTCTTCGACCCCGTGATCACGAGTGACTTTGACGAGGCGGTGAGGACGATCGTCCGCGCCCAGGACGCCGATGGCCAGGACAACGTCTTCTTCCTCGCCGCGCACGACGACACCATCGCCGGCGTGGTGGACGTGTACCCCAAGCAGGCCAACGACTGGAAAGCGCGCGGGTGGCGGGAGAAGACCATGTGGACTTTCTTGCGAGACTTCCGGGGAGCCCTGTTCCAGTGCCCCGGCCATTCGAGCTTATAGGCGGCGGGCTGTATGACCAACCGTCGTTGCAGGGCGATTGTAGACGGGGACGGGCCCCGAGACAGAATTCAGAGTCGAGACATGATTTTTGATATTATGGTAGTCGGGCAGGATCACAGGCCGTGAGGCAAATAATGTCCCGGCAAAAGGGGGGAATTGAGCGTCGACTTTTCACCATGAAAATAGGAAAGTGATTCCCAGTGAACAGTGCAATAGAATTTTCGAATCCCGAGACGAGGCACTACCGGCCTCGTAGCCGAGCTACAGATCATTCTGCCCGCACGGTTGGAGTAGACGTGCGTGGAGATACAGGAACTAACCGGGGGCAAGCCAGGTCTGTATGGCCCGTTTACCGAAAGCAATTTACCATTGTCATTGAGATTTTGCGCCTTCGTCGCATAGAATACCTTCTGCTGGCTCTCGGCGCGAAGAACGAATACGTCTCACAATCCCGAATCGTCAAAGTAGGAGAAGGTCGTTGCTCACACCACAGACACCCTCGTCCTCGGCATCCTTGACTGCAGGGACCAAACAAGATGGGGAGACTGGACGGCAAGGTCATGATTGTGACGGGCGCCGGGTCTGGATTTGGAAGGGGAGTAAGATAACCCACCACCACCTCCCACGGCACGAAAAAACCCCCCGCGAGATATTCTGACATGGGTGAGGGTCGAAAAGATTGTGAAGAAAGCGACCTCGGAAGGAGCCCGCGTGCTCGGTATCGACATCGACCAAAGCGGGAACGAGGAGACGAGCAGGTTAGTCCCCGCGGACCGGTTCGCCTACTTGACGGCCACCGTCGCGGCCGAGCAGACGTGGTCGGACGCTCTGCAATTGGCACAGGACAAGTTCTCCGCCGTCCCGGGCACGGTCGTCAACTGCGCCGGCTACGTCCACCTGGGGGCCGACGCGCACGCGGTGCCCGAGGAGGACTTCGAGCGCGTCTGGCAGGTCAACGTCAAGCCCCTGTATCTCACGGTGAAGGTGGTCGTGCCGTACTGGATGGCGAAGGGGATTCCCGGCCATGTTATCAACATTGGGAGCATCGGCTCGCAGAGACCCCGAGCGAGCACCATCTGGTACACTGCTAGTAAAGGGGCTCTTGACACGGTAATCAAAACCCCCTATTTCCCATCTTGTGACTTGACGTGCGTAACTGAGCGTTGTGGCAGGCAACTGAAGGCCTTGCTGGGGCATATGCCAAGCACCGTATCCGCTTCAACATCGTCAGACCTTCGTTCGGTAACACACCGATGTAAGTCTGGAACCTGCAGCAACTGCGAAACGAACTGATCGGGTTACGCAGGGCACCACGGGTTGTCGGTGGCGTGGACAGCGAAGAGGGACGAGCCAAGCGACTGGCCACCCTCCCGCTTGGTCGTCTGTGCGAGCCCGAAGACGTCGCCAACATGACGGCTTTTCTGGCATCGGATGAAGCAAATTATATCACGTAGGTCTTTTCCTCCCCAAGGAGGGTTGATGCTTAGCACTGCTGACTTTCCGTTTGCATAGAGGCGCTGGATTCAATGTCGACGGTGGACGATATGTCTCTTGATGTTTCTGGTGCTCTAAGTGTGCGTGGGCTCATTTGCAGAGACAAATGCTTGAAAGTGAATTCCCTGGGACTCAATTATAGACACATTACTTCTCAATGGTAGATCCTCAACACATAAAAGTCCGCCCACCGTAGCACCGTCTTAATGCTGGAAGAGACAGTTGTGATGCTGACGGTAATTACCTGCACAGCTATACGAGCACTAAAGACACGGGTATAGCACGAAGCCCTGAAATGAGAATCTCGGTCCCCGAAAACTGGCAAGTTGTCTTTAGCCGTCGTTGCTGACATCTCAAGCGTCGGCATGACTGTGCCTCTATCGACTCATCGACGTACATTACAGGTATGGGAAGCACTATGTCTCTACGCCACTGCGTCGACGAGACTTTCCCAAGCGATATAAACTCGAGAATGAAGGGGGAGAACAGCTTTCACTCAAACATGATGTATTTTTCATGGTGGTTTTATCTGATTTTCCTCCTTTTTTTTAGGTACGGTTTGGTTTTCTTTCCTTCAGCAAGTTTTTCCAACGCTTTGGTATGCAATAGAACATCCTGAGCATGACCATTGCGACCAGCCACAGCACTCCATGACCCTCCAATGCGGCTTCGTTGACCCAGCAGTCATTTCAGTTGATTGACCCATCGAATCAGTGAGTTGTACTCTGACAAAAGTGGAAAAAGCCCTAGCGTCATCGGCTGAGGCGTGTCAGCCTTGCTGCGACATGCTATGCAATTCAATCCGACTCCTCAGCGTCCACCCCGTCGGTATCTTCCTGCTCGCTAAGGTTCAGCTCGCCCATATCCTGTGCTAGGCTTTCCCCTTCAAGGTCCTCGTCAAAATCTTCTTTCCGCAAGATCTGTCCATTCATGACTCTGCCCAAATGCGTATGGGTCCACTCAATGCCAGCTCGCCGCATATCGATGAATCCTTTGATCCAAGGGACTGGGCTTGTGTTGAAGGTGCACTCCGTCCAGCCGTTCGCTTTTCTGCAAGCAGGTGAAACAAAATTGTCGGTTGCCACCTGCCGCTTGCGGACCAGTAGTCGTTCTCCGTCAAAGAGACCGACGAGTGCGCAAAACTCCTTGTAATGCTCGAATGAAGAGAAGTACAGTTGGCCTGCAAAGAGACCGAGTAGAGCAATGGCCTGTGGTTCTATCTTCTCGGGGGCGTTCTTTTCTGGAAACTTGCATATATCTAATGCATCAAAGGAAACCATCCCTCGTGACGTTCGGGCTTGATACAGATGCAGGGTAGTCCCTTCCGACTCAACTGGCTTGTCTTTCGACTCTCGAATCGCATGGAAAAAAGTGTTGGCTTCGTGCGGGCTGATGATGATTGGCTTCATGATTCCAGGCGTCTTCACTACCCATTGCACTGGTCTCAAGAAATCATCTTCGGGGGAACCATCCTGAGATTTAATGGTTCGCATGAAGTCTCGAGTCACCAACACATGCATGGGAAATTCCCCTCGCTTATAATAAAGCCCGAGGCGAGTCTGGCTGAGAATTTCGAAGCATGGACGAAGCTCGGGGATGTTCTGGGGAGACGTTCCGTTTCGGATGACATCCAGTAGACTTTGACAGTGTTGTGGGATGGCGGGGTGAACTTCTCGAGGGCGCTGTATTTCCCTCTCCTCTTCGACTTCGTGCAAGACTTCTCGCTCCTGTTCTTGCGTGATGTCTCTGTCATCAAACTCGATGGCACGAGCTCTTTCAAACTCTATACACAAATCTCGAACCACAGGGTCTTGAGATTCTGCCAAGGTTGGTTCGAACGGCAGTTCCGCTCGGTGAGTTCCGCCGGCGCTGTAAAGCTCATCAACAGGACGGCATTCTCGCTCTCGAACTGTGTCCAGATATTGCTGCGGATTCACAACGTTACCATTCGAAGAAAAGTGACGGCCTGCAGCGAGTCGTCGACGTGAGTGCAGTAGACCTCGACTTATGTGAAGAGGATCTTGCTTTTTCAGAGTGAGACAAGATTGGTGAATCGCCCAGCGTACAACATGGAAGCTTTCAAGGTCTCCTGATTGGTCTTTCGCGATGCTTCGAATTGCTTGATCAACCTCAGGTGGAGCATAGAATCTGACGCGTTGAGAGACAGCCAACTTCCTCATACGCATACAGGCTTGTGCCAGATTATCTTTCAGAATTCCAGGTCCCAAAAGCACTGCCGCAGTAAAGTTGTCCGGGAGCTGAAAGTCGGTCCCTCTAGTATGGAATTCGTCCAGGAAGATCAAGCAACTTTTCAGCTCGTCCTTGAAGATCGATGATGCAAGTGACTCAGTTGAGCCATCACGATTCAGGACCATTTTCTCATCGTTTTCTGAAAAGAAAATCGTTGCCATCTTCTCCGGGCAGAGGTGCAACCACAACTGGGCAATCTCTAGGTTACCCTCCAGCATTTGAGCTCCGACATCGATGATGACATCGAGTGGACCATCTGCCGTGATACGCTGCAGTAGCTTCTCCGTTGGAAGACGTTGACCAGACGGTGATGTTGCACAGAAGTACTTTCGATTCTCTAATCGTAACAGTGTGCTCAGAGTTGAAGCCGTGATATGTCTCAAGTCCGAAAGGTCCTTCTGTACAATAGGTATTTTGCTGTCGCAAGTGCCACTGAAGCCCACTGTAAGAACTCCAGAATTTCTGCATAAATCCCAAGCTGAAGTCGACAATTTGTACCGGAACTCTTTGGCCTCTGATGGGTACACAACATGTCGCAGGAAGAAATTGATCAGCTCGCTGTTGTAACGGAGATGGTCATACAGAGCGTCAACACAAGACCCATCATCTAGGTTGATAGAGTTGACTTTGCGATATTTGTCAGGGAGTGTAGAGTGCTTCACCCATTTGCAGTATGCTTCAGCAGGATCTGGCAGTCTGAGTAGAATAAGGAGACATCTTCTCAAATCCGGCCGAAGAATGCCTGTATAATAGAATGAGAGCGCGGTCAGAATGATTGCCGCTTCCGGTTGTGCAAATTCAGCGCTGGGAGATGGAACTGATTTGGCACGATACGGAACTGCGCTCAAAGTCCGAGATCGATCAAGTCCGTAATTTACCTGCCAGCGTTTGCGGAGAGTGTGGCTCAGGATTTGGTGGGATACCAGCCCTCTAGCCACATAGAGGAGATGAAGCCTAGTCGAATTCTCAAAGTGCTGGGTTATCAATTCAGATTCCACACTGTCGACGTCGAGGTTTAGTATGAACGAGCTGACGGCTTGGAGCACCTTTGGATTGCAGTGACCAAGAGAGAGGCTTGGAAGCTGTCCATCGACGATGGACTGAGTGACCACCTTCGCCACTGCCACTGCACCGGCTTCATTCAACACTCTGATATGCGGGAATGACCCCGGACCCCGGGCTTCCATTTCAATTTCGTTCGGGCATTGCTTGCAAAGTGCACCAGCATTTTTCTGAATCAGGTCCAAGACTTCCAATGAGACATTCCATCTGTCTGGCGCTCCTGAAAGGAGATTTGCTTCTCCATTCGTGTAAACAAGCTCATACGCAGGTTTTAAAAGCTCGTCAGACTCGTCGAGGACATCTCTGGCATTACAATCGAGCCATTTCTGAACGCGGATGAGTTCAGTAGCAAGGTATTGAGTGTCTGGTGTCAGCTTATCAAGGCCCACGAGGCGAAACGAGTTCAAGTATTCCGGCAAAGTGAGGAGTACCCCTCCCGTTTCACGGCATTCTTGATAAAGACTCATCAGTCGCCGAGGTGTTTCGGTGTTCAAAGTGGTCTGTCTCGAGAAGGGTAGATAGTAAAGGGTTCTTCCCACCAAGCCTGCAAGAGAGCGCGACAGGATTCGGAGCATTTCTTGTGCGAGAGGCTTCAGCACCACAACCCGAACGAGATGTGAGCCTTGGGCAAGTGCCGTCACCACAAGATTTAAAATAACACTCGTCTTTCCTTCGCCCATGCCCAGTAACACGGTCCCATTTTCCGGCTTGAGCAATTCAGTTGCAACCCGGATCTGGACAGGTCGAATGAGAAAGTTGTTTTGACACTCGAGAAGGAGCCAGTCAGGCCACTCTTCTGGCGACCATGCGGAGTGTGCAGGATTGGCAAGCTCATTGTTGAAAGCGAACGTGTCCTCGGCAGCAAGGAATTTTTGTAGTCTTTCCACCCGCTGTGCTGCTGTAATCTCTCTGGCGAACTGGAGCAGAACGGACATCCAACGAGCCGGGACCTTTTCTCGGTGTTCAGCTGAGAGAAGTTGAAGCAAAGTTAATTCAGACACTTGCGGCCAAACCTTTGCAGTGACCAAGCCCTGTTCTGAGGGATGGCACGGTCGAAGAAGTATGCTGGTTCGTGAAAGAACATAGCTAATGTGACCTCTGCATTCCTCGAGCTTTTGAGCTAGTTCGTTGCCCGAGGGCACCTTCATCTTCGGTTGTTCTTGACCAGATCGAAGCTTCATAGCTTCGATACTGTTTCCCAAGAACTGCCCATACTCGCGAACAGCCACAGACGAGTCACGGGACAAGTCTTCGACGATATCTTCTAGTTCTTCCCAGCTGGATCGGGCTTGATTAGACTCCAAAAGTGTAGGAGTTACAGTTCCAGATAGAGACTGCGACAGATCTCCGTCTAAGCCCGTGGGCTTGCTCTCACTAAATTCATGCCCGGTGACTGGCTTCATGATCATGAGGTCGAGCAGTGAAAAGTGTATGTTTGGACGGGCAGAGCGAGTAGCAAGGTCAAAGTCGAGAACAATGTCAGTAACATCTTGGCCAGTCCAGGGGCCGTTGAAAGCTGTGAGGGTCCGATCGTATTCCTCGAAGAGTTGCAAGAAAAGATAGTTTTTGTACCACGCCGCAAACCTCCCATTCAACAGCACTTTCAGCTCTGAGAACTTGTACTGATTCAGTGACCGCTCCGTCGGCAATTGAACAGTATCATTTGGCCAGGATTCGCGGGCAGCGTCCAGGATCAACTCGCGTTGGTCTCTTAGCTCTTGATCAAAGCGTCGATGCTCTTCCGTGATCCCAAAATCTCCGCTTTCGGCAACGTCACAGGAGTCGCTAGGGACAAACGGGTTTTCACACTGGGAGATGAGCGTCGAGATCTCTTCGCGATTGAATGAATGACCATCCCTCAAGTCATACGAATCGTGTTTGGGAGCTGGAAGATTCCTGAGGGCTGGTGAAACAGCGAAGGCGAGAAAAGTCCTCAACTCTTCGTCAATAGCAGGTTTTTCAAATACCAAGAGCGATAGAACAAACATGAGAGTCTCCAGTTGAGTAGACGACGATCTACAGAAACTCATTAGGCGAGGAAATATGTCTTTCAAGTCCTGGTTCAAGAGACTTGAGAAAGAGTTGAAGGTGAAGTCCTCGTTGAATCCACTGATTTGTTTCCATCTTCTTATTTTGCTCCTCCAGGATGTGTTGACGTCAAATGCGGACGGCGAGGATTCGATGAGATTGACCATGGTGGCTGATGCAGAAAAGTTATTTCCCAAGTCCTGGTCCCTTGAACAATAATCCCTGTCGTCGATAGAACGCGAGACTGGCGCTACGGACTCGCACGGGTAAAGCTTGTTTGTTCGATGATGAGATCTGTCCAACAATGCGAAGTCTCCTTTATATGGTATGGCAGTCACGTTCGCATCGAACAGCCAGTCTGCTTTCTTGTTGTGAGCGACTATCTCATTGACCGTTCCAAAGAAAATATCACGTTGAGCCATGACTGGCAGGACACCGTCAAATGTCACGCTCTGCATAGTCTTGAGATGGGGAGGGTAGAAACGCCTCTCAGGAGTAAGTCGAGCAATCAAGCGCAGTATGGTTTGTGCACGCTCAGAAAATGGTTGGCATGTCCGACAGATGCGATCCGACAGAGCGAACAGGCTCTCTTCAGTGCCAGTCCTACCAGTCAGAGAATCAGACTCTGGAAAACTTGTGACCGCATGCAGGTATGCCTTGTACAGATGGGAGTCCAGATCTTGGCTGATCAGCTGTCCAAGTCTGACATCGAGTCGAAACTGTGAAAACGTCACAGAACTGGTGTCTCCCAGTAGAACCCGAGCAGAAACATGAGGAGATGCCGGGATCAACTTCACATCCCCGTGTGGAATCAAAACGGTTCTCAGATTTGACCCGGCAATCTTGCTCGTGCTCCGCAAAATCAGACGAGACTTGAATCCATGCAGAGTTCCCAATGTCTGGTCAAAGTCAATGAAGGCGGAAAGCTCTTTGCAAACCATTCGACCTTCCTCATCGACGTCAAAATGCAGATGATAGCGAGGAAGCTCAATCTCGATCTTCTTGCTTTGGTTAACCGTCATGAGGATATGTGACTTCTGTTCGATTGGTTGGAGAGCATTGCAGATAGTCCCACCAACTTGACTCTGGGCGTCTATTAGATACCTCTGACCAGCATGCATGGAAGTCTTTGACCTATAATTAAGGTCGGGGCTGAGAGTCCAGTCTGACACTTCTGAGTGGAAAGGTTGCGCTCTAGACCGGAAAACAACTGTGCCGTCTCGTAAGGACATCCAAGGAGTGGTATTCTCCACGATAACTCGCGGAAGATCCCCTTGAAAATTTTCGCGTTGGATGGCCTCGAAAGTCTCGCCGTTACTCTCCGAACGAATTAAGAGAACATCACCGCGCAGGCCGAAATAAACTCGGTGGCCATGAAAAACATCCTTGGTCATATACTCCATATCCTCTTCATCAGCAGCGAAAACGTCCAGATCCACATCCCCGAAGATTGACCGGTAGAGACGGGTAGACGTATGCTGAGCAGGAAGCTGAGAAATCGCTCGACCAGAAACAAGAAGGCTACCAGTGACAAGGTTGTAGTGGACGACTTTAGAAGAAATCTGATTGGAAATCCAGGAAGAATCATCACTGTGTACAGTCTGCCACTTGTTGGTGAATATCGCAGTTGGCCAGAATCTGTTGATGCCATCTGAGATTGCTGAGTCGTTGAGCTCGAGGGCGACTTGGAGATGTTCCTCATATCGCCTGGCCAGGTACGCGTCATTTAAAAGCTGCTTTTCCATTTTGAGAGCCTCTGCGTCAGAATGAGACTTTCGATGAACATGCAGGTAGACAGAAGCTTCCACGTAGTCTGCCACAGCATCATAGTCAGAGAACATAGATGGCTGGGATTCGGTGTCCGCAGCGTACGTGCGGCGGCAAAGAATGCAAGCATTCAAGATCTGACGTGACAGATCTTTGAGGGTAGAGCTGTCAACATGAGCGTTCTTCTGGTCTGTGTAGAGCTTGGTCATCTGGCGTATCCAACCTAGACCGGACTGACGAATCCAGAGGATAAGGTTGATACAACGCTTCGCAATCTCCGGGAATGACGATAGCGATAAAACCTTGAGAGCCACTTCCAGCAATATAGCCGCCGCCGCCGCTTCTTTGAAATTTGCCTCGATTCTCTCGAATGCGCAGTCCAGGGCATCCAGAAGAGAAAGACTGAAATGCTCCTCCTCGAGTATGCCCTGAGATTCACGTAGATACGATGGCGAGGTGGAGCGCTTTTCGCCGACTTGAGAGATAGCGTAACGGAACAGTAGAGCTGTTGTGGGTGAGTTGAAGTCAATTTCTGGGGAGGTAATTGCTCCAAGCACGTTGAGGAGTTGGAGTCTTTCTCCAGATCGTAGCGATCCGAGAAGCACAAATTCGTGAGAGCTCATCTCTGAAGGACACTTTGACTTTTGTGAGATCACTTGATTCTGCGTATGAGTGGTGAAGTTGACATAGCCATTGAAGACCCCGTCCGGAGAGTCCGTGAGTTTGGTGTAGCAGTAATTTTGTAGCGACGGTTTTGCAATCTGCTCTGCTGTCCATAAAGCCATCTGAGAGGTATCGTTCATTCTCGGGTGGAGGCCGTTGGTGACGAAAACCGGGTCAACATTCAATGACGCTTTGAGATAATGTGATTTGATCAGGGGTTTGACGGATGATGCGAGGGTGATGCGTCGGTATTTCCGCCGAGCGTACTTCTCAAGTGGCGCGTACCGAAGCAATCCTTGCTTAGACGCCAACCCGGTCACTTGGCTGGTTCTGCATACATCTTGAAGTAGGAAAAATGTAGTATCGCGCCAGGAGACAATCGGCTCGGGGGGATCAAGCTCGAAGATCACTGCTTTACACATAGTCTCGTCGTCAGGGAGTGGCCACTCGTGTTTCGATATCTGGATATCCTTGGCTTCCTGCTCCTTCGCACATTTCCAGCATCTATTGTGATGCCGAGGCCTGCCAACATATGGGTTTCCGTGCTTGTCCACGCCCCTAGGGATGAAGACGCCACACTCCATGCCTTTGACTTCTCTCATGAGACTGTCGAATGTCTTCTTCTTCAATTCCCACTCTGCGGACTTGGCTCTCCGCGCTTGGTGAGCATCTTCTTCAACTCTGTTGCGCAACGTCTGCAGATCAGAAGACTGATTGTAGAATTCAACGGCGAAGCAGCTTGGTGACGGGTCGGCGAAGAGTGAATCATTTTTCTGGGTGTGCGGTGACTGTCTTGATTCAATATGAAGCTCGATCTTAGAAAGTCTTTCCAGCTCAGTTCTACTACCAAGAAGGAGTGGTCCAAAAAGGGTCACCGGCACCTCCGGTGGATACTCTAAGAGGAGCGGACAGAGAGTAGTTGCAATGGTGTCCAAGGCCACCCACAACTCGAAGATTGTAAGCAGCATAATCGACATTCGTTCCACGTGTGATTGGTATCTCTGCTTGGCCACAGCATAATATTTCTGCATCAGTTTAGACAGGGAGGAACATGCAGACGGGGTTCTCGTGTTGACGACTACCCAATGGTTCAGATGCTGCTCAATCCAGAGCTCGAAGTCAACAAGAGCAAAGAGGACATCTTTTGCATGACTGAAGATTGTAGTTTCCGGTAGTGAATATTTTGACAACCGCACTCTAGCGCATGAAGGAGGGGTGTACGACGTGAACGCGTAGGTGAACCCTTTGTGAGAGCGATTCCAGGCGTTGTGTAAGATTCGGCGACTATTTTCCAACACCAGTTGGTCGGACACCTTTCGGAAAGGCACAGGTGGAACGGTAATTTTGTCTCTGTCGGTCGTCTCTGCCCATTGGCGGCGGATGCTGCTATCAATGATATCCAAGGTCATCTTGACGGCATTTTGAACATAGTCAAGCGTGGAGGATCCCAGCTTGGCATTTCGTCTTGCTAATTTCACACGCAAGATGTGAAGAACATCGGGTCTGGGATCGATGGCCGCAATAACAGCAGCTATCCGAGACAAGAGGAACAGCATGAAGTTTTTATAGTGGCAATGCCCCTCACCCTCGAGGTCTGTGTTCTGGAGGGCAATCTGAAGGGCGACTTTGGCAGACAGCCAAACGCCCGAGCGGCGCCAGGGTAAGTGTGCATCTTTCCAGCAAACATCGTCGTGAATGCGTTTGCAAATGGGCAAAGTTGACGCAGCTTTTCCGCAGGCACCCAAGATGCTGAACAGCCATTCCGAGACAGCTCTGGGATGGGCAGACTGACGCTCTTCAACCACAACGTTGTCTCCCTTCTTCGTTGTTTCCATGGCCATCTTCATTGGCTCAACAGACAGCATATAGATTGTATCTCCAAGAGTTTTGAGAAAAGGGGTATTCGCGAGTTTCTCTTGCGGCAAGAAGGCCGCTCGTGCGGGAAAATACCGGATTAGAGCGTCTTTGGCATCGAGGACCGCACCAGTCTTCGCAAGCACCTCGAAGCACTCGAAGATGGCGCCTTTGGCCTTGTTTCTGATCATGAGTGTGGCATTCTGAGGCTGAATGTAGAACAGCAAAACTTCTGAAGGTGGGTTAGCGGTGAATCATGGTCCATGGAAAGATACTTGCCGTCCTGAAGCATGTTTTCAAGGGCATCCGCGATGACGTCGCGACATGGAGCGCCGTTGGAGTAGACCTCGATCCACTTGACCAGCGAGCATGATAGCTGCCTCCAGACGCGGCGCTCATTGCTGAGTTTGGAAAAGGCGTTTCTGAAACCGCGAGCAGCTTCTAACATCTCTTTGAGGAGATCATCTGCGCCTGATTCCTTGTGATGTTCTTGGGGCAGCTTCGGGGGTAGGAACACATGTTCAAACACGAAGCTCACTGCTTCGGCTCTCATCGTGCCCGTAGAACTTGCCGAGGGAGAAGCAGCAGATTGCTGCTTTCCCCGGCGATGTTGGGCAAGACTCAAGCTTGGGATCAGGCTGCAAGTTGTGGGAAAACGTTTGAGCAAGAAATTGAAAGATGATACAGGAGACTTGAACAAGAGGCTGGTGTGATTTGGAAGACGTGGCTTTGAGAGAGGAATTTGGGATTTCAAGAAAATTGATTGCAGGCTCAAGTTGATATGAATGGTCTTGGCGGGTAAACAAAGGAGTCTTACAGTGAATGTATAGTGATTGCCAATGGACACCGGGTGAGGCAGAAAGACTCGTTGTAGCCAGGAAGCTCCATTGTCTTCACACCCTTTCGGTCACGTTCTCCTCGACGTCCACTGGCGCCAGTACTGCCTCCTGCACCACTTCACTTTCTAGTGGTAGCCGAATACCTTGGAGTTTGATATAACAGACTAGATCGGCGTTGTCGCCGCGACCACTTGAGGTGCTGGCCAGCCATCGTCCGCGGTGCTGCAAGCGGATGAACGGAGGTGTGAACACATAGTATTTTAGAGACACCTCGACGGCTCTAGGTGTACATGGTGATTTATCGCTCTGACCGGTGCCGTCACATTCCTCCAGGCAACGCGTAAAACGCAGAAAAGGAGTTATCAGCTCATAAAGCGCGTCCCTTTTTTTTTCCCAAAATCCCCCACGACGAAGCACCCATTGGCCAGAGCGCCGAAGTTGTTTCTTCTGTGTTTTGGGGTCTGGGCGTGGTTGGGCTCTACTGAGGTTTGATTTATGTGACTCTTGCGAGGTAAGGTCAATTAGGTTTGGAAGCAGCAGTTCGTGTCAGAATGCTAGGGAAGCGGTACTGAGGCATTTCTGTAGACCAAATGGTGCCAACTAAAGGTTAGAAATGGTCCAAATCACTACCAAAGGAGTTCGGCGAGAGATTGGAGGAGCAGGTTGGTGTTGGCGGTGCGAGACGATGCGAAGTGGTAAGATCGAGGGAGATGGAGGTTGGATTTGGACTCGCAACATGACGCCTGATTGGGTCAAGCGGAGTCGCCACATATATCCGTGATCATGGGTTTCATTGGCCAGTGAGGTGTGGCTGAGCAGAAGATTAGAGCGCTTGATTGGTCAGGCTTCAAGGCACCGCAGCAGCCGATTACTCCGAGAGGTGCCATCTGCGTCACTATCACCGTCTGAGCCTCAACCGAGTACCTCGTATTTGCATTACTGTCGCGCCTCTCACTTCTCTACACATCTTCCTGGTTCCGCAGGCAGCTGGCCGTAGGCATTTAAATCTATCGCCAGCTGGTTGTGAAGCCGTTCCACCTTCGCTTCCCACCATCACACTCATCATGTCGACGCCGCCAGAACCCCCGCCAACCTACGACCAGGCCACAGGTTCGTCCGGCACAGCATCCTCCAAACCCCAGAAATCATCCCACCTAGAAGTTCCCTCTGCCAAAAATGGGATTCCCACGGAAGCCCGTCGCTCTATGGAGGACCTCCAAAGACCTCTGCCCGAAGGATGGGTAAGACAGTACGATCCCAAGGAGAATCACCAATTCTTCGTAAACACCAAAGTCGACCCACCAAAGTCCTACTGGGAACATCCTCTAGATATCCCCGAAGTATTGAAGAGTTTGAGCACAGAAGAACGCGAAAGGCTGCAAGAGGAAGAGGACAGGTTGAGAAAACAGGCAGCGCATTCCGCGGACCACTCTGAAGATGAACATTACCCCCCAGAACTCCCCGCCCGTCCATCCTCCTCACAACAGGCCGGCCAAAAGAAGAGCCTGGGAGAGAAACTCAAGGATAAAGTCACCGGCACAACGCACGACGAGCGTGTGCGCAGTCGCGCGCAGCGAGCGGAAGAAGAGAGACAATACTACGAGGCACATATGAAGCTACGGCAAGCAATGCAGAGAGCACAAGTGACTGGTCAGCCTCAATTCTTCGCGAAGGATAGAGACGGCAAGAACGTCTACGTTGAGCCTCCCGGGGGACCTGGCTATGGATATGGTGGATATGGGCAAGGCGGCTATGGCGTCAACCCTTATGCAGCCGGACCGTACGCCGACCCCAACGCCCGATTTATTCGACCAGGCTACCCGTATAATCGTCCATATGGTGCTTATCCAGGCGGAGGTTATGGGTTACCGATTGCGGGAGGTCTGCTTGGAGGGCTGCTGCTCGGTGGGTTGTTGTTCTAGGCCTGCTTCAAGAATTCATGAATGCGATTCTGGAGGGCTTGCTGGCTATTGACACCGGCCGAAATGGGGTTTATGAGTTTCAGGGCTGTTTTTTCACGTTGATATCCTCCTTAGCACTGTTTCATGCTTGATACCATTGAACGACCGTTATCCCATACATTATCTCAGTGGCATGTGCTCTACCTTCCAAACCTGCATTTTTGCTCTTCCATCTTAGCCTCTTATTCGTCCTCTGAATTCTTCAGTATCCGTCAGCCCCGCAGGTCCATACGTGGTATTACTTTCCATTACCTCACCTCACCTCACCTCATCTTCCCGGTACCAAAGCACTCCTGGCATCTTGCAAGTCCATCAGCTTTGATCGTCCGGTCTTCCCTTCGAAACTCTTTATGGCCCTGGTTCCCACAGCATCGTGCCTTGTGCCACCTTGCCTTTTTGTGTGATAAGGAAAGAAAAGTACAGGACCGGACGGGGCAGAATTAGACACGGCATTACAGGAGTTTGAGCCCCAGCAACTCCAGCCCCAAGCCCTTTACCTTCTACACGTGCCAGATTGGGCGGTAGATTATTTTGCATGATCAGATACGGGCGATGGCTGCATGGAGTAAGAGAATGAAGGCTCTCCCTACTTGTATAGCCATCCAATCAACCCGGGGATTGAGTACTTTTCTAGGAATAAATACCTAAGTTAATTAAACGATTCATCCAGTATTCTGTTCGTTCGCAAGCACTGCCCCCTTGTTCCAACGTATTCGCACCAACGACTCAAGATGCGCGTGCAAGAGATGCAACCCCCTAATAAACGAACCGCTTCCCACAAAACTTCCTCGCATATCTTAACAGTCCTCCACAGCTCATGAGTAACAGCATGTCATGCAAATCACCGGCTCGCTAAACGCCACTTTCGTGCCGTCTGCGGTCGACGCTGATGCGACGGAATCACCATCACACGCAGAATCGCCGTCCCCGAGGTCCACACTCGCGGTGTAGAAAGTGCACTGGGCCGACGAGAAGGCTGCCAGCGACGAGCTGCGCACGTCAACGGCAACCAAGGTGGCGCTCTTCAAGGAAGAGTCAAAGACAGTTGTGCCGCTTCCGGACAGCGGGACTGTAGGGTCATGAGAGAGTGTATACGGGACAGAAATGGGGACGAGGTCTCCGGACGAGGTCGTCGCGGTGCCGACGGTGATGGAAGTCAGACCCAGGGGTAAACCGCCATCTTGCTGGGAGGGGTGACAAAGGGTTTTAGTGAGCTCCTATCACACTAATGAATAGGAGAGACTCATACTCGGATGCGCAACTTGGTCACGCAGTCTGCTCCCTGTGGATCCCCTTCAGGAAGATTGCAGTCATTTTGCTGAGGTGTGAGCTGGTATAGTTCATAATCGCAATTAGCAAGCCATGATTGACAAGAGGGACGTCGAGGACTTACACGAGCTTTCAAGGCCACAGCGGAGATGCCTAGAGCCTGAAGAGCCAGGATGGTGACGGCCAAGGTGGGAAGCTGCATCTCTGGGATTGACTCGTCTTGTTTCACTCACTCTGGCTATGATCCGAGCTATATTCGACTTTCGTCTTCGGTCTCAATCCGTCTGTGCTTGTAGTGGTAGGATCAAAGTCTTGTGTGCCTCCCGCACTCCGAGAGATTGCCATGTTTCTATACCTTGGATCTGACTCCCTGTCATTCTGATGCGGTACCCATAGATCACCGGTGCAGTCGATTACGCAGACGCTTTCCCAGCAAATGGCAGACGTCCAGCCGGCCTTATGACAACAGTCAGATGTCATACCCGTACTTCTTCTTTCCCGCATCTCGGTCAGCCTCGTATTTCCTGCGCATGGGCGGCGACCGCGACGAATCGGGCGACCCCTGTTCGAATATTGGTGAGTGATAACAGGTACTGAGCAGATCTGTCTGTCCAAACTTCGGCGACCGCGAGCCTACAGATGCGCATGACGGAAAAGATACGGCAAGATGTCAGCGGTAATAAATTCTCCCTGCTCCCTCGGCAGATTTTGATGAACAGGGAAAGGGGTCAGCGAATCTGACAAGCTTGATGAGCAGGTTCGTATCTTTTCACGTATCGGCGTAATACCGCGGGCTGCCGATATTGAGTCCAGGGAAAAAATACCGAGTTCTGCTGACCTCTCGGCGGAAAGCCTGGTAGGCTAGGGGTCGGGTGCCAAGCGGAATATTTGGAGCACAAGGCTGAACCTCCTAGGCGCCTCGTCCAAGAATTTAATCTAAGATTAGTATAGTTACCAATATTGTCATTCGCTTTGTATCAAGGCAGAGAAAACCATTCAAATGTCTTAGGAGATCGCGCAGTTTCTGCTTCGATAGTAAGCCTTTGCTCGGCGTGCACTGGCCCCAGAAGGGTCTCCCCTGCTAGAGAACACTCTGAAGTCCGACTACGGGTCGTTGAAAGAGGACCACCGCCTCCTCGGCCCTGTATAGCAGAGCCAGTAGTCGGGCAACAGTCTGTGTTATTCCTCAGAGTGGAAGGCTGTCCGGAAGTGAACCGTCACCAGCTTGATGATTTCCACAACAAAATTCCAAACACTCAACCCACGAAATCGGTGTGATCAAGTTGGAGGGCACCCTTCGTTCCATCCGAGCTCTCGTGGTCGGTTAGATCCCGTCAATGCTTTGAAAGGGGGAATGGCTATTGCAGTGAGGCGGACGCCAGGTGCCAGGCTATCAAGCTTTGAGACTTCCAAGGGTATAGCGCACTGACATGTTTCTTGGACGGACCACTTTCGAAAAATGTACCAGCACTACCGACTGGGAGGCTGCACACGGTGTAAAACAAAGGAAGAGACACACTGCTGACATGCGAGCTGGAAGAGGAGTTGCAGCCTTGTTCCCTTTCAGGCACAGCAAACGAGCGAGCTACGAACGCGGACATCGGCGCACCTTCCTACTCAGAAAAATCTTGTTGATATCTGGGGATTGGAGGGGGTTTGCATACTGACGGACCATACCAGCAAGACCAAAGAGTAAAAAGCGCACAGGATAGGGTGTTCTATACTTTGCTCAGAGCGTGGGGAGTCGGCTTCAAGCGATCTCCTCCTTTGACCGTCCCTCAATCTCCTCGTACAAAACACCCTTACTCGCTTCTAACCCGTTCGCGTTTCCGCCTCTGCTGCACTCGTCTTGGACGTGGGATCACCGAATTGCGGAGAGATGGGCGAATACACGGCCTTTTTCTATGGTAGTCCACTCTCCTTCCCCAGTTTCACTTTCTAATCAAGGCACCAAAAGGAACGCTCATGGCTCCCGGCGTCCTCCACCGCGTAATCCACGGAACCCACACCCCCGAGTCGTGGCAGAAAGACCTAATCACCGTGCGTCCCGCAATGCTGCAAAACTACCGTCGACACAGAGTGAGACACGCAGATTACCCTGCCATAATACCTCACTCCGGCTCTAGGGTCCGGGGGAGCCTGGTGACCGGACTGACGCAAGGTGATATCTATCGATTGGATATCTTTGAAGGCAGCCAGTACAAGAGGGATGTGGTCAAGGCGCATGTCTTGAAAGACGTCGAACTAGATCAGGCTGCTCCTGAGCAAGACGGAGACGACCCCGAAGTCCTAGAAGAAATCGTCGAAGCGCAAACATATGTCTGGCTTGAAGGTGAAGAGACGTTAGAGCCCGAAGAATGGGACTTTGAAGCGTTCAAACGAGATAAGATGCGTGCTTGGATGGGCATTGTGGAGGACGATGATGTTGAGATTGATGAGGGCTTCGCCGACGTCGACAGAGCTGTTGCAGAGGAGGATTCGCGGCGGACGCAGGATAAGGCAGCGGAGAAGGGGCTGAACACAGCGAGACATGATCCAATGGGCGGAAGAGGGGCGAATGGGCATATCACGCAGCAGTTGAAAGATGCAGCCGTGTAGAATTCGCGGCAGCGCACGGGCATATGGGATAGACTTCAGGAACCAAGTGGTTGCCAATGGCCATTGCGGATAGAACTAGACGATTTTGACAGCAAAAGAAAGACCTGACATTAGAAAGGTATTTTCGTAGCAATGCTAACCTCAGAAAGAGCTCCACGCTTTGAGCACACCCACGATCCCGGAGCACAGCACCCGAAGCGAAGAATTGCCAGAACCCTTGCTTCTGGCTCATCCTAGCCAGCCACCCCAGTCAAGCTTGCTCGATTTCTAGTCTTGCACTCGCCTAACGACGACCATGGCTCCTCACGGCACTGCCTTGCATCTGTTCCAGTTCCTGCTCTAACTGTTTGATTGCAGCATGGGTCGCCTCCAGGTCCTTGTTCAGGCGGTCTCTTTCGCCAATCAACTTCTGCTCCCATGCTCGGAATCTCTGCTCTTCCACCTTGACCTGCTCGGTGAATCTCTTCCTGAGTGCTTCTTCCTCTTCCTTGAACTTGGGGTTGTCCAACTTTCTGGGCCTGGCCTCGCCGAACTTCCGTGTCTCCATCTGTTGCGCACGGTAGGCTTCATAGTGGTTCTCTTCAGTGGTGTGGATGAGATCGAGCATGTGAGTTCGAATCAGGATCGACCGGAGTTTCTTGAAGTCACAGTGCTCTTCGTTCTCCACTTCGGCCACACCCCAAGCATATTGCCGGCCTTTGACAATACGCCCATCGCTAGTCTTGACATCCTTCTCGCTGCCAATGACGGCAAAAGGCATGGCTGCCATGAGAGCACGGGCATGTTGTGCTGCAGCCTCATCGTCGTCTTCGATAGGGGGTTGGTAAATCTTGATGCCCTGCGCTTCAATGACAGCTCGGATACGGTGCTTGAAGCGGGCGAGATCAGCCGGGGAAAGGGTGTCAGCCTTTGCGACCACCGGAATCAAGTTGACGCGTGTGCATAGCCGCTTCATGACCTCAATGTCCAGGGGTTTCAAGGTATGGCCAGTGGGTCGAATGAAGTAGAGGCAGGCATGGACACGGAGATCGATCTTGTCTTGTCGCTTGGGCTGTTGCTCCTGCAGCATGTAGGATTCATGCTGGTCGTCCAGGAATTCGATGATGGGCATCCAGGAGTCACGATTGTTGACATAGTCACCGAAACCAGGAGTGTCAATAACCGTGAGACGAACTAGCAAAATGTTAGACGGGTTGCGAGCAGTGGATGCGCCTTGTGTGATATGTACCTTTGAAGAACTTCTCTTCCAATTCAGCTTTTGTGATTTCAATCTCTACTGTCTTATCAACTTGCTTTGCGTGTCGCCTCTTGTGATCTTGGTAGTTCTTGATTGTGGTGGAGAAGAGAGTGTTGATGAAGGTGGTCTTGCCCAAGCCCGACTCGCCGGCAACCTGAATGTCAACAGTAAGCATTTGCCCAAGAGACGTGAGAAGACGATAGATCCTACCATGATGGTGAAAGCAGCGCCTCTCTTTGCGACGATCTTGTGTCGCTGGTTGGGCAAATTGGCAATGCCAATGGGCGATGGGGACTCCGCTGCTGCTGGAGCCATTTCGGTCGCAGGTTCTGAGAAGAGGCAATCAAGATGCGAGACAAACAACGAGAGACGATGACAACGAGAGTCCGACTGAGGAAATGATGAAGAGCTGAAGGATGGAGGATTGCAGTCTCAAAATGACAAGGTGGTTTGTGGTTAGGGGTTTCCCTCAATTGATCCTCACAGAAAGTGTAGGCGCAGTCGCGCCCCTGAAACGCCAATTTTCAACTAGCCGGCTTGCCCCAGATCATGGCGTGCGCTTAACCATAAACACACTAGTTCCGGAGAAAATGATTGGTTTTCTCCGATAACTTTTTTTTTTGAAGCCGCAGTTCGAAGACCTGGTATTATGTATACATGCGCCCACCTGCGCTGCACAGCCATGAGACAATGAAGACGGAATTTAAGGTGCGTGTGATTGATACCGTGGTGGACACTATCATCCTAATGCGCTGTCGCAGTTCTCAAACCTCTTGGGCACTGTCTATCGTCAAGGCAATCTCGTCTTTACGCCGGATGGCAACTCTCTGCTCTCGCCAGTCGGCAACCGTGTGACTGTCTTTAATCTGACAAAGTGAGAACCCTCCTTGCCGTCACCATGGATCAATCTAACATGCTGTTTGGCAGAAACACCAGTTACACCTTTCCCTTTGCCCATCGAAAGAACATCACCCACCTCGACCTTTCCCCCGACGGCAGTCTCCTCCTCACTATTGATGAAGATGGCAGGGCAATACTATCTATTTTCTCCAGAAGAGTGGCAATCTATCATTTCTCCTTCAAATCACCGGTAACGTCATTAGCATTCGCTCCAGACGGTCGTCATTTCGTGGTGGGACTCGGAAGAAAGATCCAGGCATGGCGGACACCCTCTACGCCCGGCGGAAATGCAGATGGAGATCTCGAATTCGCTCCGTTCATCTTGCATCGCGAATATGGAGGGCATTTTGACGATGTCAGACATTTGAGCTGGTCCGGCGACTCGCGCTTCTTCCTCAGTGCATCCAAAGACCTTACAGCACGGATATGGAGTCTTGATCCAGAGGAAGGCTTCGAGCCGACAGTCCTCTCGGGTCATAGGCAACAAGTCAAGGGTGTCTGGTTTTCTGCCGACCAGGAATCCATTTTCACAGTCAGCGAAGACGGAGCCCTCTTCCGCTGGGAGTATTTAGCCAACCAACAAGCCGAAAACGACGATTCGATAGAGCCAGTTGATGAGAGGTGGCGCATTGTGCAGAGGGACTATTTTATGCACAACGCAAAGTTGAAATGCGCTTCCTACCATCCCTCGACCAATCTACTCACTGCCTGCTTCGACAACGGTTTGTTTTCCTTGTATGAGACTCCTTCTTTCTCAAACATTCATAGCCTGTCAATGGCATCCTCACCCATCTCAGCAGTAACCGTCAACAGCACGGGAGAATGGCTGGCCTTCGGCTCCTCCAGAACTGGTCAATTACTGGTGTGGGAGTACGCTTCAGAGTCAAACATTCTCAAGCAGTCTTCGCATCTTGATACAATGACGACGTTGACCTATTCGCCCGACTCTAGCCGCATCATTACTGGTGCCGATGACGGACTGATCAAGGTTTGGGACGTCTCGTCCGGCTTCCACATTGCGACCTTCTCGGAACATAACTCTGCTGTCACCGCCTCTGCATATTCTAAAAGAGGCAACATTCTTTTCACTTCATCTTTGGACGGATCAGTTCGGGCATGGGATATGTTGAGGTATCGAAATTTTAGGACTTTCACAGCTCCTCAAAGGCTCTCCTTCTCTTGTTTAGCCATCGACCCTTCTGCGGAGGTCGTCTGCGCCGCGTCCCACGACTCCTTTGACATTTACCTCTGGTCCGTCCAGACTGGAGCTCTTCTCGACCGACTGGCAGGTCACGAAGGACCGATATCTACATTAGCCTTTACTCCTGACGGCCGACATCTCGTCTCCGGATCCTGGGATCACACCATTCGAGTATGGTCTGTGTTTGACCGATCACAATCGTCAGAAACGCTACAGCTCATGTCTGACTTGCTTTGTATTGCAGTCCGGCCTGACTCTGCACAAATCGCGGCTTCTACGCTCGATGGGCAACTTACTTTTTGGAACCTGAACACTTCGATACAAGAATCCGGTTTCGACGGCCGTCGAGACGTCAGTGGAGGTCGGACACTGACTTCGCGACGTACAGCAGCTTCAACCCCTGGAACTAAATCGTTCAACTCGATTGTATATTCCGCGGACGGCAGCTGCCTGCTTGCAGCCGGAAACAGCAAATATATCTGTCTATACTCAGTCAGCACACTGACGTTGATCAAGAAATTCACCATCTCCATCAACCTGAGCCTAGATGGGACACAAGAATTCTTGAACTCGGCAGCTATCATGTCCAACGGCCTGCCCAAAGACATGCTGGACACAGAAGGCGAAGCAAGCGACCTCGAAGAGCGCATGGACCGTAGCCTGCCAGGCGTGAAACGTGGTAGAGACGCCACAGCGAGGAGCATTCGCCCAGAAGTCCGGGTCGCTAATGTCGAGTTTGCACCAACCGGAAGAAGCTTCTGTGCAGCCAGTACTGAAGGTCTCTTGATTTACAGCCTCGACAACGTGGGGATGGAAGATTTCGATCCATTTGATCTCGACATCGACGTTACTCCGCAGAATGTACGGGCAATCCTCGCACAAGACGAGCCCGAGTATCTTAAGGCCCTCATTATGGCATTCAGACTGAACGACAAGCCTTTGCTCCGACAAGCTTATGAGTCAGTACCGTACGGATCGGTCCCACTGCTTGTCCGTGAACTGCCAAGGGTGTATCTCGGGAAATTGTTGATGCTTGTTGCCCAACAGATGGAAAATAATCCTCATTTGGAGTTTGCACTTCGTTGGCTGGGTGAGATCCTGAGTGTCCATGGTCGATACATCAAGGAGAGGCACGGCGAATTTGCCACCGAACTGCGCTCTATCCTCCGCGGAGTGGATGGCGTGGGAAAAACAGTACGCAGTCTCAGTGAACGCAATGTCTTTGAGATTGAATTCTTGTGCCAACAGCCTAAAGACAGCAACACGCTAGCGTCGGGGAGTTTGGAACAATATGGACATGACACAAATAGGGAGACGGTCCTTGCCGAGAATGGTGAGGCCGAGTGGATTGACCTGGATTGATTCTTTCTTCGCAAGTGTTGTTAACGCAATGATACCCACGAGCAGAGTGAGATGAACAGATAGATGTACACGGCCCCAGATGAGCCAGTAGCCAACGATGAAAAGAACATGGTTTCAATTACTCTGCTCCCGATTGGACTCCCATGGTTTTAGTATCCAACAACATGGCTGATAATGCGAAGCTCAAGGGAGTCCTCGATACATACCGAGTACACTCAATATCAAGTTGTGAGGCTGCGGCCCCTTTTTCCATTTGTTATCCATCTGGTTAAACTACAAGTAGCGCCTTGGCATTAGAGTACTTTCAATTTTCTGCCCCCAGCGATGAAGATTTTACATGGCGATGTCGCGCTGCACGAGGTAGCCCCAATCTTCGAAGTCTCAATTTCGCAAATTCACTCTGCTACAAATAGCATGAAGTCCTAATAATCATGACGGGCATTCTCTTAGGGCGGGAACGGGGCTTCCGACTACCCCTTGACCCAGCGTGGACGTCCGAAGATGAATACATCCAGTCGGTGTTGACCTTCGCCACGAGCTCCGACCTCTTTCGGAATCTTTGCGGCGGAGTCCATATTCTTGATTTCCTGACGCGGGAGCCAGACCTGTACACAACTGTCCTGCCCCCGGAATGGCGTGCCTGGTTCGACACGGTGGACATTGACGACGTGCTTGATCTACTTCTCCGAAGCGACTTGACTGACCGCTCCCATGCATCATCCTCGACCACCTCCAGTGCCAGCCACTCGCCACCGGCAAGTTTGCTGGAGTATGTGCGAACAATCTGCAAACACTGCCTTCAGAGGCACTTCACTCCGGTCTCAGACGACGTGACGGACATGCCGAGAAAGCTCTCGGTGGGCATGAAGACCAAGAAGATCCACGAGGTCACGAATTTTGCCGCGTATGTGGACCGGCTCTCCGACCACATATCCCACAGACTCCGGGAGCCGGTCTCGGTGATCGACTTCGGTTCCGGGCAGAACTACCTGGGTCGCACGCTGGCGTCGCCGCCGTACAACAAACACGTGGTGGCCATTGAGCGGAAGCATCACAACATTGCCGGCGCGAGGACGATGGACGTCCACGTGAAACTGGCGCAGAAGGAGAAGATCATGCGCAACAAGAAGGAATGGAAGCGGCAGATGGCGCGGAAGGACGGCGACGGCGAGCCCACTCCTCCCCCTTCCGCGGAAGAGCTTGAGGCGGAACCAGCGCCGGTGCCGGACATGTTCGCGGCGGCCAAGATACTGGATAACCAGGACTTGGACCCAGATAGGGGATCCATGACGTATATCGAGCACGACGTCCAGGACGGATACCTCGAGACCGTGCTTTACCCAACCGAACCCAGTCACGAAGGAAACGAAGAACGAGAAGAAAACGTCGAAAGTCCTCCAACGACGACGACGACGACGACGACGACGACGACAACACCGCCGACGAACCAGCCCGTGGCCGAAAACACCGGCAGGCCCAAGGCGATGGTCGTCTCGCTCCACTCGTGCGGCAACCTGTCGCACCACGGGCTGCGGGCGCTGACGCTCAACCCGAGCGTGTGCGCCGTCGCCATCATCGGGTGCTGCTACAACCTGCTGACCGAGCGCCTGGGGCCGGCGACGTACAAGCTCCCGCAGTTGCGCCCGAACCACCCGCGGCTGGAGGCCACGGGGTCGGCGTACGACCCGCACGGGTTCCCGATGTCGCGCACGCTTGAGGACTTCGAGCTCGGCGAGAGCGGCGGCGGCGGCGGCGGGCGCGGGGTGCGGCTGAACATCACGGCGCGGATGATGGCGGTGCAGGCGCCGTACAACTGGGGGCCCGCGGACAGCGAGGCCTTCTTCCGCCGACACTTCTACCGCACGCTGCTGCAGAAGATCCTGCTGGACCTCGGCGTGGTCAAGCAGTGTCCCGACCGGGGCATGCTGGAAGCGACGGCCGTGGCGGGCGGCAGCGTCACGGGGCGCGACGAGGCGGGCACGCCGCTGATCGTCGGCTCGCTGCGCAAGGCCTGCTTCGCCAGCTTCCGTGCCTACGTGCACGGCGCGCTGGCCAAGTTGCGCGCCGACCCCGTCGACGGGCCCATGGTCGCGGCCCTGACCGACGGAAAGCTCACGGACCCGGTCATCGACGAGTACGAGCAGCGGTTCCTGCACGCGAAGAAGAACCTCGCCGTCATCTGGAGCCTCATGGCCTTCAGCGCCGGCGTCGTCGAGAGCATCATCGTCGCGGACCGCTGGCTGTTTCTGCGAGAGCAGGACGACATCGAGGACTGCTGGGTCGACATTGTCTTCGACTACAAGCAGAGCCCGAGGAACTTTGTCGTCGTGGGGATCAAGAAGCAAGACTGAAGGAGCTCGGCTCGGCTCAACTCTCACACAAAGTAACCTGTTTTCTAATTGTGGGGGGGGAGGGGGGGGATCTAGGCACTGAATGTCTATCCGGCTGACACAACGGACGGAGCTGCACAAACCGCAACACAAAAAGTATCTCTCAGCGAGCACATCCAGACAAATGGCAGACCTCTCCGCTCTACAGCTTCGTGATGGGCGTAACACCCTCCAAAAATCCACCCTTGACCACCGCCGAAATCAACTGGTTGGCGATTGCCGTGGGGGGCGGCAGCCTCAGACTTCCCTCCTTGTACCCCTCCGGCGCCGGGTCGCCCAGCCCGCTGGTCCCGTTCTGCAGGGCCTCCTGGATCTCCTCCAAGCTGAACCATTTGGCGACCTCCAGTTCCGGGTCGTACTCCAGCCGGATCTCTTCGTCCTCGGGAGACGCCGCCTGCGCGATGGCACCGATCATCAAGTTCGCCGGGTACGGCCAGGGCTGGGTGGAATGCACGAGGACGCGCGAAAGGACGACCCCGGACTCTTCCCAGACTTCCCGCCGGACGGCGTCCTCGACGCTTTCGGCCGGTTCGATGAAGCCCGCCAGCGTGGAATACCAGTGCGGAGGCCAGCGCCTTTGCCGGCCCAGGAGGAGGCGTTTGCTGTCGTGGCTGAGCACCGCGACGATGATGGTGGGATCGGTGCGGGGGAATGTGAGGTTCGAGAGCGTCGTTCGGGTCGAGCACGGTTCTCGCTCCTGGGGGGTTTCGGCCTTGTCTGTTGGGGGGCAGACTCGCTTGGCTCCGCCGTGGACGGAGAGTGTTCTGTGGCCGCACGTGCCGCAGAAGGTGTTGCGGTAGTTCCAGTCGAGATAGTGGCGGCCCTGGGCGTACTGAGCGGCTGTGGTTCACCCGAGAGTCAGCATGGAGGTGACCGCGCACGTAGTCCAGAATTGCCATTGCCCAAAAAAAAAACTCACCAATGTCGGGCGGGAAGTTCATGGCACGCATGCCCTCGCTGAACTTCAGCCCTTGTTCCAACATCCCGTCGATCAACTCGTTGGCCTCCTTGTCGTAGGTCCTCTTGGGCGTGATGTCCAGTGCCCAGTGCGGCGCGCCCGTGAAATTCTTGTACGAGAAGCCATGCGCGACGTTTTCGTCCAGCCCCAAAAACACCAGCTGGGGGATATCTATGCTCGAGTCGAAGTCGTCCACGACCGCCTTTTCGCCCCTCTCGAAGGGGTTGTTGGGGAGCAACGTCTTGACCTCGTCGTAGGTCGCGAAGTGGATCTCGGTCGGGGACTTGATGAGCGGGGAGAGGGTCTTGTAGACGAGGAATCGGGTCGTCGGGTGCGCAAACGCGCCGGCGAGGAAGGTGTAGTCTTCACGCAGGAACGAGACTCGGTTGATGGGCGAGCCTGTTTACAACAACAACACGTCAACACGTCAACACCAGGAAAGTTGTCGGTCCCCCGAAATCTTTTTCTTTTCCCCAGGAAACCCAACCGCCCCTTCTGCAAAAGACAAAGACTCACCTCCAAAGTAGTTGGTCACCTCCTTCCCGAACTTGCGCCCGAGCGCAGAGTCGCGGTCGAGATGGGCCGGGCGCGGTAACTCGGGGTGAGGGATGGCGGCCATGTTGCTCAGCTCGGTGACGATGTGAGGGGCGCGGACGCTTGAATGAGCCAATCTATGCCCTGTGCCGACGCAACGGAGTCCAAGTCTATGGCGCGTGATGCATAGGGAGGAGGTCCTGATCATATACAAAAAATAGGAAACCCCCAACAACAAGGACAACAACCACGCAGTTGTAACGGAAAGGGAACAAGAAGATTTCCTGGTGACAAATGCGGGAAACGGGACGAGAGATGAGAAATCGGGGGGAGGGGAGTGGGAGTAGACGAAAGAGGCTGGCCCCCCAAAAGAGTAGGTGTCGGATTGGGGGATGGGATAGTCAATGGGTTGCTATTAGCTACTCCTCCGAGATCTGAGATAGAGAAAAAACCCCAGCGGTGGTGGTCCAGCAGCCCCTCGATTACATGATCGCTACATTATTTGGTCGCGCAATGACGGCGGGTGGGTGATGGATTGATTTGTCTGCCTCGGGATTCGGGACGTCGATGCGCCCATTGAACACAGTGAGATGGAGTTGCTACCCCTCCCACGTGACCGCACCGCCGTCACTAACGTTATCTCCGTGGCCGGTATCGGAATGGCCATCCGGCGGAACTCTTGGCATCAAGCTGGACATTTCGACGGTGATATGTTGACACGTTGATCTCTATCTGCTACTTCTCGCAGTCATGGAGAGGAGTGGGACGTCTATGCTCGCAAATCTCCTGTAGACTCTGGGATACCGCTCCACGCACAAACCCCGCGAACACCTAAGTGCTGTTGCGTTGTGGACCCGTCTTCTTCGCGTTCTCCTCGAGCACCTGGACTGCCTGCTCCATCTTACGGTACTGCGCCGTGAAGCTGGGGTATAAGAACGGCCGCATATCGTATCGGTGATCGTCCGGCGAGTACCTGAGTGACGGTTAGTACAAGAAGTTGATATCACGAGATGGAAGCCACGGTGGGGATTTCAGTAGCCCATCACTCACTGTTCCATATGCAATCCTGGCGTCAGGGTGGTTTGTTTATGTCTGTTGATCGCATAATAGTCTTTTCCGTGTCAATAACGAGAAACCACGCTAGCATGGAGAGCACTCACAAAAGAATCTTCGCACTTTCTCGTACACGGCGCGCGGCGTCATGCTCTCACCGTGCGCCACGCTGTGTACGTACTGCGGATCTGTGTGCGCGCCGCGAGCTTCTGTGGCGATCATCTCTGGATCTGGCGGGGCGGACGTCCAGATGGGGATGAGCTGGATAGGGAACATTAGTGTTGCCGATGACGAGGGGCCTTCAGCACGCACCTTCTCGAAAACGCCCCATGGGCCGAGGCGTCCAACCTTGCGCAGCCGGCCCAGCACACTGAGTTCAGCGTATGTCATACCCATTTCTTCCTCGTCGGATTGGGTGTGAGCGTCGGCGTTGGTCGTCGGGATCAACTCGGCTGTGGGCGTGGCGTCGAGGAAACCCTGCAAAAGTGGGAGGTCGAGATTGTCTCGGGCGTGAGCGAGAAACATTCGAAGATCAACCTTGGATATCCCACCGATCGGGTTTATATCCGCGCTGCTCGCATCATACTTCGTCAGGTAGCCACGGAGTTGCTCTGCCCTAATCAGCAAAATCTTCTAGTTGACGAAGAGTAAATATAGGTACCGTCGACGTTGGCGGAGCCCAGAACCAGAAGACCGCCGCCTCCTTTGCGCTTTCTGACACTCGGCAAGAGTTGAGCACTAATGGATTGTTAGCATAAGCTGCATCCAATGGGGTAGCTGCTCGGAAGACGTACAAAAAGTACGCTATAACCATCTGCAAGTTGCCACAGCATTAGCTCATGACCACTGATGCAAGTGCAAAGGCTTGTTCAAACACTTTCAGCCCCTCGGAGAGACAACTTACACGTATGCGCGCCTGAATGTTTCTGATCCTTGTTAGCCGCTATTTGAAAACAGAGAGATGGTGAAGAAACGTCTCAGGGCAGCAAGGGGCCACCATCCGGGTTCACATACTGCAAGGCAAGCCCTTCGGAGGGATTTGTAGAAGTAAAACTTGGAGTGAATCCAGTGACAGTGGTGAACAATGTGGTGAGAGCCGACACCACGCCGTCAATATTTAGGTCGATGTGATAGGATCCTATGGCTTTCGCAAGCGCCGCTGCTCTGGACCGAGTCTCCTTGCTGCTGTTTCTGCCTGACTGTCAGCACTGGAATTGCAGCGGATGGAATAGGGTAGGGCCCATTGCTTGTGCATTGGTAGACAGTGTTTCACGTACTTCGAACCCATGTAGGTGGAGTGAAAAATATGGCCGCAGATTTCTTGTGGGCTGGAGGGCGTCCAGTTGTCGGCCTGCGCGCAGACTCGGCGGAGGTCGTCCAGAACGAGTTCCTTGGTGTGATCCAGGGTGTGGTCGGACGTGACAGCGTCATACAGCAGCCGGCACATTGAAAACACAAGCACGGCCGTTGATGCAGAATCGATACCACCAGACAAAGGTAGGAAGAATCCTGCTGTTCTGGAACGCCTCAGGTAGTCCCAAAGCCAAAGAGCAGGAGCACTAGTCATTGGAAAAGTCACGTTAGCAATTAACCAACATAACTGGAAAGGAGCAGGATCCAAAGAGTTGGGCAGGTTCAGGAAGTCCGATATTGAGGCTGAACTAAAGGACGGCTAATCCTCTTGCTTTTTCCCCTCAAGACGTGCATAGACATGAGTCCATGGACACAGATAATCACCTACAATTGAATTTCCTCGGCGGCAGAATGATAGCGAATTGGGATATCTGGCGAAGGGGCGAGGAATTTTCCAGTCTGTTCGAAGCCTGGGTGCGTCAAGCGGATGTCGACGGGGATACGGGGATATGGCGAAGCCCGTGCACCCTGGAGGTTTCGCGAGTGAGAAACGCGGAATGACCGCACTAGCAATTTGTTAGGATAAACCGATGGGACAGAGGCAGGATCAGAGAAAGGAAAGCCCTAGTGGTAAGCGCCTCTCCAGCATCACGTACCATCCTCGAGATCGACGTTTGCGGTGATGGTCTCTACGTCGTTCAAGCTGAACTGGCTCCCTTGAGCTAGAAGTCTGCCGTTCACAAAGATCATGGCACAGCCATCGCTTGTCGGTTGTTAGCACAAAAAGCCCGCTCCTGAATAGATGGCCGGCAGAGGCAAAGATAAGGCTTCGACGGGACGGGAAGTGGTATGGACGTACTAGTACAATCTGTCTCCAGAGCAGCCTCGTTGATTGGAATACTACTGACCATTAGCACCGGAAATAACTGAAAATAGAACAAAGAGATGAAAAGGAAGAGGGTAAGGGGTGATCTTATGTCGCCTTCAGGATGACGTACCACGTATATGCCGCCATTCTGTCTTGTAGCCTCTCGAATGCTGGAGCCGCGAGGTCAGTATCGTTGATTGTTGGCGAGCTCAACATCGTAGATGCAGAGCATCAGATTCCAATATAAATTGGATGGAAGCGAGGGCTCACAGAGAGACACGTGTTTGAAGCTTGCGCAACTCGTAATGCGAGCCACTGGAATTAACAAAGATCTCAACTGATAACTTGTTAGCAACGGAGGTGTGGAACAAGACGAGAAAGGCCGAGCGTCGACAGGGGAATCTGTCGCCCACATACCGCCATTTAATCCCATATGAATATGGGGAGCATCGGGAGTGAACAGTTCTTCACACGTTTCTGCGCCAACCAACGTGTCGATAGTCTGGAGGACTCCATCACCGAATGGTGCCTGTGAAGGTTAGATGGGACAGGGTTGTAGAACAGCGGCCAGAAGCACAAAGCTTGACGTACTGTTCGCTGGCCGGTGACACTGCTGATTGCATCCTCGAGCGGGTAGTCTTCGACTTCTCGTTGCCGGGTCCAGGGAGTGAACCATCGAGACTCAAAGTAGTTCCCTTCCTCGCACATGGACATCTTGGGACGGATGAGAAGGATCTTCTTGTTCAAGACAATCACCCTGCAATTGTAGCGCACGGAATTGTGTCGCACAGGCATGCCGATATCGAGAATACAGTCGGTGACGTCTGGGTGGGTGATGATGGTCGCCAGCGATTCCCAACAGTGAAGAAAGAGGTCACCCTCCAAGCTGCTATAGTTAGAGGCAACTGCGGTGATCGTGGGCCATGAAGCTTACTAGTGATCTGCACACTGACGATGAGTTAGCACGACGAGCCGTGTCAGAAGAGACAAAGGTGATGATGTGAAGATTCGGACAACAAAGGGCCAACATGTTGGGACCACATACTCCATATCCACAGACTTCCAGCTCTGGACCGACTCTGAGCCGAGCGCCTGCTGCTTTGGCTTGTTTGATACTTGTGATTATGCGCTCTGCATTGCCATCGAAATCAAGCGACCATCTGGACGGAGTCAGATAGGGTGCGCTCGGTGGGCTCGGGGTACAATCTTACTGGTTGAGAGAGCAAGTTGCTACGGTCACAAGCTTGCCCATTTTCGATAGCGAGATGGATCAAGGCTGTCCCCAATCTCGATGTCAAGCAGTCGCGGGTGAGGGTGACAAGCGAATGACCAAGGCTGCGAGGACTGAGGACTGGCTCATACCTCATGTGCAAAATCTGATTATCAGCTCTCAGAATACGGCGGAGCATTCAGCCTCGTCCACCCCGCTCTGACGGCGGGGTGAATGCCTCTATTTCTCTCATCGCTCTTTGTTTTCTCAAGACTCCTCAGCACTATATTTGAGGTATAAAGCAGTCCGCTCGAGAACCCCCTCCTTCATATACCCCCCAGTTGGATACAGTGCTCGCCGTTTCCCCCTTAGACCGATTCCCCCGCCGCCCGCCTAATCGACCGCGCCAGCTCCTGTGGCATACTCATGAACGGGGAATGGCTGGCGTCCACACTTTCGACCTTCATCTGCGCGCCGGCCTTTTGCGCGCCCTCAACCATGCCTTTCTGCGCATGCAGCGGGATCGCCTCATCCTTCTCACACAACAGATATGTGCTCGGCACATATTTCCAACCAGGGTGCGCCACCTTGGAAAAGAAAGTCCGATAACTGTGCGGCTTCAGCATCGCCACGTACTTCTCCGGACCGTCGACATCGTTGTAGAATGTTTCAACCGGCGTGGCGGGGTTGACGATGTCTTCGGCATCATTGATTTGGAACCAAGGTAAGGGTGTCTGGTTCAGCGCGTCCATCAAGGACACGCCCTCGGGAAGGGCGAATGCGCAGCAGAAATAGATGTGCGATACCCCGCCCTTTTTGCCCTGCTTTTCGCGCGAGGCCTTGTCCAAGCCTTTCACGGCTTCGTTTCCCACGACACCGCCATAGGAGTGGACGACAAGCAGGACGTCTTTCCCCTGGTCCTCGATGAACGGTCTCATTGCTTGTTGAATGGCCTCGACGTCGGGTTGGAAGTCCTTGAGCGGCTCGGGCGAGCCGACAGAGGCGAGTTTGACGCCTCTGGTCTCGTAGCCGGCGGCTTCAAGCTCGCCAACCACGAGATGAAATGTCTCGGGCACATGCCAAGCACCGGGCACGAAGACGATGACGGGCTTGGACGACATTTCTTTGGTTTGATCAAGGGGGTGTTGCCTGTCGATTGAAAGGGCGGTAACTGGCAGACGATAATGTGAGATAGCCACTTGGCCTATGTTGCGTCAACCTAGTGCAAGAGAGGATGTTGATATCAACGTTGCCGTCATCTGGACCTCTGTCGACTCATTATATATCGTTAGCATGAGCACCATGAGCTCACCCCGCACTTGGCCCCCAAGAAAGTAAAACAGAGTTACACTTGGCCTGACCCAAACTTGAGATGGTAACTTGATCTGCGCGTTTAGGATGACAGAGGGGCTGGGACCACGCATATGGCCCGTCGGCCGAGATGCGGGAGTATCGTGTTTTTGCTGGAGTTGCTGACTGCCACCGCCGAGTCCACGACTAATCAAATACGCGAATTCCTGAGATATTCTGGCCGTGAGCTACGAATCTCTGGCTATCCTTTGGTTGGGTAATACGCGGCGGTTCTTATAGGCTAGGTACACATAGAACATAGGTTGGATATGAAAATCTGACGGCAGACATTAGTGCTCTCCCAAAGGCATATCGTATCCCCCAGTGTTTCTCCACCTCGACAGCAGGAGGAACCCCCGGGCTTGCATTTTCTAATCATCAGCAGCTTACGAGGTTGGACATTGATAGGTTCAGGCAGGCAAGCCTGGTAACAAATCTATGTCCCCTCTCGCACTACTTGAGCCCTCTTGCGTGTTTTCCGGTCACGGGGAGGAAAGATAACTACAAGATCGACCATTCTCGATAGACATATACCTCTTGAAGGCTTGGACTGGATTGGTGGCCACCCCAGACTCAACGATAGCATATGGACATTGTCACAGGTAGGCATTCCAGGGAGGCCAGACGAGTACAGCGCTCGAACAAACACCGGCGAGTTTGTCACGGTACGATGAGATTACTGTTGGATTCTCATTGTATACGAGGACTCTATCAGCCTATTGCCGACGCCTACTTCTTCGCTATCGCGATGTACGCGACGGAGTAGAGACTACCAACCCCTCGGCCTTCGGGATCCCTTTCGCGCGCAATCCTCAAGATCTCCTGCCCTAACCTGGCCTTCTCCTCTTCACTCCATCCCTCCACGGCCGCAGGGTAAGACCGTGCGACCATCTCAGGATCCCGGAGGAACGCGTCGACCACCGCATCTGTCCTTTGCTCCACGATCCGCACATTGTCGGCCTCGAACCCGGCCTTGACGAGAACATCTCGCAGCGTGTCCTCCTTGGCCCAGAGCTCCGCCCACGGGCTGGACAGGCCCTTCAGATCCGGCCGGATGACCTTCTGCGCGGCGGCGATCGTGTCCATCATCCTCCGCTCTTTCCACGCCGTGACGACCGCGACGCCTCCGGGCTTCAGCGTGCGGTGGATCTGGTCCGCCCCTCTCTGCGGATCGGGGAGGAAGAAGATGCCGAAGTTGGTGATGCTCAGGTCGAAGGAGCCGTCCGGGAAGGCGAGCTCCTGGCTGTCCATGACCGCGATGTCGACGTTCTTCCAGTGCTGCTGCGTCGCCTTGCGCTGCATGATTTTAGTGACGGACGGCACAAAGTCCGTTGCGTGGACCATCTTGGGGTAAGTCCCCGTCTGGGAGGAAACTTGCTGGAGGTATTCTGTCACAAGACCCGTGCCGCAGGCGTTGTCGTGGAGCACCATGTCTGAAGTCGGTGGTTCGATGAGTGCCCGCAAGGTGTAGCGTGCAATGTCGCCGGTCATGAGGCCGATCAGATCGTCGTATTTGGCCGAGAGTTGGTCGAAGTGGCCCGCAGGGTTGAAGTCAGTAGCAGCTGTCTTCTCCATGGCAGGTCGTGTTACTGTGACTTGAAGTTCTGATGTGGCCCGTTGGAAAAGCTGACCTGTCTTCCTTTACTATCTGGATGATAGGCATAAACATCAAAGACCTTGAGTGGTGGCTTTGGGCTTCGGTTACTCAACCTGTCTAAGCATCTAAACCTTCGGCTTACCGATCCCAGTTCATCTTACCCCACTCGCCCACTCTTGAGGCTGTCGGTTACTCCCTTCACAGAAAACGCACGCTCGAGATAACGACGAGGTAGGCCCCCGATCAAATGGCAGATATCGTCAATTGAGGACAGTAGGATCACCATATATGATAATAGAGTAGGTCCTAGTAGTATCTCAGAGCGAATAAGCCAGAGTAGCCAACAAGGCTGTGCCATTTATTTTGGGCCCGAAATTGTACTTGTACAAGACGTGTAATCACCAACATTGAACCGTTGTCGTCAAGCATCAAGGTAAGAAGCAAAGTCATAGCGCCAGGAAATCCTCGTCCGCAGAAAGCTGGCATAATAAACCACCCGCGCTCAGCTTCCTGTATCCCATCCAGCTGTCCAGCACACACAAATAGTCTGGAACTTTTGTCTCCAAAACCAAATTTCCCCATACTCCATGTCCATATCCAAGTCCAAGTCCATCTCCCGAACGACTTATGCCAAATAAACTCCCTCTTGCGTGCCGACATTACCCAACCCCAGCGACGTCTACCATCAGACGCACTCCCATTCGCCCCAAACACACCACCTAGCACTCCGATCCGCCAGGACCAGGCCCCTCCAAACGCCCCTCTCTTGGACCTTGACCGCAGTCTCCCAAAAGCTTCCTAAGATTTCACCGTCCACCTCCCTCAGGCTTGCAGGCTGTGGAATCCCCTCATGCTTTCGATTCAATCTGATGATTTTCCCGCTGGGAGACTGGATCGCCAATTTCGCGGGCTTATCCTTGACTTTGACGCCAGCCGCATTGTTCAGGTTGTTGCCATAGGTATGTTCGCTGGGATTGGAACCGGTGGCGCTGCTAGTCATGCTCATCGCGCTCGTAGGGCGAGCGAGTGGGTTGGGACTGACAGGGCGGAGGTCAAAGCCGTTTTGTTCGTTCGCAGGCGTAGATGATACAGACGCGGCGTGTTGACGTACGCAAAAGACGTAGGTCTCTCCAGCTCCAAGACGGTAGCACTGTGGCTGCACCACGTAGAGATCTTGTCGTGTGGCGTGCGGTGTAGGATGTCTCATGACGAACTCATAAGCCGGGTTCTCGCCTGAGTGGTACAGAGGTACTGCAAGAGCCAAGGGGTGCACGATATCCCTCGATGAAAGCATCAGACCCTTTTTGCCGGCGTAGACTCTGATGTATGCGATGCCCTCATCCCCCGGAAGGATTGCTTTGATCACATAGCGTTTCTGGGCGATATCTGTGTTAGGCACGGTTCGATACCAACTTGGTTGTACCAGGGCTCTTTTTTTGGTGAGATTATCAGCGTCTTCGTAAACGTCTCCGTCCTGATCGCGGAGGTATCTCCTGGCTTCAACTTCTGCCACTATTTCAACGTCGGCAGGGACATTGATGCTGAATGTGCACATTTCTAGGCCGTCCAGTCTGATAATGCTCGTGTCGTAGGCATGCATGGACAGTCCTTGCCTGAAAAATGGAGGACCCGTTCCAGGCAGGGCCAGAAGTACATCAGGACTGATGCTGGGGATCATATGTTGCTGGGCATCTTCGACCGGGACATGTGTCCAACACAGTTCGCTCGGCCGTGTCAGGAAATACCATGCTTCCGCGATACTGGTGCTCACACTCGAGTATGATGCTCTTTTCGGGTTAGTTGGGCTGGCAAGGCTGGCATCCATCATTCTCCATTCTCCATCGACGAGTACAGCATTCCAAAAATGGTTTGGCCGAGAAATCGCGTCCAAGTCCAATTCTTCGCCAGGTGTTTTCAAGTATCCATGCACGATTTCTGCTTGAATGCCAATCGCAGTGCACATTTCAAGCACGACCTCAGCCACTTCTTGACTGCTTCCCCGCTTGCTTTGAATCACCCTTCTAGTATCGACTGCCTGACTGAAATCGTAGCTGTCAAACTGGTCCTCTTCCCAGCTGATTCTTTCAGAGCACCAAATAAATATCGCTCGTAATCTTTGCACACCACTCCGGTATGGACGGCATATGAAGCCCGTTGCGAGGCCCCCTGCCGTTATACTGCTGGGAATGCTCGTGATAAACCGAGCGGCCTTGTCTACTTGACTGAAACTTGGATTGCTGATCTGGAACGGCGCGTATACTGGTCGTCCGTCGGCGTCTTCGTCTCCTTGCAGATTCTCGTACAATTCTTCAACAGGGCAAATAACAGGTTGGTCCAGCATCTGACATCGATCGGCTCGTTCCTGCCGTTCTGATGGTCCCGGGGTGTTTGATCGATTTACGTCGCGACGAGTGAGGATATACGAACCAGAGGCTCCGCTAACCAAACCCATCTCTTTCGCAGCATCCCTTCCAAAAGCGCTCGTCGACTGAGGAGCGGCAATCGGCGCATTGAAAGCGGTACCGCCAGCGATGCCGGTCATTTTTGCGGGTGATCCAGAATTGCTTCCTGCCTGACTGGCTGAGATGGTGCTCCGAGCGCTCGCAGCACCGGTCTTCGCGCTGTCGATCAATTTCTTGAAGAAGCCTGGCTTTTTGGCTTTGGGAGTCATAAATCCGCCTAGTCCACCGTTGGCACCTCGGTTTGCATCTTCCCAGCCAATTGCTGACTTCGCCCCTTGTCGGGAGTCATGGTTTGAGTGGAAGGACGCTGCTGTATTTGGCGTCTTGGGTCGTACTTCCGTTTGGCTCCATTGCTCATCCCTGGTGCCGGTGCTCGTCATTGGTCTAGCCATACGATCTCGAAGACTGCCCATTCTCTTCCTCGCAAGGCTGCCTGCACTTGTGGCGCTAAACGCACCGGCAGAATATCCGCTCATGAGGCTTTGGGCGGTCATCGCTGTTTGATGCGAAAAATTGGTACCAGTGCTTGCAAGACTCTGCGCTCCGCTGCTTGAACTGCTGTTGTTCGTCAAGTTCGTTTTCTGCGTAAGGGCTCTTGAAAGAGCGCCATCACCAACATCCACGGCGGATTTCCTTCTTCTCATTGACAGTCGACGGCCGGCATTTGATGAGCCTGCCCAAGGTGAATTCTTAGGCGGTGGTTCCGGAGGGTCACTGCCCGCCGCATCGAAGTCTTGTCCTTCGCGAGCCTGTTGCATACGGCGCAGGCGACTTTCCATCCTCTGTACGTAGTTCTCCAACCGAGGTGGACCATCCTGATATCGGTCTGGGCTGTTGTGACGACTGCTATAATTGATGCGTGCTTCGGAGAAAGTGCTGCCACCGGCGCCTAGCCCTAAGCTGGTGAGTGGACGAGGACCTGGGCGATCATCAGATCGACGAAAGTCGTCGAAAGCCTCGGGAGACCACGGGTTGAATTGATTTTCCTGGCGGGTTGAATCATGTCTGACTAAAGTCATATCATCCAGAGAAGACATGACATCGTCCATGGCACTCCGGATCATTGGAGGAGTATGTCCGTTGATTGAGGGTGGTGCTGGGGACGGAGTGCGAGAGAATGTCTGATATCGATCATTCATGTCGAACACTTGTGGTGCAGGTGAGGCGGCTCTTCCCCCAATGATCCGGTGGGGTGGAGGAGGCGGCGGGGGAGAAGAGCCGATCTCATGATGAGGTAGAGGAGATGGGGATCTCGAAGGAGCTCTGGACGGTGGTCTCTGCTGCCACAAGACCGTTGAGGGAGGGTTCCGCGCGTCATAGGTTTGTCGTGCAGGTGCAGACACGGGCGCGACTTGTTGAGGCAAGGCTATAGCATTGACTGAAGGAGATTTCGCATGCTTATACCCGCTGAAAGGACGCCTCGATTTCGCCTTCTCCTTCTTTTCTTGTAGTGTCTTTTTGCTTCCACTGTTGCTCTTGTGTATATCCGGTATGGGACTGGCGGAGCGACGCATGGGGACGAAATCTTCCTCAAGCACAACCACGAAGTTTGAAGGAAACAAGCCCATCATTCTCCTATCTCTGAGTAGTCTTCCCATCCACCAGGAGCCGTCTCCAGCATTGAGACATTCTATCAAGTCGCCTTCGATAAACCCGAGGTCTCTGTCTGTCTCGCCGCCCCATGAATAGACCGCGCGACACCAGCAAGGGAACTTCGTAGGTAGGAGAGGAGCCGCCATTCCGACTGGTTCGCACGCTCAGATTCGGTGTCACGGAGGTTCACGTCGCATTGATTGAAGTAGCCGAAGCATCTGGCTTTTCGCTGATCGAGAGTGGTGGTCCACGAGAGGTCAATAAGTGATCGTAAACGACTAAAAGGCAAAGGTAACGAGCGACAGCGCGCGTCAGAGAAGGTACAAGTGCCTTGAGGATGTCGCTTGGGGTAGCGAGCTGCGGGTGCGCAGTCGAAAGAACACGCAGTGGACTCGAAGCGCAGTGGTGATGGAGGAGCCGTTGTCACCGTTGTTTCAGTTGCCAAGCCGCAGATGTAAATAAACAGTCGAGGAGATGGTCACGAAGTGCAAATTGCACGTGACAGGAGGAGCTACGCGACCAACATGCCGAATCGGGTCTAGTGGAAAACAGCTCTCAGCCTTGCCAGGCATCAGGCACCTCAGTATCTCTCTATCCCATCGCATTGCCTTTTGCGCAAGTCTTCGTCCTGCTCCTTCTGTCCTTTCTTTTTGCAAGATTGAGGCGGAGACGAGGCTTTTGTGGGTTGTTTGTGATAAGGCTGTAGCATCAGGTTGCTGGGCGGAGTGGTGCGGGCTGTCATTTGACCTATGCAGTCATTCCAAATCTAACTTGGCCACGGAAGCAAAGATTTTCCAACATCATTTTCCCAGCCACACTGTCAGATACTGACTTTCCGGACTTTTCGTGATCGGCCTGTCTCTGTTACTTCCCATGGATGCGAACCCTATTCTTGCCAGAATGATTGGCGCTGGCTATGAATCAGCAGTCGCCTCTTCGTATTCAGAAGAAGCCCAGACCTACCTAGCCCGCAGATTCACGAGCAGGCAGCCAATCAAACCTGCTCGACTCCGAAACCCTCCCATGGATCGGCTGACCTTTGGTCGAGCTCTCGCCTGATTTGGATGAAGACAGAGAGAAAGCTCCTCCCAGGACGCTGTAGAGGTCTGGTACTTCCGGCGTTTGCGGCGAGTGAGTCGTCCTCGACTGTGACTGTCATCAAGAGTCTCTCCGTCTGTGCTTCCTCAAAACTCAATCGGAATGCGCGCAACAATGTCTCAGCCGCACTGTTCAAGATGTCTTTCTTTCGACCTACAACCGGGGCCGAAGTTCTTTCAGCCTGATCGTCCAATCGTGTATTTGACTTCCCCAGAATCCGAGCCTTTGAGTTGGTGCTTGCCGTATTTTCCAGCCCGGCCGCCTTGGGCGTACAAGCGTGCTCGCCGGCAGGACTTGGCAGAAGACAGAACCGGGCTGGTTGAATCTGGAGCTGCAGCCTGATAAGCTCTGTCCGACCTCGTGCTGCCGTCTTCATCTCCCATCCGTCTTTTCTTCTTATTCGGGTCTTAAGTGTGTTTAGGCTGGTGTTTGGTTTCTAATACCCGTGCACCGTGACCGTGTGTGAGAATGGTGAGTGCTGCAGTCCAACCTTAATTGGCCTTGTATATTGAATACAAAACACCAGGGCAGCCACGGACAAGGCTGGTGGAATGGAGAACAAGCTGAGGAAAGGTAAGATGGGCATTCAGTCTTGAAGGATTCTTGTTCATTGTCGCCAGCTACCCCCTGTCCGCTCAACGGCCATACGGACAGCGACATGGAAGCGCCGGATCGACAGAATACAATCCATATTTCTATTCCCAGTCCGCTGAGCGGCCGAATGACTACGCAATTCACAGTCCTCCTCCGGCACGACAGAATCCCGGCAGGATAGCAAGGCGGCCTACTTCAGGAGGTCGAGAATCGCGGACTCCCTACGAAGCCTTGCCGACGGGTGACACGTCCTACACCCTCCCTTCTATCAATGAGCCGATGCCAGATCCTCACGATGTATGCCCCATTGCCATATCCTTATGCTGGCGGATGCTTTCTGAGACTGAATGCCCTAGTATAACATGGACAACTATTATAATCCCCCAGCATACCATCATGCCGGCAGCGTTGCGCCTTCCACGAACAACATGGTAAGTTCATCCAGCCAACGTTCGTCTCCTGCAAGGACGTGCTTTAATAGTCGCAACAGTCCATCAACGATGGCGTGTCCGTGAACAACGAATTCGTAACTCCTCTTACAGCCCAGCAAAAGTTCAATGCGGACGATTACGAAGTCCACGCCGTCAAAGCGTCGAATGACAATCCCTACCGCTTTGACGCCGATACGCACCTCAATCGATTTTCGAACAATTTGCACCTCAAGCGAATCTTTTACTCGCTTGACCCGAAATTCTTTCACGAGCGAGCTTGGTTCAGTTGGACGTCTCCACACTCCTACCAATTACCCGGTCACTACTACAGATCCGCGAGTGGCGGACGGATCAACATCTACAGGCACAGGGACGTCTTTCGGCGAAAGCATGCCGGTTTGAACGACGATCGATTCCTAGATCCGCTGGACGGGAGAGTGGAAAAGCTGTTTGTCCAGACAATCAGTGAAATCTACGATACGGACAACGAGACGACCTGGCGGAGGACATATATCGAGAACGTCAGTCCGTGGCTCATCCGCCTTGCTTATTGGCCTTACTCGCACATGCCTGTTTCCAGTCAAAATTTCTCGTCTGATTACGGCGTTCGCGAATCGTCGTCTGCTGGGATTAGCGCTTGGAATCAAGAGCAGTGGCTTCACGTTGGTGTTCGCTGGCTACCCACTTGCATTGGGTTGCTGCTATTGATGATATTTCCGACCGACGTGGAAGGCCAAGTCCGCAATCATGGCAATTACGATCCTGTGCCTTACCGATATTGGTCATATCCGCTGTCCGCGCGTAACTTCCGCGAGAACAAAGGCCAGATGCCCCAACCGGGATCATTTGGGACCACAAACGACTTCAGGCTCTCTGATAGATGTATGCGACCACGCCTGTTGTGTTTCCTGGATCGCATGACCGATGACAATCCAAGAGGCTGTCTTGACCCACAGGTTTGGATCGACGAGCACGGAGGAGGCATTGAGCCGACCTATATCTTCATCTCTTACACCGCTGAGAACCAGTTTGAGCGAAGATGCGCCGACGCGAGGCAAGATATCCAGAGCACCGGCTCTTCATATTGCAACTGTCCACAATGCCGGGACGCAGCATCCGACGCCGAAGCCCTCCACAGAATCGCCCGTAAGGCAGCCAGAAGTGCAAAGGTCGCAGCCTACTGGACCGACCAATGTTGCATGTCCACTGACAAGGTTGAGCTCCAAGAAGATGTCTACCGAATCAGTGACGTCGTGCGTGGTGCGGCAAAGATAGTCATCGTTGTGGGTCGGACAGGTCAAGACAATCTTCCGTCATCAGTGACCACGCTCGACCTGTTGAAAGAATGGGGTACCCGAATGTGGACGTGGCCCGAAGTTCTGCTGGGTCCGGCAGGGACGAAGATTCAGGTATACACGCGCGGGGGAGACATGCGTGCCCCGTTGGAAATCTCGAAGATAGAGTTTCCTGCCCAGGTCTGGGACGATGGCGAGGTGGCGAGACAGCTGATTGATAACTATGAGGGATCGCTGGCCTTGAGTCGGCTAGAACTCGTGGTTCTAGCGCTGGAATGTCTCAAGCGGCGGGTGGAAAAGGGTACCACAAAGTACCTTGAGGGCGATTTGTCGTATGCATTAATGGGCTTGCTGAGGCAACGGCCAAAGGTCAACCAGACAGACTCTGCGTTCCAAGCCTTTGCGCGTCTTTCATTAGCAAACGACAGCGACCGTCTGCTGGAAAGGATGATTTGTTTACTCCCATTCAAGGGCAGTCACGAATCTACACCCAATAGCCAACATTACAACCAGAATGCAGAAACAGCGATCAGCGACAACAGCCAGTACGGAAGGATCCCAGGCAGCGAAGAAAGCAAAAAGAGGCATTACTGGACCAACCTTGACGACTACTGGGGTGCCAAACTCTGGGATGTCGAGCCTATTTGTCAGGTGGCAGGCATTGGGAAAGATGACACCGTGATGCTCGATGGCGCCTACGGTGCCACAGTCCACTGGGATAAATTTCAACGTGTTGCCATCACCACTCGAGAGACGTGGTCGCGTATGCTGGCCCGGTACTTTGTGCGAGGCACCCCGGCATGGTTCTTCACCGGTGTCCTCACCGTGGCATTTTCAGCAAACAACCCCACGGGAAAGGGGATAGGGGCGCTCTTCCTGATCATCGCGCTCGTCACCGTCCTTCTGTCGCCAATGCTGATCCTGCATATCTACGGAGGCAAGGTATGGAACACCCAACCTTGGCTCTTCGGGTTTGAAGGACACATGTCCTTGAGGAAGATTGAGATGAAAATCTTTGGATTTCCTTCAGAGCGGCTCTCCTGGGCTCCCTATGCCAGTAATATGTCCCACCATCGAGTGAATAGTGAGTTCTTGGAGGAGGAGTGCGAGGGCACGGATCCTTTGCTCTCGGGAGAGATCGGCGGAGGTGGTGCGGGAATGGTTTCGACGACGGGCGAAAAGCTGAGACTTTTCACGCTGGTCGACACGAATACAATGTACGTGCGGATTCTGCGCTCTCGGGCTGCTTCTCTCTTCTGCATCGCTGACCTGGAAACACAGGACTGTAACCACGTTCCGTGCTGCGCGCCCGCCCACGGTTGCCCTCCTCTGCGGCTCAGAAGGAGGTATGCAACGCGCAGTGATGTGTTCGTATGACTGGACGAATCAGTGTCTGTGGCGAGAGACCGTGCTTCGCATGGAGACGATAGCACTGCAAAAGATGCCTAGGATCGGGAGAGTCAGGTTTGGGCTGAGGAGATGGGAGGCCGAGATGGGAAGGAGTGATCTGCAGCCTCCTGATTGAGAGCAGGATGGCCGCTGGCGACATGGAGATGCAGGCAAGGTTTGCGATGGAGTAAATGCCATGGCAATATTCGTCGTCTGACCATTTGAGAGGTGGGAGGTCAACGTTTCCAGTGACAGGGCAAGCCTGTATTGTGACAGGGGATAGCCTTAAGTTCAATGGCTGACATTTTCATGATAGAGTAGAAGGAAGCGCCTAAGCAATTGATACTGCTTCGTCCTGTAGGACAGGCAGTCCCAAGAGACTCATTGAGGCACGGATCTCAGACATCTCCCTCCCGAGGACCTCAGGGAGGGGAGTCTGCTCGGGGAGAGTAGATAGCAAGCACCTCTCTAGCCACCTACTCCTCGGGGCACCCAGAGAAGAGAGTCTACCTCCCGGAGGTGCTCAGGGAGGGAAGTCTGCTCAGGGAGAGTAGATAGCAAGCGCCTCTCTAGCCACCTACTCCTCGGAGAACCCAGAGAAGTGAGTCTACCTCTCGGAGGCGCTCAGGGAGGGCATATGACAAGCACCTCCTCAGTCACCTACTTCCCCGAGCACCTTAGGGAGGAGAATCACCTCAGGGAGTGATCGAGAGAAGACCACGGAACCACCACAGAACCACTTTGCAAGCCACGTGCTTCCTCGAGAGATTCAGGGAGGGCAAGAGACAATCGCCTCCTCCACCATCTACCTCCTGGAAGTGCTGAGATGAGGGCCTTTGTCAAGCATCTCCTCCTTGGTCGACTACTACTTCCAGGAAGTGTTCGGGAAAGAGACATTGCAATCCGCCCTCCCTCCCAGCCACTGTCTTCCTGAAGCGCTCGGCCGGAGTGACCGCCTTCCATCTCCATCGACGATGGATACTTCCCTGTGCGCCAAGAGGTGGGAGGCTCGTCCAGTGGGTTTTGTAGATGGGGCTGTCGGAGTCCAGGTCTAGGCAGCCACCCAAGCCATCCACCTCGCTCATGCAAGACAGATGACTCGGTTCCAGAATGGCTGATCGAATCCCGCGACGAGCACACCACGAGGGAGTCCCCGGGGGTTCCTTGAGGCATGGCCATCCAGCCATCCCAGACCCGGTTCTGGGCAGGGGCAAAGCGAGCATTGGCAGTGGCAATTGTCCGGCGTTCGAGGGGCTTCAGCAGCAGGCAACCGTTTCCTCCCAGTCTGCTTAGTTGGCGTTTTGCCTCAATATAACTGCCCGATCTGGCATCTCTTGAAGCTGGAGTGGAGAGCGACGAATATATTCCGCGTCGTCGATGGCTTTACAGCGGCAAAAGAAGTCTTGGGCATCGACCTTGGGCCGTTCCGAAAACTCGAGGCTGCCCTCTCGAAGATACCGAGGCATCTCTTGACGCCTGGCGAAGCTTTTGTTGGATACGACACGGCGATTGTTTTCGAGCATTGACCGCATTTCGAGACAATGTCCCGAGATGCATGGCTAGCCAAGGTATATGGTTTCCGATGCCATGGAAGCTAGATTCCGCAGGACCATCCCTCACCCGCTAACTAGTAAGTCCGGGCTGTCCCAACGATGCTAGTCAAAGACAGCCCAGGTTGCGTGATCTGTGTTCCAAAGACGCAGAAACACGGGGTCGGGCCCGCTGCGGATCCGGAGTTGAGAACGTGGGGAGGGCTTTGGCGCCTGAAACCCGGCGGGGATATCTCCAGATCCAGGATAGAACGTCTGCTTGGCCACGCCTTCGCGCTGGAATGGAGGCCAAAAGGATCTTTTGGGCTCGTATTCTGGCCGGCGGGTGTGAGATTGGATTCTGACCGTCTGGAACTAAACTGTAAATTCGACCGGCTGAAGAGGGAAATCACTACGAAGTTCGACTAGCTGAGCTGCGCTGCATTGCGCGCGGTCACTGGCCGGTCATCATTTGAGGCCTTCTGGAAGTGCGGGGAGGATGTGCAGAACAGGCCTCGTGTCTTCGCAAGGATGAGAAATCCGGATCCGACGATGTGCGATTGTCGACTCGGTCTCTGGCTGGGAGGAGACCATCAGCGACTGGCGAGCTGGCCACAGTGTGACGAGAACGGATGCCGTAGTGCCCACGTAAGAGTGATTCTTTTTGGCTCAATGGCAATCGGCATTCACAAGGAGTCTTCAGCCTAGCCTTAGATACAGCGGTATACCCGTTGTCATCAATAACATTACCTCCATCTGACAGGTCGGCCACCTCGTCGCTGTTGGGCAATCCGCGAAGTTACAGTTCCTCTCATCGGAAGACATGGTCGAACGGGTTATGCAGGCCCTCGATGGGCTAGAGACGTTTCGTATTGGAGGTAGATGGGTACCAGAACGTGTAGCAGGGTTTGCAGAGTGTCACGCCGAGTTGGTAACAGAAAGCGCGGTCGGCATGACGAGGGCTCTTACTTCGGACAACAGTTGACCTATGACACCAGCCGCACCAGTCCTCGCTGACATGAGCTGTCTGCCTCTTGATGCTGATCTTGTCGCCACGGGAGTCCACGAGAATGCTGGAGACGATGTTCACCATACTTTCGGCGGCAAGACTGCCAAGCGTCACGGCTATTGAGATTCAGAAGCCGGCCACGGAGGAAAGGTTGATCGTTCTCCCTCCAAGGTACCCACCCGTCTCTGGCCTCCTGGAGTTCAGATAGGGGATAATTGCTCATAGGTGATTGGCTTTGCTCAAAGGGCTGGACAGCGACGAGCCGAAGCTCAGACCGTATCACTGGATGTGGCGGACGATGAGGAACTATTGCTCCCAATGACGCCAACTTGTTGGAAGAGGATTCCAATTCGTCTTGCACTCCAGATGACCTATTGTCCCTGGGGACCGCGTCACAATGACAGGTCCTCAACACCAGTCCCAGAGTTTGTTCGTCGGACACGTAGTCTACATCCCTTAGATAAAGATGCTGCTGGGTTTCTTACTCAAGCAAGAAGAAGACATAGGGTATACATTTTATTGATCAAATATCTGCAACTTGCCTTAAATGGCCTAGGGGCTAGACTATCACTCGTGGACGAATTAAAGTCGCCAGATATCTCAATACTTGAATAACAGATGCCATGAAGGCCAGACACACCCCACCCCACAGCTGGCTCCCTAGAGGTGCTGTAGCTTCAGTGGCGACGACTTCGAGTTGGTCGAGGGACGTAGGACCAATTGAGGTCGGAGTCGCTGTCGTCATCGCCTTCGTTCTCGCCCTCATCCTCATCGTCCTCATCCTCATCGTCCTCATCCTCATCGTCCTCATCCTCATCGTCCTCATCCTCATCGTCCTCATCCTCATCGACCCCATTATGCTCAGCGCGATCGTCTCCGATGTTATCCTCTTCGGGGACGTAGTCAGAATCCTCATCAATACTGTCATTGTTCACCCTGTCGTCCGCCTGTTCGAAGTAGGTCCAGGGAGCTAACAGCGACCGGGTCCTGCGCTTGCTTACTCTGCGCGCGGAGGCTGCCTGGTCTAGCCCCTCTGCCTCGAGCGGGTCATCATCTCCAGGAGTTAGCGATCTAGCCTTTCGCTTGCCGGAGCTTGAACCTGAACTCGGCTGTGGCCAAGTGAGTATGGTGACGGAGGTATTGGTGCTGGAAGAGCCTAAGCCCGAGGAGTTGCCACCGTCACTGGTTGCTAGAGTTCTCGTTGAGCCTGGGCTGTCGGCTTGGATAGTAGAGGGGATGCCCAGATTCTCTTGATGGAGAACCATGCTTCCGGAAGTAAGAGTGGCAAGTGCCGCACAGTCGGCTATCAAGGTCTAGTAGCCGTCCGCGGATCAAGGGGACAAAGTTTCCCTTGGCGTGTGTCTCCGACGTGTTGGGACAGCTAGCGACTGGGTTGCTGCATCGCTGAAGGGTTCCAAAGCGTCTATCTGCTGGGAAGCCCTGCTTGAGGGGAGTGGCCATATTACATGCCTCCTCCGGGAGCAGAGTCAGCCCCATCTTCTGGCGGACTAAATTGGTGAATTCCTTAGCCTGTCTAGTCATCCATCTGAATGTTGGACCTTCAGTGCTCAGGGCAGGGCTGGCAGTCATTAGGAAATCTTCGACGACACGGACGTAGGCGGCATGAAGACCGGCTAGGGCTGAGAAGTCGGCGGAAATACAGATCCAGGGATCCCAGTTAGGATCAGCGAGGAGTTTTGGGTGGCGACCGTTAGTGTCAGAGTGTAGGAGGTAGACTAACTCTCGACCGATCAAGCCACGACGGCCGACTGCACTTCCGCCATAGAGCATCCACTCCCCAGTGATTTTGTTGACCAGGCTGTCGAAGTAAGCCCCCCATTGACTGTCCTGGCGGGAGACACGAGGGAGAAAGCGAAAGTGTGCAGCTCGTAGGGGATTTCCCTGTCGATCTTTGCCTATAACGAATTGTGTGGCATCTGTAACAGTAGAGCAGATAACGTCGACCAGGACCTCCGGGAGGGTGCCACACAGGAACCAGGCGAATCTCTTATTTAATGCACCGTCCGTGTCCCAGCTCTCGGGAGGGGAGGCTAGGTGGGAAGCGGCTAGGGCTCTGAGCTCGGTAACGAAGATAGTGACTATGATCCGGAAGCGGTCCTTGCGGGCACGAAGCTCTCCTACTCTGGGTGTCAGTCCTGCTGCTTCTTCAGGGCTCTGGGAGATGACTCGCTTACCTGGGTCCATTTCGAAGGGATCTTCTCTCTGCTCAGGGACCTCCTAGGTCCGTGTCGGCCGTTGAGTTTCCTGTGGACTTTCAGTGCCAGCAGCTTCTGTCTCAGGAATGTAGTCATCGCCGTCTTCAAGGAGTAGGCCCTCAACCTTGTCCACCTCGATTGTAGTCATGATCCAGGTATAGATCCCAGGTGCTAGTCGGACCAAGGTCAAGAAGGAAGTGTTCGCCGTTAGCCAGGGCCGACAGAGCGAGAGAGAGCGAATAGCTAGTGAGGTCGAGCGAGGAGTTGCAGAAGAGATCCAGGAGTTGCAGTAGAGATCCAGGAGTTGCAGAAGAGATCCAGGAGTTGCAGAAGAGATCCAGGAGTTGTAGCAGAGCGAGGAATCCCAGCGGAGGCAGGAGGTAAGCGTCACTGCGGCGGCAGGAGCGCCACTCCTTCCACCAGTCATCGCTCTTTTGGAACGAGCCATGGTTCCCTGATACTCCTTCCCCATGAGAACGAGCTCTCGCGGAAGGAGCTGGAGAGAGAGGAAGAAAGGAGCACAGCGTAGAGGGATGTCCATTTAATTCAGTCATCCAAAGTCACGAGTGCGCTAGCTAGAGTTAGGGTACTCTTGGCAAATAGTAAAGAGAACCCCACAACTATAGCTGGACTCAAACCTTTTCTTCCATATCAATTTACTTTCACTCGACTCCCACCTCCAACCTATCTTAACTTGATTCTCAATCTATCCTCAACTATAATTCCTCACTCTTCTGCAACTCCTAGATCTCTACTACAACTCCTGGATCTCTACTGTAACTCCTGGATCTCTTCTGCGACTCCGGGATCTCTTCTGCAACTCCGGGATCTCTACTGTAACTCCTGGATCTCTACTGTAACTCCTGGATCTCTTCTACAACTCCTGGATCTCTTCTACAACTCCTGGATCTCTTCTACGACTGCTCGATCTCTTCTACATCCTCCGCACCTAGTACGGTGGCGGCTCGTACTGAAACGGCGGCATATATCTCCTTTGAATATATATATCTCTATTAGGTATTCTCGCCATGTAACCGCGAAAATGTGCCTGAAGATTAGAAAGACCAGATCCACAGGAAAGGTACACCCCCTGACTTCAGCAAAGATTCCGAGGATCGCTGGTGTATTGAGGATTTTGACTGGGACGAGCACGAAGTGGACCTCACCCTCTGGGGTATGGTCCACAATCCACTGAAAGAATTCCGAGCCATCGAGATTGCCTGTTTGTCTTGGAGTAAGGTTCCTGACATGGATGATCTCCAGTAAGAGATCTACTTCATCGAAGGCATTGGCGGTATTGATACGGTTAACACATTCCGGGGCTACCACCTTCTCGACAACAGCCAGCAGCTCTCTCTGAATGGCGTCACCCAACCTATTCTATTTCCAACGTATATTGTCCTGCTCTAGAGTCTGAAGGGCTCCAAGCGCCAACGATCAACCTTCCACACTCTGACAAGTCGGCCCTCCTTCCGCGTTGGCTCCAAGATTGCTCGCTGGGTCGGACGCGAGATCGCGCAGTGCACGAACCCCTATCACTGCTTTCGATGCGAAGTGGGAAGATAATGGGCCGGAGGATATTCCGACGGCAGACTATCCTTTTGATTGCAAAAAACTCGGCGACGCAACGAAGATCCCGAGCGGCCGATGGGAGTTCTCGCGTTAGAACACATAAGCGAACAGGCATGCCCTGGGCCACGACCCGGAGAGTAAGCGGGAGGATTCATAGTCTGGCAAGGCGGCTTCCTCGGCCGCAGATAAGTGCATACACATATCTGTGGTTGGATCTGGACCTGGACCTGGCTTTCACCTACAACGGAGGTGTACCTCGTACCTAGTCTCTGGAACTAGAGTTTGCCTGGCTCGCGCTTGCAGAGATAGATCCCTCGGGAACGCGGCCACTTTGCGCCCATCTCACCAATTTTGAGCACTTTTGTCAATACACACTTGTAATTTCATGTTTGTAATATTGAAGTACCATGTCACCAAGTTCCAGGTCAGAATATTTGGGGCTTGGGCAGTTCTACAGCATTGACCTCGACAGCCTCATTGGCGGAGGTTGTTCCGCTTGAGGCTTGGCATTCCGCTCTTCCGCCGGTATAGAGAGTGGGTGGCCACGTCTCTCTCTCCTCCGAGACAACATGAATTCCATGCATGGAATGACAGAAGGGCAGGCCGATAGGCTCCGTAAACCCACATGAACCCGTGTTTTCCGTTCAGTAGGTGTACCGGAATCCCGCGAGACCCTCGATCACCTTACCGCCGGCAGCAACTCTCTGGTTGGCGCGATAGAACTTCAGATCCAAAGCGAGGGTGATGATGATGATCAGAGCACTTGCGAGCATGCAGGTGAGGATGCCTGGGTGATAATCAGGCTTGTCCTGCTCGCGGAAGACCGTGCTTCCTATGATACCGCCTATACCTCCAGCACCGACCAATGTGGCCGAGCAGAGGGCTCTCTTCCACTGCCCACGGATGTTATTCGCTTGCCAAGTGAGCACGCAAGGCACATTTGCGTTGCACGCACTCGTGGCAATGAATACGCCGAAGTAGCGGACTGGGACGTTGTCGAGATAGCCCAGGAGGGGGAGGCCTAGAAGTACGTGTTAGACGTTAAGACACCAACACAGGCGGCATTTCCCTTACCAATGAGGAGCAAGCAACCGTTGGCGAGGATAAAGGGAGATCGCAGATGCCACTTGTCGCCCAAGTAGGCAAAGAGATACATGACAATCGCGGCCAGGACATAAGGGGGTGCGATGAGGCATTGTGAGGCCGCGACACCGAAACCCATGCCGTCATTAAGGATAATCGGAAGGAAATACGCAATGGCATATGTGTTTGTCGTCGTCAGACCAAAGAGCGCGGCGAAACCCCAGACCTTCAGGTCCAAGGCATTCTTGAGGTATTTGCCGAGTCGGAATTCCTCGGGAATTGCGTCGTGACGGTCCTTCTCGATGCGGGCCACGACGAAATCGACTTCGGCCTGGTTCAGGAATTTGAGGCCAAACGAGTTCGCGGCCTTTTCGGGGAAATCCACAATGAGAACGTAGGCACAGATGGCCATGACGCAGGTGACGGCGCCCTGCAGGATGAAGATCCATCTCCAGCCCGCGATGCCAGGAAGAATGCCCGACGGCGCATCAGGATCTGCTGCGGTCGGACCGTAATGCTGGCCCCACCATTTCGGTCCAGACCCGTGGTTCTTCAGCTGGGAGAAGCCATAGGCAAGAATACCAGCAAAGGCGGACGCCATGGATCCAATGAGGTAGAAAACGGCATTGCGTTTCTGTAGCTCATAGCGAGGATACCAGCAGCTAAGAAGATAGGCACAGCCTGTAACGCCAAAAGTCAGATCAATCGCGCAAATGCTGATGGAGTGGTCTCAGGGGATCTTTCTGAGCGGATAACTCATATGTCCTCACTGAGACCCGCAAACATATTGCTCTTGACACGTACCTGGGAAGAAACCAGCCTCAAAAACACCGAGAATCACTCGCAGACCGGTCAACTCTGTCCAAGTCTTGACGAAGCCAGCGGCGCACATCGTCATGCCCCAGAGTAAAGTGATGGTGGGCAAGAACCTGCGAGGGCCGACTTTCCGAAGGACAACTGTAGCAGGAGGCTGCAGTAGCACGTAGGTGATGAAGAACACAAGTACCATAATCGAATATCGATTGTCGATGAGGACGAGATCTACTCCCATCCCGGCGACGACGGCGATACCGGTGTTGGTACGATCCATCAGGGAGACGCAGTACAGAAAACCGAGCGTGAGCACCAGCCGTCTGTCAATACGCCACATGATTTTCTTCTGTTCTTCCGGAGTGAAGGCATTGATTCTGGCATCGTTCAGCTTGTCAGAGTCAGCTGAGATGGTGGTATCGGCACGCTCGAGTTCATTGATGTCGAAAGCTTTCTCGACGGGGACTGGGACTTCCGCCATGTTGGGTAATTTGAGATCAGGGCAGAAAGACGGGAGAGACGGAGGGAAGAATTTAGAATGGTGAGGGGAAGTGAGTGAGCAGACTTCCTATGATGGGAGTGCTGGATCCTTTATGCTGGGTATGCTTGATCCACGTTGACCAGGCGAAGGGCATTATGTGATATTGACAAGACACTTAAAAAGGTCCAGAAACCAGAAACAGCATAGTCAAATTCAGTCCACCGGAGGACAAGATCGAGAATGCACTGGGCATCACGCACAACAACAGGGATCAACCCATCCCTTCGCGGACACTGACGATATGCCCAGTTTTCGAGGTGGAACCCTCCTGAGCGCAGCCCCTAGCAGGAACATGCATTTGGGCGAGACAAACCAGCCTACCAGGTGAGTGCCGAGGGGTCGAGGTGACCCCAGGTTTGGGGCGCTCCGGTGGAGTCCGGGGTTTGGATTGTGGGCCAAATTTGAGCTGCTTTGCCAGAAGAATGGTAGGCTGTGCTTTAGTGAAAGTAATCGCCCGGTCCAGCCAAAGTGTTCTATCATGTCAATCTCCATCGCTGTGTTTCCTGGCTTGTTGAAAAGAAATGTCTGATGCACAAGACTGGCGTGGCGCACCCCATGACTGGCACAAAAGGATGAATGTGGCATCCCACGGCTTCTAGAGGCCTAGCAAGCATTGAGATTGGGTTGAAGACGAGTGCTTGACTTGCTTGCCATCCGGCGTTCCTAGTGACTGGGCGAGGGTCACTTGCAGCCACCAAAGTCTTGGTGGTAGCTTGGAAACCCCACTGGCAGATAAACCCATCCCCCATGCTCGGTCTGTACGAGTAAGCGTCCCAAAACTCAGTGAGAATGTTTTTCCCTCTCGACCTGTCGGCTGCGAAGACTGGACTTTCATCATCGGAAGCGAAGGCCCCTGTAACAGCACATCCTGGCCTGACCAAAACCATGATCCAGTCGATCGACAAGCAATGGAACGTGGTGGCAACGTTTCCACGACCCGTGTGGAAAAGATTGCTGATTGTGCATCGTTAGTATGCTCTTGGCCTACCCATTTCCTCGTAATTGTGAGGCTGGCTGTCCTGACTTGATGGTGTCCGGAGCCATGGCAGGCCACATCAAGAGGGGTGGCACACGCGGGCCCTCCGAGCACAGTGGAGCACTCAACTGTTGAACTTTTGCTCGTGTTTATGGGAGAAATTCCGCAGCCAAGAGCGTGAGTCGGTCGAAAACGGCTCTCCTTCCCGCGTTCTGGAAAACCATCGCAAGCACTTGCATCACCTTACCAGACACTTACCTAGGCATCTGTTGCGGCTTCAAGGGGGAATGCGGGGAGAGCAATAGCCGCGGCTGTAGGCTCAACCTATCCTGCAAGGGTCGAATCTTCCCCAACTGGGCGAAAAGAAAGCAGGGGAGGCGAGAAAGGCTAACCTCCAAGACCTGGGCGCCTGAATCGCGAGGGTTGGCGATAATGCTTGCTGGAGCTGTGACGGTTGACTGACCTGCCGAGATCTGTACCCGGTCGGTGCTGGGCAGGACACAAAGAACTCGGGGTGGGAGGATTTTGGAGTCCGAAAGCTCTTGCCTGATTAGCAAATGGTGCATATTCCATCCCAGGCGATTTTGTCGGGCATAATTCCAAAGTCAATCGGTCGGATGATGTGTTCTGAGGGATTGGTATCGATATTTTGATGGGCTCCCAAGGTTGGAAGGGAAGAAAAGGGCAGGAGGGAGCAGATGGGCTTAATATCTAAGGACAAAGAGCGCCCATAGCACTCGATTATTCAACACAAATGCTCAATACGCTTGCTAATGAGCCGCTTTAACCGAACAACCATGCCGAAGAAGCCCTCGGGCGAAGGACGGGCCCAAAATGGGTGGATGGGATACAGCGTTATGGGAGTGTCGCCGTTTTAGGAGTGTGGATCTTGGCATACGAGCGGACCAATAGGTGCCTCAAATATACGAGCTATCGGTAAAAACAGCCAGATGCGAATATGACTTTTTCTCTGCTCGGAACACGAGGCTGTGTCCTTGATGACCCTGAATCTAACAGGTAGGCTACATCAAGCGGTATTATGGTGCCTCTAAGCTTGCCTGGTACACTAGTTCATTACTTTTCGTCGACTTGTGCACTCACGGAGAACAACTCTGCTGGATCAATACTGCCCTGTCCCAGAGCCTGGACGACTTTCATCAAATCATAGCAGACACGCTCTGAAATGAAGCTGTCCTTGCTATAGTCTTGATGCCTTTGCACAAATTGTCGCATCCAGCTCGCCGGTGTGAGCATTTCTCCAGTGGCCCTTTTCCGGATGACGTCCAGATACTTGTCAATCCTCTGTCTGGCCTCTTCAGGGACGTCCCCAAAAACTTCGAGGATGTAGGACTGCACAAGCGGGAGTAGGCCAGGGAAGGATTGACCGTTTGAGCCTTGCAAGTTCGGAGACCCGTTCATGATCTCGGTCGTCGTCATCAGGGCATATTCTTCTTCTGGTTCTGGATTTCCGTCTGATGTCGTTCGCTCCACCTTTACACGGAAGAAGAATTTCTGCTTGCGGACTGCATTGCGGGTGTGCGCCCTCTCCATATTCTCCGCCACCTTCTCAATCGGAATGTAGAAATTGAGATCGTAATGCAAAATAGCGCGAGCGAGCAAGGCAACGAACAAGGCGAACGCCGCGTTTTCGAAATCGGTCAATTGTACTTCCAGGGGACGAAATTCGACCCGCCATCCCGCCGCCCCGGTTTTGGACGGCAGTTTGAAATCGACATGCGGCCAGACTGCAGAGTGGAGGATCTCAAAGAGATCAAGGCTTTCGTAAGATCTCAGTTCGTTCTTTGTTAGGGCGATTGGGTCGCGAGTCAGAATGTTGGCGTAATGCGAAGCCAAGAGGGCATCCATGCTACTGTGATGTTGGAGATATTGCTTGATCGCTGCATCAGCTTTAATTTCTGACGGGTTGTAGACCGGTCGAAGCCGTGGGTCGTCCGATATGTACATTGCCGTGGATGACCACCGTGCATGCAAGCCCAATGGCTTGATAGTCTGCTGGCCTGTCAGTGAGAGGATCAGGTTGGCTTTGGAGCCTACATTACATTTGACCGAAGCTCATTTGTAGTTCTGTCGTCCACCGCGGAAGCCGCTTGATTCCATCGAACATCGGTGTCAGTGAGAAACCCACGAAAGAATGGTGATGCCGCCGACAATGCCATGATGATGGGACCAAGCGGACATAACTGATCATGCAGGTAGCGCGCTTCTCGGAGGTTTCTTGCTTGGATCGTGACCTGCAGCCCGCAGAAACTTGGCCCGAACGCCATGCTGTCGCCATATATAAAGTTCTCTGCCGCATTGTCATGATGTTGTCTTGCGTCGTCCTCTTGCGCATGGTTTTGGTGTGGGAACTGCATCGACTCCTTCCAAGGCCAGGGTGTATTCTCGTCTCTATAGATTGGAATCTTGACTTTGCACGGACGCCCTCCACGGCGCGCGTTCATGTTATCATGGATTGTGCCATAGCGCTCATGTGTGCTGATCAATCCATCGGGAAGAAACTGCGATTGGAGCAAGAGTCCGTGAGTTGGTAGGGCAGGTTCAGTGTAAGGGCCTGGGGCGCCCAGGCGTGGAAAACCTGGCAGTGTGACGACCGCTTCGCCTAACCCAAGACAAGCTTGTATCATTCGCCTCCTAGTAGTACCGATATCAACCGATGTCCTCCGAAGTCAGCCTCTCTGTTCTCACCGTTTTCGCATGTTTGCTTCCACACTTAACAAGCTCTTGATACTGCCGCCGTCGTAAGGCTCCCCCGGTGTAGCCTCAATCATGAAGCTGCCAAACTCTGGCTGAAATTCCGGTGCGGTCTTTTGATGCTTACTGGCTGTCGTGGGCATCAATTGCGCTCGAAGAAAGGGAAAGGAGAATAATACCTGGGGATCGTTGCGCCTTGACGGCCATCATCAACATCCGTATGTAACCTCTCCACATTGTTGAGTACTTCCTCCTGTTTCAGGAGCAGATTTGCCCGCTGGTTTGAATCGTCATATGCTAGGAGTTGGTACTCGATCTGATGGCGTCTTTCATGAGCCTCATATTTCACATTTCGACATGTTATCTGGCAGTCACTTACCTCGTCCCCCCATAACGGAGGATACCCATCTATGTCTTTATATTTTTCAAACAGATCTATCAATTGCTTGGCAAGAGGGCGTCAGCAAAGACGATATTGGCAACTTGTACCCTCTTCCAATTCCCATAATTCAAAAGTCGTCTCTTACCAGCATCGCACGGCGTCTAATGTTCTGAGAGATGGACACGACCTCAGCCCAGTGAGAGCCACTCTCGTCGTGATTCGTACTGCCCTTTTTCTGAGTTCTCAAGTTCGATGATCTAGTTAGATGTGGTCGTACCTAAATTCCATTGCGAGATCCTCCAGACCCTTCACCTGCTTTTTCAAATGTCGTCTAAATCAATGATCGAGTCTGTGTTCTAGCTTCTTGAAAGACAGCTGCGGAACAGATATACATCGCTAACACGCAGAACAGGACTTCTATGCTTGCTGTGTCCTGCGTGCCTGGTTATAATGTCTTACCACACCGCAACTCATTCCATCAGGCGCGCCGAGGGTTCAACCAGTTGAAGCCCTCATTCTAGTTGACGTCATTGGCGGGACATTGGAACAATTGGAGGCTTCCGAACTGTCGGTACGTGTGTGGCTGGTTCGTTCGGTAGTTTTCGTTCCTTAGTCTTCCAAGTCGGCGCTTAGCAGCAAATGAAGGTATATAGCAAAACCGAGCACATTCATTCGAGGTCAAGCAAACGAGATCTTCGCCGCCAGAAGCGTGACGTGAAGATGGTTGACGTCTGTGTACTTTTGATCCACTGTATTCGTTACCTGCTGGTGGAGTGGACCACAGCCTCCAATACCGAAGGCTTGAAAATCCTCTTGCAAGGGATTTCATCGATCTTCTCATTCCCCATGTCAGCAGACCAGCGAAGCCTTTTCGCCCGAATCATGTTTCATAGAAGGTAACTATCCCTCCGTGCGCTGGACGAACTCCAGCTAATCAGTGGCCAGTCGTCCCTTAATCTAAGCAGCCTCATCCCCGTTGCGGCAGAGAAATTTCCAAATCAGGAAGTTAAGTCCAACCATGATCTGGCCCTTTGATTGGTGAGCAATTACTTGTGAGCCGAAAATATGGTTGTCTGTGCAATTGCAAACATACTTCTATTGATGTGCTCCTACAACCCCGGTGCTCAATGTCCGATACAAAAGCTCCAAGGGCCAAGACCCGACGTCTATTCTACGCGCCCAGCACCACAGGTGAAACGTTACTTCGGAACGATTTCTTTGTCCGTGACTGAGAGCCAGTCGATCTGCTGCTGAAGAAACTCTTTGATCTTGGTGGCATCTGTCTGTTGATCGGCCTGATGCTGCTTCCTTAGAACTTCAAGTATCAACCGCAGACGTTCTTGCAGGACCTCCACCCTGTATTCTGTCCACTGGAAGTACAACTGCGATAGGTTTGTGATGGGCCTGATGGTAGTGAGAACCGAGGAGTCCGGGATCAGAGGGTCCCTGGGGCGAAAAGCCGTCACCATGGTAATCCGTTCACTTCCTCCAAGTGCAGCCAATGCCTGGTGTGTGATGTGCCTACCCTGAAGGACAACACCACTGCCCTGTCGACTTGTGAGCAACTTTCACACAGACAAATACAAGTTCGTCACACTCACCATCTGTGGTCCACGGACTTTGAGGATCTCTCCAGAGCCGGTCCTGATCGCTGTTTCTCCCCCAGCCATCTGAGAAGCGTCGCTCATCATCACTACACACACAAACGGGTAACTGTCCACGTGCCATTTGGTGACTGGGATGTCATCATCCGATTGACGTTCTTGCTTCTGGTAGTTTCTCAGACGATCTTGAACGGAGACGTTGATGTTTCCGATCTCGATATCGATAGCGGGCACCAAGTCAATGCCGGCAATTTTCGACACAATGGCGAGAGTCTTGGGGTTCTTCCAGGCATCGTACATGAACGGGGCATACCTTTCCAGGAATTTAGTCGCGGGTGGCAATTGCAGGCGTCAATCCAGAAATATGAGACACGACCAAAGAAAACGGATCTCTTACTTTGGACAGTGGCCTCTGAGCTGGCAGCCCGCGAAATCGGTGCTGTACAAACAGTTGTCCCAAACTTCGTGGGTGAAAATCTCGCTCCTCATATGGCTTATGGCTTCTTCGCTGAACAGAGGGAAGGGCTCGGAAATGGCAACTGGCGATATGCCCACATTTTCTGAGAGGCCGATATCTTTGAGCATCAAAATCTTTGGGTCTTCGCGATATACCAAATGCTTCTCAGGATCAAAAATTGCGCGTGGTCTAGTGCTAGCCTGGTGAAGATGTTCACTAATGATGGGCCTAATCTTAGAGGTGTGCACTGGAGGCCGCACATCGACCTCCGCCGTCGCCATCGTGATGATTGATCCCTCGCGTTAAATAGTATATAAATACAGCTTGTTGTTCGTCCTGCTCAAGATGAGTCCAGGAAGGACAAAGATGTATTTGTAGCATTGGAACTTATCACTGCCTTGCCAATATGATAAACGCTATCAATGTCTCGACTCTGACAGACAGGATTTGTTATCGGACCGTCCTCGCTTCCGTCTCATCCACGTCCCGTTTATCTTCAGAGCATTCCCATTGCGGAAATCAAGTTCTACAGCCCCACCGTCCTCCCCGGATTGGTAGTCGACAGGACACGCACATCGCCGTAGAGAAACGAAACAGGAAACTAAGTCCCACGCCCTGAAGAGCCTCTGATTGGATGCTCCACTACCTTTGACGGGCCTCGCTCGTCACTGAGCTCCATTTCGGCCTCGAGACTGGCACGCCCTGTCCCGTTCACAAAGCAAACCTTGGATTCACTGCAATTTCTTCGATGGAGACCCCGCCTTATAATAACGAGGTTGTCCCAGAACTACATTCACCGATTATTTCTCTTAACACCCCGTGGGATATCGTCGAACAGTTATACTCAGCAAGCGAAAATGGGGATTTCAATGTTTGGGCCTCCAGACCCGATTGATCAAACTCATGAACCATCCAGCTCCATTACCTCCATATCTGCAAGCGCACCAATCGAGGAGATACTCGGCATAATCGAACGAGACGGGGGAGTGATTCTAACGGGATTTGCGACCGCGGAAGACATTGCTGCCATTGATCGCGACGTCGAAGCCCATCGAAAACAAACCAGGTCGACCGAGAAGAGCGCGTTGCACATTATCCCCAAAGAAACTCTGGCCATACCAGGGCTCGTGGGCAAGTCCCCGACCATCGCCAAAATCTGTGAATCCCCCGTGCTGGAGGAGCTGCGGACGTCCATCCTGCAGGAGAAATTCAAGGTCGTCCGCGAAGACATCGTGGAAGAGAACATTATCGACCCGCTGTTGAGCATCAGCATCACGTTTTACATTGGCTACGGTGCGCCTCGACAGCGGCTGCACCGAGACGACAACGTGCACGGGATCCGGCACGGAGGCAAATTCGACCTCAAAAAGGCCAGCCAATTTGGATGTCTGATTGCTGGGTCGAGGACGACGCGCCAAAACGGCGCCACCATGTTCGTCCCGGGCTCTCACAAGTGGGACGATACGCGACGTCCACGGACGGACGAAGTCTGCTTTGCCGGTGAGTGTCCCCTACCAAACACAACGCTGTGGCCATTCACATCGTTCCCTGGTATGGAAAAAAAAACAGGCTGATAGGGGGGGTTGCATCTAGAAATGGAGCCGGGCTCTGCGTTGATATTCCTGGCTTCATGCTACCACGGCGGCGGCCACAACTCCATCCCGAACGAGGTGCGCAAGGTCCACGGTCTGTTCTTCATCCGGGGCAACCTGCGCACGGAAGAAAACCAGTTTCTCGCCGTCCCGAGAAGCAAAGTGCTCACCATGAGCGACAAAATGCTCTCGCTTCTCGGGTACAAGAAGCCTTCCACGGTTCTCGGGGTCGTCGACAACGAGGATCCATCGCTGGACTTGCCCTCTGTTTTTGAAAAGGTGAGCCAGTAGTGCTTCTGTCCAAGGAGTGGCTCAGTGGCAGGTACATAGAGGTGAAGACTGTTAGTGTCGTTCGAGAACATGACCCAGATTCGCAGCTTGCAGGGTTTGGAACGGCCGGGATTGGCTTTTCAAATCCCCCCTTTTGGGCCCTCAGGACGCGTCGTCTCAGACAGTTCAGCGTCTCTTTTCCACTCGTCATCAGAGAGTATAAAAAGATGAATTGTCGATAGAACCTAAGGTTAGAGTTGGAAGATGAGAGAGTATGTGCGCGATTCGTCTCTAAGGCGCCAATTGAAATCTTCAGCACATTACCCGCAAAGCCTTGCTCTCGCATAATTAGTATTCGGCATGTTGCCCTTCTAGACCAGCCCAAAGCCTAGATCGATCTTGTCGACAGGCGATATCAACGTATCTCTGAGATAACGATATCATCGCCGAGGAAACCGTCGCCATGTGCTGTTTTGACAGAAAAAGTGCGATGGCGTGACAGATTTAGTAATTAAGTCCCAACCACTATCAGTCCCACCTCAGCCTTTGCCCAAATCTCACTCTTTGAAAAGGCCCGTACGTGTTTCTTCGCCAGTTTTGCAATTAGTTGGATGCTATCGTATATTGGGAAATAGATCTATGTCGCAGAGTTACATGGGTCCCCGCGAGGCGATAAAAAGGACCATGCTGTCGCCGCCTACACAATGTCAACCCTCCCGTTTCCCGAATCCTCTACTGTTTCCCAGACATGGATTCCAAGATGACAGAGTTGAAGGGGCTCCCCGAGGAGTCCCTCGAATTGCAGACCACCCTCAGTGCCAACCAGCTCGGACAGGTTGAGAATGTCGACAACCTTCACCGTTCGCTCTGCAACCGCCAGATTCAACTCATTGCCATCGGAGGCACCATTGGTACGGCTCTCGTAAGTGACCCCTGCCTCGCAAAGGCTGTCGTGTACTCGAAGAGATTTCGATGTCAAATTTCGTCACCGTGAAGAGAGGCTAAATCAGATCGACAGTTCGTCAGTATCGGCTGGGCATTGCTCGAGGGTGGTCCGGGCTCGATGCTGCTTTCGTTTTTGTTCTATGCCTGCGTCCTCGGTTGCATCAACAGCAGTCTGGCGGAAATGACAGTCTACATGCCGGTGTCTGGGTCCTTCATCCGGTTCGCGGGCAAGTGGGTGGACGACTCCTTCGGCTTCGTTGCCGGCTGGAACTTCTTCCTCTACGAAGCCATCCTGATCCCATTCGAGATTTCGGCCCTCAACCTCGTCCTGACGTTTTGGAGGGACGACATCCCGGTATGGGCCGTCTGTTTGGCCTGCATCGTCCTCTACGCCCTGATCAATATCTTTGCGGTCCGCTGGTTTGGCGAGGCTGAGTTCTGGTTATCCTTGGGCAAGGTGTTCCTGGTTTTCATCCTGTTCTTTTTCACCTTCATCACCATGGTAGGCGGCAATCCGAAGCACGACGCATACGGGTTCCGTTATTGGAACAATCCAGGCGCCTTCGCAGAGTACATCACCACCGGTTCGTTGGGAAGGTTCGAGGGCTTCTTGGGTGCTCTGTTCGTGGCAGCTTTTACCATTTGCGGCCCAGAATACATCGCGATGGTTTCCGCAGAGGCGGTGTATCCGCGGATCACAATCAAGGCAGCGTTCAAGACAGTGTAAGTTGGGACTTCCTCCGACCTGCTCGGTGAGTGAATCGCTGACCACAACAGATACTGGAGATTCGGCTGCTTCTTCATCTTGGGAGCGCTGTGTGTCGGCATTGTCCTACCGTACAATAGTGCCACCCTGATCCACGTCCTCAACACCCAAGGCGGTTCCACGGGAGCGTCATCTCCCTACATTATCGCAATGCAAAATCTCGGTATCACAGGCCTGCCTCACCTCGTCAACGCACTGCTGTTGACAAGCATCTTCTCCGCGGGCAACTCTTACTGTTATATGGCGACCCGTTCACTGTACAGTCTCTCTCTCCAAGGCCAGGCACCCAGATTCTTGCAGGCAACGACCGCGAGCGGCGTCCCGTACTGGTGCTTCGCCATTACCATGGTATTCCCGTTCTTGAGCTTCTTGCAAGTCAGCAAGGGGTCGGCGACTGCGATCAAATGGCTCGTCAACCTTGTCACGGCCTCACAGGTGCTCAATTATGTCTTTATGGGGACAACGTACCTCTTCTTCTACCGTGCTCTGAAGGCGCAGGGCATTGACCGCAGAACACTCCCGTACCGAGGTATGTTGCAGACCCTCGTTCTCCATCGAGAGATATCTGTTGCTAATTCATATTCCAGGCTGGTGCCAACCGTACCTCAACTGCTTCGGCTTGGTCTTTGTTACCATCATTGTCTTCATCCAAGGCTACACGGTTTTCCTTCCCGGATTCTGGGACGTTGGGACCTTTTTCACCTACTACACCATGATTTTTGTATGCGCGGTCCTATATGTGGGATGGAAGTTGATCAAGAGAACGAAGGTCGTCAAACCGCATGAGGCAGACCTGGTGTGGGATAAGCCGGTCATCGACGCCTACGAACAGGGCATCGATCCGCCCTTGGGCATTTGGGAGGATGTTTGGACATCGGCTCTCGACATGTTCAAGATCAGGGGCAGAAAGCACAACGAAGGTGGTTCCGTATAAGAGACTTGAATGCTTGCCGAGAGGATGCAGATGGAGCAAAAGTAAAGTAAACAATGGACAATGTCGGCAAACGAAGACTCCCCTTCAAAGTAATACTTTAGCTGGACTCCTTATCAGCAGCTCTGTTTGTACCGTAGGTAGGCATGCACTACTTATCTTAGCCACGGGACTCTAGGGGTGAGTAGGCGGGCTCATAGGGCCTTTAAGTGGCTCGCCCGGCCACGATAGGCGCCAGATAAGCTTCTTAACCACTAGGAGTCACCCGAGGGCCTTTGGATCACCGTCATTGGGCGCAGGAACAACCCCTCTTCCAGCACCCCCAGACGCTTAGAGTACACCTACCCGGCAGAGAGAATCGAGCTGCATGTCCACAGCGCATCTTCATATGTCATCCAATTCGCCATGCTCTCACTCGGCCTTGATTTCTCTTCAGACTTTATAACACAGCGGGCTGCTCTTATTACAAGGCACACATGTGCATCCTGAGCCCACCGATAGCGCTCTTACACGGTCCACGCTGCCCAACATAGCGATTCTCTGATGCCCAAACCTGCTACCCTCCTTGCAAAAAGCACTTCAACCTTCCTATCTCCTGCTCCGACGGTTGAGGCGAGAAGCAATGAGGGAACATCCAGACGCAAGCAACCAAAAAGTCGCAATGGTACGAAAGTGCCCCTGTCCCGGCCAATATGGCACCAACATTAGGACCGCACCACCATGACAAACAATATCGACCACTTATTTCTTGAATAATCGCTGACGGGGCCGTTGTAGGGTGCGTGACCTGCAAGGCAAGGCGCGCGAAATGTGATGAGGACAAGCCAACATGTCGACAATGCGCCCGTCGAGGAGTGACCTGTGGCGGCTATCAAAAGTTCCTCAGATGGAAAGTCTTTGAACAGAGCAAGGATGGACGCTCCAACGGTGAAATTGTGTCCAGGAGACTGTCGCAACGTCGAGAGGTGCCAGCGATTTCAACAGATGATCAAACGACGAATGAAGTGGTGGGAGGTGACGTCCAGGCTAACGAGTCCAAACTACCCGATGGTCCTTCCAAAACAATCCAAGGGGACGACGGAGTGCCGGGACGGTCTAGCACACTCGCTGCAAGTCGTGGAGTTCTTGACAATGTCGAAATACCCCCGATTGAAATAGTAATGCCATCTTCGTTCGAACCAGACCATCAGAGGACGACGACAATATCTGGAGGGTCAATCGAATCCGCCAGTGCTCATGTCAATGCTCAAAGCACTTTTGGCAACAATGGAGTTCCCGTTTGTGAAACACTGTCATCGGTTGCAGACCACCTTGATGATGCTACCTATAACCTAGCATCCTGCGTTGCCGACCACTATCGCTTCCTGTCGATTTCTCCAGCAGATGCGAGTTCTTACGACCTATCACAGCTAGACGATTTGCTCCTACAAACGGACGGAAGTGGATTCGAATTGAATCATGATATCGAGTGGAACATGTCCGGGCTTGACGAGTTGCTGGAGTCGGCAGAGGCCGCGCTGGAGGAAGACTTTGGAAACATCGATTGGCAGATGAGCCTGTCCGAGCCACAGACCGAGTGCGCTTCCGAATTGCTGGGAAACGTTGTGGCACCTTCCCATTCTCTGGATCATAACAGCGGTGATAGCCTTCAAACAATATATCACCAGCCTCAGTCTCCTAGTGGTACTCCGGAAATGATACGGCATCTCTTTGAGCAGCAGACATGCACCATCCTCTCGATCAAAGATGACGAAACCAAGAATCCATGGCGAACGCTGGTCTGGCCCCTAGCATCTGGCTGTCCTGCTCTCTATCACGCACTTGCTGCAATGACGTGCTTGCACATGTGCAGGACTCAGTCGCAGCTCCGGGTCATTGGACTGCGGCATTTCCAGTCCGGTGAGCAAGCTCTCGTCAACAACGAGGACAACGGCAACATGCTTCTGGAAGCGGCCATTGCGACGAGATTGGCACTGGGCTTCGCAGAAACATGGGACTATCAGCAGTCGTCGACAGGAATTGACCACGTCAACCGTGCCAAGGCACTGATCCGACAAGCTGCTTCCAGACACCAGACATCGAGGTTTACCCCGGGAGATGTGAGCCGTCTGAGCTTTTTGGCGAATACATGCTTGTACATGGACGTTATTGCTCGGTTGGTATCTATGGCACCTCAAAGCTTCAACGACACCGCATTCATGACCGCCTGCACGTCGCTCAGCAGCGCTGTTCCCAGTGAACAGCAACTTGATCCACTCATGGGCTGCGCGATCACGCTTTTCCCGTTGATCGGCCAGCTGGGCGAGCTGGTCGGTCGCGTTCGACAGAGAACGGAGAAGCGCAATTCTCCGGCCATCATCTCCAAGGCGATAGAGCTAAGAATGGCGATAGAAGGCTGGGCTCCGCTGATAGACTCGGAGGGTGGAGTCGAACTGAACCCCAGTATCACCAATTCGATCCAAACGGCAGAGGCGTACCGATGGGCTTCGCTCTTGCTCCTCCGTCAAGCAGTCCCGGAACTCCCCTGGGTGCACTCGATCTGGGAGTTGGCGTCAAAGTGTCTCGTCTTCCTCGCGACCATTCCACTGTCGTCGCGTACGATCATTGTGCACATATTCCCGCTGATGATGGCAGGATGTGAAGCCTTCGACGAAGATGACAGAGCCTGGGTGCGCGAGCGCTGGGATCTCATGTCCAAACGCATGATCACAGGAATCGTGGACCGATGCAAAGAGATCACAATGGAGGTGTGGCGGAGAAGGGATGAATATGAATCGCGTTACGGCGTTGTATATGAGAAGTCGCCGTCCAGCCCGCCGTCGACTGCAGCTGGTCTACCAAAAGATGGTTCACCGATTCACGCGACGCCTGGTGCTTCAAGATCCGCCGGTGAAGTCACAGCTCGATTTGATGCAGACGCACGGTCTCGTTCAGCATCGACGGATTTCCCCGAGTCAGCTGCATTTAAGAAGGGCGTAGATCCAGTGACGCGAGCTGGATTCATCGACTATACGGTGAGGGGGAAGTTGCATTGGCTGACCGTTATGAAAGATTGGAATTGGGAGGGTAAGTCGTCTTTTATCTCCTCGCGTAGTAACATGCCGGCACCCTGCATGCAAAGCACCGCTCCCAACACTGATGATCTCCTGCAGTCATGCTTGGATGAAGAAGGCAGAGACCTCACCCAGCGGCGGTTCCCACATCGGAGGGCCTAGGACAAAATGCGTCCACTTCACCGGTGTGTATATCGGACCTTTGGCACTCGTGGCTCTTTTATCAATGCACGGACCGGGAATCGGCTTCTCGAGTTTCCCTCGTCAGTAGGTACGGTAAACGACACCGACACCGACACCGACACCGACACCGCCAAGCAGTAGCAGTAAGAGGAGGCCCGCACATTCTTTTTGCGGGAGCAGGTCACTTGGAAGACGGGCAAGAGGCGAGGTGGTGCGTCGACGCGCCTCTGGAAGCCAACCCGACGGACGAGCAGCCTTGTTTCGTTGCGAAGATGATTATGAGTAGTGTAGTGTAGGGGATAGGCTGCATTCCAAGAAACTGCGGTACCATGGTCCTCGTGTGGAATCCAGAGATTTTGACTTCTCGCTTCATGATGGACATAGCGCTATGGACTCGAAAAGACTCAACAAATCGTTTTGAAGCTTGAGAGCAGGCGCCCGTCACTCACCGCCGCGTGCCTACAAACAGGCAGCAGTCGCGTGAGGTCCGGTGGGCGTGAGGGTGGAGGAGCGGTGAAGAAAGGGTGAACTTGGTAGCCTGGCAGTGAGAACATCAGAGAGCAATGGGGGCAGATGTCGTGGCAAGCCAGTCTTTCAAGGCGCAGTTTCACTCTCGAGTGACTCTGGGCACACAACATGGCTTATAAACAGATCCAACTCTTCTCCAAGGCTTTGCGCAAGGCAAAGGAATCCATGATGAAAAGGGGTTTTGTTCGCGTCACAAGGCGGCAGTGTGAGGCCTCGGACACGGTGCTCGAGATGCTCCGTGCAAGCACAGAGAGTCTCGAGCGGCGTGCAAAAATAAATTTAATCAAAGTCAGACACACGTGGTGTCATTTCAGAGATTAAACTGAAAAGAACAGATACTACACTTGATCTAAGCCAGTTGGCAAAGCTGGGAAACAACAGTCAGCAAGAGATCAAATGTAGGGGGGTGAGGAGGGGTGGGACTCACAGAGCTGAGGAAAGGAAAAAGAAGAAAGAGAAGGAAAAGAAGGAGAGAGGGATCGAGGTTTATATAGTTGAAAAGGAGGACCGTGGTTGATGCCAAGCCGTGGTCTTTTCTGGGCTTGGCGCCCGGATCACGCACGGCGTCCTCCGATTGGCTGGCGCCGGCTGCAAGGGCGCAGGACGAAAAAAAAGATTCCGACTCCCTCCTCCGACATGTCCTCACAGCGACCATAATTCGGCGACGAAGATACAAAAACCCAAACCAGCACGGTAATACCTTTTGCCTGCCTACATATAGTCCTGACCGTCACATCCTGTGTTGGAGCTAGAATCCCGTTCGGTGTTCTCCTGGTCGAAAGACCATGCCTCTGCCATAAATCTCACCCTGCACCCTGCCCTCGCCCTTCCCCCGCCATGAGTCAAAGTAACCCTACGCCGAAACCCCCTTCTCTAGACCACGGCAACAGCGTCCCTCCTCCCGCGCCCTTGCACCCAAAACCTCGCTCCGCCGTCCCTTCGTACTTGTTGAATGGTTCTTCCCCTCTGCACCGTTCCCAGACGACGACCACTCGCGCGCAGGAACGAGAGAACCTCGCTTCTTCCATCAAAGCCACGTACGGCCGCCGGAGAACCATAGACCTCACGGCCGAAGCTCAAACGGCGTCGCAAGCCACCATGCCGAGCGGGACATCATGGCTGGGCCTAGAGAGTGCGCAAAAGGAGACCGACCCGAAACGGGCTCCCCCACTACACACCCCGGCTCGAGACGAGCGAGACGAAGCGCCGCCCACCCCTCCTGCCTCGACGGTGTCGCGTCCTGCAAGCCCATACACACTCAATCCACCCATCGACTTTGACGGCCTTTCCTGGCCGTGCATCGGCACCCGCGAACGCCTCGATCAGACCCCGGAACAGGCACAGGTCCGCCTGGACAAACTCGCAGGAGCGGTCAGGACGATATTCGAGTGTATTGGCGAAGACCCGGACCGAGAGGGGCTGCGAGACACTCCGGAGAGATACGCGAAGGCGCTGATGTATTTCACAAAGGGCTACGAGGAGAACGTGCGGGACCTGGTCAACGGGGCAGTGTTTCACGAGGACCACGACGAATTGGTGATCGTCAAGGACATCGAAGTGTTCAGCCTATGCGAACATCACATGGTGCCGTTTATCGGGAAGATGCATATTGGGTATATCCCCAACCGGCGCGTGCTCGGGCTATCCAAGCTGGCTCGGTTGGCGGAGATGTTCTCGCGCCGATTGCAGGTGCAAGAGCGGCTGACGAAACAAGTCGCGCTGGCGATCGCCGAAGTGCTGAAACCACAGGGCGTCGCGGTCGTCATGGAGAGCAGCCATCTTTGCATGGTGATGAGAGGCGTGCAGAAGACCAGCAGCTCCACGACGACGAGCTGCATGCTGGGCGCCATGAGGAGCAGTGCCAAAACACGAGAGGAGTTCCTGAGCCTGTTGAACCGGAAGTGAAGGTCCGTGGGGGGGCTGCATGATTTGGATTGGGATGGAGGAGAGGCTTTTGGGCCCCCTTTTTGTTTGACATTATTATGACGAGAGACGTTGGATGTCTGGAAAACGAGGGAGGCGCTTTGGGCGAAATCTTCAACACAAAAATTTGGGAATGGTGTAACCTCAACTCAACGGCGGTTAAACTGACTGACTGATCTTGATTACCAAAGGTGAACAGTACTCCGTACTGATCGGTGGATATATAGGGGAGCTCTGCTACCCTGGTAAATATGGATGTGTATGGAGCTTTGTGTTGCCGTGCTGTTTGGATACGGGCTCCGATCTCGTTCTCTGCTGGGGATCCGGGGCAACTCCCTCAGCGGAACAGTCTCGCATTGCCCATACAAGTACATAAGTTATTATTTGCTACACATGATCCATCTTAAGCCCAGTCTGCGCATTCTGCATGGCTCGGATATTCTGTGTCTCTCTTGCAAGTATTTCAGGACGTTTTTCATCAAGTCATAAATTGTAGCCCTCCTAGTAGCGTCCTCTATCCGGAGGGAGTAATATTTATCACCTGTACTTCGCCGTCGAATCAATCTTCAGCAACGGCCGCCTACTCGATACAAACGAGGCATGACTGATCCTGCCCTCTGGCCCATCCTTGAACTCAACCACACCCCACTTGACCGGCACGTAGATCGCGGTTTGGTCGACAATCTCCTCGTAGGGATGCACCGCCGCGCTCAATGCCAGACTGCAGCTGCTCGCCAGCGGCATCGGGGGCTTCAGCGTCTGGAGTCCCAGCAGGAGGGTCGCGATGACGAGCACGCCGCCCATGACGGCGCTTGCGATGGTTGCCAGCGGCGAGAACACCAGGTCCGCCGTGCCGAAGTCCAGGGCCTGCGAGTCTGTGCTGGGGGCGGTCACTTTGATGGGAATGATGGACTGGGAGACGCACCAGTGCAGGAGCGCCGTGATGGAGATGGTCGGGATCGCGTAGTTGTAGGGCATGCCCAGCAGATATGTCCCGTCTTGGGACCCAACAGCCTCACTGACGCGGAGCCGCTGGCTCTTGGGGGCGAATTGGGCGTAGTCAGCAGCTTGCGTCATTTCCACCATGGCTGCATTCGTGACGAGCGTGATGAAGGCCAAGAACACTTGCGGGATGTTCGAAACAAATGCCAGCGAGGTCACGGAACCACTCTCGTTCATGTCCAGTTCGCCAGATACTGTCGTACTTCCGAACCCCAAGTTCCAAAGACTGCGCCAGGAGATGGGAAGCCGGCGGTCATGACGGACAATATAGAGTGCATATCCGGTAATGATGCCAACCAGCACGAGGCCACCAATAAAGATGCCGATGAGAATAAGAAGCCGTCTTCTGTTCATGGACTGGAACCATCTTCGTGGAGTAACGTAGATGGGCATGGGTTTACCGCGATTGGTCCAAAAGTATTCAAGTCGCATCTTTTCAGCCATGCACATTCCGTGTGAGAACTCGTCTTCGGCCTGCAAATAGCTTGCAATGACATCTCCATGGACAGCAAGAGTCCTGCGTGTGATCGGCCACAGAACGGTCAAAGTGAAGATCATGAGAGCGAGCAAAAGAGCGTTGCACACAATCATGATCGTCATGAGGACAATATCCAGATTCAGAGAGCAGTCCAGATCGACTTCCCGAGCAAGGCAGTATTTGATGTGGTAGCCGTAAGTTGTCCAATTCCCAAGATCTTTCTTGATTGAATCGAAATCGCAGACTGGTGAGTAGTCGAAGAGATCTTCGGCTTCGTGTTCGTTGGTGACAGGAGGCGAGCAGAGGAACGAGGAGGAGGAAGACAGGTAGAGGTCCCACAGAAGCAGGGAGTTGGTGACAGTCTCGTGCGAGCTGACCATGATGAGATCCGAGTATTTGGATGGGTAAATATTCGAATACGTGTCGATGCAGTCTCCAGGGTCGAGAACAGCGTAGCTTGAGGCATGCGCCTGCATACTTTGGATCTTATCAGCTGCAGGCTGCTCGATCGAGGGCTCTACCACGTATTGAAGAGGTATGTTGGTCATGTCATATGCTGCTCCAGTTAGGAAGTCGTCCGACACGATCAGGTAGTAGAAGCTTGTAGAATTCAAGTTCACCCAGAGGACTGAATTGTACCTAACACGGGTTGGTCAGCAGGATTGTACAGCATCCAGATCCCCAAACCCACATGATGTGTATCGGAAAGGACAGCAAGTAGATAATTATACACATGTACTTGCGTTTCCAACCGATGTATTTGAGATTACGGATGCTTGGAACGCCAATATCGAACCAAGCGCCCACTCGGTGTGCTCGATCCAGATCTTCTCGACTGGGCGATGACAAGGCCGTGATGAAACCACCCACAGCAGCCAATGCAAGGATACCGAGCATGTTAATGAGTGCATGAAGGCCCACGTCAAGTTTTTTGATAGTGGTGCACTGATCCTGCGCGACCAGAAGTGAGCCCGAAATGGAGGGTCCGCGCTTGGCTGAGTAGATCAGAACGGCCACGTTGAGGATCAGAATGATAGCCACACAAGTCGCCAAGAAGCGAAGACTGACAGTGCGACCAGATAGATATTTCTGTTTGAAGGTCTTGCTCAACCGCAGATCATCCTCCGCCGTTTCTTCTTCTGCCAGGTCAGGCTGCTTCGCCCCACCCCACAGCAGGAAGCTGGTGCTGCGCCGTGCTCCTGATGTTGCATCTTCCTGAGATCCATGCAGGATAGTCTCTAGGAGAGGGGTATTAGGCAAAAGGTGCGCGGCTTCTGATGTGCGAGAGGACTGTGGAACGCTCGCAAAGGATCCTGTCGGTGGATCGCCTCGTGGTGGGATGGAGGTCGAGTCAATATTGTGATCTCCTGTGATGGTTGCGCTCTCACTGGATCGCCCTATAGCTTTCCGTCGAAGGTGTGAAGATGTCCCTACACTGCGAAGTGGGATGCCGGAAGCACTGTTCTCGTTGCCTCCACCGGGCTGTTCGCTCAGTTGACGTGAAGTGAGAGCCGTGTACCGTATGCCTGGATTTGCCATGTGCGTCCGCAGGCGCTCTCTGGCGCAAAGCTCTGCGAGACAGAAAACAATTGCATGGTAAGGGAGCCGCAAACCTTTTTCAGCTTGGCCGACAGGCTTCCAGACGCCAAAGCCTCGACACAGGTGACAGCCTCATCGGCCATTGAGTATCAAGACCATTGACTCGTAGGCTGAAACGCAGCTAATCATTATCCAAGTGGCGTAATCTAGGCCTACCTTCAACGCGTCAAATTGTTCAGCCCTTGGAGAAAGAAACTCGCTGAACAATGGCAGCGACATTGTCACGTACTTCCTAAAGGACCATGATATGTTTGGGCCGCGGCGGCTGAGATGAGCAGCAACGACTGGTATTGGGAAAATCGAAGATGGAAGACCAAGAAATAAGCGGCCTTGGTGCTTGGTATGGACGTGTTAAAAGCGGCCGTTAGTAACCACTCCTTTTAGCCCAGACAATTACATAGGAGGGAGGGGTATATAAAAGCGGCAATGTGAGCTCCAAGCGGGTTTTACCAAGCCGTCGAGCCCGTATAGTAACGCAGTTGGAGCAATACTCACAGACCACAGAACTGGATACGCGCCGAGCACGAAGTACGAGGTACCTATGTGCCTGCAACTTGTTGGGTACGGGTCCCTGTGAGGCTGGTGGTTCTCCCTAGACAACTCGAGGTCGCTTGTGACCTGTTGTCCATCCTGCGTCCTGCATTCGACCACTCGACAGCAAACAGAGCGTAGACGATGCAGATGATGTCTTCGTTGACAGTAAGGTCTTCTCCTTCCACTCTCCCTCTCCCGTCGACTCTCATACCATCCTCCTACAAAGAACGTCCTGCGTACCTTGCTATAACCTAGAGCGTGCTCCCAATCCGCCAGCACCATCATGAGCCCTTCACCACCGAAACTACCCGCTGTCCTGGTGAACAACATCACCTCGCACGCAGGCCCAATTAACGCCATCACATTCTCCTCTCTCGGCGGCACCTACGTCCTCACCGGCAGCTCCGACCGACAAGTCCACCTGACCCGCACCGAGCCGTCTAAGCCTGAGAACCCTTTGTCCGTACCGATCCAGAAATACTCCGCCCACGGCTACCCCATTCTCGACATCGCCTGTGCACAAGACAACCAGACCTTTGCATCGGTGGGTGGCGATCGCGCCGTGTTTCTCTGGGACGTCCAGGCCGCAGATGGCACGCTGAGGAGATTCGGGAACAATACCACACAGGGACACAGCAGCCGGATCACCTGCGTGGCGTTCGCTGGAGACGGGGACAGTGTACTCGCGAGCGGGAGTGATGACACCAGCGTGAGGCTGTGGGATGTCAAGAGCCGGGACGCACGGCCACTCATGGTTCTCGAAGAGGCAAAAGACGGCATCTCGAGCGTCGTGGTACCGGGCAACGGACACGAGGTCGTAGCAGGTAGCATTGACGGCAGGGTGCGATCCTACGATATCCGCACGGGCAAGGTGACGGTGGATGTGATGCCCGGGAGTGTGACCAGCCTGGACCTCTCGAGAGACGCAAGAACGATGCTTGTGGGATGCCTCGACGGGAGGATCCGACTGATGGATCGAGGGGACGGGACGTGTCTGAGGGCTTTCCCTCCCGAGGACGCCAGGGAAGGGTACAAAAACGAGAGTCTCAGGTTGAGGAGCTGTCTCGGCGCAAACGACGCCTTGGTGCTGAGTGGTAGCGAGAGCGACGGCAGTGTGCGCGCTTGGGATGTCCTCTCCGGCAAGAGCGTGGGGAGTGTCCGAGTCAGTGAATCTGACAGGGTGGTGAGCGTCGTGAGATGGAGGGAAGGCAGCCTAGGGCAGGCACGACAGAGTCTATGGGCTGGTGGAGGTGCTGATGGCGTAGTCAAGATCTACGGCGCTGGATGACAGGCCCATGTAAGCACGCAGGTATTGGTGTTTATACTGTCTGAAAGCTTTTTTGAGTCCTTCCAAACACCCTTTCGTCTCAAGGACGTCAGGAAAAGGGGGACTAAATACCAAGGGAGAGAAAGAGAGATATAATAGAAAAGGTAGAAATAACTTTTTCCGCCGCGTCGAAAGATCCCGGTCGCATCATCCCATGCCTGCTGGACGACGAGCGACGAGCAAGACGCTTGTCTCGTTCCCTTCCGATGCCTTCTTCCATGTGCTGAATGCCCTTTTTCTTTCGTCCTCCGGAGTTAATGCAGATCATGAGCCATGGTGCTCAGGGCGGCAACAATCCTGGCTTGGGTTTTTCCTCCTCGAACTCACTGGCCTCAGTCTCTCTCAAGCGCTCGCCCTCACCCTCCCTTGTGGGCTCAGATTAGTGGCTCTCCTGGAGAGGACGGAACGAACCAGTCGTAACCATCCAATCCACATTCACGCACGCACACGCTCGCGCTCACGGTCGATCCGCATCTCCGACCCTCTTCATCCCGTAGTCGAGCGCCTCGAGCGCCTTGTGGAGCTGAGAGGCGCGGACGATGACGGTGCCGGCTCGGGCGGTGCTGAGGAAGGAGATCTCGACGGGCTCGTCGTGAGCACGGGTCCCAGCCTCGGCCATCGCGGGTGTCGTCGCCGTCGTCGTGCTGCCGCTTGGGCCGGGCGGGTTGAAGCCCAGAACGACCTCTTCGTCCGGGAGGTCGGTGCTGCCTTGGGCCAGCCGGCCGGCCACGCCGCAGACGATGCCCGTGGCGTCGAGTGGGAGGTCGCGCAGGTCGAGCGTGATGGGGACCAGGGCGTCGTCGTCGGATTTGGCGCCCAGCAGGGACCCACCCAGGCGGTCGAGCAGTCGGTGCTCCAGGAGGATCGAGATGGGTTCGCCCGCGGTGATGGTCAGGGAGAGGAATTTGGCGCCAAAGTCCAACTCAGCCGACGGCGCCGCCAGGGGTGTTGGAGTGCTGCTGCTGCTGCCGCCAAGGCCCAGGCTCAGCCCGGTCGGCGAGATCATGGCCGGCTGTCTGGAGATGCTCGTGCTCGTGCTCGTGCTGGTGGGCGCCGCCGTGGCGAGCAGGACCTGCAGGAGGTCGTTCTTGAGCCGCTCTTCACTCGCCTTGTTGTACTCGCGGCTGCCGGCGCAGTTTGCCAGACGGATGTTACCGTCGACAAAGGGCGTGATGTTGTTCCGCTTGAGCTTCCTGAACGTGCGGAGCTGGAGTTCGGGGATGTCTTTGGCCGGCGGCGTGGTGGGCGCCGAGTTGTCGTAGAACGGTGAGGGCGATGGTCTCGCACCGCCTTGAAGCAAGGTGGGAGATGCTGGTGAAAGTTGTGACACGAAGGCGTCGGCGGCCTTGGAGAAGACGAACCCCCGCTGTTGGAGGGCTCTGGTGACGGTGCCTCGTGACCGGAAGGGAACAAGGATGTAGTCGGAGAAATAGGTCGTGATGAAGAAAATGCTTCTACAATAGTTGGGATCATGGAATCAAGATCAGTTGATGATTCATTAGAACTGAAAACAAACACCTTTTTGGGGGGGGGAGACATACATTCCAGCCATGGCTAGTGGCGACGTCAACTCCAGCACTCTCTGACCAGCGTCAAGGCCCTGTCCGTCGACTTGAATGACTGTATAGTCTTCGTTCCAGATTTGGATTTCCCCCTTCGACTTGCCCTTCTTGTTGCTGGCGTACAAGCTGTTGAGGACCTCGGCTACCGGGCGCACGAACCGGTCTGCAAGATGTCGCGAGCATATAATGGAGCATTCGATTGCAGTGATGGAGACATTGAGAAAATCATGGCGGTTGGTCCAAGAAATCTTTGCGGCGTCCTCGTCGTGGTCTTCCCCGAACAGAAGCCGGAGAATAGGCTGGAGGGATAAGGCATACAGTTCGATAGGGATATGGATTAGAGCGAGATGTGCTTCCTGGAGGGGGAAATAAGCGGATGTAGAGTTGGAAAATAATGGTTCTCAACAGGGCAAGGCAGAGCCTGATGCATGCTGGATCTTCTTATATACACAACCAGGACAATAGCCGGAAGGGCTTACCAAGAATGATATCTGCGCTGAGATCAGGTTCATCGAGTCCGTCATGTTTGATGTTGACTCTAGTAGACTCTAGTATTCCGTGACTTCTGGGGGGGGAATGAGAGCGATGGCGACAGGTCGTAGGCAACCGGTCAAAGTATCAGGCTCGGGCCTTGTTGTGTGTGATGTCTAGTCCAATGGAGCCTCGAAGTGGCGGAGCCTTCTTTCGGGGCTTTCTCAGGATCCAATATCCCTTCTTGGACTTGGAGAAGAGACCAAAAGGCAACTTCGTGTTGGCTTCGACTTGCCTTGGCCAGCGCCAGCCGCGGATGGGTCTTCACTTGACAATCGAGGGAGAGCGATACAGAGTCACAATTACAACCGCCATGGTGGTTTGTCTGCCCAAAAATTGTTGAGGTTGGACCAAGGCTCGATGCGGAAGAGACAGGAAAGGGAACAAGAGATATCCACAAAGTCAGATGATGAGAGAAATGGAGGCGGCTGTCACTGCGAGAAAGCGTGATCCTAGCCCGGACCGCAGCATCAAGCTGATTGGTAAGGGAATTGTAGCGGAGCCAATGCTTGACTAGGCCTCATGAGATAACAAATGGGGGAGAAATGGGAACTCGTCAATATCAATGGGTTTGGTGATCTGTATCGTGGATTGCTGTGAGTCTTGGGAGCTGATAATAGAGTCACACAGCATGGTTCGTGCGCCGGAATCTGCTCTCCGCACCCTAACCAAGCAGGAGGAACAAAACCCCAATGCTAGCCTGCCACGGAGGGAGTCAAACGGGTTTCAATGGGGTCTGTCAATGTCGAAGCCCGGGTCATGTGTTTTATCTCGAAAGAGCAGGCAGTAAAAGCCCGTCGGCAAGGGGTTGGCGGCAGCACGGCAGCATGTCATCGTGGATAGAGACTGTGGGGATGGATGGTGGCATCAACTTGAACGTTGGAAACAATAGCCCACCAGCAAGAAAACGTGTCTGACGCTCGATAGCGTGGGGGTAGCAAGGGACTCGGTTGAGGGGTTTGACGAGCAGATCTGACGTGGTGCCAGAGCCTGGCGTGGAGAGGCAGCCAGGAACGCAACACCTGGATCGAATCAGCTTGAAAGAGCGCCACCGGGAAACGAGGGGGTCACACTGTCCTGGGAACGGGAGATATGCAGCCCGAGTCGAAGAGTTCGGGCGAGTGTGAACCTTTTCGCCACATTGCCCCTCGGCGAAGCATAAGACCTCAAGGCGGGGCCTTTGCAGAACTCGCGAAAGCTGGAACAGGAAACTCGTGCTCCGTAGTTAGTAAGGCAAACGGCCCATCAGATGACGTGCATTTCAAGCGTCGGACCTTAACGTACATCCAGGGGGGAGCAGGAACTTGCATAGAGACAGGCAAACAAGGACACATTGTCGCGAGGATCTGGAGACTGAAGGATTGGTTGCAATCGATCCCATCGTCCCCCCATTCGCATCTATGGCTTTTCTTCGGGTGCGCCGCGCTTCTCATGGCGATCGTTTCCGCAACCTCGTATTCTGAACTCGCCTTTCCGTTCCAGCATGTGCCAGTTGGTTTGACGGACTGGAGGAGTACCGGACGCTTCGAACTGCGGGGCTCTGCGTTGCATAGCGAGCTTGCAAGGATCGCTAGCCTTGCTCGGAAAGGCTCAATCGCCCACGACTCCATCCGGTCCGCTGCATTCAACTGGAGCGATAACATCGGCTTCCTCCGTGTGACTGAAACCCTTTACTCACTAATATCTCTTGCAGCCCAAACTTGCACCACCACATGCTCTTGACGACAAAACCATACACCTGTTCAAGACCGACAGACCTTCGCTAATCATACGGATTTGCAGACCGGTAGGTGCCATCACCTCATGATCCTCCCCGCGGCGTTGCACCTCGTCCTCCTCTAGACGTACCACCTCGTCCTCGACCACGGCCTCGTGGGGTGGCAGGAAGGTTCAAGCTGGCCGGTGGAGGTACATTGTTCTGCGCTTTGGGCCGGAAATTGGGATTGTTCTGGACAACACCAGCTTGAGCATCGCCTCGGTCGACAATTGTGTACCCTCCTCGAGCGCTGACATGGCCCATCGCTGCGCGGCCACCACGACCATACTGACCATTTGTCGCATTGCCGCGGTTACCGTTGACAGGTGAGCTTGACATGTTCCGGATTGGCATTGAAGTCCCCGTCATTTGGCCCCGGCCTGACGTGCCGTTCGTTTGCCCCCGCCCACCGGACGGATGTCCAGATACAGCTCCGCGCCATGTACCTCTCAATGCTGGAGGCGTTCCGGCTGGGCGTAATTGACCTGGGCCTCCGATCCCAGGTTGACCATAACCTGGCACAGTGAGAGGAGAATGCGCACTGCCATTTGTCTGTCGATTCGCGCTTGCTTTTGATGAAGCAAGTACTTGTCGATTGCTGAGATTCAAAACAGACCATGTTGGCACGGTGGATCCGCGGAATGGTGAGCAACGATCTCCCAACGACGTCCCACTCATAAAAGAGACGTCGAAGACAATATCAAGCCAAGTTTCCCTTGTAGTTTGGGTCAAGCCAACAACAGTTCCTTTCGAGGCAATTGGAACTTTGCCAGAGTCAGCCACGTAGATCACCCTGTCTCCGAGACTAAATTTCTGATTTCCAAGCCGCCATTGCGCATCCGAGGGCTTCAAAAGTCCATTACGAGGAACTCCTCCGATAGTTTTGTTGTAAGGAGGCGGTTCAGAGCGAAGTGCCTCGTCCGCAGCTTGCTCGATACGCTTCACAATCTCCGAGTCCAACTGCTCGGCTTCGAGAGGGACCTTCTCGAAGCTCTTTGATTCAATCTCTTTCAACCATGCTTGTATCTCTTTGACTTTTGCTTTGGCCTGCTGTTCGTCGCCGGGGAAGTATGCTGTCGCAGGTAACATGTCACCTTGCGGGTTCTTGTGGATGCCAGCGATGAACTGCGGAAATTTGATCATATACTGCTGGATCAGTTCGATAGCTGCCCGGCTGAACTCCCACCCGCTCGAGCCTTTGCGCGAATAGCCTAGAACTTTGAGCTTTTTGGCTTCAAACTTGAGGTTGAGGCCTAGATTCACTCTAGTCCCTTCCACCGTGATGGAAAAGGAAGAGGTGATCTTTGCCAATGCCAGTGGATTCAGGTTAAGGCTCTGGGCAACCTGGTATGAAGGCGTATATGGTGACAGTCTTTCTGCTTGACGGGCGATTTCGCGCCCAAACTCCACCTGGCGCGCTTTCGAGAGTGCAATCAAGCATTTTGCCTTTCCGTTTTCATGGCCAATCACACTGACAGGGCGTCCATAAGCGTAATCGCCGAGGAAGAAGGCGTTAGTACCGTCTGGAAATTCTTCTTCAATGGCCACAGCCGCTTGCTCAATGAAACGGACGTCTTCGCTGACCACATTTTCGACTAAAAGCTGCGTCGCATGGATAGTGTCCAGACCTGGAAGCTCGGCGAATTCCTTGACTGTCGATCCATCGTCCAGTTTCTTGAGTCCCTTGAGCATCTCAACCTGGACGAGAGATTCCACTTCGCCAATCAACATTCCGAGTCTCTTGCTGTAGTATTTCTCAATTCGATCTGCCTTCTTCCGGAACTGGTCAATTTCGTTCCCAGAATGCTCAATCTCCCTGATATGATGAGGCACGCTCTCCCCATTATCCGCCATGACGTAGTCGAAAAGTTCGTCTGAAACCTTGACAATCTTTGCTTCTTGCAAGAATGGATATCCCACAAAGACACGCCTATTCAAAAGAACTTTGGCGTACTCCACGTTGGTTCTTGTCTCTGTGCCTGACAAAGTGATGATCATGCTCTCATTTCGACTGTCTTGCTGGAATACATTTACACCGTGGAATCCCAACGAGCCGGTAAACGGCAAGGTTTTCAGACTGGGGAAGCCTGCCAAAGCTGCGACACCAAGTTTGACGCCGTCCACCAGACCCACGTACGGCTCCAGGCCATCCATGGTAGGAAGTTCAAATTCATTTTGGATGCAATGGCAATGTGGTAGATCTGGGAAGATTCCGACAAGCGAAGAAGGATAAGTGTAGTCGACTTCTGGAGAATACGTGAATTTCAGACTGACCCCGAAATCATTGCGAAGGCGTTCGTCATCGGACAGCAAAGCATCTTTAGGAGCCATAGCATCGAGAAGCCGCCGCTCATCAATAAACGGGATCTTGACGACAGCTTCCCATTCCTGTTTCTTGCCGTTCATGTCGAGCTCAAAATCTCGTGGATAGAAGTCGATAATGGGTGAGTCTTTCGACGTCATCAGGTCATGGTAAACTTCTGGGACAATTTTCTTGCTTCGATCCGGAAGAACGCCCATCAGCTGCTGAAATGGCCGAAACGGTTGACCGAGATGGAAGTTCATGTCCGCACCCAGGCCTCTCTTGACATCCGAGATCATTGGCGAGTAGTGATATTGATAAAACCAGGGCCACGAAGCAACGCCACGATAATAATAGAAAAGGACCCATTGCAGGCCCTGCACATAGTTTTCCGACAACTTCCTCAAGGCTTCTTCATTCTCGAGGCCCCAGCCGAACTTTTCTTTGTAGTATTGATCTTTCCACTCCTGGAACTTCTGGTCGTATTTCTTCTGCATGTCTTGTTGGGCTTGCTCATTGGTGCTTTCTTCGACTTTCGCGTTCTCGTATCGCTTCAAGACCCGCATTATGGCTAATTCTGATTCTTCCTCTTCCTCATCCGATTCCGCCTGTTCCCCCTTGGCAGGAAATTCCAACTGAAGGAAGCGGTTGCCGTTGCCGTCTTCCTTTGTGGACCACTGCAGGTGCAAGTCGGTCGCAAGCTGCTGTACAAATTTGCGATCCCGTGCTGGAAGTGTGGAAGGTAGGTTTAGTGGCTGTCTCGTCGTAGGGTCGCTGTTGACGGGTGACACAAAGTACTTCTTCACCTCCCTGAAGAGCTTCTTCTGTTCAGGAGAGACTCTGATAGGGCCACGGGAAGTTGTCAGTGGCTCGTCTGCGTTCTGCCCATTCCGCTTCGCATCGATCCACTTGGCCCCGGCATATTCTGCCTCAAAGAAACGATCCTCCACTTCCGCCAACTCATTCAAAAGGACCTCCAATCGCTGCAGATTGATCACACCATGCTCGTTGATGTAACCGCCCAGTGTTGGGAGAATTTGTTTGTATTTTTGGAACATAAGCGCCAGCGCTCCTTCGTTGATGTGCAGGTTGGGGAGGTTGGGTAAGAAATCGTTTCCCACAAAGAAAGCCATCAGAATGAAGTCGTCAATGATTCGTTCCATATCATAATCAAAATCAAGGGTGCCCTCTTGCTTTAGGTCTTGGAATTCCAACTCCAGGTATTCTCGGACAATGCAAAGATGCATGAGGTAGAAGTTCTGATGCTCCAATTCCTTGGATTTCTTCTGGGACTGTCTCCCAAAAGTAACCTCCTCGCGAAGCAAGCAGAAATGAGGGTCGTGGCTGAGAAGACCCAACATGATCAAATCAGCATCCAGTCCGTACAGACAGTGGCGCACATTGGGGTCATAACCAGGTTGCGCTTTGGCTTGTCGGATGTACTCCATGATTTTGTGTTCTCCCTCGCCAGGGACTTCATGGCCAGACAGGACGACCTCGACGCCTTGCCAATCGACGTCTTCAGAGACCTTTTTGCTGATGAAATATTTGAGCTGTTTGGTAAGTCTTGCCATGAACTCGGTGCCGGGGGTAATGCAGTTGCTGTCAAAGGGGTCTTCTTTGGGCAACTCCACGCCTTCTTTAATAGCCTTTTCGCGAGCCTTTTCTGCATCAAGTGCGGTACGGAAGCGGCGTGAGCGCTGCTGGTTCATCTTGGCGCGGGGCGCCACTCCATCGACGGCCATGAAAAACAGCTTTTTGGGTTTAATTTTGCCAAAAAGGTGCTCTATATAGTTGAAGATGGCAATGAACATCTTGTCCTCCGTCATTCGGAAAGAGGGCGAGTCCGAGTCTTTGTGCGTACAATTGTGAATGATGCCATTCATGTCGAGGTAAAGACAGTCGAATTCAGGAATGCGGTTTTCGGCAATCAGCTGTGATATCGCAGGGTATCGTTCGCTGAGCCATCGAAAGAATTTGGGGACACCCATGGTGGCGGTGGGCGCAGATCCAAACGAGGTTTCTTGATATCGATGAAAAAGAGAATGTGTACCAAGCCGCCACTCGCTGAATTTCACATACGATAGGCGCTAGTCGTAGATATGCAGGAGAGAAGGTAGTTTATCCTGCAGAGATGACCTCTATTTGAGAATAAATGATGTTTATGCGGAATCGATGATGAGTTGAGGCTCGATGTCGAGGATCTGGCGGCAACGAGATCGGCTTCGGCCATTTTGGGGTCTTGGCGCCCTAGCCCTTTTGGGCGGGTCACTTAACGCGTCGGTTCAAGTGCGGTTCTGAAGTCTAGAGCGGGCGCGTCTTTTAATCAAGAGCTTGAAGGGGGACTGCAAAGCTATTCTAGTCTTATAAACCATCCTTGCCGCCGATTCACTCTCCTCACATTGAGATAGTCCTCACCCTTCTCGAGTTCCCTACGCTCTCATCTCGAACCAGACAAAATGGCGGAGGACGACGAGAATAGTAAGGCGGCCTTGTTCAGAGCGCAGCTCCCTTTGCTAACCACGGTCCATATTCAGTGAGCGACCAAGAGTTGAACAACGAAGACGCCGAGACTGAATCGAAAATCATCAATGAAGAATACAAGACATGGAAGAAGAACGCTCCTTTTCTATATGACATGATCCTCAGTACGGCCCTGGACTGGCCCACCCTAACCACTCAGTGGTTCCCAGATGTGACAGCGTAAGTAACCTGCTCTACTCGGTCGGTCCTGTCTAGTGGCTAAGACATTCAGGGTTCCTGACACCAACTACTCCAAACACCGCCTCTTGATAGGCACACATACGGCTGAAGGTCAACCGAACTACCTACAAGTGGCCAGCGTCCAATTACCCGATCACAAGGAAGCCGACGTGGAGGATTACAATGAAGAGACAGGAGAAATTGGTGGGTATGGCGGAGGCCCATCGGGCAGAAATCAAATTGAAGTCAAGTTCAATATTGTCCAGAAAATTGACCATCCTGGGGAGGTCAACAAGGCACGATATCAGCCACAGAATCCGAATGTCATCGCGACCATGTGCACCGATGGGCGAGTCATGATATGGGACAGGTCGAAACTCCCTGGCCTGCCTTCAGGAAGGCCTAATCCTACAATAGAGCTTAGTGGGCACACCAAGGAAGGCTACGGTCTCAGTTGGGATCCTCACCAGTCGGGCCAATTGGCCACAGCCAGCGAAGACCATACAGTCCGACTGTGGGACATCACGCAGGCATCGAAAACCAACAAGTTGCTCCACGAGTCTCGCCGATACACACACCACAGCTCGATAGTGAATGACGTACAATTTCATCCCATCCTCCCAAATCTGCTGGGAACTGTATCGGACGATATCACCATGCAGCTTCTGGATCTGAGACAGCCTAACACTGAGCGAGCTGCCGCTAAGTGTGAGAGGCAGCATCGGGATGCGGTCAACGCCCTTGCGTTCAACCTTTCAATAGAGACTTTGGTTGCGACTGGAAGTGCCGACAAGACGATTGCCATCTGGGACCTGCGGAAGCTCACGGACAAGTTGCACGTTCTCGAAGGGCACAATGACAGTGTGACGACACTAGAATGGCATCCATTTGAAGAGTCGGTTCTCGCATCCAGCAGTTACGATCGAAGGATAATTTGTTGGGATTTGGAAAAAGTCGGCGATGAGCAGGCCCCTGAAGACAGTGAAGACGGTTCCCCAGAGCTTCTTTTCATGCACGGAGGACATACCAACCGGATCAGCGATTTCTCATGGAACAAAAACATCCCATGGGTGGTTTGCAGTGCAGCGGATGACAATCTGATCCAGGTGTGGAAGCCGTCAGAGGCGATTGTTTGTCCTGATGAAGAAGATGTCGCAATGAATGAGCTGGAAGGCTGAGTGGAAATAGTAAAGAGTGATGAGGGGTCTGGCTTGGGTCCTCTGGTCTGAAATCGAGGCTTATCGTGCACAGACGCTGGTTTGAACTAAACCTGGGCCTCTTTTGGTGTGCCATACCGTCCTTTGCCTTGAGCATGGTTTGGTGCCAGCGCAGTCTGTCTTTGCAATATGGGCATGGTCGAGACCTCCGAGGCTACTGAGAGTATGACACAAGAGCTATGGGTTGCCTTTGCTGAGCCAGTTCCGACGAAACCAGCACCACGAGGCGCGGTTCAGCTAGTAAAAGCAAAGGAAGGGAAATGTTCAGTTGGTTTCTCGCGGTGTATGGCGTATCTGGTACATGCCCATACCTACCTATGCAGTTGGTGTGTGGCTGCGGCAGCGGGATTGTCCGTGCAGGCGCATAGCGAGGGGGCAAAGGGCGGCAGCGGGCATTGGCCAGTACTCGTAACTGCAGGTGTGCAATTGTGGGCTTCTGGACTTGTGGGCTCCTCAGTTAAAGCTGCGCCACGATGGGCGCCTGGAACCGCTTATCCAAAACGCTTAGTACTGGCGTTCCTGCTCCCTGGACTCCTTGAGCTGCTGGGCTGCTGGGCTGCTGGGCTTCTCTGCCACACTTGGTGCTGGGCTTGTCGTCATAGCTGATCGACTCTCCTTCGTTGTCCTCAATGCCCTGCACTCCCTGGGCCGTGGAGCCGTTTCCCGTGGTTCGTGGTATTGCTGTCGGCAGCCACTCAATGTGACTGCTCGGCCCTCTTATTATGTGGGTATTTCACCATCTGATCAGGCATCAACCTTTCTCGTTTCCCTCCCTCTGTACATCTCCGTGACTTCTGCGATGATGAAGAATGTCGCTCGCATCGATAGCCCCCCGTCTAGAGGTTGACTGCCTTTTCAGATACCGCATGCGCCCCTATTAGAGGAGGTCACGCCCTCTCTTCTCACTCGACTGCCGACCCCTCATGCTCGCTCAATCACATCAAGCATGGTTGGCATCCCAAGAAGCAAAGGCTGTCGCATATGCGTCAAGCGCCGAGTCAGGTGTGACTTGACACGCCCGACCTGCAATAACTGTGCCAGAGGCAATCGTCCGTGCCCAGGATACGATTCCGATCTGAGGATTTATGATGAAGGGTCCAAACTCCGCAAGCGATTTGGCCAGAGGGATGGTTCCGAGTCGAGGATCGCGCTCGACAGCACGTCCCCCTCTACAAGCAACAACAGTCAATCAACAGAGTCATCACCTGAAGAATCGACCGACCTGATCACCCGTTTCAATACACCGGACCTTGAAGTGAGTCGTTATCGACCCAACCAAGCGTTACCGTCTCGAAATCCTTTCATTAATCTGCTAGAGAATCAGATATATCCCGACGCTGATCTGTTGGGTCCGCCGGTATCAACGCATGGATGGGGTGGGCTTTTAAGTGATGAGTTGATAAACGTGGACATCCCCTTCGAATTGACACTCAATGACGCCGTCTACTCCCCTCAGCTGGTTCAAGAACAGCTTCTCAACACCTTTTCTTCCTCGTTAGGTGGCCATGGTCCACTGTTGCTTCCGCGTCAGATGCGGAGCCATCAAAATTGGCTGGCGCAGCTGCCGACCCTATTCGGATCGAAACTCCTCGACACCGCGGTTCGCGCAGTCTCTTTGGTCCACTTGAGTCGAATGCAGCGGACGGAATTGTTCGTGCAAGAATCACGACAATACTATGGCAAGGCGCTGCGTCTTCTCAATCAATCGCTGATGGATGACGCCAAGGGGATGTCAACCGAGACGCTGTCGGCCACGATTCTGCTGTCATTCTATGAAATGTTTGCCTCCGACTCCAATCAGTCCTGGGTGCGCCATGCAGGTGGTGCGGGAACATTGATGCGCATTCGTGGACCATCTCGTCATCTATCAGGTCTTGATCGAGATGTCTATCTTGCCTACCGCCATACCATCGTCATTGATGCTTTCATGAGAGACGACGCTTGCTTTCTAGCCGAGCCACAGTGGATCGAGATGTCCAAAAAGATTCATGAAGATCTGCGAGCGTCTGGCATTCCCGGCGAACGAATGGATATCTTCGACCTGGCTGAAGAGTTTTATCTGGAGCATATCTTCATTCCAACGACGTTACGAGATGCCAGGAATCTAGGCGAGGCTCGACGGAAGCTACCACCTGATCAATACGCCGCTCATGTAGAGGCCCTTCTCGCGCGGACGCGATTGCATAGAGCCAACCTCAAATCTATCAATCTGAGATTCCGAGCCACACTCAAGAAACAAGGACTCGAGACCTCGACGATGGAAACCATGGATCCCGTGTTCCCGAAACAGTATGTGTTTGTCAACGTGTTTGTTGCGTCTACTCATGTTGGCTATTGGACAATTATGGTCATCCTCAACCTTATTTTGAAGGACATCGAGCGAGATGTCGCGCCCGAGAAACACGAGCTGTATCTTATGGAGAATCGAGAGATCTCACGAGAGATGTGTCGGACTGCGCCTTTTATGCTGACATCATCCTTCTTGGGACCGTTTTTCATCACCTTCGCCCTCAGACTGTGCTTGATGGTCTTTGAGCCTGGCCAAGAGAGGGATTGGGTAGTGCGAAAACTCATCCAAATCGGCGACACGCATATGAGAATGGCCTCGGACATTCCGCCCTTTGACCCGAAGGTAAATTTCCATGACTAAAGTGCGGTCCATCACGAGTTCCTGTTGGTTATAGAAACTGGTCGAAAGCTATGCTTCTTGAGCGATCCCGATTGAATGGAACAACTTCAAGCGAAGAAGGGTACGATATGGATCTTGAAACCCTTTTACAGCACTGGATCTCTGCTGGGATCCAATTAAAGAGTGTTCCAAAAGGCCTGTCGTCTCACTTAGCGCCACAGCAGAACCATGGCAGGACTCGAAATAGACTGTCGTTGGACTCCTGTTCGATACTCCAGACCACCAGCGCCACCAACGGACGAAATTTTGGGTCGTATGATCCACCGTATTGCTCCGCTCCTTAGTAATGGGCATGGTGCATGTTGCACTATCGGTGGTATGATTGGAGTGTGATCGCCATCCCAGCAGAAAAAGCATTGGCAAATGCACCTGCGGAGGCCGCCTTCAAGATGTGGTGGCCCTGGGAACACTCGCTTGTTGTGTATATAAAGCCCTACCGCAACAAGCATCTGTGTCTAGGACCACACCAAAGAGCTCTTCAACGACGCCCATAGCCATCACAATACCATCTATCGAAAACCCAGAGACAATATCAATAGTGTTTGTCGACATACACAATGAGCACGCACCCTGCTGTGGTGACCGTTGGTCCAGGTCTTCCGTTGGAAGTGCTTCAAGTTCCAACCCCGACACCAATTGCAAACGAAATCCGGGTTCGGTGTGAATGGACCGCTTCGACCCCCCTTGACTTGCACCAAGCCGACGGCGGCCTTCTGGTCAAACATCCACAGGTATTAGGTGACGGCATTGCTGGCACCGTTGTTGAAACAGGACCCGATGTCAAGAAATTCAAGGTTGGGGACAAGGTCTTTGGCTTCACCTGGCGTAGTCAGGCGGAGAAAGCACACCAGGAATACGCGGTTGCGCCAGAATTCCTTTTCGGCAAGATTCCTCCCAATATCACGATGCAACAGGCGGTGACGGTCCCCAACAACTTTGTGACTGCATGGCACACCTTCACTAAAGATTTCGGTTTCGAGTTGCCCTGGCCCAAGCCGGAAGGGTATATTCCGAAGGAGAAGGAGTCATGGATATTGATTTGGGGTGGAAGTTCCAGCGTGGGACAGTACGCTTTGCAAATCCTGAAGTGGTATGGGTATACCAACATCATCGCCACGGCTAGCAAGAAGCATCATGAGAAATTACGTGGTTACGGCGCGGCCAAGTGTTTCGACTATCGAGATCCAGGAGTTGAACAAGATATCGTGGCCTTTATAGATGCCCAACCCGCATCCAGAGGAATCCATTTCATCCTCGACTGCATTGGCAACCTCAACGGCAGCGTGGTGCCTATATCGCGAATAGTCAGGCCCAAATCTAGCACGAAAGTCGCGATTCTCCTTCCCATCATCGTCAAGGACGCCGCTGAAGGGGTGCAACCGATTTACGAAATGGACGTTAACAAGGCGGCGCAGTGGCCGGAAGGCGTCCAGGCGGTGGGCGTCCGCACGCACTTTTATTTGGAGAACAAATTCCTCGCGGAACATTTGCAAAGTGACATCATGCCCGAGTGTCTCGCCAAGGGTATCATCGAGGCGAACGAGCAGGTCCTTGTCGAAGGGGAAACAATGCTGCAGAGGGCGGAGAAAGCGTTGAAAATGCTCCGAGAGAAGAAGGTGAGTGGCGCGAGACTGGTCTGGCGAGTCTCAGATGGAGTGTGAGATGGGAGGTTTCGCCCATTTAACTTTGAAAGTGGTTGCGAGCAAGGCGGAGTCGTCTTGTCTAGTGCGAAGATGGAGCAGAAGGGCATCTAGGTAATGAGCATGTAAGTGTGTGCAGAGTACTCGGTAGTTGATATATGGTCTAGCACCAACTGGCTGGCGTTCACCTCTGAGATCATCTGTTACGTTAGGTAGTTACTAGCAGTAGGTGATAATTGGTCCGCGCCGCAAGCACGGGGCAGGGGACCCCAAGAGCCTGTACAAACTGCACACCCCACGGCGTCTGAGGAGAACTTGCAGGGACACCACGGACAAGTTTCTTGCGCAGTTGAAGGATTCGCCTTCATGCTATCACTTGTTCCTGCCGAACTCCTCATGGCCAGTGATGCTGCCTGATCAATACAAACTCCTCTGATCCCTCTCTTTCCTCATTGTTCATCTCCCACATTCCCTGCTTAGCACTCCACATTGCGACCATCGACCAGCGCAGGAGCTCAAAATGACTCTCTGGGGACAAGATACGGTCAGGGATGTCGCCGAGTCGGTGGGCATCTTGAATCTGAACAAAGAGGTCAACCAAGCACTCTGCCGCGACGTCGAATACCGCATTTCCCAAGTCCTACAAGAAGCCCTCAAATTCATGAAACATGCCCGCCGCACGATCCTCTGGTCGCAAGACATCTCACAAGCACTGCGCGTGCTGGATATCGAACCTCTGTATGGCTACGAGTCTACGCGGCCGTTGAAATATGGGGAGGCGTCACTGGGACCAGGACAGCCGCTGTTCTACGTCGAGGATGAGGAGATGGATTTTGAGAAGCTCATTAACGCGCCCCTCCCCAAGGTACCGAGGGAAGTCACATTTACAGGTACGTAGCGATTTCAGCTTTGGGGTCTTCTGTGAGCGCTGGCTGAGTCGTATGTATTATAGCTCACTGGCTGGCTGTGGAGGGTGTTCAGCCCTCGATACCTCAAAACCCAACCTCGACTGAAGCGAGGAATCTCGAACTGGTCCCCAAAGGACCCAACGCGAATCCGGCCCTGGCTGCAATGAGCGGCGCCGACAACACCACGACGAAACCCCAGGTCAAACATATTCTGTCTAAAGAACTACAACTGTACTTTGAGAAGGTGTGCGCGTCGGTGCTGGACGAGACGCAACCAGAGTATCGCGCAGCAGGGTTGGCCAGCTTGAAAGAAGACCCCGGTCTACATCAGCTCGTGCCTTATTTCGTGCAATTTGTGGCGGAAAAGGTCACGCACAACTTGAAGGATCTCTTCGTGCTCACACAGATGATGATGGTCACCGATGCCTTGACCCGGAACGACAGACTCAATCTGACCCCATATGTGCGTGTTCTAGCACCAGACAGCAACTTGCGCTGGCTATATGACTAACCGGGATGGCAGGTTGCCTCGATGGTCCCTCCCGTACTGACCTGCTTGATCGGACGCACCTTAGGCACCGGCATCGGAGCACTCGATCATTACGACCTTCGCGACCTAGCCGGAGCTCTTCTAGGTCACCTCTGCAATAAATACTCCAAGTACTCACACAATCTCAAGCCCCGACTCGCACGATCGTGTCTGAAGACGTTCCTGGATCCGAAGAAGCCATACGGCAGCCACTACGGTGCTATCCTTGGATTAAAAGCCATTGGCGGGGCGGAGGTGGTTCGGCAGCTGATACTGCCTAATGTCAAAGCGTACGGGGAGCTATTGGAGGAGGACATTCAAGAGTCGAGCATCAAGAAGGGCGAGGCGGAAAAGGTCGTCAGTGCGATCCTCAACGCCCTCGGGACATTGGTGGACGATGACATCCCCATGATGAACGGACACTCGGCTGAATCTGCTGCCAACACGCGGGTCCAGCTGGTTGACAAGCTGGGAGAAGTGATTGGAGGGAGGATCGCAGATTCGGGAAACACACGGTTTGCAAGGGCCGTTCTCGAGGGGGATCTTGCGGGATTATGAAACCCGGGGTTCCTCATGGGTGGGAGGTGATCGTGAAGCATTTACCTGTAGACAGCAAGGCGTTGGACGAGCTTATGGTGGATTCGGGAAGGAAAAGAAAAGGCCGCACACGTTGTGATACCCGGGCATTTGAATCAACTGGCGTTTTGAAGCCCAAAGTCTGTAGGAGCAAGCCCGGAGGCGTACAAGACTCCTCCTGGGCTGGCCAAACAAAGGGGGATCACGTTGTCTGAGGCCATGGCACGAGCTGGCCGTGTGGAATACTAAACACACCCATCACAAACACGGCGTGCGGACTCGTACGTAGACGCAAAGGGAGTCGAATCCTTTGAATGAAAGGCGAGATGATTCTTTGACTTGAGGTTGGTGGTGGTGGCAGCGGCATTCCGCACCCTGTGCTCCATCGTGCGCGCAACTGCGCCCCTGTAACTGCGCCTTGACCACCACTGCGCAACTGCGCAACTGCGCCTACGGCCGAAGATCTGCCCTGCAGCTTGTTGCTTCGTTATCGACTCGTCATCCTGTGCTGGTAGGGCTGACAAGCTGGTCAGCCCCCTGAAGGACTTGTGCGACGGTAACGAGATTTGTCTTGCTGTTCCTGGCAGTCCCTCCACCTCGCCCAGTCCCGAAGAATCAATCTAACGTCAATTCATCCTTCGCGCCCATCATCCCTTGACCCTGTCCACCTCGACCCTCTTGGGGGCCCGTTGTCTGTGGCCCAAGGCTCTTTCGCCCCTCCAGCTGTTGTTCTGTCATTTCACTGCCTGTGTGCCTGGGGTGATCCTGTTGACCAATAGTTGAATCCATCGGGGTCACCTCAGATGCCATCACCAACACGACGTCGCAGGATCAGCCTTAGCAGCAGCCAAATCTCCCTGCCACGCTCCCTCGAACAGCGGCAGCTACTCGTCCTCAGGCCTGCTCGCTTCCTTTGCTTATGCCGCATTGGTCCTTGCTCTGTCTGACGTTTCACGGCTACCTTAGCGAGACTGAATCCTTTCCAGCCGTTGTCCGAGCCTCGCTGTCTTCGGGCTTTGTGGCCACAAAAGTCCTTTTGATCGCCCTTCCACACCGCAGGTCCGGTTTCCGTTTTCCCTCTGCTTGATATTGCCCGCAAGCAACACATTCGTTTCTTCCATCTGCTTGCTTTCATGCCTGTACCTGTGAAATTTCCTTTGCTGCAGCAATGAAGTTCCTCAGCCTGACCACTGCGGTTGCGTGGTCTGCCCTCCAATTTCAATATGTGATAGCCTTGTCCAACGTCACCTTCTACGCCGACAGCCAGTGCTCGAAATTCTTGAGTTGGAAGACCGGTCCAGATGATGGCACCTGTACACCTTTCCCAACAAATTCGCAGGGCTTCCTCAGTTTCATGGTCACCAGTTTGGATCAGACGTGTGCCGGTGAGTGGACAGGAGGGCCCGAATGAATGTCCCGAGGGATGCTAACATATGCGGTAGTTACGGTCTACGGCAGCGATGTCCCGTACTGCAGTTCATCAACTCTGTTCCTTGCTCCCTTCTCCAACTGCATGACTGCAACCAACGTCAGTCAATTTTCTGTCGACTGTCAGAGCTTGTCGGTCGCAACATCTGCGGTGCCCTCGGTGGTTCCGACTGGAGCTCCCAACCCCTCCACGGGGTCGACCGCATCTTCGTCTTCGAGCCCTGACTCCGGTCTTTCTGGGGGCGCCAAAGCTGGCATAGCCATTGCTGCAGCTGTGGGAGGCCTGTTACTCGTTGCCTTGATCGTCTTCTTGGTGGTCAGGAACAACCGCAAGAAGCGACGAGACATGGAATCCCAGCGAATCCTAGAGGCGGACTCTACACCAGCCGCACCTCCCTACTCAGCCGAAATGCCTCCCAACGAAAAGAAGGTTCCAATAGAGATGCCGTCAGCGGTGATGGCGCCTGTGGAGGCTCCTGGTGATGCGCACTGGCCACATCCACAAGAGATGCCGGGTGATTACACACACTCAGAAATGGAAGGATCAAGCCCCTCCCACCAAAAGGACGACATCAAAACCGTGGTATCAACCGAGACGAAAACCCTTGTGGGGTCTGATGCGAAGCTGGACGTCAAGTCCATTCCAGAATCACAGCCTTAGCGGATCAGTCCTATCCCTTGTGAGGGAAATTCTCGGCTGGAGACGTCAACGCTTTCTGAAAAAGGTTTCCAAACGCACAATTGATCAACATTGAAATGTGGAACGCAATATGAACATTTTGCCCAGGCCATTGACTGTGCCAGGACGTACCCATAAACAGTGGAGAACACTAACCGCTTTATCAAAGAGCGGAGTCCGATCCCTTTAGCCTTGTGACCCTTTACAAGGCTAATTGCTGACTCGACATACCATCCACCGAGACACTTCCTAGACCGGACCTTCTATGTCAATAATGCATTGCAGATCCCGATAAGACATGTACTTGTGCATATGGGGACTCGGTGCAATACCCACGGACATTGACGAATTTGAACAAACGTCGAAGAATGGGGGCTGGGGCTCAAGCTGTTTGCGACGACTCGAGGGCGAGTCCCTGTCCTGACCAAGGTGATCGGGTTGGACTTTACGATGAGAGACCACATGAGCGCCGACGTTGGGTAGTCTGAAGCGGATCATCGTGAAACATTTGCATGGACAATTCACCTTACGGAGTCCAGCTACATTGTGGCGCCATGCATCTTGATGCTCTCTGACATCTACCTCGGGAACCTCCAGCGCAGGAGCAGCTACAACCTCGCAGCTACAACGCATGCAACAGGAAAGTTGTTTAAGTCCAGCTGAAGAGGTCCACGGAGGTTGATCTGTTTTGCTTGCGTTTCCAACTTGATCGACGTCCTCGAAAGAAAACCTATGCGGTACGGCACTTGTCTCTCTACGGACACAATATTTTCACTTGCGTTTTCGTGCTCTTTCTACAGGAACGATGGCTGCGCCCCATCATCTCTCGTACAGATTTGTCAAGAAAGACGCAGGATCTAAGAATCTCGTCGTCCAGGAACTGTCGCTACCCGCCCCTTCCTGCCACAAGTTACATCTCAGTGGTATCATGGCCACATGTATGCAGAAAGTTCAATCATAACACCACACAAGCATGATGCGGAGGGTTTATCGGAGTTTGGACCCATGTGTACCGGAACCAGAACCGGATTCAGAATGTCTTTTCGAGAGCAAGCGATTTGAACCGATTTAATTTGAGTTCTTGAGTTTACATGTACCTGTGTAGCCCTTTTGTGAGTCTAATAAGGAAGTATGTAAATGTCCATGCCATAAATATCCTAGACGGTGCTATACCTTACCATACATACTACCAAACAAACGTCATGTCACTTCATGCATGCTGTATTGCGATGTTGCGGAGCGATTCCTACGCAATTGTCACCTAACGACTTTGCCGGGATGGACTTGACATGGACATGGATGGGCATAGCATATGTCTGTCTGTGTCTGTGTCTGCGTCTGCGTTTGCGTTTGCGTCGTCCTGAGCCCGAGCCATGGAGCTGTTCTTTGAACTTGATCTGTTGAGTGATTGATTGGTCTATTGATTGACTGGGCGAGGATATCTCGGTCTCTGCGGGTCTGTCTATGCAACATTCCCTTCACTGTCCAATTCCTCTGCTCTAGCTCTTCTCTCGCGCCCTTCTCTCGCGCCGCAACCCAATTCGTCCCGTACTGGTCGACGTAAGGCGCCTCGGCGGAGACGCAGTTATTCCTTTCTTTTCTCTCTCTCTCTCTCTCTCTCTCTCTCTCTTTTTGATTGTCAAGGTGCAGAAGGCAATGGACTCCCCTTTTCAATCCGCGTCGATATCACTAGCACCTCCAGAAGTCGTTACCGCGTCGAGCATCCGCCAGCATACCGACGTCCACCACTACCGCTGACCTTTTGCTTCTTCTGCCCCTCCCACTGCTGCGCCAGTTCCCGCTCCCACCACTCGTGACAGCTCTTCAGCAGCTCTGCCTCGGCCTTCCTCAGCTCCTTCTCCCGCTTGGACGTGTCCTCCTTGACGATGGTGAAGCTGCTCACCTTGCGGGGCCGGCCGAGGTCGAGGAGGGGATCGAACCCTTCGTCGTCGACATCGAGCGCGGCGACCCCGCCGATCACGTCGTCCACCTCGTACTCGTCGTCCTTGATCTCGGCGATCCTCCGCCCGTACGTGCGCGGCGCGTAGTCCTCCAGCGTGTCCGGGCGCACATACCCGTACATCATGAACTTGACGTAGTGCTTGTCGAAGCGCATGCCGCGTCGGAACGCCTCGCGGATGATCAGCTGGTCCGGCCGCAGGAGCACCTCGGGCTGGCGACCGAGCTGCTGCGCGGTCCGCAGGCCCCAGTACTCCAGCCGGCCCTTGCCGATCCGGTGCGCGGGAATGCCAAAAATGCTCAACTCCGTCTCGTCCGGCGCGGGCGTGTACTTGCACTTGACCCACTCCCTGAGCGCGTCGAACCTAGTCGTCCAGATGTCGCGCTTCAACACGCGCAGGATCGTGGTAAACCCGCGCTGCGCCAGGAGGAGTTTGCGCATCCCGTCTCTCTTCTCCCCGGACACCGGGTCGTTGAGCCGCATGTCCAGCTTCGTGAAGAAGCACGCGGAGAAGTACAGGTCCAGGTCCGTCATCATCCCCCGGTTATGGCAGTAGCCGATGCGTCGCGCGTTGTCGGGGATGTCCAGCATGAACCACAGCCTCTTGAGCGCCAGCGCACACCTCGCCGGGAGGGGGATGCCGTCTTCGGCGAAGACGGTCATGATTTCATGGATGACCTTTTCACGGTGCAGGATCATCTTGAGCCATCGGAAGGACGGGATGCGGCGCGGGACGTTGTGTGCGGCGAGACGCGCGTTGGGGTGAGGAAGGCGGGCGGCCGGGTCGCAGCGGCAGAGGTGTGCGTAGCTGCGGAACATGAACGCCCGGGCACTTTCGGGGGCTTTGGCCGTCGCTTGGGAGAGGATGACCGTGGTGAACCGCGTGTCCAGGATGGTGTGGAAGTCCTTGCTGATCGCGTACAGGCTGACCAGGTCCTTGACCGGGAGGTGTGCTGCCAGGGTGAAGCAGAGTTCCGGGTACAGCAGGAAGCCCTGGAAGATGCTGAAGTTGGGGTCCCCCGTGCGCTGGTAGACATAGGACGGAGGGGGCAGGATTGCTTCGGGTCGTTTGCGTTTCAGGGAGATGCGAGCGAACTTTTGGGCGTGTTCGATACGGTTGGGAGCCGTGTACATGTGTTCCGGTACGAGAGAGTCTGGGTTGGCCAGGTGAGGTGGGACTCTGGGGTTCGCATAGATGCCGTGGTGTGCAGGAGGACGTGGCACGCGTGACGGGAAATTCTGCAGCCGGCGACCATGTTCATCCCGGTCCATGTCCACATAAGCACCCGTGACGGTGTTCGACGGGTTTGCCGATAGTGACCGTTGTTGCTGGTGGAGGGGACCGGTATCAGAATGAACAGTTTGCTGTGCGATGCGAGCAAGACCGGAGCCCAGTGGGTGCCGCAAACCATCACTCGTAGCTCGTTCCACGGTTGGTGGCGCGGGCACAGCCTGCGTGGTGCGAAAGTTGAAGGCATATTGTCCGCCGGCTGGAACAACATGAGGGTTCGTGGGGACGCCGCCAAAGGTGTAGCTATTTCCCAGAGGGCCCGGAGGAGCAGGAGTAAAGATTGGGGCTGGGTTTGGAGGAGCGTGTTGTCCGTATGTGTGCAGTCTGTTGGCGCCGGGTGGGAGAAGAGCCTCGACACCATAGATGGCATTCCTCCGTTTGTGCCTTAAGCTTGTTTGATCGAAATCGGCTACGGCCGACCCAGGCTTTGGATTGGTGTCTGGTTTGACATTCTCTCGGTCGCTCTCGTCAAAATCTTCTTCATGCTGATCGTCTTCAGAGCCAGAGCTCGTTTCCAAGTCCGTTTCAGCTTCACTCTCTGTAACAAAGGGCTGAAATGGATTGCTTTGTCCTCCGCCTTGATGTGGACCATGGGTCGCAGAGTCCGTCTGGGCTGCGGAGGAAGGCGGTGTGGACTTTGAGGTTTGGGAAATTGGCCTCGAAAGCTCCAAGTTAGACGTCACATTATCAACCTGGGGTCGAGCTGGATTCGCCGGCTGCGTGACGGAAGGCGTATGGAGATTGGATAGCAGTGGAAGCGTATTGGTCTCTGACTGAGGGTCATTGTCAGCGCTGTTGTCTGACGACTTCTCGCCGTCTGCCTGCGACTGCTTTCGGAATGGGTGCAGGATGTTGCCGACTTTGCTTTTGCCACTACTGAAGAAGCGTGATTTCTTCTTTGGCGGCGGATTGTCGTCCATATTGACGAGCGACAGAGAATGCTAGACTGTAAGAATCAAAGGGAGCAAAGACAATCAAAGCATTGGTCATTGGCAGGAAATTCAGCTCAAGTGATTGCGATCCGGGGTTGGTTTGAAGAGTTAGTGAATAAGCATGAATAAGACGGAGAACAATATCAAGACGGGACTTTTTGTTTACAACTGGGGGTCAGGCAGAATACTGCCCACACAGCAGCCACGTTCACCTGTTTGGATTCACTTGTTGGGCTCGTGACCTACCTGGGTGTTGAGAGGGTCGTTGTCGATGACGATGACGGCCCCTTCGAAGCGAATGTAGGATTTCTCACCGGGTTTGCATTGTGCTGCTCGTACTGGACCTAGTGAAGCAGTAGGGGCTCCGTACTCTTCGCAGAATGACGACGAGAGAATGCTGATGACGATGGGGATTGAATTTGAGGAGTGTGTTTGATGTTTGTCGATTGTGGCTGACAGTTATAGGTCTGAATGCCTCACCGTATATATATATATGGCAGGGTAAACAGCCAGAACCGCGCATCGCAAATCCCGATCAGCTGTGACCAACTGCGATCAACGATCAAACCCATCCACCATCAAGCCGCTGCTGCTTCTGCTTCGCTCGCTTCCACATGCCATCGTTTCCATCTGCTTAGCCACCAGCAGCCCCGTCCTCGACTATCGTCAGTGGCGGGCAGCAGCGGGTATCGATCTGCACCATTTTCAAGATCTCGCTTCAGTCTAATCCCTTCTTCCTCCCTCCATCCAATCGATGTCTTTCGGTGCTCCCGTTTTGAACAGTCAAAAACTTGGAACAGAACCGCCTAGATCAACTGGGCAGAGGTAAGGTTAGGAATATGGTGTTGCCGGTGCCACAGCGTCCCGATATTGGTTTGCAATGGCCGCCCGGTGCCCAAGCCACTTCGACCTTGGGTCTCCTGTGGCTGAAAAAGCAGATATTGCCCATGTCTCTCAGGCTGTGCTCACTTGGACATTGAGCTTTCACGAAGAGGCCTTGAGCCTTGCCCTTTGCAAGTTACTTGAGGTTCCTGACCGCAGACATCTTTTGACATGCCGTTGAGTCCCCGTAACAGTATCGCCGGGACCGAGCACCATATTGGGCAACTTCTTGACAGTGCCATTCATGTAAAAGACAAGGCGAAGACAAAGACGAAGCGACTGCTTTCTCCCGCACAGGACGATGCGTCTTCTGATGACGAAGCCAATATCTTTTCTGATGCAGCTTTCGATCCTGCGAAAGTCCTTCATAATCCGTCACCCAAAAGCAAGAAATCGGCGAGTGAAGCAGTACGCGATGATTTCAAAAGCGTCAAATACCTCACTACCCATCCACGTCGGGTGATGCGCAGCAAGGCTACTCACATTGCGGCCGGCAAACTTGGAAAGCGTCATCCCGCATTGACGGTTGACCAAGATCAAGAATTGCTAGATGCCCACGATGCTCTTGCCCAGGCGGTTTCGAGCGATCTCTCAGATCTTGACTCTAGTGCCATCACTTCTGAGCTGGACGAAGCCTACGATCGAGTGCACAAGATCGAACACCAAAGAGAAAGCTTGCAGACAGCCTGGATTTTGGGACGTCATGTTGCCCGCGTCAAAGTCGTTCGTCCAATATCTCGCCCCGATCGATCCCAATTCCGGGACGGAGGGAGGTTCGAGTGGGAGAGATATCTCGGCTACATGGCCCTTTATCATACCCGCGACTTTACGACCGGCTACATTGACGACTTTGCTTCACCACCATTTGACCTAGAAGACCTCGCACGCATCATCGAGCGGATCGCCATCACGTCGGCGCCCTGGCAATCCTTTCTTGTCAATGTCCGACACATCTACATGTGGGAAACACCTCGTCGGACGGCGAAATGGCTGGCTCTATATTGCATCTTGTGGTACACCCAACACATTGTGGGCTTTTTGTATTTCTACATCATCTACTCCACCTTGCGAAACAGGCTCCGCACACACTCTGTGCAGATGGTGCGCGAGAGCGTGAGCAGGGCATTTGACCGGGAGGCGCGGGTGCAAGCCTGGGGTGAACTCATCCAGAGACACGGACAACACGACTGGCTGGAACCGTTTCTGGACGAGATTGGGCCGATCATCCAGCTACAGCTCGGTGACCTAGCGGACTTGCTCGAAATCCTCCTGAACTTCCACCGGTGGGAACGGCCGAAGCTGACTATGGCGACGCTCTTCTTTTTCTCCTGCTGTCTTCTCATCACGCTGTGTGCGGACATGGCATTCTGCGTCAAGCTTGTATGGTTCATATTTGGCAGTGGATTCTTCTTCACGTACCCAATCGCCGCAAACTTTCCTAAATATAGATTGTTATTATCACATTTCAGATGGGTGTTTTGGGACATCCCCACGCATGCAGAGCTGGCGGTGCTGAGGCTGCAAGAAAAGGCAGCTGCGAAGGAAGAGGCAGATTGGAGAGAGTTTGAGTTGAAAAGAGACGACGAAGATGAGGACGACGATGGAGCGGAGGAGGATGAGAATGATCAGAGCGAATCTCCTCCACTAGGACGGACTGAGAATGGCTATTCGTTCCGAGTCTACGACAACATCGAAGGACGCGCACGTCTTATGGTCAGTAGGACTAGCTTCACGCTGTATTCCAAGGGCCGACAACGAGACCAGACCTGGCCGTTCTGCTCTCTCCTCGAGATGCGCAAGCTCGACGGCGTCGACGTCCGCCCCAACTCGACCCTCAAGAACCTAAAAACCCTCCACTCGCGCTCCGCCGAGGCGCTGCGGTTCTTCTTCCTCGACGGCGCCGATCTAACGGTTCTTTTGCGACCCGCGGATCGGGATCGCGTCTTCAACCTGGTCCTCGCGTGGAGTGGGTTGAAGTGGCAGTGTTTGCAGATGGAGAGGCACAATACGGCGGCCAGCCAGAGGAGCAATTTGGACAGGGCCATCAAGAGGGCTTTTCATTGACTTTGGGAAACATACATTGACTGGTTAGAGATAAGAGCAAAGGGTGTCGTAAAGGAAGCTATATTACTTTTTGCATTCCACAGCATGAACATCGTGCGTGGCCCTTGTCTGTCAGCCATACATAGGCTGGTATTATTACCACGCAATAGCCAAGGCATAGTACATAGTTAGACTGCACCCCTCCTCCTCCCCACATCTCTTCTCGTAGCAGGCCTGGGTCAGGAGGCCATCCCACGCAAGCCTCTGTACAACCGTGTGCGCGCATGCACCCCCGTGGTACTTGCAGCTAAGCCCCGCGCATCCTAGCGACGCTCTGACGCCACAGCTCGCGCCAGTCCGCGCCGAGGGGCTCGAACCAGAAGAAGCGGCGCAGCAGGGCCTCCACGAAGGCCCACTCCCGCGCGGCCGGGCCGTACGAGTAGGTCTGCAGGACCAGGTCGAGCAGGGCGTCGACCTGGCGCTGGAAGGCCGGGTGGCCGCTGCCGTAGGCGGCGAGGAACGAGATCCACACGACGGCGTCCTGCTCCGGCTGCGTCAGCGATGGACTATTCGTGGTGGTGGTGGCGGTCGTCGTCGTCGTCCGAGTGATCATCAGGGACCGCACGACCGCGACAAAGTCCGAGAGCAATCGGACGTGCAGGGCCGGGGGGCGGGCCTGGTTCCGGGCGCCGCGGATCGAGAGGCACAGGCCGACGCAGAGGAGGTGGTCGAGCCTGGGCGCGGCGGCGACCGGGGGCAAGGCGAGGAGGATGGAGAGGGCAATCTTGGCCGTCTCCATGGGCTCGCAGTACAGGCGGAAGATGTCCGGGTGGGACACCGTGACGGACGGGTTCGCGGTCGCGGTCAAGGCGGCCCAGGGGGCGACCTGGGCGAGGAGGCCGATCGTCTGCGTTGAAATGGTCCCTGTGAGAGACAGCGCCGCGAGCCCCGGTGGGAGTTTGGAGATGATGCCGTTGAGGCTTTCGGGGAAGGGCTGTCTCGGGTAGTCCAGCTTCAACTGCGGGATGGTGGGAGGAGAGGATGTCTGGGTACTTGCGCGTTGCAGGGACGATGCCTGGCCGTTGAGAGGTGGTGGTCGGGTAGTGCTTGACAGTGGTTGCGATGTGCTTGGTGAGGTCCGGGCAGGGACAGCGGCGGGCATAGTGCTGGTCACGTATTTCAACATGAGAGCAAACATTTCATTCCTTGGAGGTTCATGTCAGGATCATGACTTTCAGAGACAGAACTTTTCGGAAAAGATGACATCTCACATCCCAAGAAAGCCTCGCAGCGCTCGATGCGCGTCCGTATCTCCGAGGCCGCCGCGCAGCTCTATCATCTGTTTGACGGCTTTGTGGTGCGATTGAAACGACACGATATCCCCAGTGATGATCTTGGTCGGTCAGATATTCGCTCGCCGTGGCTCGAGAGGGGGGGTGGCCCACTTACATGTGTCCCCATCAATTGCATCACCCCGATCAGTGCTCGATCATCCTGCAACGACGCGGGCTGAGACAGCAGATCACGAACGGACCGGATTGCTCGTGCTCGTTGGCCAAACACTGCCGTGGATGGTTTGAAGGGAGGTGCTGTCCGACGGCTCTCGAACATACCGCGTGCCGTTGCCATGGAGCATTCGAACAGTCCTTGATGCTGGAAAGCCAAGGGGATGAAATACGACACGGGTACAGCTCGTATTCCCGGTGTCACCTTGAACGGCATCTCATCTCGCACGATGATATTGATGTCTGTCGCCGCATATCAGACCCTGTGACGAGAAGCACACTGAAAAGATACGGCAGAAGCGATGCTTACACTCATCGAGAACCTCCAGCTCGGGGCTCCCGACCACTCTCGGGAATGATGCAAAGAGCTCTCGTCTGTATGTGTCCAGCACGGTGCGAAGGAGCTTAGAAGGAATGTATGTGGACTCTGCCGCTTGCGCTTCATCTTCTTGTAGAGCATTCTGTTGGGTGTTGACAGGTGCTGCGGATGGCTCTCGCAACAGATTACGTGGCAGGATCGTAGATCTCGGAACAATCTGGCCAGCGTCCTGGACGTGGAGAGGTTGGGCAATTGTCGGCGCATAGTGTTGAGTTGGCGCTTTTCGTCGACTCTCTCTCTGGACAAGTGTCCCCAGCCGAAACCGAGAAAGGCTCCCCTGTTGGAGCAGATTCTGCCTCGTCTTCCCCCACGAGCCCTGGGTCTGATGCGGCTGGGTTCCCGCGGCGAGCATTTTGATTGATGCTCAGCTTTGACACTTTCGAGGTGCCGCACGAGAAGAACGATGCTCTGTCCAGTTCACGGTCCATGGCCGGGCACATATACTACCCATTTTCTCGGAATATGCCCTCCTGCCAAAGTTTCGGCAAGCCATGAAACGTATTAGTATCAAGTAAAGCACCCGCATACGGAAAATGAGAGTTGCCTTGGGACTGCATGTATGTAGGCTTAATCATCCATTTAGCGGCGCGCAGCACATGGAGGATTCCAAAAGCTCTGGTCTTTCTGTAAGGAAGGCTAGCTCTCTCGAGGAATAGGTGCTAGAGAGGCAGATTTGAATCCAGATTCAATTGGACCCGAGCTTGCTGATGCGGAGAGGATCTGACCGGCGACCGGTTATGCGGCACCTTGCGCCTTAGGTAATGTAAAGATGTGCCACAAGATACAGAAGCGAAGCCGCAGACTCACCGGGGGAGGAGATGTAGGAACGAGGTAGGGAGTGCATACCAATAGCTTCCAGTTGGCGACGAAGGATCCACAACTGGTGCTGACTTAAGGGGCCTTCTGAAAAAGGAAGAACATCTTGTGGGAAGCCTGAAGCGAGAGAGAAGGTTTGCCCGGAGGAAGAGGCGGCCAGTGAAATAGAACAGGCCTCGACTAGTCGCAACGCCTTCGGTGGCTTATCTTGAACCAAACAACACTCAAACATGGTCAGCGGAGGGGTGGAATCCGCAAGGAATGAATTCAGCTGTTGCTCGCTGCCAGGCAGCACCGGGCCGTGATGAGCCAATATTTCCGCCGTCTGCCGTCCGTATGTGAGTATTGAAAACAGACGCCCGGAATCTTGCGAAGTTTTGTGAGTGGCTTCAAAGTGGCGGCGAAACAAATGCCACGGAACAAGAAACAGGACTTTGATCTGTGAAACCAGGGAGCGATCGTAAATTGCACTGCAGTATTGCGAGGTCTGGAGACACCTGAGGGATCGGTCAAAGCAGTCGGTCAAAAGCTGCTTGGCCGCAGAGATTCCCGCCGAAGAGATCGATCGAACCATAACCCATTCATATCATTTTTCTCTCTCGTACCGCCACTGCCTGCGCCTCTGGTCGGTGTTGGCGCTTCTTACATACCAACAAGGCTGTACCGAGAGGAGTATCTGCATTCGTGTATCGTTTTGTTGCCTTTTCCTAACATACCATTTTAATGCCGATAGGCACCAACCCACCTTCTCCACCACGCCACGAAATCCACCGTCGAAATGTCAATCCCCAGCTTCTGCAGTTCGCTCGTGTCAAGGTGACAATCGTACGGCCTCAGCGTCCCATCGGGCCCCGGTTTACCTCCATCTTTGTCGGGCACGATCCCATCGAAGGGGAGGCCCATGATTTCTGCGAATTTTTGGGTGATTGCGTACTTGGTCATGCGGTCTTCGCTCGAAAACTGCAGAATCCGTGGGAGCTTCTCCGGGTGTGGTGAGGCGGTGTAGAGTCTGGCAATGTCAAGACACACTCTTGCGACATCTTCCACGTTTGTAGGGTAGCGAATCGCCCAGTCGTCCATTTTCACCTTTTCGTTCTGCGATTTCCACAGGCTATCCATCAGGATGTTTACCGCCGACTCTTTATTGTTGTTCTTGGGGGAGGTTGGGCCGTAGAGCACGGGAACCCTCAACACCACTGTATTAGAGACTTTGAGCACCGCCGTCTCGCCATCGAGTTTGGTCTGTCCGTAGATGTTTGTGGGCTTGGGAGAGTCGGTCGACTTGTAGGGAGCTTGACCTTGTATGCCCGGGAAGACGTAGTCTGTGGAAATGTAGATGAAGAAGGCATCCCGTTTCGCTGCGCAGGAGGCGAGGAGCTCGGTTGCTGTAACGTTCAGTTTGTGTGCTGCCTCGGGGTTTCGCGTGCACGAGTCCGGCTGTCTGTCCGCGGCGCCTGCATCACGTTAGCTCCAGGTACCGTTCTTGTCGCGATTCTGCTCTACAGTGGACGATGACTTGAGGTCTGAGCCTTGTGTTAGTTCGCTGAAGCTTGACCGCGGTATACAAGCCACCCTACTTGACCTCGTCGAACAGCTTGGTGACGGCATCGGCATCTCGGATGTCCACCTTGCGGACTGTCTCTGATGCGCGGTTGAAGCCTGTTCCCGTTGCATCCCAGCCAGCATCCGAAAAGATTTTGAGCACTTGACGGCCCAAGAATCCAGACGCCCCGGTAATGAGTGCGGCCGGCATTTTGAAGGGGGTGGATGGTGGTCGGAATGAAAGTTGGAGGGCCGAGTTGGGGATGTTTGGGGCGCAGGGCTGCCTGTTGCTCCTCAACATCGTCAGAGCCTACAGCCGCCCATTTCCTGCAACTGAGATGGATCTACTCGCTGCAGGCTTGCTTTGAGCAGCGATGAAGACAGAATCATGATACAAAGGAACCTCGACTACTCGGCAAGTCATCTATCCTGAATTTCGTCTGGATTTCCCCCCGTGCAGCTTCTTCTGCAGCTAACACCTCAACTCCTTGCCTCCTGTTTGCCTGTCCTCTTCTCCATAGCTTCGCTCAAGGCGCTGAAATGATGAAAAGGTAATGTGTGGTTCCAAATATTCCCAAGCGACCCGAAGGCCGAATGGAGCGGTCAAGTAGGTAGCTAAAAAATAATCAAGTCAGCATGACATGTCAAGAATGAGGACTTTGTTGTTTTTGACGTACTTTTCAACTAGCAAAAACGTGACATCGGCGAGAAGCCTGTTGCAATGTCAGTGCATGGTATGAGACAATGTATAGAAGATGTGAGGACTTGGTGTAAGAGAAGTAAAGACTTTGTGTAAAGGAGTGAGGACTTACCTCATGCGTCACGTAAAACTCCTGCACCGGGATGGAAAGAGAAAGGAAAGACGGCGTCGAAGACGCGGGGTTTCGCGACAGATATTTAAACCCTGAAAAAAAAATCCTCCTTGGCGATCCGCTAGCTCCGTCACCTGGTCAACAGGGCGTGGGATGCCATGAATAGGCAGGTGCGGGTGCGGTCTCAAGGATAGGACGGGCAGAAGAAGGCGGTGAGAGAGCGGGAACGGGTGCCAGCGGAAATTGGGAGCTTCAGGCCGCACCAGTGAAATCCACTTCACAAAGACAGCAGTAAGGATGCCCAATCATCAGGGGCGAGTAGCCAGAGCAGGAAGGTAACCAGTGGTCGGTGAACGATCTATTCGAACGGGGACGAGGAAGAGAGCGCAACCTCGGAAGCTACGAGGACTCGTCGAGAGGCAGAGGTACTCCGTACATGGTAGCCTGTCGCCTGGACGGAGTACGTTGCATGCTGTTTGCTGGGATCGACTACTGTGTAGGGTTTGCGGGACAAGGCGCCAGCGCACACAGGCATGTCCAACAGGTCGAAAGCGGCCTCCGAAACCTGGAAAGATGATATGAATTCAGCAACAATACTGACAGTATCAAGGCCTGAATACTAGTACGGAGTACCGATTACGCCATGGTCTGTGTCGCCCCGCTGCTCGTCCTTGCAATTCCATATGCCACAGTGCCTGCCTGCCTAGCCACTAAGGAATGTCATCAGCTCCTATCTCGACGTGCTTGCTTTGCCTCCTTGCCTTGGAGATTCTCGATCAGCAGCGGATGAGCGTGGCTCTGGTGTTTCGTAGAATCGCTCACTAGTGCGTTGCGTGGGTGGCTTGATCTTGGAAGCGCTCTCCTTTGCTTTTCGTGGTTTGTATGAATCGTTCCGGAACATCCCTTCGATGGAGAATGAAGCCATATCTTGCTGAGCGTCGTCGTCCTCGAGAGGCTTGTTGCCCACGGGCCGAATAGGCTTGCTCTCGAAGCTCCCAACGGCCTTACCGATCTTACCATCCGCCAATGTCACCTCGTCACCAACTTCTGTCTCCCACACAGATCGGTTGACTTCTTCAGCTCCGGCTCCAGCTGCGGCTTTGCCCTTGCTGCTCGGTTTCTTTGGCGTTGCCGGCGGGGGAAACTGCTGCTGGCAAGGCCTCCAATAGGTTCTTTGTCATCTCAGTACTCAAACGTTCATCTTCCGCCATGGCCTCGAGCTGTCTGACAAACTCTTGTGCGAGAGGTTCAATGTTCTTGATTTCGTCATCCATGTCTCCTCCATTGTCCTGTCGGATAATGTCGATCAGGTTCAAGCACTCTTCGCGAATTTGAGCTGTTCCTCACGAGGCATGCGAGAAGAAAGTTGACTAGGGTGCGGCGATATTTTCCAAGGCGCGGCTCCAAGCGAAGCTCAAGACATATGTTGAGAACATCCTCTTTGTTGCCTGCGTTGGCCCAATCTAGCGCCTACATCTTGTCCGTGCCTTCTCATTGGTTTACAGCGGAGAGTGCAGACCTCATGGTATCGTGCTCGAAACTGCCGTGCCAGGTTGTCCATCGTGGGTATGGGCTAACAGTATCTGAAGAAGTCGTTGCATGAGCAAGGTGCACGGTGAGAAACACTTCGGGTTGCGTTGTTGAACGAACAGAAGTGCTGCGCAAGCAACAGCAACGTCTGGGGGATAAGCTGCTGAATGGGGAAGACTTTTCGGCGATCAAGCAGGAGAAACCAGGTAAGTAAAGGTGGAGGAGACGCGCGGGTGAAGACATGAGTATTGCCAATCGTTGAGGCAGCAAACTGTCTCCTTGGCGACATACATTCACTGCTGGTAAGTGACATCGCCCCTACCTGCGTTCTTTGTATGCCAAATGTTATATATGACCGTTTCTCCTCCTGAAAAACTAAGATTTCTTTTCTTAATTCAATTCTCTCTTCTTAGAGCACATGAGTGCTATGCCCACCAAGATCATCCTCTGTGCCGAATGGTAACCCATACCCTATTATAAATACATACAACCTTCCTACTGTCACACGTCAGTACTATTTACAACAACACCGGACTTTGCCGCATGTGGTAACCTAGACTCAATGGCAAAATAACGCATTTGTCCTTAGTGTACCTTCCCGCCAGCATCCGTCTTGTCGAAGCCAGCACCAACAACCGGCCACACAAGTCGCAATCGACCTCTACGGGCCAACCTTGGACGAGGGAGATCGACGTGCTATGTCTCGTCGGTTCTCCAGATCTTGCACAACGTGCATTCCTTCACTGTCATCGTGAAGAAGTCATGTCCATTACGACACGAAATGCAGAGATCCTTGCCAAAGCTGTCAACCTGAACAAGTACAAACGATTTCTGAAATCTCTCCAGACAAATATGGATCCGCTCGACCTTGCTGCACTAATGGGGTCAGTCGGTCCATGGAAAGATGAGGACTCCGATTCTGTCGAATTGCTGGGCTTCGTACTCGAAACCCTGAACAAGATTTCGGATACTTCTGCTGCAAAAGACGTTCTGAGGAAGACTGCTTTGAGGGACCTGGAAGAAGCCCGTCGCTGGGCCGTGGCCGCCGGCGAACCGTTACCAGGATTAGCACAGGACATTGATGAACACTGGATGGCCAGAAAGCGGTCCGGCAACGATTCGAACATCGATGAGACTCACATGGTGCAGCGGATCGGCTTCGAGATACAACGTCAGCCACGGCGTGATGGCAACGACCGAAGGAATCACTGGCATATATGCAGTGGCTGTTTCAATGGGTTTCCATGCGTGTTCTTTGGTCGACCCCCCACACCTCCACTGCTTTGCCAATCTTGCCGCAAGGAGGATAGGTCGGCTGGATGGACACTGAGATTCAATGACAGATCAGAGGACAATTTCAATGCCTAACAAGCTGATCCCGACAACGACTTAGGGCAAGATGGCTTTGATGACACCATACTCTCTGACGCCGAGTCCAAAGCCGAACTGAACGCCATAATACAGTCTGAGCGAGACACCAAGAAGGGTTTTCCGCACTATCTAGCCGTTGAGAGCAGGCTCGGTGATCTCGACTGGAACGCGGATGAGCGAGATCGTCAAATATCACCCACGTACCGTCATCTAATCGCCCATGTCGCGTTGAAGGGGGCAGATTGGGCAGAGCCGCGATGTTCTCCTCTTTGCGTAGACGAATGAATGGGATATAGTGAGGGGGATTGTGAAGATAGAATAACACCCCCACTAGATTGTGTCGCAAGGAGGACGGCTCGTAGTCGACAGGATCAGAGAAGATCCGGGGAGTCCAGTCTTTCATATCGAACTGCATGGAAACCCATTGAAACAGCCACTGCATATATGCCAGTGATTCCTTCGGTCGTTGCCATCACGCCGTGGCTGACGTTGTATCTCGAAGCCGTTCTCAAGTTCACCGGCCATGCTTTCAGCCACGAGGGCACCGCGTGAAAACACCACCTGATGATCGCTCCCTGACACTAAATCGGTCAACATCGAAGTCAAGACCTTTACAATAGCGTCTATGTTGATTTCTGGGACGATTATTGCTTTCAAGCTGCGTGATTTCTCCGAGACTGCGTTTTTGGCCTTTGTGGTCACATGGTTTCTCTTGAGGCTTGCTCTCTCCCTCTTTCTAGGATAAATCGCCTTGATTTTCTACGGTATCTGCGATCTGATATGGTTGCTAGACTTTTGGGCCATTCCCCCGAACGGATTCGCCGCGTCACGGGTGGTTGGTGGGGCGAATTTCTCAATAGCCATGCGCACCTAACTCAGACGTTCGACTTTCGTCCCAAGAAAGCCGTCAAAGGTGGCGGCGAAAAAGAGAGCCAGCGACCAGCCGGGGGGGGAATTGACAAGCTCCTCCTTTGCTGAGGGAGGGACTTTAGTACCTCTTGGGCAAAAGTTAGCTTGAGGCTGGACGATTTGAACATCCTCGTCAATGGAGTTTGGGTAGATCGGCGTCTCTATATATATATTGAAGCTCCCACGTCCTTGCTGGTGCAGCATTCGGGTCAACACCGTATACTTTTACCAACGCTCGACATGCTTCATTCTCGAAAATGATGCGTGGTGGTGGATAGGCAGGTAGGACCTTCGAGTCGTGTTCAGAGGTCAAGATTCTCGCATCGTTAACAAGCCAGCGGTGTTCGTGGGCAACATGGTGCGGTTCGGCAACGAAACGCTCGAGAATGGGGATTATCCCGTGTGTGACAAGGTGTAGTCCAGACTCTGGGGTTATTGATCGAAGTCTTGCATAGTATGAATTGAGGCGCTCATCGCCACTGGCTGCCTGAGAGTTTCGAGTCTGCTTTGGAAGAAGGAAGGCGTCATATTTTTCTCCCGGCGTAGTCGACAACCTCGACACACAGATCGTGAAGCTTCGGCGTTTCATGTGCTCTCGCAAGAAAGGAGGAGCTCCGGGAGGCAACGGTGTATCGGATGAAAATGGTTCGATTGCATCGGTGAAGTTTAGAAGAACTCGACTTCGATCGACTTAGGTTGTAATATTACTACCTTTATCTAGGAGCTTTGAGCCTTATGTCTCGTTGAGACTTTCCCTCATCGCATAGGTCTTCTCGGGGGGCTCTTTTTTTTTTTGAGCAATATCAAATATGATAGGCTGGATATTTGTAGTTCGAAATATTCGTGCCGCGAGCAGGATAGATTAGGCCTGCATCCTTTGCACATTTGTTGACGTGTGCAGTAGGGTTCTTGAGCTTGACCAACTCGGTTCCTTATGATGGACAGTTCTTGAATGGAAGGCCTTTGCAATTATAGATATGCTACCCACGGTTCTGGATGTTTGAAATGTCCTTCCCGCACGTGGGACAGAGGTCTTGATCTGCCATGGCGGAGGGAAAATTGCCAGAGAGGAGAAATCAGATTGTCAAGGAGGAGAAAGAAATTTGAATTTAAATCTGAATCAGCGAGAACATAGGTGCAGGCAGTGGTGTGTCACTTGGTAGTGAATGTCTGTTGCCAAGGGTTCGTGCCGGCTGGCAATATTCACTTGATATTGTCACGCCTTCACCTCAAACTTCTACTTACCTCTGTCATCTCCCCTCACAGCCACGCAAAGTGTCTCTCATTCAGTGACTTACCTAGTATCCACTGGGCGTGCTCGCCTAGCAATTTGCTCATTCAACAACTTTCCTCCGGTATCGTCCGCCAGCCGCTCATCATGGATGACCTGGCACGCGAGCATCAAGCACAATTCGACAAGGTTAGTCCGCTGCGCAATGGGCACGATGCTTACCAGGAGTAGGCATTGGCATTGGGGTTAGCAAAAAACACAAGAGAAGCGTTCGATATATGCTGGCCACTCCACTTGGACAACCGCCTTAGCAAAGGCCTCCATGCCGAACTCAACATGCTACTGGCACTCCTCGTGGAACCCAAGGACCGACTCAAGTTTACGAAAGGGTGCTTGGACGTGATCGACACTGTTCGGCAGGACCAGGGCGGAGAGATTGGCGACCGCCTCAAGCACATGGAGGGTATTGCAAAAGAGTATCTCGAGTACCTCGAGGCTCCGGCCGAAGAGTACCTTGAGCCCCCGAACGATGTCGAGGAGGAGCAAGACGATGTGAATGTGGACTACCTTGAGGACGCGGCTGAAGTCGAGGAGGAAGACGGTGTGAATGTCGACTACTTTGGGGACGCGGCTGAAGTTGAGGAGGAAGACGATGTGAATGTCAACTACCTTGAGGACGCGGCTGAAGTTGAGGAGGAAGACGGTGTGATTGTCGACGACCTTGAGGACGCGGCCGAAGCCGAAACGGAGGAAGACCGTGTCAAGAACAAGCTGTTGTTGAGCACCTGGAGAGCCGAGTTGAGCATTTGGATAACCGAGCTACCAATCTTGCAACGCTCCACGGAACAGCCCAGCGAGTCATCCGCGCCTCCTCCACCTTCCCCTGTCTGCGACTCTCCGTAGATACTGCCCGGACGCGGCTCAAGGGATACTCGGAACACAGGTCGCGACGTGTAGAGACAGAAGACAAGGCAGAACGACCAGCAACGTCGAGATAGGAGCTGATGACATTCCTTAGTGGCTTGGCAGGCACAAAGCGTGGCATCACTCCCCACCTAGGTACCTACTCTAGCCATTTCCAAGTACCTGACCTGACCTTACATGACCATGCGAAACTTGAGCGCGTCTTTCTCGACAATCTCCTTCTCCCGGGCCATCAATTCAGGCATATCCCAGCACACGGCGATGAATCGACCGGCGAGCCAATCTCTCTTTTTACTGCCCAAGAAGGCAAAGGTATCGCCAACCAAGTCGGGCGTATCATTGAGGAGATCTGTGGAACCACGGGATCAGCCCGAGCACAAGTCTTGGGATCCACGCTCGACTCACGGTGCATGTTCGAAGGTATGTTCTTGGCAAGCTCGGTGAGCATCGACGCTGGATGCATCGAGTAGGCTAGGAGGCCCTAAAGAATGAGTTAACGTCTCCGGTTTCCCATACGATGTCTCATGCTGCCTCCTTCCTAGCAAGGGACTGCCGGCACAGGCGGAAGCACACTCACCTGGTCACCGTAGTCCTGCATCAGGAACTCGGTGAAGCGGACGATGGCAAACTTGGTGGTCTGGTAGGAACTGGCACCCGGGGTGAGGATGTGGGCGCCGAGGCTGCTGATGGCGACGAAGGTCTTGTCGCCGCCGCAGCCCAGCAGCAGGGGCAGGAAGGCCTTGGCAGTCCAGTAAGTGCCGCGGATGTTGATCTCCCAGGCATGCCAATAGTCAGCCTCGTTGCCCTCAAGTAGCGGCTCGAAGGGTGGCAGGAAGGCGGCGTTGCTGATCAGGATGTCGAGCCGCCCCCATTCGCGCTCGAGCTGCTCCGCCGCCGCCGCGATGCTTGCTCGGTCCTCCAAGTCCATAAGCAGCACCGTCACCGTCGGCTCCGGGTGGCCTCCCTGTGCCGCTGCCGCCTTAACCGCGCCGACCAGGTCGCTGACGTCGCGCCGCACGCCCAGCCCGATATGTGACGCCCCTACGCGCGCGTATGCCTGCACCACCGCCCGTCCCACGCCACCGTTGGCCCCCGTGATGAGCATCGCCTTTCCCTTGCAGTCCCAGCCGGGAGAACCCTTGGTGTCAATCGCCGGATATGTGTCATGGTGCGTCGTCGGGGTAAAATTTCGTACTTATCACGTCCGTCAGTGAGGGCGAGAGCGAGAGTGCTGCGGAGGCGGAATGTTAGAGGGACTTTACCGGCTTGGGATGTTTTATACGCCGGTGAGAGCGAGAAATCTTCACCGTCTTGAGCCATATTTGTCTGCCCCAGGACCTTGTGTCTTCAGACGGACGATATTCGTGGATATGGCGAATTGGCTGTGGACTATCAGCAGTTGAATCCTCAGTCTTCCGCCGCATGGATTTTGGGGGCTGCTTCCATTTACATTCCATTATCTCGACCGTGTCTCTCTGAACGGAGATAACTGTTCTGTTCTGTAACTCCTGAAGAGCTACTTCGGCAGGTCTGCTTTCACAGATAATAACCTGTACTCAAGCCCGCTATAACGAATCGCGCTTTCAGGCCCTTGGTGCTGGACCCGTAGCCTTGTCTCGGAGTTAAGAAGCTTCTCTCCAAGGAAATGCAGCTAACTCCGTGCATGTTCTTCCAGCTCTACCAGCTCTATGGACATCTTCCGTTCTCCGCCTCGTCACCAGTCAATGCTTCCGTTGCTGCTGCGTTGATTTCGCGTCCAACGCTGACGAGGGTTTGTGTCAGGGTGGATTTAGTGCTGCTGTGGATCCAAAAGACCCCTCGGTGTGATTTCCGGGCCTGTTGACAACATTCAAGGACGCTTTGGCTTCCCTGCCGCCCGGTGCATGCAGTCCCAAGATTTGAGGTCACTCCACTTCATCTTCGAAGTAGGACGTGTTCGGGGAAAATATATATATCTGTGGCAGACCTAGATGTGGCGGCGGAAGGAGCTGTGCACGAAAAGCTACCACTCGTTCCAAGGAAACGCGGACCATGGTGTACTCTGTGACTCGATAGAGAAACGTGGTGAATTCTACTAGGTCTTGGGGACCAATCTGACTACCTATGTATATACTCTGTACCTTTGGGTAACTCGGCCGAAGGCGTTGCAGGGCTGCTGGCATGTCTTGGGGGCTTGGCAGGCACAAAGCGTGGCATTACAGTAGTACCGACCTAGGTAGCGAGCCGATATCGAAAACAAGTACCACAGTCTGACAAGAAACGGTACTACAGTAGCAAAAGAGAAGTGATTCAGTGCCTAGACTATCATAGAAAAGGACATTTATTCTGTCCTTAGGCATAGTGGTACACCATCCTTATTCACAATATCAGTCACATTTGATCTGACGGCCGCCTTGTCGCTGTTGAGCGACTAGCTAGATTCTAAGATGGCGTGCCTCTATTCTCCATCAGACCGTGCCATTTGTTTCTTTCAGAACCTACTTGGTAGCTCCCTATTATTTGCTTCCCCCAAAGAAAAGATTAATTACGACTCGGGCTAAATCATACTGCCTGGCGTGGTTCAACTCATTTTCATTGGCCAGTGAAAGCGGCGGCGTCTGGAACCAAGCTTTAGACCTTTTAAACTCTGGCCACAACTTTAATCCGGCAAGAATCGACATGAGCCCTGACTGCCCACCTCCAACAAGTGCTCAAGGCGTATCAACAATGATATCACCAACTCAAATGCGCCCGTTAACTGAGTACATGGGTCGACGCGGCTGTGTATCCGGCATGTGACGTGGCAGCCTGGTCAACGGAAATCGAGTTCGTTGCCCTCGTGTCTACGAGAACGATTTCGAGCAAATTCCAGGAACCGTCAAGACCCGGCGTGAGCAGGTTCCGATCCTCACATCACTTTCTGCGTCTCAAAGGCATAAAAGCGGTGCAATCAGCAGACTCTCTGCTCGCTCCTGATCCAAGATGGATAACCACTTTCATTTCTTGCTGAATCCCACCTCAGAGTCTTCTGGACCATCAAGGCAACCTCCTGGTGGCATGTCACGGCAGCTCACGGGGGAAAGTCATACAACCACGAGGACCCCAGTCAACGAGCCTGAGGTCATCGTGTTGTCCGACTCAGACGACGAGCCGACCAGTAATCAGAAAGCCACTACAAGCACGCGACCTGTGCAGCCAGCATTCACCGGCAATGATGGTTCGGAAAAGCCGTTTGATGTAGCGCGCGAGAGGATCCCACCATCGCCGCCACCACCGTCACCATCACTACCACAAAGACAATCACCCCCAATACCAACAGCACTCCGGCCACTGCAGCACCATCTTACAAGACCGTCGGCGATAAGATCTCTGTTGAACCCGTTAACAAAGCCGCAAGAAGCGCCACGGCAGAATCCACACCCAGCAATCTCACGGCCGCATCACGGATCAGTAATGTCAGCAACACATTCAACATTGGCAAGATCAACACCAGATTCATCGGCGACTTCGCTGTCAAGACTTTCGGGAAGATTACCATTGCATGTGACGCCGAATCGACCAACCGGTATCCCGCCGGTAAATCCATTGCCAACAAATCCACCACAACCACATACAATGCCTGTTCACACAGAGCGAGCACGTACCCGTCCAGCGGATTCGCCACCGGCCCGTCCATCCGCACCTCCGACTTCCAAGTCCTTTCCCAGAACACAAGCAACTGCTGCCTCACTGATGCGAGAAAGAGACGAATCTATGGCAACCGGGGCCTCTGAAGGGCTCTCAGGTTCCCAGGGTAGACGATCGACTTCCCGAAACACGTCGTCGGATTCACAGAGGAGGTCTACACTATCCGAGAGCTCAGCTCCTACCGCGTTACTTCTTCGAGAAGGAGACGAATCTATCGCAACAGGGGCTCCTGAAGGACTGTTAGGTTCTCAGACCAGACGATTGACTTCTCGAAGCACGTCGTCCGATTCGCGGAGGAAGAGTACACCATCCGAAAGCTCAGCTCCTACCATTGAACAGCATCCCGATTCTAGGAACACTGAGCTGTCCACGGCTCGCCATGAATCTAGATCTCACACTCTACATGGCAGAAAATCGAGATCGGCATCCAGACCTGCGGTTTCCTCCGCCACTGTGGACAGCAGACATGAGTCGCCTCCCGTCGTGCAAGATAGACCAAACGACGATGCTCCTAGTGACAATGCAGCACCACTCTCCAAAATTACACCAGAGGTTGCAGACAGCCTTATTTGCTCCAGTTGTGCTCAAGGGGACCTTGAGTGCGACGGTAGAGTGCCGGCTTGTGGTTCTTGCAGAGAACAGGGATTGGCGTGCTCATATCAAAGAGCACCTAACCCTACAAAGGAACCCCCATCCTTGCTGGTGAAGTTGAAAGTGAGAATCCCGGCTGAAAGAGCAGCTTCAGAATCCACTGAGGGGTCGAGTCCGGAAGAGGAGCGATCTCAGAGTGAAAGTGTCTATAGGGAATCAGATGAGGACTCGGACTCGGACTCGGACACAGGTAGCACAGATTGGGTCCAAAGAACGCCACTCACGCTTGTTTTCCGGGCCCCAGAACCACAACATCCAGACAGCGAACAAGAAGAACCCACCGACCAGCAGTCTCCAGAGGACAGCGTAATGGAAGACGAAAAAGATCAAGATGTCGAGGAATCGACCAGCGTGGAGGAAGAAGACCGGGATGTCGAGGAACCGTCCAGTGTGGACGAAGGCTGGGATGTTGACAACGCCAGTGACTCGTCCGGATCTTCGATATTCTCCGCAGGAGAAACTACCCTCCGTCCCAATGTTCCGGTTTTCTTCATGATGTTGAACAACTTACGTGAACTCTTGCGCGACTGGCAGCAAAGAACCGTTCTGGCCGATGTCAAGCAGGCCAAGGTCACTGCAGCACAACGTCCCCGTCCAGACCTTGACCCAAATCTTCCGGACCCTTTTGGGGAGCTCACCGAGCAAAGACGGAGCGTTGGAAATAGTTGGGATTCGTCTGCAAAGAAAGACGAAGAGATAATTCGGGCACCCCGAAGGCGCCTTTCGGGTGGGACGAAAATGCTACCAAAATTCAGGTCCATAGGCAGACTCAACACGAGTTTCCTTGCACCCAACTACCGGACCGCCAGGTACAGAGCGTACGATGCCGAAGACGAGATCGTAGATCAAGATGCATCCAAAAAGTATGATGAGTTCGAACAGCGACACAAGATCGACTTCTTGGGTCTCGCGAAACAGCGCGCATGCCAAGAGTTGGTATGGCTCTGGGAGCCCTGGATCGAATATCTATTCAGTCGCCTTGAGATGTTCAAGAGCGACATTCTTTACTTTTATGTGCAAAAACAGTTTGAACCCGACCGGCAAATCGAATTCGACTGGTCAGAGAATTCACGCGCGGCATGGAGAAAAGAACAAAATCGTGCCTGCAAAATGTGCAGGCTGGCTGATCGAGAGAGTCGGCGGAGCCATCTGGCCGAAGACTTCCAACATCTGCCACGGCCTGATGATCGGAGGCTTGTGTTCGCAGGGCTAACGGCCTACGCCTTTCATGAGCTGGTTGGGTCAAGTCTATGGCATGTTGCCCTCGGCGGGATAATACAACCGCGATACGCGGACTCCCAGGCAGCTACGGCGCAAGATCCCAACCTCTGCTTGATCTGTTTTCGCCACCAGTGTCCGGACCACGGAGCATACGAGGAGCCCTCGGATGACGAGCCTAACATTAGAAAATCCCGAGCACTTATCAACGACGAGGAATCTGATCGCAACATACGCAAGTTCGTGTCGCTGCCTAGGGCCGAGCCTGATGTTGAAAACGACACTCACCTCTGCGGAATATTCTGCGTAGAGCCCTCGACAAGCTTGCGAAAGCTATTGGGGCGACAGCCCGGCGGGATGGTCTTTGGCCACAAACGGGCGCCACGAAACTACAATGATCCCAAACTGGCAGATGATCAGTTGTGCTGCCCGTCGTGCTTCTGGGACGTGAACAACCGCCGTGATATTACGGTGTCAGAGGTGAAATTCCAGCCATTCATGTCGCAGAAGCAGAAAGTCTTGGTCGAAAGCCTCATGGGCTTCTACCTCCACAATAAACGAGGTCCTTGCCTTATCTCGCGAGTGATCAAGGTCAGCTGCATGATGGTCTTCAACCACATCATCTTTTCGATCTTCAGAGTCAAGCATTCTACCGACCCGCCCCTAGCCGCAGCTGAAATGAGTCTCCCTCAGCCAGATCCCAACTCTACACTAGGTAAGAAGAAGAAGAAGAACAAGAAGAATCAGGCGCCTATCATTGATATCTCCGAAAGCACTAATCTGATTGAACGTGAATTATTCATCCCTTGTTCCCACAAAGGGCCCTGCTACGACAACCCGGCGTGCTCATGTGCGAAAGCCAAGATACACTGTGAATGGTTCTGCGGATGTAGCGACTCCTGTAAACGACGTTTCCGGGGGTGCAACTGCAAAATCGGCAGTAGAAAGATGTGCTTTCAGGATACACGGTGCGAATGCTGGAAGCTCGGTCGAGAGTGCGACCCTCATATCTGCCTCAGCTGTGGCGTGCTCGATGTCCTGGATTCTTACAACAAGTACAAGGATGACATTCGACAGGGTCGCTGTAGAAACAACCGGATCCAGTTGGGTGTGCCTGCTAATACAACCAAGGCGCCTAGCCAGGTACAGGGCTACGGGCTTTATAATCTAGTCAAGCTTTCAAAGGGTGAATACATCGGCGAGTATGTCGGCGAGCTCGTCAGCGGAAGAGAGGCCAACAGGAGAGGCGCGCTCTACCATATCCAGAACCAGGAATATCTCTTCGACCTCATCGCGTCTCAGGAGATTGACGCGTCCAGGAACGGCAACAAGATGATGTTTATGAACAACTCGCAAAAAGAAGAGTTCAGGAATGTGGAGCCCGTGCCTCTTTTATGCAGTGGACAGGTGCGGATCGGGCTGTTTGCGAGGCGAGATGTCAAGGCCGGAGAAGAGCTGCTGTGGAAGTATGGATACGGGGAGGAACACACCAAGTATTTCTGGGAGCCAGGAGAAAAACCGTCCCATGAAAGAGCACGGATTCCTCTTTCCTACGACCGTCTAGCACGAACCGCAGGAATAAACAGGCTAGCTGGAGAAAGTGGCCGCACCACCCAGGAGGAGGGCAGCGAGAACCCCGTGGTACGTCCGTTGCAGAAGCGCAAGAGACAGGTTTCCCAGAGTTCGAGTACCGATGACGAATCAGCGTCCAGCTCAGAAAAGGAAACGGTGCGAGATTTCGAAATTGACGATCCGAAGGATGCAGATTATGAGGCTAATGGAGACGTATCTGATGAGGGGAACCTGGATGATGACTCTGAAGACTCTGACCTTTACGGCCCGGGTGATATACCGTACGTTAAAAGGGCCACGGTGCAACAGCGCAAACGACAATGAGACGACGGCCCAAGACACAACCGGAATAAAAATCGGCTGGATGGGAGGAGAAGGGCCTCAGGAGCCGCCAGCACAAGAGTCGGCGGTAACAACAAGCATGGGAAACTCCACAGCCAGTGATGGTAAAATACGTGAAATCTATTCCTTGACGAAAGAATAAACGTTCTGAAACCGAAGATTCGATATAATACCGAATTTACTTGGCCCCCAACGTACTAAAAAAGTACGCTATAATGCTAGCGCCTAGTAATTTATATGAGGAATGTGTTTCGTCTATAGCACTAAAATACACCTTAACTATCTCTATTTCTCTCATACAACGCGAGATTATCACGCTACAGGAATGCCACTTAACGCGTAAACTGTGCGCACTTGCACACCTGTAAATGCTTTACAACAGCATCGATTAAACAACGTCTACTGTCTCAAACTGCCTGTTCTCAACGATCTCTTGCCTTAGAATGCCTCGAGTCGCAGATCTCGCTACTCG